CAAATTCCATGATGAAGACAATTTGTAATGAGACCTTTTAATCTTTCCCATGTTTCATGAAAGAGATCATTTAGACCTTAAGAAAAACTCACGATTGCATTTCTCTTTGCATTGATTTTCTCCCTATGATAATATTCTCTCAAAAATTCATGTTGAATTTCTACCCATGTTTTGAGATCATTTTCCACTGTAGATAGCCATAACTTGCCTCATTCTTTAATGAAAATAGAAATAATGTAAGTCTCAAATCATGATTAGTGCTAATAAATAATGTAAGTTTATATGTTGGGCTTTGTGGAAAATCTATAGAAGATGAAGGATTAAAATAATATTTCCATTTCTTATGTACTTCTACCATGACTTATTCACCATTATGATCCATTTCTATTCTAGTGTTTTTCAACCTATGATATAGATATTTGTCTATTTCAGAAATAGGTTCCTAGACTACCAACTTCAAAGACCTTCTACCATGCATGTAAAATCAATAATAATAAAAATAAATCAAAGAACTTGAAGTGAAGTTAAATAAATTAGATCAGATAATGACTGGTGCCTTGAGCTTCCCTTTGGCTGCACTTCTCACACATTCTTCTTCTTCTTCTTTTTGCAAAAGGAAAAAAATAATGCTAATTAGAAGCTTAATGTTAAAGCTAGATTTTGTTTTTAATTAGATTTATTATTTTATTTTTATGTGTTAGCTTACAGAATAAACATAGGAATATATTGTTAATTTTATAAGTTCAAAGTTAAAATATTTAGTGTATTTTTTATTATTTATAAAATAAAAGAATAAAATATAAAAAATATCACAACCTACTAGCTAACTTAGAGGGATGCTACGCTTGAGTTGATGGACCTTGACTAGGGGGAGCCACAAGCTTGGCTCGTGTGGCGAAGGAGGGACTCGCTTCATGCACGTGTGTGTCACTCCCTTGCCATGTTCTAGTGGCCAATCGGTTGTAGAGCATGGAGTGTCATACACACGTGTGCACACGAGGGCAGACCACCTTTTGCTATCTTTCAAGATGGTCCTGGGTATTATTTTATTTTGAGAGATGGAATCTCTGCCAAGAAAGAGTAACTTTGATTTATAATGTGGGACTAAACATTCTCGTGTGTCTCTAGGCAGCCATTTGGAGTGCGATGTGATCTAGTAGTGTTCAATGAGCCAAGTCATCAAATAAGTTAGATCTTGTGACTAGCAAACTGTCACGATCCTAGAAACATTAAGCAATCCATTGATTGACACCGCTCAACATACACGTGGCCATAAGTGATAATCCAATGGTTAACAAGACATCACGGTACCAAGAACTTAAGTTCCTAGTTGGCAGTGATTTGTGGCAGTGCTTCTCTCAACATGCCATGTGATCAACACCTTTGGCGATCGACGAGCTTGTTCCTTTCTCCCCTGACTACACTCAAAGCCTCTAGCGAGTGATCAGCTCTTCTCTTCTCCCCTTAGACAATGGTGACATCATGGTCAACCCCTTCTTTCACGTAGATCTCTCTAGTAAGTGGCATAACCCTTTTGAACAATACTTTTGTGACTTCTGACATGGTGTGGCACATCTAGACAAAACTAAGGCATCACAATATTATCTCTAGTTTCCCAGGAGGTAGATTAAACTTAGACAATGATTTATCTCCTACTTTCAATATTTATTTACTTGCTTTTGTCATTTATTTATATTTTACAACAAGTTATTTCTACTTCATACATGTTTCGATTGAAATGAGTATAATTAATTCAAAACTTGATGAATAATCTTTATTCTCCTACTAAATTCTTTAAAACTCATTTGAGATCAAGTTAAGATTATTTACAACTTATTTTCTATTAATTTGTACAATCAAATCTCACCACATTTATGTTCTCAGTGTTCCATAAATATTGTATATTTTTTTTATTTTTAAATATAAAATCTGCAAGATTAAAGGTTACTTAATGATTGTTGAAGTGTTAAAATAATGTGGAAACATTCACGACTAATCTCATGTCATGTGTGTGAATTCTCAAACACACATTTGTTCGAGAATAATGGTCACTGTGAAAATGAGCAAACTATATTTCTTTCTTTATTATCATCTTGTTTCTTTCTCCCTCTCTCATGAGATTTTTCTCTCTTTCTCTCTATCAGTCAATCTCTCTCTTTCTCTCCATCAATCGATCTCCCTCTCTTTCTCTCCATCAATCAATCTCCCTCTCTTTCTCTCCACTGATTGATCTTTCTCTTTCTCTCCATCGATCAATCTCATTCTCTTTCTCTCCATCAATTGATCTCCCTCTCTTTCTCTCCATCAATCAATCTCCCTCTCTCTCTCATGAGACCTTTCTCTGTTTCACGTGAGATTTCTCTCTCTCTCTCTCTTTCTCTCTTTGGCAAGAGATCTCCTTTCTCTTTTGTGAGAGCTCTCTCTTCTCTCTCTTTTTCTCCTTCCTTTATCCTCCCCTTGCTTTATTCTTCTCACCTCATTTTTTTATTTTATTATTACTACTAAATATTAATAAAATATTAAAAATCTATTTAAATATAAACTAAATTAATTTTTCACAATGAATTAATCAATCTCTTTGTGTTCAACTTAAGACTTACATATATATTGATATTTTATTAAGTCTTCAGGTTGATTGTCAAGGATGGTGAGAACAAGTTTTGATAAATTTATAATTTTTCTAACACAAAAACTAACTAAAAAGAAAGGAACAAAAGAAAATAGAATGAGATAAATGATAGAACATTCTCCTCAATAGTTAATATCTTCCTTCCCTAATTAATTCATAAATTTAATTCTATTATAAACTTTAGATAATCAGAAATAAGATTTTAATGATGAGATGATTAAAGTATGAATAGATAAAAATAAATTTGAGATTATGAAATGGAAATATGAGAAAGGTGGTTGTAAATATAATGACTTCCATTGACTTGGAGAATGTTTTGAAATAATTAAAACTAATATATAAAATAAAATTAAAATAAATAGAGTACAAAAATACTTTGGTTGTCAATTAAGGCAAGCTAAAATAATTAAATTTGTAATCAAAAGTGAACTCTAAAACTCAATTTGGACTTTGTTGTTCATTACACAACAAAGTCCTTTGCAATTAATAAAGCTATTAAAAGATAAAATATAAATTAAACCTTATGACTTCGAATAAAAATCTCTTCATTTCCTTGTATGTCACCCAAAGATGAGAAAAAAAATACAGGTAATTAAATTCAGATATTTAACAATTTTTAATGATGAAAACTAAGAACATAAATGAAAGTCTTCTTCTTTCCTTATAGGTCACCCAACAAAATGAGAAGAAAAATACTTGAAATAAAAATATATAAAAATAAAGTATTAATGATCAATGTATGTCACCCAAAGAATAGAGAGAGAAATGAAATGAGACAATACTTAAAAGTAAAATCATAAAAAACTATATTAATCGCAACCCCCTTGATTCCAACATCCCCTTCCTTCTTCCTTCCTCTCCAACCTTATTTCTTCACCTTTCCATGCCTCCATGCCTCCAGGCCCCCTTCCTTTTCTATATTTTAATTATGGATTAAACTTCATGTTAAAGATTGATCTTTATAAACTAATTTTTCTTATGAATCCAAATTCATAAGATATCTTTATAAACCCAAATTCATATTTATTCATATGAATCTTTCTCATGAGCTTTTAGCGGAAACAAGATATCTTATTTATATGCAAAAGAAAAGTTAAATAATTGAAAGTAGTAGGGTAAGCATGGAAAAATTAAGAAGACAAATCATTTAGAAAAAAATATACTTCATGAAAAAAAATATGAAATAATCATGGTAAAATTATTATTTAGGTTAATTATTGAATCCACTTGTATATTTTCTAAACTAACTCTGAAGGAACATGACATAGGTTCCACTCTCTTGTCATGAAAAAAAGATGATAACGAAAATTAACAAAGAGATTCATTATAAATTATCTTAATATATTCTTCCCACAGTCAAAAGTATCAAGTTTGATGCTTAATGACCTTTAGTTGCAAAAGTGAGGTCTTGATCCTTTCTATTCTTGTACAAGTAGACAATTATTCTTCAACTATTCACTTTCTTATAAATAAGAAATGAAACATATTTTCACAAATGTTCACCACAACATATTAATATTAGACTGCAGTGGCACGCCTTTTATTTTAAGCAAGAAAATTTTGAGGAAACACTCAAAGTTGTACATTGAAAATTTTCTTCCATAGAGATCACAAAGTTTCCAAAAAGCTAATATTGTTCGAATGTAACAGCTTCAACATAATCCTGAAAAAGAAATTTCTGCTCATCCACAGTTCTCATTCTCCTGCAAAGTAGGACATGGAGTGACATAGGTTCTCTAGTCTATGGCTAGTTTCACATGAATTAGAATTTCTACATATATAACTAAAACAAATTATGGAAACTAAACTAAAAAACTTTAAAAGAGTATACAAATCTCTATATATTACTTTCATATTGCTTTTTCTCTTTCTTACTCTCACAGGCTAGGATTCTTGACAACCTACATCCTTTGGTCAGTTTCTCAAGAAGTTGATTACTAAACCATCACCAATTCATTTTTAATGTAAAATTCAACTTTACAACTATATTGCTTTGAGTGAGATTCTAAAACTTAGCTATTACCACTTAGAAGTTTAAATTTCCCCAAAGTCTTATCACTTGACATTACTAGGCCAAATAACTTCAATTTGGTATTTCTTCTAAGAACCAGTGTTAGTATACTGTAGTACTAGGACTAGATTTCCAACCAATTTTTGATATAAAATGGAAATCTTCATCAGTTGATTGCTTGATGCTGAATGAAGTTTATCAAAAAAATAGGGCAGAAAGTCTAGACTATTAGTGTGACTACTATTTTAGGCTTCATTTACTCTTTTTTGCTTCATAAAGAGTGTCAAAAACTGAATTGAAATTAATTATTAAAAGATAAATATGAGAAACGTAAAAATGTAGTTTGTTGTGTAAGATTATTTATACCTCCTCCCCTCCCCATTTCTTAACTCTATCTCTTGCTGCTGATGCCTATAAACAACATTAAATCAGTTAGTCGATAGAATGGGTAAGAATATATTCTTCTTAAATAAGAGAAAAGGTTAAACACGAAATATATAAAATACCATAGGTTGTTGAATATATAGAATGAATGGAGATGTTTTTTACACATCCACCATCAAAATTGAAATGATGAATAATATACCTCTTTTCAATTTTATATGGCCAATACTCATATATAGGATATTTCTCATTATCCACAAAATATTACCACCACAAGAAAATAAATTATCTTATAGGACATATAAAAGTTAATATGAAATGCTAGAAGAGGTAGGTCTCAATGTTTCATTTGAATGTATGCCAAACCATACAGCATCTGATGAATACTTAGAGATAATAGAGATATTCATAATTTATGTTGTATCTAAGAAAGCTGCTGAAACCTTCCACTTGATCAATATCGTAATTATCAATAAATTTAGTTCATTAACTATGCATGATATGTACGTTCTATTTTTTAGTTTTCTGCTTGTGCTGTTAACCTTTAAATATTTAAAATGGAAAAGATATAGTTCTCCAAAATAATCATTGCAAGTCAATGTGGTCTCACAAGGTAACATAAAAATAAGAAATATGAGAAAAATCTTAGAAACAAAAGTCAAATAGAAATGCTTAGTTTACAACTGTGAGCTTATTTAGAAGAAAGGAAAGAACACATAAAAAGGTGTGAACACAAGAGATCCAAGTTCACCTCTTTGGTCCACTTCGTTCTAGAAGTCATCAAAACTAGTATCATCGTCTGTAGTAGAGTTCCAGAAAGCATTCCATACCAAATACCCTGAAATATCCCGTAATGTAAGAAGGAGATGACCAGTGGCTTTATAGATATTTTACTAGAATACACTAGAGGTTGAAGAGTCATGACATGAACATTTAATATAACATTTTTCAAATTGAACTACTTTTAATGATAAATACCGCATAACATTTCTGTGATCAGCCTTTACATTGCTCTATGACTCAGTTTAAATGCAGGAATAGGTTATTACCTTTACACCAAGATCAAACTTAAAGGCCAAGAGAAGACCAATGGGAATACCAAACAAGTAATAGCTTCCAACATTGATATAGGCCACGAATGCTTGCCACCCAGCTCCAATGGCCACACCTATTAATAACGCATAGAACATCTATTCAGATGAGAACAACTATAACTATTTTATTGCATGAGAAATACTTTTTAAAATCAAATCAAGTAATCATGGGCTACTCTGAGAAAATATACAATGTTATTGCAAATTGTTTAAGTTTTTGATATCACAACCGTACAGTGCAGACTTCATTGTCACATCTATCTATATGTGGATGTTGGCATACTGGAGCTAAGTACGCTGGGCAAAAGAGTTTCAATGCCTTCAAAACTTATCCATTAAGTGAAAATGACAAGAAGTACTGGGCCCGCATGCTAACAATTTAAGATATTCTTAGATATCTTTGGGATATATTTCCCAGTGGTAATTAGTAACTATCTCAGTCCCAGCCGTTTATCACTTTCCGGGAAAACAAAATACAGCGTCAAATCAGGTAAAAAAGACAGGCGGGGTCGTCAAAGTGAGCTTACAATGGTTATTGATATCCCTCTGATCACATGAATTCTTAAGAGTTAGTAAATTGTCTAAAGATCGAGATCCGAATACGTCATCAAGTTAATGTCGAATCACTAGACATTTCAAATAAAACTCATGAAAAATCAGAACGAGGAAAGCACAGTAAGAAACCCGAAAGGACTGGCTGCACATTATTGGCGGTGATGGTGATTGCGAGCAATGGGGCGAGTTGATAGACCAGCTCTCTGACTTCTGAGCTGCTCGTGAAGGCGTATGGGAACTCCTTCCGAGTGATGATCAGAATGACGGCAAGGAACAATCCTATCAGGAATGAGGTGACGACGGCCACAACTACAGCAAACTTAGCCCTCTTCGGGTGACCAGCTCCTAGCTCATTAGACACCCGCACACTGCCATCATGCCGTTATATTACTCCCGTTTAAAACGACAAAACATGACATAAAATAAAATTAAAAAAATAAAATAAAAAATAAAAGTGAAGCTTGATGGCTAACCTTATGGCAATGTTTGATCCTAGGGCCACCATTATTGTCCATCCGCTTATGTTCATACTAAAAAGAAGATGAGTACATTTTTCAACAAGTATGACAAGCTATATATGAAGACATAAAGTATGTATTACTTTTAAATATTAACTGATGTAGTTGAACACTTTTAAAAATTTTGATATCTTAATGAATTTAGTTTCATTTTATGATATCTTATGCTATCAAATATCACATAAAATTAGGTAATATTTTTACCTGCAAATATAATTTTATAGTAAATATTTGTGTTGCTCCAAAAATAAGATCAATAAATGAAAGAAATGATAATAAGAGATGAGAAGCCTACCATATAGATATAGCATCCACGGAGATTTTCGCATTTTTGAGATAACCAGCACAAAGAATCAGCACCATATAATACCAGAACTCCAAGCTGGGGATAAATACATTACGAATTTAATAATTGAATCAGTTCAGAAATGAATGGAATGATGAATAATGAGACTTCGTCCACACCTTGGCAAGCTTGAACAAAAATGGGACACTAAAGCCTATGGAAACAGATCCCTGCTTAACTTGCTGCTTTGTTGGTTGTTTTTATCTCATCGAGCTTTTTGGGGAACTGGGTACAAGTCGTATAAGAGAGTCCCATTTAAGGGAGGAGTCGTGTTCCAGGTGGGAAGAGACTCAAACTCGAGGGAAATAAACATATATGTATATATCTATGGGTTTAGATAGATAGATTGACTGAGAGATAGATGGATCGATACATAGATATATAGATATACTGAGATATACATAGATCGATAGATAGATCGATAGATAACTCCGTAGATAGATAGATAGAGATAGAAAGATGTCAAGGAGGTAGGTTTGGGAAAACAAAGTGGCTTGGAAAAAGGCTTCGGAGTGCAAACAGAGTCCGTCTATTTTAGACGCTGGGTAGTGATCTATTAAGTTTAAGAATGATTTTAAAACATATTATGGGAAGCATAGTATTGTCAACTAGGAGAGTTTACCCAGAAGAAATTAGCAACTCACCAGAGCATGATTGCGGATGCTACGGAGAGGCGAACGAAGGCCCACACTTGATGGAAAGCCTTCCAGGAGAAGCCCGACCAAGCCTCTCCACAGGCCCCCAAAAAGATGTACGCCATCTGCGACGTCACGATGATCCACCACGAGAGGTTGAGGACGAACGCAGCGCCCGGCAGGCCCCAACCCAGCCGCAGTACAAGAAGCCAGTTGAGGAACACGTGCACCAGCAGCGTCCCCGCCGCTACCGCTGCCCTGAACATCAGCCGGCTCTGTGCCTGCAGGAACTTGGCGAGGGGGAAGTTGAACGCGTAGGCGAATAGCTGCGGCAGCATCCACAGCGCAAACTGCCCCGCTGCGCGCGATATATCGGCGGTCTGGCCGATTAGTCTCAGCCAGTTCGTAGCAAACACGTACAGCGGCGTGAGCAACAAGGCTGTGACCAGTAGGATAAGCCACGAGCGCTGCATGTAGACGCCCAGCATGTCCAGCTTACCAGCGCCGACGACTTGCCCACACAGCGTCTCCAGAGCGCTCCCCATCCCCAGCTGCCAACCGCGGCCCGCGTGCATCAGGAAAAACGATGTCTTGAACTATTTCACAGACTATAAAGCATTCCGGAAACGGAGAACGTGGGTTAGTACCATCAGGCCGTAGCAGAGACCAGCAATGACCGAGTTCTCGATGGAGACAGCGGCGAGCTCGATAGTGCCGAGCTGGCCGGCGAATATCAGAGTGACGGCGCCAAGGGAATACTGGCAGACGGCGGTGAACATGGCGGGGCCAGCCAGGAACCAGAGAACCTTCGACTCCGCCCTAAACTCCCTGAAGAAATCCCTCAACCCCCTTATGTGCTCTCTGTCTCCTTCCTTCCCCGTGAGGAATGCGGCTCTTGAGTGCCCAGCGTTCTGGGAATCTCCAGTGAACCCTAGCAGCGGTTCCATGACTCCGTCCTCGTCTATCCCTCCCATTCTCGCCTCCCTCTCTCTCTCTCTAGCCACCCTAACCTTAACGTTAAGAGAAAACAAGGTCGGGAGTAAGATGAGACATTCCCCAGCCACCTACGCCAGTTCCCAGCGGGCACAAGTTATCACCGGGGGCTGGGAGAGGGTAGATGGGAAAAGGAGCTCAGAGCTGAAGAGGGTCTTCCATGGTCAATTACATAGACTCTGGTGGTTCCTGCAGAAGAAAATGAGGTGAAAGTCAGTGGCTCCGGCCTTCATTGTTTTCTCCATTTTAGATAAAACGAAGACAACAAGTAAGACGAGCCACTACACCTACCATTCCATCGAAACCTGTACAGAAGCAAAGAGGTAAAGTGAGTGATTCCCCGAGTCGGCTGATCGCTGGCCCGTGTTTGCGGGATTCCCCGAGAGACAGACAGGGATCGGGGGGTCAAGTTAAGGCTACGAGGCAGCGTGCCACCCAGAAGTCAACGACTGACCTGGCGAACAGTAGAGATTTATGGGATTAGTTACAGATCAACGACTTAACCCCATTTTCTAAATGCGAAGAGAATTTATCATAGACCCTTGCCATTTTTTTGTCTGAGGGAGTTGTTCCCGTTCAAACCCTTATTTAGCTCTCCGGGAAATGGCAAATTTTGCCGGCGATGGACGGCATCTATAGCAGCCTGTGTCCGTCACAGTCTCTTACGATAGCTCCTTATCCCCACTTGATAATTGTCAAGTACTTTGCCTTTAGATCTTAAAAAGTATAGAAAAAACCACTTAATTAGAAGACAAGCAAGATTAAGGAAATTAGCCCATCTATGAGTTGACTCATAGATAAAATGCGTTTTATTGGAGAAATTACTTTGCAAGATAAAATGCATGAGTTGACTTTGTGCTGTCAGTTTTCTTGGAGAAAATGCGTTGTCATATTATGGAAAGGATTAACATTTCATAGTCAAGTGCAAATAAATATTTCCATCTTGGGACACAAATGCTAAATGTGGAGAGTTTCTTGCAGTTCAAACTTAGTCACATTAGAATCATGAAAAAGATCAAACTTGTATGTTTCACATTTTTAATTATTCAAGTGAAAAAGGCCCTCAAGCTAACAAGTTATCATAATCATCTTTAAGTTTTCCATCATCGAGAATGGTTGCAAAGTTTTAATCGGAGACTAAAAGGGTCAAATCAGCGGTGAACCAGAGCATCTCTCTCCGCATCAGTGACAAATATCCCAAGAACCTCTGTTAAATAACAAAAATTTATTTACAAAAAAACCACCTTAGAAATCAAAGATATATTGAACACAATCCCTCAAATTTACACATACACAAGAACCTCATGGCCACACCATATGGGCACGGGTAGAGGGCCAAATTGAAGTTCAGGAAATGTGTGCAGGGGCCTCAGGAACGCTATCAAGAATAAAAGGCCCCAGTTTGCCGGTTCTAAACAAAGTTATCAGCTTCTTTGAGACCATGGTGCGAGCTTCTTCCACAGATTTTGTCGATATCTTTAATGTCTCCTGGAGGGCTGTCAGTTGTTCGTCAATGAGGCACTCCAGATCGTCATCATCCCCAGTTAAATCCCCCTCGAATGAAACGAATGTGGTGTGCAATGTCCGTTGAACATCCTTTACAATGTCCTGCATTCGCCAGGTGTGACAAGATAACGGAACTGTGAGTTAACAAAACCGCGGAAGTAGATTATATAGAGGAAAATTTTAGAAGTAATTTCTCCGTCGAACGGGGCAAATACTCTTTCAATGGACATGTCACGGAACCATCCTCAGAAAACAAAAAAAGGGGGGAATTTACAACAGCCATTGATAAAATATCACCTGTTCGCGACATCAAAGTCTGGAAAGCAGTTAAAATTACCAGTAGATCAAGTTGGGCTCTGAATGATTGACAATAGAGGCATTGGTGAAGATTGAAAGGAAACATCACCGATAGAACTGAGGCGGCAGCAGGACTATTATGGTGAGGAGATAGCTGAGATGAGGATGTTGAGGGTGAGAACAACATCAAAACTTCTACACAATGGTAGAGACAAAGGTAGATCAACAGATTGGGAAAGATTGAGCACAAAGAAAGAATAGGGTGGAAGGCAGTAGAGAGAGAAGAGAAGAAAAGGTTCTATGACAGCATGTAAAAGAGAATATAAAGAAATGGAAAGAGCTGAGAAAGAACCGAATCATCAGGAAAGATAAGAGAGAATAAGATGGATGATGATGGAAGTAGAGAGATAGTGAGAAGAGAAAAAGATGAAAGGATGGGAGAGGATACAAAGGGAAGATGGGCAGAGGCACAGCCAAAAAAGAGGACAGAGACAAAAAGAGGGTTGTAAGAATGACCATGAGGTGAGAAAAGTGGATAATAATGAAGAAAAGAGGAATTAGAGCTGACCAAAACAGCATGGAGACCCAGGTAATAATTAAGTGCCACCAGCCATTCAACAGTGAGTAGGGAATCTTTTTTTCCTCATAGATAAGCTTCGTAGGTATATGAGAAGAAACTAAATATATTACCTCAATATACCACACGTCAGAATGATCCAATTGTTTCCCCGTCCTTCCTAAAGAAGCTCTAAATAATTTTTTATTTCTTGTTATCGCCTCAGATAGAGATCCGCTCCGCTCATTGTCCAAGTTCTTCCAATGGAGAGGTGTGTTCCTGTTGTTCAAGACAGAAAGAAAGTACCTAGCAAGGCGCTCCTCACCAACAACCGAGTCCTTCACAGCTCCTGGGTCACAGGAAAGTTTTCAAGGATAGTAAGATAGTTTTGAATATGAACACCACTCTAGGACCACCAAACAGGAGAAATTAAGGTAGATTAAACATAAAATAAAGTACCCATCTCGAGAAAACAAAGGACTTATAGCGTCAGAAACAGTCATGTCAGAGGCTCTTAACATGAACAGAATCATTTTTTTCAAGTTAACCAAGAAAGGCGCTAAATTGAGGAATTATCTTCTTATTAAATCAAGGCTATAAAATATATCACTAGCATTCAACTTATGTATATATATCAAGTGATAGAGTAAAAGCTCCAGGTCAAGGAGATTTCGGGCATCCTCGTTCGGGCACAATGCTAGGTCTTCCTGTAATGTTTTGGTTAAGAATTTCTGAGCCAACTTCTGGGAAAGAAACCAAACAAGTAGAAGAGGAAACCTGTCAAGGCAAGCTTCAGTCCCGTCTCTACGTCTGCAATGCTAGGAACCAGAACACCAGGTGTGTCCAAAACGTATATGCTAGGCTGATTTGCAATCTGTGGAAGACGTCATCAATTGTTGTATAAATTTCTTTGAAAAGGAAATCGTGCTATTTTCCAACCACTGGGTTGAGAAATACAGAAACAGATGTGTGCGTTTCTTCGTAATATACAGAAAAAATGAAGAAAAAATAAATAATATCATAATATACATGACCATAATACATGTAATTGAAGTCTTCGCATCAATAAAAATAAAATATTATTATCGATAATAATATCTGTAATATCTATAACTAGTGTCCGAGATAATCTCTATAATATCTAGAATGCTCATGAAGAAAAGTTTACATCCAACTAGTATGACAGTCAGCAAGCCACTAATTAGTGCATTAGCCATTTACAAGCAGACCCTGGATAAAGAACACCATGAACACACGATTATGACACAAGATCAGTATATTACATACATCTGCACGTGATTGTTATCATTTCATTAGTACAACCTTTTATTCCGTACAGATTCAAATAAGGGCTGGGTCTCTGATTTCTGAGTAATCGAATGTTTGGTTCTCCAAACTCACTAAAAACTAAGCGGCATGAAATAGATTGGCTCATTCGCTGATGCATTAGATGAAGTCTACATAAGCCAAAATGAATAAATATTCTGATAAGAGTATCTGCAGACAAGACTTAATACCACAAAATGGTTTTGATTCCTCAAGACTCCCTACCCTTCCCTATAGCACAGATAACAACAGAACGGTCCAGCAATGTCATAGGAGCAACAGAAAGCTTTTGACGCCATTGTTTGTCAAAAAACCAGGCATGGTACAGAAAATTAACCAGAGCAGCAACAAAAAGCTTATATTTGGGAGGATGCTCATGCAGAAATCAAGGATCAGGACGTCTTGAACAACTCAAAGGTTGGCATAAACCTAGACGGAAGGACTGCTTAACATAACAAGTTAGGATGCGACTTTTCCTCAGAAAACTTGAAAGGTTAGCAGTATGAGCATATGCCAGCTGATACACTTGAAGTGGAGGTTGCAACATATATTATTTCGTATTAAGATTCATAACATTATCCTTACAATTTAATGTGGAGTTTGACATTTCCTCCCTTAGATGCGATTGAATAACATATCAACTGATCAAATTAAATGAGGGACTCCATTTAAACCTCAGAACATTCGCAGCACATAGTTTGGGTTTTCTCCATCAACGAAAAACCATTAAAGGCCATAGATTCTAGAGAGTCACACTGGTGCTTCTGCCAACATGATGAATGAACAATGACCATGTAGGGTACAACAACAATAACCGCCATAAAAAACATAATGAAAAATACATTCAAATAACATTCAAATTAAATGTATTCGACGAAGACCAAAACTTGAAAACATAAACACGTTGATGAAGATACTATTCGATTTCTCAAAACAGTAAATATGCATAATTTTGACCTTATATCCTGCAATATCCTGGGTGACTCCAGGCAAAGGTCCTACAGTTGCTCGCTTCATTTTATCATGTACTGTCACAAAGAACCATTTCAATGGGAAAAGATGTACCATCCAATTCTCAAAGGAATAAACGGCAAACTTTGAAAACTTGATTATAGTTAACAGGAAATCTTCAGAAGTAGTGGAACCAGTCACCAGGAAAGCGAGACGATGCAATCTGATGGATGGAATTAATAAGTGCAGACTTCCCAACGTTTGGAATGCCAACAACCATGACCAAAAGTGTCGGTTCTCTGGAGATAACTTCCTTCAGTTTCAGTTCCACGAGTGTAAGCAGCTGTTCATTCCGAAAACGAAAATCAACAGGGTAATTATGGAAGAAACGAGTAAAGCTGACTAGACAGAAAAGGTGACAAACAGAACTAGAGTCCTAGACGAAACCGCAATATTAATGGCAGAAACAATAAATAGGGTGACTCAAAGCTAGAATTGAGCGGGACATTGTACAGTAGGGAGAATACTTTTCGAGCATGTCATAAAAAGACGGTTGAAACAAAAATTAAGATAATAGAGGCATCCAAAAAGCATTGTAACAGCAATTACAGTTGCATATTCAAGCAAAACAATTAGCAAGTCCATCATGTGCAAAATGAAGCTGCCTATAAATATGGTTCGTCTAGACTTGCTTCTTGAATTTTTTTACCAACTAAGTCACTGCTCTTCTGTCATTGGCTCACCTGGAACCATAGCCAGGTGAGGTTGTCAGCCCTGTCACATGCACAGCTATATATATATATATATGATTGAAGCACTGTCTATTTCCAAAATTCCATTATTTTTTCGTATCAGAGTGACTAGAGAAGCATTCAGCTTCCGGTCAAACCAAGCAGATCACAAGTTAAAAGATTTCCGAATAATTCATGGAAAAAAAAAATTGAGTACACTTTTAAGATATGAAAATCAAGGTTATCAAATTTGTTGGTAGCAATCTTTCGATCCATAATAGATGGTAACTTATTCATTCGAGGTGACGACAATCAACAGTGGGAATGTCATATCCACAAAGGTTGAGAGCAACACTTCGTAGCCTTGAGCCTAGGGATTCATGTCTTACAACATGAAGGAGCAAATGAGCAGGATTCTGAGGTTTTAATTTCCCATTATAATGACTTAGTTGATGAGATTCTAATCTTAGGAATTTGGATAAAATATTAAAAAAGTTTCAAAGATTTGGCTATTTTACAGATCTTCTACCATAACGACCTAAAAGGGATCTTTCTGAGCATAAAGATATTGGGTATGGGCATCACACTTTGATCGATACAAAGCACACTTGATACAGGACATGATGCTCACATTATTTTTTACTCGTAGCAATCTCTAGAAAAAAAAGGTCACTACAATTAGCATGGGAAACCTTCATCCAGGAAGTCACAACTTCGTGTGATACCCAAGGTCGAGAAAGTACACTATCTTTTTGCAGTAATGAATAATATAGTTTCGATCCTCAGTGCAAGATATTGTGCAGCTGTATCAGCCATCAGAAAGACTTCCAAGGCCAATAGGGTTGATCAATAAAACCATTGTATCAGCTGCAACAGAAGTTGGATATCCACCGTCGATCCAACGACACAAACCAAAATGGAAGATCTGAACATTAGAAGTACACGTACTGGTGGATAAATTACAACACTTCACATTGAAAATGAGTTTTATAGTTTGTATGAAGCTCACAACTCCCACGGCGTTTTGTGAACAAAGTGTTCGAAATAATCCAGGACGCATGCAAGGAGTGTTGACACCTCGTGATCACGCAAGACCTAAATCATGCTCACTCAAGAACCATGAAGAAAATCAATGAAGAGAGTATGTAAGAGCAGGTGCGTCCCATGCAACTTAAGTTACAGAAGAAAATATTCATCGATGTGGTTCAACTGCCTCTATCTTTCGCCCCTGCTTTGATCTGAGAGAGTCAGCTCCCATTATCCATCAAAATCTGTATCCTAAAAGTTTTCACTGAGCTACACGCCAGCATGTTATCATAATCATTCTTTTCAGCATAAAATTGTTCCCAACAAGTTAATCTTGTATTTTCCAAATTCCCCTTTAAGGTGCTGGACTGCTAGTTAATTTTTGAGCACGAGTGTTCTTGGAGAGGAGTGTGGCAGTAAGAGAGGACGGGAAGAAAAACATACAGCTCACACCAGCACCTGTCCAAGGAGTCAATTTTCTTCACATTATTTTCTTCTTTTATATTCTCCTTTTCTCTTTCCTCCTCAACAACTTCCAATCCTACTCATCCTCTCCTCTCCCTTCCCCAACCTGAGATTCACTGAAACAATCTGCTCTTCCCCAGCTGATGTTCATCCGGGATCATAACTGGAACAGGAACTAGGCATAACCAATCTGAGTTCTAAAACCCAGGTTTCAAAACCTCTCTCTAGGCAAGACCAAAGACAGAGATGATACTAAGCTCCCATAGACATTTACCATATTTTCAAAATATATCATTTGAAAAGCCATAAATGCATGAACAACAAGTGAGATTCTCTGAATATCCAATGATACCCAAAAAGGAGATTCGAAAAAATATCCATATAACTGAAGCTTTAACACCTCAAACATGTTACGCTTAGAAGAAATTTGAAATTGGATAGATTTCTGGCAGGAGGAAAAACTAAACAGGAAAAATTTTGGAGTGGAATCTTTTGCTCGCAGGTGAAATAATTAAACAGAAAAATAATTTTCAAATTATAATCGTATTACCTCTTTGACAGAGCCCCTACTACATGCGTTAATTGCGAGGGTATCTTGCTTGGACGTTTCAAAGTAACGAGACCACCGCTAAATCATCAAAAAGAAGAGTTGTCGAAGGAATCAAAGAGAACTCTGGCCGAGACAAGGAAATGAAAACCCTTGAACACAAACTGCACGAAAAGTATTACTCTATGCATAAATCTTACATGCATTATGTTGGAGTTCGCCAAATCCTTCTTATTCAGAGCGATGATGCGCCTTTTACCAGAGAGAGAACTCTGTAGATCCATGTTGGCGGAGGACAAGGGAATCTGACAGGAATTAAAAGGAAATCAGCATCTCAAGCTGCAAATGTTCCTGATTATGTGCCTGGCAATGACTACGACAGAAGCTTTATCAACTCCGAATCCACAGGCGCTGCACTAAAGGAAGCCCCGAGAGCACGAGAAACAACCCATGAGCAGCTGAACGAGGATCAGAATGGCGAGAAGATTTCCGAAGAAAATACTCAGATTTCTTTCGCTATCTTAACTACCATCCCCAATCCAAGAAATGTCATCTTAATATTTTATGCTCTTATTTGTTCGCATTTTTTGGACAAACAATAGCATACAACCAACCCATGTGACAAAGCTGCAGGTCCATTAAGTCCCCGTTACTTCACGGAAGCTAAGGCCGCACCCAAGGGCCGCAGCAGCGGTGAAGTTGTTGTCGGAAGGATGAGAATTTCTAAGCATGAGTCAAGGGGAGAGAGAGAGTGAGAGAGAGAACGAGCGAGGGATGAGAGGGAGGATGGAGAAGTAGGAGGTAATGACGAACTCACGCGAGCATCGCGAACTTCAATGACGAGATCGGCAAGCTTGAGCCGCTCGCGGATGACGCGGGTGGCGGCCGCCATGTGGCCCGGGAACCAGTTGATCACCCCGCCGCCGGCGTTGAAGGCCATTTTCCTGAGGTTCTGGGTCGTCCCGGCAAGCCGCCTCGCCGACTTGCCCATCTCCCCTCCCTTCTGCCCTCCTTCAACCCGCCAACTGGTTCACAGCTTCAAGCTCTTGTTTGCCGGCTTGACCGCCACCCTGCTCAGCCAGCAGCGACGCCGCCCCAAAGCGCACCGCCGGCTCCTCTAAGCTCGGGCGTCCTCCGACTCTCGTGGGCCACCCAACTTAGTGTTTTACGTCTCGAAAAAATTCGATTTTGGCACAAAGTAGCTTCCTCTCTCTCTCTCATAAGAAGTCAGACTCTAACTAATTAGATCAGAGAATGAGTTCTTGAAATGCATCTTATCGAGGGCCAAGTTAGTTTAGTGATCGTCCCCGAGAATAGGCTGAGTGGCAAGGGGAATGGATTCCCAAAATGCATCCTTTGGCTCGAGCCCGTCGTATGATTCCGGTCCAGAAGTCAACTACAACGTAGGGACCAACCAGTGTAGACCAACCAATGAGTTCTCAGAATGAACTTAGGGACCACCGCTAAGACGTTTCCTTACAACTCAGATGACTAGGCAGAATACGAGGAATGGGTTCTCGCAATGAGGTTGACTTGACCATCTACGGTTGAAAATATTAACAAGTGGGCCATCACGGATGGTTGGAAGATGGGCTACCACGTTGGTGGGAGGAGTGGGGGCTAAACACAGATCCATCAAAGACATTTTGTGCAGTGCGTTCACTCTAATTAGGCCCAAAAGGTACAGTTTGGGCCACTTTCTCACTAAGCCCTAAGCCTGGCCCAAACATAATGGTAGGTAGAGAGAGAGAGAGAGGAAGGGGGATTGACATGGTGGGTGATGGAAGGCTGACCCATTTCATATTTTGGTGAGTACCTAACATTTTTCAAATAATATATCTTATTTTTTTAGGTTATGAAATATGTTACATGCACAAGTGCAACGATCTTACTAAAAATGAATAAATTCAAGGGTTATCTCGTCACAATCAAAACCATTTCCGTGGCATAAAAGCAAGCAAAGGTGCATCCACAATAAAAAAAAATAGGAAATTTTATTTGCACATATACCTAATTGGGCGTATAAATAATAAAACCAAGGGATTTAAGAGCTTAGACCATGCCCTACGCACCCACTTCCACCTACCTCATCCACATGGCGACTCCCTGCCATCTGCCAACTACTCTTCCTTGTGAGAGAATATTTTGAAGATTACCGATTTTCCAGGGTCGAATAACAAGTGACTCGGATACTAAAAATTACAAGGAAAATAGGGGTAATTTCCTGAAGATATAAATCTAAGAAACTATACGAAAGGTTTTTGGCTAATTTGTGATAGAACCTCGAAAAGAAACTTGTTTATTAAATTGGACTGAGCCAACCTAGTTGTGTAAGAGGAGAGAGAAAGGTGAGATGCCCATCTCTGTCGGCGTTAAGTAATAATCATGCAGGGCCAAGGATATCAACCATAAAAAATAAACTATGATGTTAATAAATGTGTTGCTTCCAGGGGTATAAAAGAAATAATCCGAAGCTAATCCGACCATGTTAATTGAATGAGGACGGCTTACGTCGTCATCCGAGAATCAAATCGCCATCGTCTCTCATCCAACCGTCCCCGCCAGCGGTCCATACGCCAGACGAGAGAGGCAGACACATAAAGATGGAGACTACCGTCAGAGCGGGTCGATGTATCATAGGAATAATCGTCGATTATTGTTTTTGATCGATTTACATTGGCTAGCGCTTCCCCACCGTGCCCAGCAGAACAAAGCATTTGGGGGCGTGATTAACACGTGGATCATACGTGGCGGCCGAGACTGCACGGGAGTTCCCGCCACCCAACAACCGCAAAGGAGCCGGGGTAAAATAGTAAAATTCCCTGTGGCCGGCAGACAAGTAGAAGGATAAACCCCGAGGAGAGAGAGGAGGCCGTCGTCTTCCGCGGCGGCGGCGGCGGTGGCGGAGAGAGAAGAGGAGGAGGGCGGCCACTCTTCTTCTCCTCAATCGGCCTCTCCTCCTCCTCCGGCGATCCACCTCTGCTCAATCGGCCTCTCCTCCTCCGCCTCCGGCGAACTGCCTTTACCTTTCCTCAATCGGCCTCTTGTGGATTGGCTTCTGTTCTACTTTCCGGCGTAGTCCAAGGATGGAAGGGATGCTCTGCGACGAGCTGTTGCAGGAGATCATGCGAAGGCTGCCGGCCTCCGCCCGGCCGGCGGCGTCTCTGGTCTCCAAGCGGTGGCTGACACTTCTCCGCTCGTCCATCCCGTCGCTGTCTCTGTGCCTGCCCTGCGGCTCTGCCCTCTCCTCCGCCGGTGTTGCCCCAATTTCCTCCATACTCAGCCGCTACTCTTCTCTCTCCACCCTCACCCTCGTCCTGCACGCGTCGTCGTCTTCATCCTCTGGTTGCCCTAATCCTTCCTTTTCCTCCGACGCCGTCCTCCTCTCCCTCTCTGACTGCGCTTCCTCCCACCTCCCCCATCTCCGGCACCTGCGCCTTCTCGCCGGACCTGTGTCTACCTCCGTTCTCTCGGCTCTGCCCCTCTCGTCCCCTCTGCGGCGGCTGGCGTCCCTCCAGCTCTCCTCCCTCCGCCCCCTCTCCTTCCGATGGCTTCTCCAATTCCCCTTCCTCCGCGACCTCTCCATCCACGACTGCAGCAGCTTCTCGGCAGCGGCAGCGGCGGCGGCGCCGTCCTCGGCAGGAATCCTTGGAGGAATACCAAATCAGCAGATGACGAACGGAGAAGAAGAGGAAGAAGAAGAAGCGGAAGGGAAAGAGATCGCTCTGAATTACCTCTCCCTGGCCGGCATCCGCGCCGGCGACCACGGCGTCGGTTGGCTCTGGCGGCGCTGCCCCAACCTCCAGAGACTTCATCTCCGCAGCTGCGAGGGCACCGGCGACGGTCCGTCCTCCCGCTTCTTCGCCCTCTGCCTCCAAAATCTCCGGGAAGTCGAGCTTCGAACCTGCCGCGCCATCGCCGACACCGTCCTCCTCCTCATCGCCGACCACTGCCGATCCCTCTCCACCCTCGTCCTCTACGATGGCGGCAGCCGCGACGGCCTTCACCACTTCATCCGGCGGTGCGGCTCGGCCCTGCGAACCCTAGACCTTCGTCTCCCTCTTGACCTCGATAATGGCCACCTCGTTGCCTTCGGGGAAAACTTCCGGTCCTTGGCCTGCCTCAGGCTTCAGAGCTGCTGCCTGATCACCGGAGACGGGCTCCGGTCGCTCGCACGGGCGGCGGCAGGAGCCGCCATTGAAGAGCTGGTTCTGGTGAACTGCGACGTCGTGGAGAGGGAACCAGGGTTGTTGACCTTCCTAGGGCAGAGCCTCAGGAGGCTGAGGAAGCTCGACCTGTCGCACAACGAGCTGCTGCTGGACAAGGAGCTGGGGGCCATGCTGGCCTCCTGCGGCAACCTGGTAGAGATCAAGCTGAGGGGTTGCAAGGGCCTCACAGATGCCGTGATGCCCTCCATTTTCAGGTTCTGTGCTCTCCTGGAAGCCCTCGATGTCACCCGGTGCCAGGGGATCTCTGCAAAAGGTGTGGAGTTCCTGATCCTCAGCTCTCCGCGTCTGAGACAGATCCATGTCGAGGAGGCCAAGGTCTCTGAATCCGCCTACATCTGGGCTTCAAGGAGGATGATCCAGGTCTACTAAATACGCATAATGTCTGATTGGTGGGTATCTATGGAGAAGAAGAAGATAAGGAAGACTAGTAATAAAAAAAAGGTACAGCCCAGTTCTCTTTTCATCGTCTGTGTTCTTCAAATGGAGTAGAGGGAGGTAAACCTCTGCCCTGTATAGAAAGTTTGTTCTTCCTCTTAATGCGCAGGCCAAAGGCATCGAGTTTGAAGAGCTTGGAGCACTGTAATTGATTAAAATTCTCCTCCTTTTATCCTGTATGATTATGGCTACGATCTGCCCAAGTTCCCAGCTGTTCTTGGAGACGCTGTTGTTGATATTATTTATGAGATAATTATTTGAATTCACATCCCTTCCTTTTCCTCGTAGAAGGGGATTTTCCCCCCCAAATTCTAGGCGAGGAAGGGTTATATTCTTCAACTATCAATTGAAGTATTTGATTCTTTCTTGGAAATAATATTACTTGGTATTTTATTTAAGGAAAAGCTAGTATGAGTTATTGAATTGCCGACCCTCTGTGCCCACTGACCCATTGGAATGAATGGCTCAGGCCCTGTGTCATAATCTTTCCAGCGTATGAAGCATAAGTTCGTGACTCCATAAGTTGGATGATCAACGAGATAATTTATGAAGAAAATATCATCCGAGACGATCTTGTGAAAAGATTTCCGGATGGTACTCTAATAGAAGACCATTGTCTTGTGACCTACCTAGCATGTCTCAGCAACTTGTGGCACCTGTGCTTGTAGACTTTCTAATTGTAGCTAGGAATTTATCCCAGCATCCTACAAACTTTCTAATTGTAGCAACAAATTAATCCCAGGATCTGTTGTGTCTAGCCTTCGAAACTTTCTATTTTTGGAGTAAAAATCTATCTAACCATCTTCTCTTTGTTGAGATAATTTTGGACAGAAAACTGTCTAAGCAGCTGTCAGTACCTTGGGAGTTCTAGATCTTTCTAACCTTGGACTGAAACTTTTCTCAGAGGCCTATTAACTCCTAGGATTGTACTTCTTTGTTCATTTTTGGACAGAAATCCAACCCGTAATTAGATTCTACCCTGGCTTGAAGATCTTTCTATTTTTGGCAAACAATAATCTCAGCTATCAAGGCTCTCCGACTTTCTCATTGTGGACAGAAAATTATCTCAGTAACCTGTTGTACCCGGGCTTGTAAATCTTTCCATTTTTGCATTTAAGTGGAATGGTGGTCTCAATCGAAGGAAAAGATATATTCTGTACAGAAGTATATGGTTTTCAGCTGTTGTGATCCTCTGGCTAGCTGTAATTGTTTCAGATACATATTCCCATTAAAGTCAGCCCACTGAAGCCCTCTTCCAGGCCACAGAGAGAGAGAGAGAGAGAGAGAGAGAGAGAGAGATCTCAGGTGGTGAAGACGGGAGGGAACCACCAGTGCCTCTTCCCTTTGACAGGGGCTTTGGTGTCGGGGAAGGAACCCCCGTCATGGAGCCGACCATCAGGGGACACGGCCACCGGGTAGCTGACGAGGTGTACGCCGGCCATGTCCGCGGCGGCTTCCCCGCTGTAGCTCCTCCACGCTGCGTCGCCGACGTCGTTGAGCTCTCTCGCGCAGGCGGGGCCCTCCGGCTGGCGGAAGGCGTCCCGGACGGCGCCGGTGTGCTCGTACCAGAGCGACAGCCTGAAGTCCCGGATGTCCCCGGCGCTGCCACGTCTCGGCTGGTAGCATCCCACCGCGATCTCCGTGTCCCTTCCTCCGTCCATGGAGCGCTGGTTCACGTTGGCCGACCCCATCAGCAGGTACTCGTCGTCCACTGCGGAGCGCAACATACAGAAAGATCATAGATCAACAGATATATATATATATATACATATAGAGAGAGAGAGAGGGAGGGAGGGAGAGAGAGAGAGAGACGTGACAATGATCTTGGATCTTACCGATCATGAGCTTGGAGTGGACGTAGATCATGAACCTCCTGTTCCTCTGGGCGTTGTAGTACTGGCCCGGCCTCTGGGGAGGAGCGGCCGGAAGATGCTCCCCCTCTGGCGGCCGCGGCTCTCTTTTTGCCAGGCAGAAGAAGCTCAGATACTCCCTCGGGTGCTCCTTGATGCCCTTCTCCCTGATGGCCTCCCCCACCACGCTGTACATCATCGCCATGGTTCGCCTCTGCCAGTGCAGGATCTCCCCCACCGTCGCCGTCTCCGGCACCCCCTCCGGCCACATGGGCACCACCACGTACGCCGCAAACCTCTCCCCGGCCCTGATCTTGGCGGCGATCTTGAGGGCAATCTCCGCCGGCACCAGGTTCTCGCAGCCGCTCCCTCTGTCGCCCTCCCAGAGACTGGACCCTCCAAGGAAATACTGATTCTCAATGTATATGAACCTCTCCGCCCGCCGGATCGCCGAGACATAGGCCTCGTGGATGCTGTGCTCCGCCGTGCGCTGCTCCGGCAACCGCGTAGAGGACAGCCCGTCGATTGATCTGAACACCTGCACGTTCCAGTCGTCTTCCTCGCCTTCGGCGACCTCGCCGGCGGGAGCCTGGAAGCCCGGGAAGGCGTCGCGGGGAAGGAGGAGAGAAGGATCGGACTGCTTGGTCCAACGCTGCTCGAAGTTGGCCAGGACGTCGTATGCGGCGCTGCCGGTGAGCCGGCAATGGACGTCGTGCCAGGGTTCCCTGGGGCCACCATGGCGGCGCCCGGCGCCGGCGATGGATACCTGGTAGAATTCTCCGGCGTCGAGGTTACGGAAGAGCGAGTGTTCCTCGGTGTCGTAACGGCCGTCGTAGAGGTCGAGGCCTCCGACGAAGCTGACGATTTCTCTCCCCGAGTCGCCGTCCAGCCGCCGCGGGGAGTCGACGGAGATGGTCTTCTGGTGGTGGGCGAAGACTGTGGGAAAGTTGTGGTGGAGCCTGGGGAAGCGGCGGCAGACGACTCTGGTTTGGGCAAAGTATGTGAAGGAGTCCTCGTCGTGGGTCCTCATGAGGCCAGGGTTTCGGATGAGAGGGAGAGAGCTCTCGTCGTCCCACAGCATCAGCCTCACCGCCACGCCCTCATCGGCCTTGCGCTTCAGGAGTTCCCCCAGCTCCACTCCCACTGCATCGGGACGCTCTGTGTCTGGGTCTTGCACCTGGTCGGAGAAGAAGATACCAATAAAACCCTAAATACCCATACATATTGCATGCATATATGTATGTAGCGAGCGAGAGAGAGAGAGAGAGAGGATGATGGTAATAAATGAAGTTAATTACTCAACAGAAAAAATACATAGTCAATATATGCTAATGAAGAGTACTATGGGAAATTTACGCGGTTTCCTTGTCTCGGAAGAGATCACCACCATGAAAGTTTCTTCATAAAACCCTAATCGTTTACGGGACATCCTTGCCCCAGTGTGAAGGACTCAGTTTCTTGGCTTCCTAAGCCTGTCTCATCATTCTTCTTAACCCTAATCAGCTCTTGATTACTGTTTCATTGATTCTCGTTTCCAAAATATCAAGTTTTCCAAAAAAAATAATTATCGAAAATTACAGTTAGTTTCAGGACTCGTTTTTCTTCTAAACTCGCAACCAATTTTGGAGTTTTCATTTTCCAATCAATAATAAAATAAAAGCCTTTCATTTTTTTACCCAAAGAGATAATTTCACACTAATATTGACTATTTGCGTACTCTAATAATTCTCGATTTATGTAAATTAGGGAAATTGATGCGAACGGCGATATTCTTGATGAAAGTTTTCCATATAAGGTTGAAGAAAATTAGCTATATATGTCTAGATATATCCGATATGTTTGGGCACTAAAATATCCATGCATCTAGGCGGGTAATTATTTGGTAAGATAAGATAAACCACGCAATCATCTAAAGGAGGGGGGTGAACCGGGGCAAAGATCGCAAATTTTATGTAGGAAGAGTTGAGAGTCTCGGGAAAATACCAGCACGACACTGTGATTGAACGCCCACCCAGTGATGTAAATAATATGCTTGGCTCCATCTATGGCGGCGTAAATGTCCTCCCACAGCCTCCTCGCCCGTAGCCCCCGCCCCTGACCGTCGAGCAGGGGCGGCGCAAACCCCCGCCGGTGGTGCGCGTCCTGGTACAGTACAACGCCGCAGTTGTGTCTCTGTGGGAAAGTCACACCGTCATGGAGGCCCCCAAACTGGCCATCGCAGAGGCCCCTTCCCCAGAGCGGCTCCTGCTCTGCCGGCACGAACCGGAGGAGGAACCTCAGCCGCCGGCAGCGGCTCCGCTTCCCCCCCGCCGACAGCAGCGAGAATGAAGTCCCGTCGCAGGGCGGCTGGCCGTGGCCGAGCAGCCGGCTCGCCGGAATTCTGGCTCTGCCGACGACCCAGAACGTCGTCCTCACCGTTACCACCACCTCCGTCTCTGCAGGATGGGCGCAGAGGATCCTGAAGGTCTGGTTCCAGGTGGGATTCTTTTCCCTGGTCGTCTCCGCCATCGTCGTCGTCCCTAAGCTGATCGTCACGTAGACCCGATGGGTACACACAGTGTAGATTGCTGGCAGGGCGGCGTCGTTGATGACGGCCTCGAGAGTCCCATGAAGAAGAGGAGCAGCTCTCCCTCCCTCCATTGGCCTCCGGTCGAACCAGCCCAACGCAGTCCTCACCAAGACGAGAACAGTTGGCTTCGGAAAACAGACGCTGCCGCTGCAGCTTCTAACAATTGGAGTGCAAGGGAAGAGAGATAGTTAGATTTATAGAGAGCGATTGAGAGCGAGAGAGAGAGACTCATGAGATAAATAGAGAGATGGATAGAGAGAGAGAGAGAGAGAAGTTATTGGGTTCTTCTAATGGATCACCCTTCGCAGGGTAATGCCATCTGGGATACTTTGACTCCACCCTTCGCTAACGATTGCTTCATGAAAGAAACGGGCATTTCCAACATCCTCCTCTTCTTGCGTAAGACCACCAGCGTTCGAGCGCAAGTAATATTTTAAGGCCACTAAGTACTTGTGGAATCAGCCTATCAGAAATCGGTAGATCCTCAAAGCCTAGATTGCAATCTTCAAGGGATATTCTGCTACAAACTGATTTTAAAAGGATTTAAGTGAAATCATCCAAACCCCCGGAGTATTCAAACTCGCTTCTAATTCACAGGTCAGAAGCCCGTACGGCTACGGACCTCCGTTGACCACGAATGAAGATCAGGTTTCCTCCCGGAGGCGAAAGGTAGAGAGAGAGAAGGCCGTTGGCAATCGCTCTGCCGAGTCGTAACGGCATGGATCTTATGCGTGCGGGTATTAGACCACGTGACTGTGTTTAGAAGCAAACCCCTACCTTCCTTTGACCTTTTTCATATTAAAAAGGGTCAAACGATGTGGGAAGGGAGGAACCTTAACGTTGACCCGATATTAGAGTGGTATTTATCTGTGCTGATGGGCCAGTGAATCCTGGAACTAGGCCCAACTTTCTCGGGCTTCATTCTCGATATCTGGCCCAAAAGAGAAGTAGAGCATGGTACGTCTGGCCTGGTCTCATATCCATAGTATATTAGACCTACCGTAGGCCTCCTCTGGAGGCTCAAGTGCCATATTTATTTCCATATGGGCAATCTCTCTCTCTCTCTCTCTCTCTCTCTCTCTCTCTCTCTCTCTCTCTCTCTCTCTCTCTCTCTCTCTCTCTCTCTCTCTCTCTCTCTATCTATCTATCCGTGCACATGTATAGATATATACATATATGTCAATTACATGCCTCATTATTTTTAAGCTTGAAACATAAGTTGGGTTAAATAAACTATCAAAAAATAGGTCATAAATATGTTAGATTTTACATAGCAATATTAAAGAGTATTTAAACTCGATAAATACTCATTAATATCGTAAACATATTAAAAAAGGAAATTATTTGAATTTTGATGCATCATTCATTGCATTGTACGCCTCTTTAGATTATATTTTTAATGTGTGTATATGCCTCAGATCAATTTTCACCCAAAATCATTTTACTGAATTCAAGCATAAATATTGACAATTTTACAATTGAGTGAATTTCTCTAGCTCATTAATATTGTAAAAATCATAACAAATCAAAACCTTTTAATTTCAATCAATCATTTATTACATCACTCATTTAAATTATCTTTCCAATAAGTCTTGACTATGCTTTTGACACCAATTTATCTTTTTTTTACTCATTTCAAACGTAAAGATATTGATGATTTTATCCTTAGTGATTTTTTCTTCAATAGTTGGACCTTCCTCAATGATTCAACAACCCAAACTATCATTTCAATAATTCAACCTAATTTTACTATTGTGAAATTATCAAATGGCCCTTCCATTTATATTGTCATCATCAAAACAACTTTGGCTCCTAAAGGCTCTAATTCAATGTAAATTTAGGGGAAATACTATTTAACTACTATGGTTTATGCTTTAATATTTAGATTGATATGTGAGCATTCAACTACTACCTAGTCATATATATGTTGTTTTCTCAGTTATTCTTGGATTATTATTATTATTATTATCTGGAATGTGCTAGTTAGCAAATTTGGTCCAAACTACTTGCCCATGTGAAAATTTCTTGTAACCCATACATAATCTTGAGATTATCCCTCTGATCCTTGCTTACCAAATATCATACCTTTTAATCCCTCATACCAGCCAAAAATATGATAGCATGTTTTATAATTATTTATCAAAACATATAATTAGGCACATTTTCTGGTAAGATTTTGGGCTTGTTTTCGACTTTCATGAAGAAAACAAGCTTGTCGAGAAAGTGGGCTGGGCTGCCCTTGAGGAGCCCGGCCCAACTCGTTTTGTGGACTTTAGAGCGTGGGAGCTGAGGTTTCTCCACAGAAGAGTCTTTTTCTTAATATTTTATTTAAATGAGGGCCGGGCCGTAGTTATGGGCCAATGGACCGACCAGCCCAAAGACAAGTCCGGCCTGTAAGGTGAGCGGTAATCGGTTCGGATTGTGACCCAAGTGCTGCTGCGTATTGATCCGATTATTCCTCATATAACCCGAAATGGCTCAGCAGCTTGATCATTCAGCGATCACCTCTCGGCCGCCGATAACCCTCCCCCGTCCCCGGCGTTCCCTCCCGTCGCCGGTGCCCTTCTCTCTTCTTCTCTCGCTCTCCTTCTCTCTGGCTGTCATTCACTGAGAAGGGGCGGCGGCGCCTCCTATCATACTGCAGGAGGCTGCGGTGTCGCGACCCCTGCGCGTCCTGGGGGGATCACGGATCTGTCTGGGAGTGGCTGGTCGACGTATTCCGGGTAGCAATCGTACAGGAGCTCCGGGTGTCCTGTTGAGGGCTTAAATCTCACGACTAGTGGCTCAGGTTAAGGCCTTTGTCGCCCTCTCTGTGTCTTCTGGTTCCTATTTGTGTTTATTTCTTGTGATAACTTATGCCTTGTGATTTTTTCTGCTCGAGTTTTCTTGGATGTTTGAGATGTTGCTGTGATTGATTGTATTGGAGCACGATCCCGTTTTTCGGGATGATGCTTTCTTTTGTATGTCCTCCTCTGGTTTCTGAAATTGGAGTATCATTTTTCTTATATTTTTTCGTGCTCCGATAACATCAGTTTACACGTGCGTAGATGATGGATAGGTTTACTGAATTTATTAATTGACGACTATATTTTCAGTTGCATAGTTTGCTTGTGCTGGAAAAAGAGTTATTGTATTCATTGTCCCTCATTCTTTCCTTGCATAAGTTAGGGATGTAATTCAAATGGTTGCATTTGGTTATCCTGTTCCTCTCCTAGCTATGATACATTTCGACCGTTTCTCTCATTTTTCTGATTTCTGATCGTTTAGAACTGTTTGGTTCTTGCTACAGTTGATTAGGTACCTAGCTTTTACTTCCTGTAAACCCTAGCATGCTAATATGTTGCCGTTCTCGTTGCCTCTACTCTGATCATTGTTATTATTGTTTCGATTCTTTCAAACTGAGGGTTTGGGTGAGAATTTTATCTGTTACATCAGGCCTAGTAAGTGTCATTCTTATTTTGTGCTTGTATGCTGAATCTCACCCTTTCAAATTGCAGATGGATAAAAATGGTCCAACTTATGAAGACAGAGACCGTGGCCGGAACTATCGCAAGCAGCATCGTGAAGAAAGACAGCGACACGATGATGACGCCCTTGAGGATGGTCAAGATCTTGATTCTCGTCAGTCTAAGGCTCATAAACGCCGGGATGAGGAACGGCACCAACATAGGAGCAAAGAGTCTTCAAATGATCCAGAAAATCGACATGAGAGGTCTAAATCACATGAAAGAGGAAGCAGGAATTCAGTTGAGCGGGAGAGGTCTGAGAAGCTCAAAGACAAGGATCGACGACATCACCGCTCAACTCGGGATTCCCTGCACAATGTTGAGCCCCGTCGTGAGAGGTCCAATTCCTATGAGAGAGGGACAAGGGATTCAGCTGAGCGTGGCCATGTCTCTCGAGATGAAGCTGCTGAGCAACAATCATCTAGGAAGAGAAAGGAATACGAAGGAGGAAATGGGGATGTAACCAAGAAGCGAAGTAGGAATTTAGATGCTCCTAAGGAAGAAAAGAGGGAGGTAAAGAGAGAGAGGAGGCGATTTGAGGACCGAGCTGATGAAGACCTAAGCTATCTTAATGGTAATCATCAGGTAGGGAAAAGAGATGATCGGCAGATTGATGATAAATCAGAGGAGGTGAGGGATATGAGAGAAAGGAGGAAAGAACAAATTTATAAACATAGGGTGAAAGAAGAAGGGTTTAGTCATGCTGATGATAGAGGGGAGGAATTGAGAACAACTGACATGATCAAGGAAGAACGGATCAGTGATGGAGAGGACAGAATGCTCAGCCGGAAAGAAAGAACAAAAGAACAGAGCGTCAGGGACACTGGGAAGACACTTAAGTTTGGTGATAAACGACCAACGGATAGGGACAGAGAAGAACTAGAATTTCAAGATGTCAAACCTCAAGTTTCAGTTACTGGCTTCCCAAAGCTTGACATTGACCAGAAGACATTGGAAAGGAGGTCTTCCCTAACAGCGGTCAGTTTCTTATTTTCAGTTTTTTCCATTTTTTATGCCTTATTTATGATTTGATTGTTTCACGCTTCTCTTGTCTGCCCATATCTCAATTTCAACATGAAATTAATTAGCTCAGCCAACCTGTAGCTTCGTTCTAGTTGAAAAAATCATGTGTTTTCTTGCATTCTGATCCCTTTTAACCTCTATTTCTTGGCACACAAATTGTTTCTTGCTTAGAGAGATTAACCTTTCATAATTAAAACACCACCTTTTTTTAATATTTCTCAGACCCAAAAGCATTGATTGAAGTGTCGATGTTTGGGAATTCACTCATAATTTTTCCATGAATTTATACGTTGTGAATATTTTAAGTAATAGCCAATGTTTTGAAGCTGAACTTGGTGTTGATCTGTTCCCGTATGCCTTGGCATCACCTGGCCTTGTTGCCTAGTTGTAAGGTGATTGAACAACACCTTGGTTTCCTTTAAACCTTGTTTGTATTAATTTGCATGTGATGCGAATGATTCTGTTGCCATTTGTCTTGGTGAATAAGGTGGTATGTCTATTTAGGGTTTTCCGGTTTACAGAAACCCTAAAACCCGGCAGCCATGTTAGATAATGTGAGACGTTTCGACCAGATCAAGACACCATGCAGGTGACTTATAGAGCCTGAAGCAGGTACTCAGCACCTAGACAGTCCAGGTGGTGCCTTATTATAGCTATTTGGTTGCCTTGGCAATATGTAAAATCATGCGAGTAGCTCCATTTTTTTTTCCTTTTCACCGCTATTTCCCTTTTTTTAATCCTTTTTAAAAGATCAGCACCATGCAAAACTCTACAACATTATTATTATCCATATCTTTTGGTTTTCCTGTGTAATAGGTTCGAATGACATGTAACCCATAAGAAACAGAATAAAGAAGGGAAGACAACACCCGGAAATACAACGAAGCTAAGGTTCTGTCCCTCTAAAAAGATGATCGATGAAAAAGGAAAAAAAAACTAGAAGACCGATTCTTCTCTCTTCTTGATCAAATTCAGCAGGCAGGCTTGAAAATACAATGCAAAAAACATGAAAAACCCATGAAAATATGTCTGGATCAAATTTCATTATTTTGACTTATTAGATACATGAAAATACAACTTAAAATGAAAATACATTCCTTTAATACACGACCTAGGTCTGAAGATGTAAATCCTGTCACTAGTAATCTCTAGGTTACCAATTTCCACACGAATATTAATTTTTGAGTAGATTTTTTTTTTCCAACCATTCTCTGCTATGAAACTTTTTTTGGCCAAAAAGAATTTAGAATGAAAAATCCCTTTGTATTCCTTCTCTGTTGTATATTTTTTTTCTGAACTCTGTCGTTAAAGTGTGTTGAAAAATCATTACCCAGAAGAACATCGTCATTTGTTGCTGGGAATTCTGCTTAATGCAAATGTTTTTTTTTGACGCTCGAGAACTGTTCACAGGAGAAAATCTCTGGTTATTGACATTTCTCCAGTATATTTCTCTCGCTAAATAATCCTCAGGGAGTTACTGTCTTCTATTCTTCGAAACCATTTTGGGATTCCAATATCGTACATTAGTGCTTAAGTTCTGTGGTGGAAAATATTTGTCAGCCATCTGTTCTGTGAAACGTTCAGTTAATGAACAAGCCACTGTGTTCGAAGATGGGACGAAACACAGACTGATAGTAACTCAGTGGTTTCCTGCTAGTGGTATTTTTTTTTTTATTGGTTAGGAATTTTGGTGTTTGAATTGATGGCTGCCGGTTTGTTTTTTGTCCTTCAAGTGATTTTAATGATGCATGTTTTTTGAGACCTGGCTTGTGTGGTGCTCTATCTAATTACATCATCTTTCTGTTAGTTTTTTTTTAAATTCAGCAAATATTCCGCTAAATGTTATGTTGAACCAGAGTACTTTAATAATGTAGTGAAGACTTCAGTTTTTTTAATTATTGGGATTTTTTTGACTTTTTTGTGTCGAATGTATACTGCATCATTACCAGTATGGTTTGATCTTCTTGAGTGGACCACCCTTTTTAATTTTCCTGTATTTGTTTACCCTACAGACAGCGGTGGAGCAACTAGCAGTAGCTGGAGGGGATGTCTCCATTACTACTGTGGCCTCTAGTCATCCAAAACCACTTAAGGTGTCTACGATTTCCACCACCAATGAAAAAGATGGAGTTAATATTACCAGATCTGATGAGGTTCCTGGAAAATTTAGTGCAGATAAATCAGCAATTTCAGTGGCTGGTAAAAGTAGCAGTCTCTCTCTTGACGCTTTAGCTAAAGCTAAGAAGGCTTTACAGATGCAGAGGGAATTGTCAGAGAAGTTGAAGAAGATTCCACTGGTGAGACAGTATTCACTTATATTTTTATTTATTTTTATTTTCTAACATTTCTTGCGAAATGGCTTACATTTTAATCATGGTTTTCGAGTAAATATTTATTTATTTTCTCTCCATGGGTTTCAGTTGAATAAAATCCCCAGCTCTAGCTCAGGAACTGGTGCACCAGTGGGTTTAAAAAGTGGAGAGGAAGCATCATCACTTGTGGGACAGGGTATCTCTTCAGCATCCACAGCTGTTGCTCAGCCAGCATCAAGTGAAGCATCTGAGAGGCCACCTGCTAGCACAACTGTTCTGCCTGTGCTCACCACCATGCCTAATTATGAGGCTGTGAAACGGGCACAAGAACTAGCTGCTAGGATGGGATTCCATCATGATCCTCAGTTTGCTCCGCTCATAAATATGTTTCCTGGAACAGCAGCGGATGCCTCTGTACAACCGCAAAAGCCTTCTAAGGCTCCCGTGCTACGTTTAGATGCACTGGGCAGGGAAATAGATGAGCATGGAAATGTGATCAATATGCCTAAACCAACAAGTCTCAGCACTTTGAAGGTAAGTTCATGCATAATTCATCTCTTTGTTTCGTTTTCTACAGGTGTCACTCAGAGTTTTTCGATTTTACATCGAATGGCAGGTTAATATCAACAAACAGAAGAAAGAAGCATTTCAGATTCTTAAGCCCGATTTGGATGTTGACACTGAATCTCATCCTCACTTCGACGAAAGAATGGGTATTAATAAGGCAAAAATTTTAAGGCCAAAGAGGATGACTTTCCAATTTGTGGAGGAGGGGAAGTGGGCAAGGCAGGCGGAGATCATAAGATTCAAGGTATCCCATAGCTCGAATCTTATATTATTCTCATTATAGTTTTTGTGTTCATCTGAAGTAATTTTCCCTTCTCCAGAGTCAATTTGGAGAGGCACAAGCAAAGGAGCTGAAGATAAAGCAAACACAGCTTGCCAAAGCCAAGGCTGAGCCTGACATCAACCCAAATCTCATTGAGGTGTCCGAGAGAGTGGTCAAGCAAAAGCAGAAGGATCCCATTCCGGAAATCGAATGGTGGTACGTATTTGTTGGATGATGTTGTGAAAAGCTGAAAATTATTTATTCACTTGGTATTGAATAATCTTATTTTCAGGGATCGGCCAATCTTAATCTCTGGAACATACAGTGACAGCCCTGATGAGAAGTTGAACTTGGAAAAGATTAATATATACATAGAGCATCCACTCCCCATTGAGCCCCCTGCGGAGCCGGCTCCTCCACCTCCACAGCCCTTAAAGCTGACAAAGAAGGAGCAGAAGAAACTGAGGACACAGCGCCGGCTTGCCAAGGAAAGGGATAGGCAGGAGATGATTAGGCAAGGCCTGATCGAGCCTCCGAAGCCAAAGGTTAAGATGAGCAACCTGATGAAAGTTCTGGGCTCGGAAGCTACCCAGGATCCCACAAAGCTCGAAATGGAGATTCGCAGTGCGGCCGCAGAGAGAGAACAGGCCCATGTCGATAGAAACATTGCTCGCAAGCTCACTCCCGCAGAACGTCGTGAGAAGAAGGAAAGGAAGCTCTTCGAAGACCCATATACATTGGAGACAATCGTCTCTGTTTACAAGGTCAACCACCTTGCACATCCTAAAGCCCGCTTCCAGGTCGATGTGAATGCCCAAGAGAACCACATGACCGGCTGTGCTGTAATATCGGAAGGCATATGCGTGATTGTTGTGGAAGGGGGTAAAAAATCCAACAAGAGGTACAAGAATTTGATGCTGAAGCGGATCGACTGGGCCGCTGCCGTGGGTGATGAGGACGAGGGGTCCGATGCCCTTGAGACCCCGGATAACAAGTGTCTGTTGGTGTGGCAAGGGAGCGTTGTGAGACCCAGCTTCAACAGATTCTTCGTCCACCAATGCAGGACAGAAACTGCTGCGCGTAAAGTATTCGCCGATGCTGGGGTCGAACATTACTGGGATTTAGCTGCTAACTATTCGGAGGAAGTTATGTGATATGCAAAACTGAAGGTTGCTTTGGCGTCAACAAATTTTGTAAGTGGTACCTTCTGCTTTGCTTATTTTATTCAAATGATTGATAATCAGATATCATCTTGGACTTTCTAATTGTACTTTTTAAGTAGATATAAATGTCGGAGTTTCAGTTCCTGGTCAATATTATTGCGTAAATCGTGCTGCTTTTGGACAGTGTTGGGACTGGATAGTCTGATCTTATGTCTCGGCAGGGAAAGATTTGACTTTGAAAACCCATGCTCGTTTTGACTTTTTGTTCTATCTCTCCGGTGATGCTCATCTTACCCATCTCCTCCGCTAGGAAAATATTTTGATAATCTAGAAGGAACCAGGTGAGAATGAGGAAGTCAATCTCCATATTTAATGAAAAAAATGTGGTGCCATCTACTTCCAAGGAAAACGGAAGGCCAATTCCTCGCTGCATTATTATTATATGTACCCTCTCCGCCCATATGTTATAACTTTCTCCCTATTTTTTTTTCCCCGCGTGATTTTTTTTCATAGTAATTGCGGCGTTTCCAGAGCGATGACATTAATAAATTATAAGCTTTTGTAAAAATAAATAAATAAAGAGTACAGTGCCTCGTCATTTGATGTTTTGTGCCCATCTTTTTCTAATATTTCAATGATAATAAAGTCAAGCTAGCCTTTCAAGTCTATCAAGGGGATTACTTGACAAGTTTTTAGTTGAAATGTTAAATTTCTTTCTTAGAAATTTGCCCCAAAATCCGTGGAATCCTGTCCCTTGGATCTTGGATCTTGTTTCATCTTTCCGAAGGTGGCATTTCCTGGGTCGGTGTTAGAGAGCATCGTTGACATTACTCTGCCTTTTTTTTATTTCAAAAAATAAATCAAGAGCCTTTTATGGAAGCAGCTATAAATTTCTTAAACAAATTTTGTGGCTGAACCACTGTTTGCCCCTTGAAGTTGTGAGTATTTTCTCACTGATCTGCGTTTTCAGATCCGTATAAATTTCGTTGGGTCTCCCTCCCTCTCTCTGTTCTCGGCTATGCTCTTCGAGCACTCCCCATCATCACTCTTTCTGTAAATATCTGCCCTCCTCTCTCTCTCTCTCTCTCTCTCGCTTCTCTCTCTTCTCTCTCATCTCCCCATCATCACTCTTTATGCGTTCCCCTTGCTTCTAATCTGGCGGCGGGGATGAACCTTTTTTAACCGACGCAACTGGTTCATCGATTGTCGTCTTGGGCTCTCCCTGTTAAGGTGGGTGTGATCCGCTATTGGACCTGGCTGATTCAATCTCGTCTACTGATAAGAAAAACGACGTCTGGTCGTTTTTTTTATTTTTAAATTCAACGAAATGACCTATTTTTCATGTTTTTAATTCGGTATCTCTCTCCGGCTTTTAATTAGTACTAATTTTTCAGATTAATGACGATATCTCCTGCTAAACAGTTGGGGATTTCTGGACATGAATCCCCCCCCTCTTCAGAGTTTGATCGAGCAGCTCGGATTATTATTATTATTATTATTATTATTATTATTATTATTATTATTCTGCTTTGTTCTTCTGGCGCGAGATCTTTTTGATTGGAACGCTGACATAGAACAGTATCCATCCAAGCAACGTGCGCATGATTTTTCTTACAGGCGGAAGCAATGGTCTGCCCCCTTCTAATCAGGCAAACTTGCAGGGTCTAAAGTCAACCCAGGAGGGTGGGCACGGGTAGGGAGCTCGAGAGGGACGGTCGCCGCGCCAATGAAGGAAAGACTTCAAGCTTTCTCCCTCCTCTGCAAGGTAAAAGTCAACTATCTGTGCCCAGTCAGTGTAAACAAGTACGGTTGGACGATGAATTCTCTCCGGATGGCCGTCTCAATTGAAATCTGTTGACTTGCGCATCTTTGTCTGACTGACGACCTGGTTGGTTTGTGATCATCTTGCTGTTGACTATCTTGAGATTCGTAGATTTTTTCTGGCCCTCTTCTGGATTCTTTTCTCAGGCTCATTGCAAGAGAGAGAAAGAGAGATTTTTTCTTTCAAGAACGCATCTATGTGACTGATGAAATCCTCGGGCTTTCTCTGTTCCTCTTACAAGGCACTTCGCGAGAGAGACATTTAGAGAGAGAAACAGGTCGATTTTATTTCTTTGGTGGCGGGCTCTCCGTAGCCGTTTAAATATTACATCATCCTCCGCCTCACAAAAAAAATAAAAGACGAGGGCGGCGGCGGGAGGGAGAGGAGGCGTATATGTACAGTATCCACTCCCTCTCCCCCGGCCGACTTGGCCAGGTGGGAAACCGAAGAACCACAACCACCGGAGATGGATGGATGGATTTGCTGGGTTGGTATGGAGGGGAGGTTCCACTTCTAGTCGCCATCATGGGGCAGGTTCCTTGCCCCCTTCCTGAATGCGCCCAAAATCATGTCCGATTACTTCTCCCACCCGTTCTTGTCCCGTCGCTGGAACACCAGAAAAAGGAAAAGATTTCTCTGATCAGCAGCGGAAGAACAAAAACAGGTTGACCCAGAAGAGTAAATCCGGCTTCAGAAAACGGAGCATGAGAAATAGCTCTGATTTGTCGGGTGTCGATTCAAAGAGGTTGGCTCATTTCATTGGAGCAATGGAGGATTATGATTGAGAGACTATTTCAGAGGAATGATCCAGAAGAGCAGCCTGGCTCCATGGAAGGAGAGCATCAATCATGAATATAGCTGATTTCCGTGATGTTGATTCTAGGCTCCCAAACAAATCCGCAGGGGGTAAATGCGTTGATAGAGATCATGAAGCATCATCGTCCATTAGATCAATGTAAGCACATGAATGGTAAGTTGATCAGACCAAGGGAGAGCCAATATAAGAAGACTGACAAGAGGAAAGACCCAGCACGGTCAACCTGCTGCTATGGGAGAATAAATTTTAATAATAATAATAATAATATATATATAAAAAAGCTCACGTGTGAGAAGTTCTAGAGGAAATGCATCCGAAGCGTTATCAACTTAAACAATGCAACAATAAGAAAAACTACAGGAAGAGTCAGATAATGCAACCCACCTCCCCATTCGGTTGAAGATCGCTGAGGAGTAACATGAACCGCCCTAGTTTGCATCAGGGAGCTACTTCTGCTTATGATGTCTGTACTTTGATGATGATGGTGATCACCAGTTAGCCTGTTGTTTGAAAAACTTCCAGCGGAACCCGCAGTAGCGTGGAAACCCACCGAAGGAGATTCCTCGGTTCCTACAGGAAAATGAGTTGATAAGCTGCTCACAGCTTTGCTGGTGTTTGCCACTGCATCAAGGTCCCTGTGGGCGTCAATCACAAAAGAACCAGCGAACACCTGCATCAATTGAATCATGGGCTTTAAAATGCTTGGAAAAGGGGAAGGGGGGGGGGGGGCAGGGTGGGCAAGGTATCCTTAGAAGACTGTGAATCACCTGCACAGTAGTGGCGGCAACTAGTGGGCCACCAATGCCGCCCCCAACAAGGAAGCCTTCCTCAGAGAGGCACACACTCAGAGCACCGGTTCTTGCAGATGCTCCTCCATTTTCGGATATAAGGAAGGACCCAGAGAGTGAAAGAATATCGAAATTTCCCTGAACAGAATCAGCAGGGAGGGAAGGCACGATGTGGAATGAAGTTAGTTTCTGTGGGTTTGCCAGCAAATGCTGATTTGGAGAAGTCTAAAAAGGGAAAATACTGGATAAAATCTCACTGTCTAGCTCAGTGAATAGAGAGAGAAAACGAAACATTACACACACAGAGCAGACAACCATCAGTATCGAACTAATTTAGCTACAGTGACTGGCAGACAAATAGGGATGAACTTATTTGGCACTTGGAAAGCGTTATTATGTTTTTTTCAAAAGAACATGAATTTGAATAAAAGGGGACCAAAAATGCTCTGCAAAGCAGAATTTTGACCATAAACATGATTAATCCTATCTGGAACAAAGTTGACTTTATTCTATGGAGGGCGCGGGCATCCTGAAACCTGCTTTTTCATTACACGATTATGGGTTTAAGTTCGCCAACACAGAAAGGAGGTGTTCAGGAAAAAAAAGGCAAACATGGTCTAATTATTAATTGGACCATTTGAAATGAGAGGAACAACAAGATATGTAGACTTTGGAGATATTCAGTAGCAATCCCAGTCATTTTTCTATGTTCTCAATTGAGGGAACGTTTTCCAAGTTTTGGCAGCAAAAGGTTTCTACTCCATGATCTTTAGGGAATTGCAGTCCCAGCCCTAAATTTATCTCACAGCAGGTGAGACAGTTGATTCTGGAAGTTGTACTGGAGCCCATGATTGTGCTCGACTCCAACCTGGGGTGAGCACAGGGATGACCCGTAAGAGCCCGAGGCGCATGGCAAATAAGCCATAAGGCAGAACATGCCTAGGGTTTTAGAACTTTGCCCTTATGGTGCCTGATCCCATAGGGCGGGCACAACACAACATCTCGGGCTGTAGCAGGGGCTTCACTTTTTGAGGCACGTTCCCTAGAACAACTGGGCTACGGCCAGTGGGGAGGTAGAAACTTTTAAAATGTAAATATCAATATGCAGAAAGTGAATGTAAACAGACATATTATTGCATATGTCCGCGAATCATGGGAGCAAGCATGGTATAAACTCAATACAACAGAAAATTCTGATCGAGAAAAAAAAAACCTCAAAGTATGCCCAAATTCATTATATTCATTCACTATACCTTCTCATCGAAACACAACCCGAAATGGCTATTGTAATATGTTGGTTTCTCACTGTTTGAGCACAACAGAAATAATTCATGACATCGGTTCGCCAGAAATCTAATCTTCATGGTTTGCAGGTTAACTTAACGTCTGTTATAAAGGAGAATTAGGATATTCTTAAATTCCAATAATGAAAGAACCAACGTATATACCTTATAAGTCATTTGGCCCCCGGCCACGGCTGGCTGGCGAAGTGTGACGTTAGCTATTGTTCCAGAAGCTGAAATAATGCAAACTGCTCGGTTTTGTTTTTGCACAAACGACATGATTCGTTGGACCACGTCCTACAGAATGGAGAAACATATGATGGATAACAAGGCCTATTCAAGTGTAATATTGTTGGAGACGTAGTCGATAGGAAAAACAAACTAAGAAGACTGCCAAAATGAAATACAGAGAGCACAAGCTGCACTTCAGATAACCGCGACCAGATGAACATTCAAGAGAACATATTCTTTTTGTCATGTAATAAAGTAAATACATTTGTTGACTCCACGTAGGACTGTAAGTTTGGGCTAGCAATGTCCACGTTACTGGACACATTCTAGTTCGATAGATGCTTTACTATGAGTTCGCTAAGCTTCACCATTCAATTCCCACTGGTTACATAATGGTGCTGAATTTGTGCAAAAAAAAATCATTTCAAGAGAGAAAAGCACCATTAAACGAGCATGAAATGGACGATTTATGAACATTAAACAGTCATCAAAGAGTACAAAAAGGCCCCATGGTTTCGTGAACCCATTCAGAAGTTATTCAATGAGAGCCTGTTTACCTGTCTACTGTTATGAGGGATCCAATTCTATTCCAGACCCATTAGCTTTACTGGAACATAATACTCTGGATTCTAACTAGGGAGCTAGAGAGAACTTCATACCACCCAGTTTGGCTTTCTCAGCACCACCAAAATACCCTTGTAACCAGCATGAGCTGATCATCGGTATAAACCATAACTGAAAGATATAATCACCGATCTATAACAGGTTATTTGGTCTCGATACCCAAAATGGGAACAGAAAGAATAGCTCTTCACTGGTGAATTAAAGTAAAACCGGTGATTTAGTCTGTGCTGTGTGATGGCTAACTCGTTCTAAGTGCCAATCTATACGTATTCGATCTTAAAGTAGTCCCCAGAAAAAGATTATACACAGACGTGTTCGAAGTGCCGCAACACGAGGGTAAATGGGATTTTTGATGATCTACATCTTGAAATTTCAGTTGACCAGGGGTTAGAAGACGGTAGCATATGAAAAGATCAACACATAACAAAGTAAATGGTCGATCAATTTCTCTGCATTTGCCATGGGTACACATCATTGTTAAGAGCACAGCAGAAGTATCCTCTATTACAGAGAACACAACCCCAGAGATTGGTATAATCTTTCAGGTTTTAACTGCCAACAAAAGTGGATAAACCCTTTAACATAGGCGTTGACCCTCGTGAGTGTTATTTCTCATTTATTTTCAAAGGACGCATCTAATGCCAATTTTATTCAGACTAATCCTAGTCAATCACAGGATCTATCTAAATGTAAGAAATATTGATGTCATGGGGAACAAGCATGGAACAGAGTCACCTCACATATCATTCAGCTGAAGTTCCTCATCATAAACCTACAATTTTCCAGTATAGTTATGCGGTTAGAGAATTTAAGATCTGTGATTGAACACAGATAGTCAAGCCCACCTTAATCGTACTTCTCTCTCTTTCTCACTTGTTTTCCACTCTAGCCTGGAACTTATAACTTCCTATTCAATGCTATCTAAAAGCAATTTATCATGAATATCTTGTTTTCTAACTGTAGTATTTATCAATTTCCACTCTAGCGGTTTTCTTCCTATCAGTGTGAGTATAAACAGCAGTGCAATCCACCCTCTACCCAAATTCAACCGAACACAATCCCCCAAGTAGTCCATTGACCTTTTTCTATCATACAAGAGGGCAATATAGTATTTACAAAGTTAAGTCCCATCATAGTAATGTTCTAACACATAGCATTATATCCAATTATGGTTGGCGAACTAAAATTCAATTTCAAGATTTTACTTTTATTATCCAACTCCTGATTGCAAGCAATTAGCTATCCATCTTCAAGAACGACCAATTACTTCATTATTTATGGGTATCTTGGCCATTAACCTATTTGTATAGGCAGATCGAGAACCACTCGCAAAGAGTACTAGAAAAAATGATTCTACAGGATAGTCATCCAATAAAACTGAAGGCATAGTCAGAGCTGGAACCACCAATTTTAACCAAGGTCAAGTCATGAAGCTTGAGCACATCACTTAACATAAATTCCAAAGAATGTATGCCTGCTTTAATACGATTGAAAAAACCGCCACTGACAGAAACAACTGCACGTCATATGCAACTGGGTATAAAGTTAAATAATAAGAGGGTAATAGCAAACAAAAACTGACTTAGAGAGATCTAAGGACCGAAAATGAAGATTCTATCTACCATCAGGGCGTTGGCGTATTCTAATAGGGTTATTTGCAAATTACCTCCAAATAGGCTGATTTACTAACCACTTTTTTGAAAATCAATTTTCAGGTGGAAGCCATGAATCCCAGACTCACTCCTAAACACATTACAAGAAAGGAGTAGCATAGAGATGCTGCCACATAGGGCCCCAATCTTAAGCTTCGAGTAAATGGGAGAACCTTCAAAGAAATTCGAATGCCACCTACGAGAGGATAAGACATAGGCTCCTCGGAAATGCTTATATGAACATGATTGGCACCCATTTTAATATGCAAACAACCTGCAAATATTAACATCGTGAGCTAAAATTATCAAAGATCAGAGGCGCACTTCTCCAGCTGCAACTGTAAGAAAATGTGGCGTGAAGCTTTGGACGCCTTTACCTGCAGCAAGTAGCTCGAGTTACAACACATTTATACCGCAAGAATTCAAATCTCAACTGACTGTCTACGGAGGTCAAGTTGACTAATGTACAATCTTTTTCCGGGCAATTTTATTGGATTCTACCACATTAACCAAATTGAGATTAAGGTTATGACTAATTGTTTATTTGCCTCCATTTCTCCATGAGAGTATTTACCGAATAAAATAAGAACTAAAACGAATGATTTGACCGAGCACTATAAAATCATAGAAATAATATTCACGTTACCAATCTACATGAATGACTTACATAGTCATCACCAAGTTAAATCAAAATAAACAAAATCAAAATTTTAATTCCAAAACTGGTTAAACACAGAAATTTTAATAAATTAAATAATAATTTTTTGTGAAAAACCCCAAAAACTGCTTGGCAAAATGATTACTAAGAATCAGCAAATACAGATTCCAAAAATAACCATGAAAAAACCCGAGGAGAAACTTTAACTGATTTTATGCTAATAATATTATAATATAGCTATGAATATATATTCATTTGTAATTTTAAAATATAATAAAAATCATTTGATAACTAATGTATGGTAATAAAACAGTTCGATAGGAATCAAATATAGCCATAAAATAAATAAAACATGTAGCCAGACTATGTATTAGTAAAGATTTCATATTGACTATTTGTGAATGAGCAGCTTATCATGATAGCCTCAATACCTTAGTGTTTACATTGCTTCATGATCTAGAATTTGCAGTTGGACCACCATGATTTTTTTTCACTCCACAAATGAGCAGGCTACTTAAGCGACCTGGATGCTTTACGTGTTCAGGCTATTAAAACTAAGACCAAATGATCAGGGGAAGAAAGTCTCCCACAGGAGGATTTTGACAGCTTCGTTGGTAAAGGGGAAATGGTTTTCCAAATCGAATAAACTTAATAACCCATGGCAAAAACGATACTAGGATCTTGAATTATCATGAAAAGATGGCAATATTATTCACCAAAAGGTAGAGACCTCACACCAGTTGCCCTCCAACACCAGCTCTGTGGCAATCACAGACAGATCTGAATAAGCAAAATATCCATCCACAACCTTTGTCTATTGCAATGATATGCAACAAAATGTTCCATAATCTGCTTCATTTGTAATATGTCAACTTAACTAATACCAGCCAAAGACTCTCATTCATGGTCAGTAATTTTCTTAGTCAGCTAAGCAAAATCAAATAGGAACATGAATAATTTGGGACAGAGAGCCACTGGTCTCTTGATGGTTAAATATTTTTCTTCAATTAGTCATACTATCCACAAGACTTGTTGCCACTACATGGCAAATGAATCCGCAATGAATTTCTTGCTGCCACTATATTGGGAATCCTGAGGATAGAAAGATAAATTGACCGGCAATATTGGCATCACAAATTTACATCAAGTAATTCTCCTCTGTAGGAAAGAAGCTTTCGTTGCCCATCGACTATTCTACTTTCAACTTTAGCACAATCTTCAACTGAGCCACATTGTTTAGGGTTCCCATTGTAAGTGGCATCCTTGATTAGGATAATTTAAGTCACATTAAGCAAGGACATCCATAGGATTTCAACGGGGATGGCATGACAAAAAGACGGCCCTAACATGAGGTTGCATTACGCAGCAAGACAACAGAACTGCCTTGGTCACCATAAAGGTCTCTGGACATCACAGAGGATCGAACCCAGGCAGCACAACATTTCTGGCAGCTCATTGTCACAATTCTCAAAGATTCTTGCCCTATAACATATCAATCTTGAGGAAATTTCTGCATTAACCTGGGTAAAGTTTGCTCCCATCTTCAAAAGATTAGTCACTAATGATGTTAATACTTTAGAATCTTGTAACATTTTTTTCTTAGCTTTGTGTCTTCTACCATTCTTTTCCTCGTTATATCTCCTCATTAGTTCTGGACGATTGAAATTTTGCCTACACAAAAAGAGAAAAAAATGGCTATTTGTCTCTGATACTACTCTTTAATCTTCACCAAAGGTAACTTAAAAAGACATTCCTTTTTCGTAAAACATGAATAGTATTACGTAAGAAACAATGTGGATAGGAAGCACTTTCCTTCAACTTTGATAAATCACCATAATCTTCGGTAAACACATGAAATTAGAGAACATTGGACCAATCAGTAGATCAGACTCTTAGAAACGAATGCAGTTTTCATTCCGGAATGTTGAACTAAGCTTGACTATCCAGTCAAGTTCACGGCAACTAGAACACAACCTCCACAGAAATGCGGCAAACTTCTAGCAGGGCCAACATACTGGGCTGTGGGTTCAGGAAGGATTTAAAAAAGGTAAGAAAGCATTTTTATAATGCTTCATACGTGCAAACAGAATGGCACACCACAGAGCTGTTGCAGAAGGAAATATTCTGCAATGTCTTTCACATTCTCCCCAGAAAGTAAGAGTTCCAACAGAAGAGCGTTCCTGAACAGCGAACTTAGGGAGATGAACAGGCTTGCACACTGAAAAAACTAGTATGACCAACTATTCTAGTCAAGGCAACCATGAAGATCGCACCATTTTATTGCACCTTAAATTTGAGGCAGCGGAGGTACAAGTAAAGTATCTCGTATTGCCTTGGATCCACCAATTATTTCTAACCTAATTTAAATAGTTAGAACTGGAATTACCTAGGGGAATGCAACTCTAAGTGGTTGTTTATCCCCCAAAAATCTGCCCTCCTCTCCTAGCAAACCAATCCATTCTCCAGGACTTGTTGTAAGGCAATATGATTCTATGGCATTCCCAATCTGCAGTAGAATCTCAATTCGTCAGGCCTTTGCAGGCTTCTCCAACTATCATTGAGCCTCTTACTCTACTTGTGTTCTCTCTACTTTTGTTTCAAGCTCCACTTTCTGGTTCAGGGCATTCCAAGATTTGATATACATTTATTTCACATAATTAGTTATCAATCTCGTTTAACATTGGGACTAATTTTCATTCCGTTTTTTAGAAACATGCGCAATTTTATTATATGAGTCGTAAATAATGATGTCGACATGTACATATTTGCATCTTAATTATTCATCGTCAATTAGTATAATCAAAAGTCGAGCTTTTACGACCAGGGGTGTCATACTACGAAGGGATTCCAAAATGACCAACTTCTCAATGGAAATGTTATCATCAATTTTTACGAGTATCAATACGCAGACGCACAGGGCAGTGAAACTCAAATCGGAGGGTAGAAGCGTTGCTTTACTCTTCGAAATCACGTAATTCAGAAACAAGGAAATCAGACTAGGAGCATAGATAACATGGAAAATCCATTAGTATTCGTTCTATTGCTCTTGAATGATTCAAGCGGCCATGGTACCGGCAGATAACCGCAAAATAAAAAGAACGGGGCATGTTCACCTAGAAACTCATCCTGTGATCTTCTGCGAGGAGGAGCTTGCGGCGGAGGCGAAGAGGAGGCAAGCGTTAGAGACGTAGATGAAGAAGGCTTCGCACTGAAACTGAGAGGGGAGAATGACAGGGAGACAGAGACAGCCGGAGATACTGAGGACGCAAGATGATGCGACGATGAAGGCAACGGCGGTCCATACTTCCTCGGCCTCCCTCTTTTCCTCCGCACAGGCTCCACCGCCGGAGCGGGAGCCCTCCCTCCGGCAGCCGCCGCTGCCATCGGGGACTGTGGGAATAGCAAGGGGTTCACCGCTCCTTCTCTGCCTGCAGAGGCAGCCGGCGAAGGCGAGGAGAACGCCCTACCGACGGCGTCGCCGCTGTCGACCCCGCCCTGGTGGCGGCCGAAGGGGCTGAGGGGGTGGGCGTAGTAGTAGGGGAAGCCATTCCCGCTTCCCTCCATTGGAGAGCGAAGAGAGAGGAGTGATGGAGGGAAAGTCAGGAGGCGGGGAGATGTGGGATTTGGGACCCCAGCATTTCCCACCTTTTCCCTATTTTCTTTATTTTTTTCAAATATTTCATAACACATCACAACCGTATATGACGATGTCGGTAGATCGGACGGTGGGTGTATCCACTCGTTAACGGAAGGGCTTCTCCCGGGTATCCTGTTCCTCTTCGCTGTGCACCCTCCGCGTGCGCGCCAGTGCGGGAAAGACACTACGGAAGACGACAAAAATTCGTTTGACCCAGCTGGTGAGTAGCGCCAGCCGGCCCAATTACTACAAAAGTAACTCTGCTTGACGAGAAAAAGTCGTCAGAAAATCACGAGTAAAACTATGAAACGTTTCCTAATCGGGAAAGTTTATATCACTGTCATTAATTAAATGGTTGATATCTTGTTAGATGAGTACGAATTCTAGTTAGTCATTGCATTGATGCGTGGTATTATATGCCAGCTTCACTCCCAACTATATATAGTTTTAAAATATCCAATAATTAACAGTAATAAGGGACATGGTTGTGGAAAAAATAATCATATTCTATATATTTTCTCTTTTATTCGTGCCACTGAGAATAATCTCATGATAGAACTTTGTAGGGCATTAAATTATCATATAATATCAGGGCATTTTCATAGCCACACTTCAAAAACAGTGTCTTTAGGTGGACATGCACGCGATAAGCCATAACTTTGTTGAAGCATAACCCGAGATGGAACGGAAGGAAGACACAAACATTACGGAAACTGTTCTAGGGCAGGGGAACGTTGTCTTTCCCTCTCAACCTGTCCACGGCTTCCTCCAGCTCGGCGTTCCGGGTCATCTCCCTGTGCAGCTGGTCGTTCATCTCCTGCACCGTCTGTTCCAGGGATTGGACGAGCCCCGCCAGCTGCTGCCCCCTCTTCTCCTCCGCTGCGACCTCCGCTGCGACCTCCGCTCGGCCGTCGGCGCCGCCGCAGGTCGCGAGGATGTCCATCACCATCCCCCTCTGAAAATCCAAGCTGCCCAACAGAGAAACGAGGCTGGGAACCAGAGACTCCTTTACTTCCAACTGAGGCGGAGCGGAGGGGTCGCCGGTTTTGCAGAGGGCCTGCCCTTCTCCGTTCTCGCGGCTTTCTTCGGCGGGGTAGACCGGGTCCAGCTCGAAGACGTCTTCGTTGAAGTTCCACCCGCTTATGCGGCGGCTCTTGACGAGGGAAGACGGTGGCAGCGGATAGATCTCGTCGGAATCGTCAAAGCCCCCTCCTTCAAACCTTTCTTCCAAGGAAGGCACCGCATGGAGGACGCTCCTCACGAGGTGGTCTGTGGGCTTGCACCCTTTGAAGAAGGGGTGGCGGAGGAGCTTGTCGGCGGAGGGCCTACGAGAGGGGACCTGCGACAGGCACGCCGTAACCATCTCCTTGAAGGCCTTGGAGAACTTCTTCTTCTTCTTCTTCTTGCCCTCGGCGTCCTCAGCGGCGTCCTCGATCCGAAGGCGGCTGGTGACGCGCATCAGCAGCGACTTGGAGGGCGACAGGTGGGAGAGCGGTGGCCTGCCGTGGGCCAGCTCCAGCGCCGTGATCCCGAAGGACCAGATGTCGGCTTTGATGCCGTAGCCGACGTGGGAGTGGATGACCTCCGGTGCCATCCAGTAGGGCGTCCCCGCCATCTCCCTGAAGCAGGAAGATGAGGAGGAGGAAGACGAGTAGGAGGCATGGGATTCGTAGATGGAGGCGGATACTCCGAAGTCGGCGAGCTTGACGGAGCCGTCGGAGTCGACGAGTATGTTGCCGGCCTTGATATCCCGGTGGATATGGCCCTGGTCGTGGAGGTACGAGAGCGCCTGCACACCAAACAATAGAATTTAAAGGGTGGCTAAGTTCCAATGTCATGGATTATTCTTTTATCGGATGGTAGTAACTGTCTCAGTGGCCTCGTCTGAAGCAAGACCTGTAAAATTCAGACTCTGAGGATGGTTCGGAAATCGTCTGTGAAGTGTGGGCCCACACCTTCGATGAAGGCCAACCTTGTTCATGGCTCTCCTAGGCACTAGCATAAATTGCCCAAATTGCACCGGTTGATATCATTGATTGTGAAGAAGATGTGTAAATATTGATGCTAGAATCATCACTTTCTATTTTTGGGGTTGTTTTTTAAGAAATAATTATCTATAGAACACCATTTCTTAAAAATATTGCGATTTTTTTCTTAATGAATCATTTGATGTGGAACTCACAAAGTGGAACTTGTAAAGGACGATTTTCTTTCTTCTAGTCTAGAACATGAAAGAGATTCACATCGGTTTAACAACTACAACAGAATAATTCTGTTTAACACATCAAATTCTTTGAACATAACACTTTAAACAGATAATAAATTTTTACGCAAATGGCGCTTTTAGCTCGATCCTGATTGTGAGTAATCGTGGCCGCACCTGAAGGGTCTCCCGAAGGACGACGGCAATAGACGGCTCGGGGAGGCCGTCGGGGAAGGAAGAGGAGATGATGGAGTGGAGAGAGCCCGCGGCCATGAACGGCATCACCACCCAGAGGTGGCTGCCGACGGTGAAGGAGCAGTGGGCAGTGAGGACGTTCGGATGAGAGAGGAGGGCCATGGCCTTCGCCTCCCGGCGAACGTTGTCGAGGTTGGCTCGCGACCGCTCCAGGTCGATGGCCTTGATGGCCACCACGGCGGCGTCCAGCGGCAGGCAGGCCGCCTTATACACGACGGCGCTCACGCCGCTGCCTATCTCGTGCAGCAGCTTGTACGCCCGCGCGTCCAGAGGGTACGAAGCGTCTCTCTGCGTCCTCTGCGCCGCCGGTTGCACCGTCGACTTCACTACCGCACCCATCGATGCCAGCGGGTTTGCGACTAGCTTCGTCTTTGGCCGTGGGATTGGGGGCGATACCTGCCGGCAAAGTTGTCGTGAGGGTAATATGGAAGGATATGCAGCTGGGGCTGTAGGAAGTTGGATGTGTGGAGGCAGATGCCTTCATGTGAAAATGGAGGGATTCACGTGAACATTTTAATGACACTCTCTTTCTCTCTCTCTTTCTCAAGCATCCTCTCACCGTCGCATTATTTGTTATATTATTATATTTTAGGTTTGTTAATAGTGCATAAATGATAATATAGAACATGTTTGCTATGGGAACTAGAAGTATCGCCTTCTTTATGAAATCTTCAGTGCATGAAACTCATCTCACTATGCACCTCTATTGAGAAAATTCGCACAGCAGTAGAGTTCATTGTACCAATAAAATACAGTCTATAAGTTATTTGATAAAGTTGATATCCAGTTGCTGAAATGTTGCTTTCCACCTGAGGAAACATATGCTAGTAAATAATTTATCTGGTGGTCAAAGTTGAGTACCACTATGTGAAGTTAAAGATAGGTGATAGTTGGAATTTGATTGAAATGGTGCATCTAGAATTGTCAAATATGGTCCGAAATTGTCCTGATTGAGGATAGATCAGGCGGACCACTATTAGCCTCTTTAAAATATTGAGGAAAACCTCCTACGAAGGAGGTATCCAAGTTTGTTGCAGCTTAACTCCACCTCCTTCGTACATCGACACTTTGACGTATGCATTCACCTCATCTTTTCAAACTCAGCTTATTTTCGTGTCTTACCTTCCTCAATACATTTAGAAGATAATAAGGTCTTACAAAATCGTGATACATTTATCATAATTAAAGTCATATTATCTAAATAAACGATCAGACATGAATTTTTCTAACTTTTTATTCATAGTTTGCTGAAGAAGACTAGTAGACTTCCTTGTAAAACAGCCATTTTAATAGACTATTAATATCTTATGGAGAAAGTCAAATAGTTCGGACAACATATAGCTAAGAAATTCATATTTATAACTTTTGCCTTCATCAATGCATTTAGAAGATATTGAAGTGAGAAAATCGTGATGCATGTATCATTATTAAATGAATATTATTTAAATAAATAATACGACTGGAATTGTTTCGACTTTTGATTCATACCTTATTGAAGAAGACTAGTAAACTTCTTTGTAACACATCCATTGTAAGAGAACATTGGTATCTTATGCAGAAAATCTAATAAACCGGACATCATATAGCTACGAAATTCATATTTACATGTTGTACCTTCCCAAGTTTGTTTAGAAGATAATGAAGTGATACAAACTGGTGATGTATGCATCATAGTTTAAATAAATGGTGCGACCTCAATTTTTTTGACTTCTGACTTTGACTTGTTGAAGAAGTCTGGTAAACTTGTAACACAGCCATTTTAAGAGACCATTAATATCTTATGCAGAAAGTTGAATAATCCCAACATTATATCGGTACGAAATTCATATTCACATTCTTGCCTTCCTTAATGGATTTTGAAGATAATGAGGTGATACAAAGTGGTGATGTATTTATCATAATTAAATTAATATTATTTAGATAAACAATGAGACCGTAGTTGTTTTGAGTTTTTATTAGCATTAATAGCATCTCTTGATCATACAATCAAGTGTGAATTTCAAGACTCTCTTTTCCATCAACCATGGGACTAAGTCAAACAACCAGGACTTTTTTGTTTCCAATTCCAATTTAACCTTCGTCATGGTCAAACTCGTCAGCATTCGCCATTTTAAAATATTGACTTGATTGTAATTTGCAGTAAACTTTTTCTCCAGGCACTACTGTACACACGAGAATGGTTCAAAGAAAGGAAATTGATCCAATCTTCAGTCCACCAGAAAACAAAAGTTTTGCGGGACTCTCCTCATAGTCTTCAAGAGTAGAATTCCAGTCCCGTGTCGATGTCGTAGGCGGCACACAAAACCATCGCAGTGACCGGCGGCGGTAACGACGCCATCCTCCATGGGAGCAACAAGTTCAGAGCCGCGTGATCATCAGCCACACCATCATCTTCGAGGCAACCGTCCCGGCCCTGGCTGGACGGGTTAGGACTTCGCACATGAACAGTGAGAGAAAGAAGAATATAAGCAGCAGGTAGTTCGACACGACGGGGGAGGTGGTCTCCGGGCTGCCGCGCGATCGTAAGATGGTCAGGAAGACAACGAATGCGGCGCCAAGGGGAGGCGAGAACATCTTGCAGACGAGGGTAGGGAGTGTGTGGATGATCCTCATGGATGGTACATTTATGCATTTTGGTCGTCGGATTCTTGCATAGCAAACTACTGACGGAGAACTGCATCTTTTAATTGAAGATGCATCCGGGAACGCGTTTAGACTAAGTCAACATTGAAAAGTCGTACAGTCCCCATCTCCTTACAAGCGAGAAAACTGAGTCGATAATGGTTTGGAAGATGTTGAGGCTCTGACAAGTTGGGTCCCATGAGGGAGAAGAAACTGCTCTATGAAGGACGGGCACTCATTAATGTGCGCGTAATGTCATTTTCATTGCTTACTCTAGCAGAGGTGGGAAAAGAGAGAGAAAGTAGTCCGTCGATCATCCATGAGGTAGAAAGTAAAAATTAAAGGGATTGTATTTAATTCAAGAAAATTAAAACCTTTCAGTAGAGGGCTTTGGTTTGACTTTCGAATTTTGGGGCTAATAATCACGTTATGAAACGGGGTTAGCAACAAATGATGTGATCAAATGGGTTAGCACCTATGTCTACTGGGCGCATTTATTCTGAGACCACATTTGTTCTGAAACTTCATGCAATTTCGGTAGTTCATTGCCATTTTCCCCTAAGTTGAACGTATTTGCAAGAGTGAAACGATGATATCTCATTTTAGTCTGCTTTCGGTATCTTGATTCTTTAAATTTTATGATTTTTGAGGAAATTTGCAATTGAATTGTACTTTAGAAAGTAGAAGCATTACTAAATTAAGTAATTAAGGTGATTATTTAATGGACAATTTCCATGAGAGGCTTCCCTCGGTAAGGGGAGATGCATAGATAGGAACCCAGAGACGTGTTTCATCGATAAGTCACGAGAATATTAGAGACACCTGGAGCAAGAGGGCCTAATATGTGTAACATAAAACAGCTTCTTATTTTTAGGATCTATAAATTCCATTTTAATGACCGGTAGAAAACGAAGGACACCGAACTCATACATGACCATGCAATATAGATGAAGTTCAGTATACCTTAATGCACAGAAATGTGGCTGAGTGACGACGAAACGTGACTTAGACACATCGTTGAACGACAAACATTGGAAGAGACCTGGAGAGGGAGAGAGAGAGAGGTAGGTATATATATACCCATCAGCCACACAGAGAGAGAGAAATGCCGGGATATTTTATATTTTTTTAAGCCATTAATTAAATCGACGGGATGCGTTTTAAAGCTATTGTAACCCCGTAGACAGAGAAAAAGCAACAACCGGTCAACAAAATCAAGCTTTGTCTAAAATTCATAGATCCCGACACTTGTTTGTAACATATTTAAAATATTAAAATAGCAAGTGCTTAGAAACCCGAAGGTAGCGTGGGCTCTACACACTCTTTCTCTCTGTCTCTCTCTCTCTCTCACTCTCTCTCTCACACACACACACTGCTTCTTCTCTCGTGCAATCACTCTCCCTCAACAGCTGTCAAAATTGGTTGGGATATAATTCTGTTCTTTCCCTCTCTCTCAGGAAGTTTAAGATAAGTTGCCAATCGTAAACATGTATTGTCACGATAATCCTTTCTGGACGTTACACCTATTCCAATGTTGATACTCCACCTGAGAATGCAATCGAAACTCAAACATACAATCGAACGTAGACATTTATTGTTTAAGTAGCGAAATGAAGAACATTCTTTAACGCATGTCATTTCATCAGAAGATGTAAACATTACTGATGATACATAGATTTCACCATCATTTCCATTTCGGTACAAACTCTAGTCAACCGGAAGGCAGATTTCACTCGGGTTTTGTTTCACTCTCTTCATTCGCTTCAAGGCTTGCACACCGAGTAAAGCTCCTGTCAAGTGGCAATGGCAATGGCGATGGCAGCACATCATCCCCATCCAACAGTAGAGGTATTTGCCTTGAAAGGGGAGAGTTATTTTGACCGATTCAGATCAGCAGCCATCCCGATGCTATCGGCAGTGGACTATCAGAGAACAATGAATTCAGATCGGCGTGATCAGCAGCCAAATCACTATCTTCGTGGCTCCATTTCTTGGGGTATATGCCGAAGATGGAGTTTCAAGCATGTCAAAGGATAGGAGAAAGAACAATAGCAGGAGGTAGGCGGTGATCAGGAAGGAGGTGATCTCTGGCTCACCGCGTGCTTGGTATATGGTCAGGGCGGAGACGATAGTGAAGAAGATGAAGGAGGCAGAGAACAGGAAGGACCAGTTCATGACGGTGGCAAGTGTAGAGTGTGCATGTTTATCCTCGGGGCACACTTATACTCTTCGGTTACCCAAATATTCCTTGTCCATCAAGCTTCAGAGCAAGAACTCCATAGCTATTTTAAGGCGGGATGCTGAAAAGTCAATGAAACTTCCTACCGATATATTTCTAAGCTTCAGCTGCCCTAATAATTCTTGCCCATCAAGGTTCTGACCAAGTCAGCGACGCGTTTAGGGTTAGGTTTCCATTACAGTAAAGTTTCGGAGTCATCTGTGGGTATCAAGATCTAAAAATATAAGTTTCACTAAGATTCTCAACGATCATTATTAACTAAAGTGGACTCGGAGACATTGGCGATTGTCTCATTTAACGCCGCCACGGCTTACTACATTGGCCATTGGCGATGGTCAACAGTTGTCTCGTATCTCTATCATCGAGGTCGTTTGCAATGTCAGGCCAATGCAAATCAGCTGGGCATGAAGATCGAAACCCAATTCCGAAGGTTGAACATCTTTGTGGAAAATCAAGTTTCTGAGCAAGTCAGCCCCGAAAGATCGAAACCCTCTCCTGCTGTTCCAGACCCAACTCCCCCTCTCTAGAAAGCATCCAGGGTCGTAGGAAGCAAATGTGGTACTGAATATCCACAAGGAAATTGGTTTAAATGTATTAAAGTGATACCTTAGCGTTTACAACAAAGTTGAGCATGATTATGGTCAGATCCAATAAAACATTACTTTCTGAAAATGTTAATTTTTGATTCGATTGCAGAAACTTCAGTTGTTTTAATGCTCTAACGAGAGCATATGTATATGAAATTTGATTAGGTTCTCTCAAGCTAGCTTGAATTCAAATTGAATTATCAGCGAACAAGTATTTGTTTACTCAAAATTGGTGGTAAAAATATATGTGGAAGTTGAAAGAATGTACAAGAGTGAGGAAATCTAGTGAGTTGTATTAGAAACTAAGGAGAATGGGAGTATGAGATTATCCAAGACGTAAATCTAGTTGAAAAACTATTGGGCAATCGTCAGAGAACAAAAACCCACGTCTCATCCACCATGGAAGAAGTCATGTCTATAAAAATTAACTTAAGCATTCATCGTTTCTTTAGAAAAGTTTGAATGTCCTACCGAAGTGCATGGTGATTGGGTCTGATACAATTCGTATGTCTTTTATTTAATTGTCAACAATGATTTCCTAACATATTACAGGCTGGCTTCTCATGGCTTTGGTAAATAAGTTACATAGCCAACACATGTAATGATAACTTTTTTAAAAATTTGACGCTTACACATGCTGTTAAAATCCAGATCTTTGTGCAGTGAATAGCCACATAGACGTAAGAGGCCCCTCGCCTGTGAAATATTTAATACCTTCGTAAAATCACACTCTCAAGCTTCGTAGCCTTCTATTTTTGCAAATGATTCCTGAAGATGATAGTGGGCTCTCCAAACTTCATTTATCTTCTTATTTTATATGTTGGCTATGTAACTTGTTTTTCTTATATTTTATGAAATAACATTTGAAATTCTATGCTAGAAACTCATGCCACCAAACTATGCAAGTTAACACATTTAGGGGGTCTTTAATCATCAAAATCAATTTTCCATGTCCGAGAAAGTCAACCAAGTGAACTAGACTATGTTTCATTGGAACCCACGATCTCTAGAAATTAATAAGATGTTTTTCAGATTTTCAAATTGTTCCTTCTCTCTTTGTGAATTATATGATGCATAAAAACTAGAACATTATATAAGACTGAGTAATGCAGATTAATAGGTGTTGATCATGACTTTATATATTTTTACATTTGATTTTTTTTTATTGACTTGTTATTTTTTGTATGTTTTTTAGAGTTGAGATAATTTGTTATTAATATATCATGTCCATCAATGAAACATGGCTTTTGAGGTCATTTAAAATCGTAAGTAAAGAAAATATTAATGTCAATTGTTTAACTGCCATAGAGAATGATGTTGCATAAATAAAAAAAATTCTATTTCGTATTAAATGGATACAAATTTGAATGTGAAATAAGAACATGAGGACCTCTTGGATAAAAGCTCATCACTTATATTACATAGTATAGGGCGAAAGCCCATTTGATTGTCTATGAAATGATGGACATTTGAAATGATTTTGGGCCAATGTCCATTTTGCTGTCTACGTGATGGAACATGCTTGACATATTTTTTGTTAAATTCTTGTTCATAATTAGAATCTCCAAGGGTCATATGAAACTCTCCACAGAAGGTTATGTGGGCTCATTAATTTTGGGTTAGATTATGGGGCGTGGAAATTCTTTTACCTTAAAGTTCATTAACATATGGGTGGACCACTGAACTCAAGGCCCAAATGAGGTCTGAGGCGCTATTGGACAACAGGCACGCATTTGTTATTGAGTCAAATCACAAGTCATGATCCCCATTGGACCAACGAAGTCATTAAAAAATGGGTTGGACAACTGGGCCCATATTAGGCCTGATGGGCCACTGGACACAGTCAACATTAGGCTACAAGACTCATTTGTTATTTATTAAGTAGGATCACAAGGAATGAGATTCATCTGAACGGGAATCCAATTGACAAATGGAACCACTGAGCCCATATATTGCTCAATTGGTTCACAGAGGATGAGACCCGTTGGATCGACAAACCCATTAATAAATGGGTTGAATCATTGGACACGAGACTTTCATTTGGTCTAATGGGCTACTGGACAGAAGGTAAACATTAGGTCATATGTTGTTTGTTTATTTATTTACGAGATACTTAAAGTGAACTTAGGTGGGCTTAGTTGATGCTCACCCGATTGCTGGAACGGATCTCCGTTTATTCTGACATGTAAGTGCCTTGTTTCTCTTTCTTCTTAGACGGGTACTCTATCCTCTCACCTCGTTGTTCCCCCTCTCTTGAGTGTATGTATCCATGTGTGCGTGCTTCTTATGGGCGAATTGGGACCTCATCTTATAAGGGTCCTAGGGAGTGTCTGAAGGATGGATTTAGTGTGTTAATATGTTACGAAATTGTTAGGATGTTCCCTTTCTATAATGAGTCACAATTGTTATCTGAGTGGAGAAAAGTCACCTAATTTTGCATCGTCTTTGAAGTGTCCTACATCTTAAAAGATGATGAGTTAAGAAGTCTTAAGGGTTATGTAGCAATTGGGGCTGTCTTTTAAGTTTGCTGGCTCTTAGATGAGGAGGTTGGTCGAATTAAGGATATGGTTTCGATGGTTAAACAATTTCATCTGCATTTGAAAAGGTCTTGTATTTATTGTTCTGCTTCATCTATATCCATTGTCTTCATCACGGGGATCTACTGAGGAAAATAATGCGAAGCATACATAAATAGAGAAAAAATGTGAATAAATTAGAAAAAGAGATGGACCACACCATTCCATGTTGTTGTTTCAAAGGAAGACGAGAAAGAACTCGTCATATTTATGCTAGGTTTATGACGAGAAAAATATGGACAGCCCATTTTCCATAGCTTTTCCACTGAAAGCAGGAAAAAGAAGAACAAGAATTAGAGATTTCTCTAATTTCCCCCCCCCCCCTTTTTTTTTTTTACTATTTCCAACCTTTGCGTACACGCCCAAACCCTATGAAGGAAGAGATCACCAACAGGTGAATATCACGATACAATGAAAACTCAAGCTTGCAACCCAACAATTTAATTTATAAGAATCAAAGTCATGAAACAGTCTCTCTTTTCTTATTATTTAAGCATAGTAGCTATAAACATTCTCTAATGAACATCATTTCCAGCCCCCCCCCCCGGTCGTTGGGCTGAGCCCAGAACCCTTCTGCAACTGACAGGAATCCGAGGCAACCGGTGCCTCATATTTTTGAAGTGTTTCACTAACTTCATCTTCGTGAAGAGTAACATCACGGTGATGATTCAGGCACAGGAGAATGTAGGCTTCAAATCCAGTGGCGACGACGGCTACAGTCCATGTGACCGCCGCAAAGCCCGTCGATAGAATCGACGACACCCCCCAGGCGAAGAGCAAGTTTAGCGCTGCGGCCAGCAGCCATGTAACAACCTTTAACACGCGTCTTTTAGTGGTGTCTCCGGGAGGCATGGCTTCCAGCCGGCCGACGGAGAGCAGGAAGAGCACCAAAAGTACGCAGGCCGCGACCACAAAGGAGGTGGCCCCCGGGTCGCCATGTGCTCCATACATGGATTGTATACAGACGAAGGTGATGAAGACAATGGAAGCGGCATGTATGGAGGAGGACATGGTCATGGCCGGTTTAACATGAGAGGACACTGTTTACGTTGGGCGGGATACGTGTTCCTCATATATGTATATATATACAGCGTTTCTTTTCTTGGACGTCAAGTTCCTTCGGAAGAAAGGAGCACGACTTGTACACGCTAATAATGAACGGTCTTCAGCTTCCGTGAGGATGCGTGGGATCTACGGTGCTCTCTGGGCCCAAAGCTGCCCTTGATTAGCCCTCTGGTAGGCCGGCTGAGTCTAGATTGGGTCCCCGTCCTTCGTCAGTACTGTATTGGTTAAATTGGAAGGTAAGCACTTGATCATTGGGAAACACCAATTCACTCATCATCCATTGATTTCTGGGTCGAATCAATCACCCAGTAATCCTAGTATGACGAATTCATACCGCTGATATCAGTCTGTTGGCCGTCCTGGGAAGTAGCCTAGGGGCGTTCCTCCAGACAAAAGAGGGCATACAATTGCACGCCGATCAGCAACGATGGCGGCGTCGGCGAAGACCACGGTTTAAGAATCCCTAGTAGCAGCGACGACAACTTACAAGCGAGAAGAGTGTTTATCGCCGTTGCCAGAAGTGGCATCAATGCCTGATTCCCCCTCGATCTTGCTGCCTGACTCCCTCTCGATCACTTCAAGAGATGCGACTTCGTGCCAGCAGAGGGAGAGGTGGAAAAACACCAGCAGGAGGGAGGCGGAGACAGCAGAAGAGGTGGCACCCGCGGGGCTGTCGTTAGTGAGATATTTGCTTTGGGTCTCCGAGCTTTCTCAACAAAGCAGATGTAGATGTTGGCATCCACACCGCCTAAAGCTATCAGTTCAGCTGGAAAACTTTTCGAACCTTCTTGGATATTCTGGAAGACATTGCAAATGGCAGAGGTGATCCCGGTGGTATGAGCCCCTAATCGGTCGGAGCTCAATAGTAGCAAGCGATGGAAAAGAGGTCCGCAGTCGGAGACCTGCTGAGAGGAGAGGATGTTTGGAGGTTCAGCGAGAGAGGCAGTGAGATCAGCGGATCGTTGCTATAGAATTACGAGCCTTTCCTCAGGAGTGGAGTGGAATAATTTGGAATGTTCCCTAATTTGTCAATTTGCTGACGACGGCAGAGCGCTTATCGATTGGTCACCGTCCGTTCTTTCCGCAGAGCTTACGTATCAAAGAAGCCGTATACAAGTCTTCTTTGTCAACCATTCGCTTGCACAAGAAGCTTGATACAAAATATAGAAAAAGACCAAATTGTCCCTAACAAATGGCCAAAAGTCTAATTTCATCTTACACAGAAAAATAAATAAGTACATCGCAAAAAACATGACGACTATAAATGTAATAACGTATGTTTGAAAGATTAATATCAATACAGAAAATATTATTTACATGTTGTTTTTTTTTAAAATTATGATAAAAAGACACATTTATATTATTTATTTCTTAAAAATATCATATTATCAATCAGTCACCAATAACTTGTACGTTTTAGAGGGTTTTGAGGAACGTTACACAAGGAAAACTCGAAGAATTTTACCTTATATGTTGACATAAGGTGTTTGTATTTCGGTGTGTCTTTAAGAATTACACTTAAAAGGAACAGCCTCTTTTGGGATCCTGGGTCTCTCCCTTTCGTAGGGAGTTGCCGCCCTTACTTTAATAGGGAGTTGCCGCCCTTACTTTATATAAACTTTAGAATACAACTAGAAATCAAATGACCCGTCTCAAGATCGAATGTTGTTGAGCCATCTCTACATACTACTAAGCATAAACTGTATTGCATGCATAAGCTTTTCACTGTGCGCCATGCATGAGTATCCATGCATGGTCACAGCTTTACAAAGTTTATGAGAACGCTGATGTATGTGGATCTACATGCATCTCTTGATGGCAGTGAACACTGAAGGGCCTCGGTGTCTAGAACATTGCCATTTTCTAGTAATTTTGTGTTGTTCCATTCTCTTCCACACTTAATTAATGCCAACATATTTTACAGATGTAAGTATTAAATCCGCAAAGGTTTTCTCATTTTTCAAAGAATTTTGTTGAACGTAGTGTTGCAATCAAAGATACAAACATTGTTAGAAACTGTCACATGAGGAGGTTTTAAGGTTCTAATCAATCCAGTAGAATGAGTCACCCGTGGGTGCAACACCGAGTTGTACACAGTAACATGATCTGGCTGTTAATTTTCTTCCAGACAGAAGAGAAGGTAGAATCCAGCTACGACGGTGGTGAGTGAGATGGTCCAGACGACCGCCGCGAAACCCAGCGGCATCATGAAAGACACTTTCCAGGAGAAGAGCAGGTTCACTGACGTGGCCGACAGGCATATTATCACCTTAGCCTTTCTCTTCCTAGCGGCGTCTCCGGGGGGCAAGACTTCGAACCAGCGGACGGAGAGGAGGAAGAACGCCAGCAGCAGGTCGGCCAACACAATAAAGGAGGTGGCCCCGGCGTCACCGCGCGCTCGGTAGACGGCGAGCGCAGAAACGACAGCCAGGAAGATGATGGACGCGGCGGTCAGGGAAGCGGACGACATGCTGCCGGTGAGGATAAGAAAGTCAAAACTTTTGTGAAATCCACCCTCACGCTGGATTTGTATCCCGGAGATCACTTGGAGATCAAGAAAAAGGTCCTCACCGACCTGTAAGGCGGTGGGAAAACTGAAGCAATGAATTCGTATTGGTCTCATCTTGATTGAAGAATATTTTAAGTTTCAGTATAAAATTCATGTGAATCATCCGTGACGCCTACGTGAGATATATTGAGTAATCCATCGGTTCTCGTATTTTCAGGGCATTAATTATTCAAATCATCTAGAAAAAAGTATCCAGATTACCGACAAGGAATCCGCGTGACCACCGACAAAACCTCCATTTATACAGAGAAATTACGCGCCGGTGGAATTAGAATTGGTGTGGAGCGAGCGGCGAATTGCCGGCGGGACCGAGGATCACCCGCGCACTGTTTCCTACGGCTCACAGATCTGGCTTCAACCCAATCCTGCAGAAGATGCCGTCATTCCAGGCGGCGCCGCCATCTTCAAAGAGCAGGGTCGCCGGGGAACCCCCACATATCGCCCTTTATTCCTGTGGGTTCTTTCCGGCGGCGGAAAGCCGAACCTCCGGGAAACCTGCCTGGCATCAACGTCTCGTCTGCTTAAGGTGGCACTGGCGCAGGTACTCGCCATCGGCGTCGGCGCCCGGTTGACGGCTAGTTATATGGAGACACCCGACCGGAATGCGAAGCCGCAAGACCCCCTTATGGCAGGAGTCGAACAAGGGACGTTAGTAGCACATTCGCCCGGGAAAATTGTGAGTCTCACCAACAGGTGGACGGGAAGCAGACAAGACTAATACCAACTGAAGGGTGACCCTGGAGGGAGCAACCGTAATAACGATCGAAGATTCGAGAGAAAAAAAACTCAAGAGAAGCTTATGAATAAGGAGGGTCGGCGAGGAGGAGGGAGGAGGAAGATTTCAAGGAGATTAACCATCTCGAATCACCGAAACCACCCCCCCCACCCCCCGTTTTCTTGTTCTCTTTTTTCTCTTGTTATCCCTGTTACGAATTCTCTTCCTCGGGAAGTTAGAAATTCTTGTGTGTTCTCAAAGACAGTGAATAAAAGCAGAGAGTCTCCCTCCTCTGTTTCAATTCGCGAAGAAGGGGTCTCCGTCAGGGCCCCTAGCCAGCATGGTAATCAATCTTCCTCACACTTGGACAGAGCTTGGACAGAGAATTCGGATCATGTTCGAAGATCATAATCCTTTTAGCGTTGACTTTTGGGTGTCTCAGATGTTGAATCTCGACTTACTGATCAATCCGGAAATCAAAATTAAGGAAGTATAGGGGGGTTTAACTTCAATTTTTAAAATTCGGCTAATTTTCATTTTCAACCATAAATATTGTGCTGTCTACAATATATTACTAAGAACCAATCTGGCAATCTCTAGATGGCGTTCAGCAATGGTACTACTGTGTAAGATTGATGCTGCTTAACGTCTTCTACTCACTTCTAGCTTGTTTACTAATTTTCATAAAAAAAAATTCTTTGCACTACCCAATGAATTCTAGGCCTCTGATCGCCATGAGTAAATTTGAACACATTTCAATAATTTGAACAAGATTTTCATGACGCCAGGAGTTAATTTTATTTAAAATTCTATGGTTTCTTGTTGTATTCTACTATTAGTCGTCTCATATTACATCGCCATTTGAGATGGGAGAAGATTTTCAGAGATAGTCGCGAGTAAAAGATGCTAAACTAGTAATTTGGCCTGCTACAATCGTCGATCAAGCAAAACGAATTAAACATGAGGAAAAATACCACATCAAAGTTTTATTCAATTATTAATCATATTATCATCCACCCTTATGTTCATAATCATCTGAACCTTCCACTTCAGAAATTCAACACGAGCGGCGAAGAAGTTTAGTTCTGCTGCTAGGGCCTGACAAATTACTGTTCCCCCAGAAGTGTCGACACGAGAAGGAATCGGGGCGTTGAACTGATCAAGCGAAACCTGTCAAATTCACATGATCACGTTTACCTCCCGTCGACAAGATTTCCAGAATCCCAGCTTTGTAACCTCCTTTCTATCACCACCGGGTGCCACTGCCAGAGCGAGTGGGAGACAGAGAGAGACGAAGGGAGGGAGGGGAGAGAGAGAGGGGGGGAAGGTGTGGGGGGCAGGGAATGAAATTCAAGTTGAATCTCAGCGGCTCAAACTGTGCACTAAGCACTTATAAAAGTCTTCCCTTTAATTTCTTCTCAGAAACCTGCTAAACCCTTTTTATTTCTCTAAATATGCCTGCAAAATCACTCTTTCAGCATGCAGACAAAGGAAGACGTGTGAAGTCATCCAGAATATATAGACCAACGACTTTTCCTCTTACGTTACTTCAGCTCTAAGTTTGTGAAGACTTGAGGACAAGGCATCACGAAGTTTGTAAAGATGGAGTTTCTCTAAATCAAGAAAAACGTCATTTTCTTCAACATCTTACTATTTTGACTACATTAGGGTCGTCGATTTTAACCCCACTTCCTGGAACTCAATGCTTTCTTAGTGTTGAGGGTGAAGTGTTCTTCCAAGCAAGGTCGAAAACTTATCCACATTACAGCTAAGTCCTCCGTAGTTGAATTCAAGTCCCAACTCCGTCAATTCAATTGAAATATTACTCATCGAAATATCAAGAATGTAATGATATATGCCCTCTAATTGGATTAAGATCGGATACTACCCAAATAATCTCATTTCGAATTATATTTCTGATAATCCATAGAACTACTGCACTATCGGTCTTATATACTAAGTAAATGTGGTTTTTAAGTTATGTAGATAACACCTGAAACTTATATTATTGCCTACTTTCCTTTCTGTTCCTTCTTCACTTTAAAGAAAAAACAAGACATTAGAATTCATGTCATAATTACAGAAAAATATAAACCCTCTGAAACTAATTATCAGAGCTTTATTATCATCTTCTGGTGGCCAGTGTAAGGATACATGTGCATATACCTATATATTTATGAATTATACAAGATATGATATTTTCTCCATTACACTTCTTTCAGATAGAAGAGAAGATAGAATTCAGCTCCGGCGGTGGTTGTGGCGACAGCCCAGATGAACGCGGCGAACCCTGCTGGCAGTTGTGACGATACCCTCCAAGAGAACAAGAGGTTTAGAGACGTAGCAAGAATGGTTATTAGCGCCTTCCCCTTGATCTTTGTAGCGGCATCTCTGTGGGGCACAGTTTCGAACCAATGAAGGGAGATGAGGAAGAGCACCAGAAGCACGTAAGCTGACACCACGAAGGAAAGGAACCCTGGTTCACCATTTGATCTTTGGGCTGAGAATGCAGCGGTCAAAGTGAGAAAGAGGAAAGACGCGGTGGGTAGGGAAGGCAGCGACATAGTTTGAATTGAAGTTCGTGCTCCCCTTGATTACGAGGTATAAATAGCTGCTGATCTCAAGCTTCTTCTGGGAAACTTCTCTCGCGCAACTCAGAGCTTTAAGACAGATTGAGTTGAAATACGATAAATAAATTAAAAATAAAGACTAATAAAGTTCTGAAATTAATAACTGATTTTCTAGTTATTTCTTGCAAGGATGTGACCCTTTAAAGTAATTTTGTTTCATCACTTTCGTTGATTAAAAAGTTTGCTCCCATATTATATTATTCAATCTAATACTTAGCCTTTAATTTTTGCCAATATTATGCTCGAGTCCTTCTGTCGACGATTAATTGTCATCTTTGATGATTGCCAAATTGTATTTTTGTACTTTTTTCTTCCCCCGGTATTAGTTCAGCATAAGTGAATCTCGATTAACTAGATCTTACCCAACTATTTGGGTCCCCTGTAAATATTTGTACTCATTTTACTTTAATTAGTTACATTATTTTTCACCCCTTATCTCTCCCATGAACCCTTCGAGGGCAATGGCTCTCTCTATGGCAACACATCATCCTGGGATTAAAAAGTTAGAACAGTTTAAACATGGTTTGAAAGCCAATCATGTATGTTCATTTTAACCCCTTCTGATTTCTAGAATATTTCCATTGGCCCTATATTGTGAACAGGATTCTATGCCCTATACATGATACACCTCGCCAAAGAGTGTTTCTTGTGGGGATTTATGTTGTGAAATTATTTTTTTTATCTGATTCAATTGCACTTTTGGTTGCTCAATTACTCTATTTGCCTCTCCTCTCATACTTGGAGGAGAGACAACAACCAGAGATGTCTTGGGTAGAAGCATCCCTTGTTTTATGTACAACCCTTGTTTATTACTCAATTTGGCCTTGTCTTTCTGAATAAAAGGCTAGAGCACAATAACGGTTGCTTTAGGAAAGGGTAAATATATGTCAAAAATAGTTGACATAGTATCATTTTCATTATAGTCATTATAGTATTCTAAATTATATTTAGAGCTGTCAAATATTCTAGAATTCAAATTAGATGAAAGAAACCTCCTCTAGTGGAGTAAATACATTGAAGTTGGGTTAATGAGGAGAAAAGCATTTTTTTTTAATTGATGCGCAAATCGCTGAACATAATATTCAAATTATGAAAAGAAGAGGATTAATTATAAAATATGGCTTTGGAGTACCATGGTACTTGTAGTCAATGCTAATTATTTATTTTTGTCAAAAATAAAATTTTAGTTTCTCTTGGAGGATACTAGAACCCTTAAAAGTCAAGACATTGGTTCCCAATCATTCAAATTTGTAACTAATTATAAGATTTAAACATTGAGAGACAACAAAAAATAGAATAAGTTTTCTAACCTGATTTCTTTATAAATTCATCACCTCTCTATTGACTTATTTATTTCAAAAAATTATCACCCTTTACCATCTTAAGAGTCTTTCTGAAATTTTATGTAGAAAAATTGATACAAATTTGACTGGTCTTCTTACCTAGATCAAGTGTCAAGAAGGCAAGTTATCAAATAACAAATTTCAAGTTCTATGTAACACTTCTTGATCAGATTGAAGCGACACTGCCTTCTACAATCACCTACCTTCTCAACATGAGAAAGACAACAAAAATTAACTTATAATTATTATTTTCTTCATCTAATTTCCAAAAAAACCTCAAGTCAATATTTACATTTAGAAACAACCTATAGTTAAATATTTTATTATCTTTGAGAGAAAAGATATGAAATAAATATTTATTTAATTAATCAACATAGATAATCACTATAATGTGGAGTGTGCCTCCTGAGACTCTAAACTTAGAAGATAATTTTTTAATGAAATTATATGGGAGATAAGCTTATAAATCAGCAAATATTTTACTAAATAATTGTTTTAGTGGAAATTGTGAAGGGTGTTGTTAGTAAGTGAACATAGGCAAAGAATAAAACCATAGTAAAGATTCTTGAATATTTTAGATTTAGATTTAGGAAAGTCATATAATTTAGGATTGGACCAAAGAGATCAAAGAAATTAGAAGAGTTGAGTAAAGAAAAAATTAAGATTTGATCAATTAAGCCATCTTTTGATATAAGTTTTACCTAAAATCTAATATTTGTATCAGCCCAAACTCATCTAGTATTTCAATATTTGACGAATATTTCTATCCTTGGTTGAAGGTAGCAATACAAATATTTTGAACTAACTTCTTATTGTTATTATTGTGTTAGAAAAACTGATTGATTATTGCGGCATTTTAGTGTTTCTGAAATATGAGTTACCTAGGACTGCTAGTTTCTAGGGCCCTAGGGGTTAATACAAGCTCGCAAAGCCTAAGTTATATGAGGGGTTTTTAATCTTAAAAAAATCAAGTCTATTCTAGTTGCTAGAATAGTAGAATTGTGATGAAGGCCACAAAATTGAAGGTAGGCTAAAAGTGTTTGATTGAACTACTATAAAATTTTATCTCTAAAAAATTAAGAAAATATAGGATAAAAAATAGATAATCTAAATTTTAATAGAAATATTGTTATCTTTAAATGAATGAATTTTAACTTAAAAAATAAGTATTAATTTACCCCCCCCCCCTTCTCTTTCTTGATTCATCCACCTAGTGAGCAAAGGACTAACAATAGTCAATCCATTTATGGTCAAGTCAATATTTCTTCCTAAAATACTTGTATTTTGAATAGATTTTAACTTGTATTGTATCTCTTTCTTGATCATTATATTTAATGCATTCTTTTTTAAATGTATAGTTAAATAATAAATAAAAAAATTTAGATATTCATCTAATTATTAGTGAAATAATAACATATTTATTATCAGCTTTTTTTATATGTTATCATTTATCGTCAACATCAGAATACTTAAATAGCCTCTTCCTTCTCTCTTTCACCTTTTAGGCTTTAAATTTACTTTTATTTATAGAAATTTCAGTCTATTTCAGATGTTCTCTTATAGCCAATAAGACTACATTAAAATATTATGATGACTTGTTGGAGTACCATATGATGATGTTTTGATTATTACAAATAGGTTTTAATAAGATCTAATTATACATAGTTCACAACACTCATATTGTATGAATATTCAAACATAACTAATACTATAAATGATTATCACTTATATGAAAACTCTACAAGTATGCCTTTAGTTTAATAATGTCAAACACAGAAATCAAATAGATAGTTATGTATGAATTATCACCCTACATATTATTGTGGCAAATGCTCATATTTGCATAATATATTATAGCCCAAAAATGATGGTATACACAGCGATATGATTGAGACATCAACATATAATATATGGGTATGAAAACCTATTCAACTTACTGTGTTCTCATTATAATAAATCATATTTCTCATGTAACTTTGATGTTATGTTGATCAAATAAATATACTAGTTCTCTCATATAAATATGATTTTATGAATATTCACAAATGATATATTACAAGTCAGATTAAATAGTCTAAATCATCAAACTCATGAACACAAATATTGATATCACTATTTGGTTTTTTTACCTTGATGATTGTATTTGATTTGAGAGGATTCTAATATGCTCAGAATATCAAACTAGCATGAGATATGGATATCTACTCGTAGTTACATTTTTAACAATTTCAGAGCTCTATCAATTTTGTTGTCAAGACAAAGGATCCAAAATGGGTCGACATGACAAATACAAATATAATGTGATAAAAGAATGGTTAGTCATCAAAAAGTATTATGTCATAGATATGTTTTATTATTTTCTTGTGGGTTTTGAATTTATCTTATTTTAAGAATAGTTAGTCATCAAAAACGTGTAGAGATCTAAGAAAATTTCTCGCACAAGATTTATCTATATATTCCAACAAAAAAATAGACGCAACAATTAACTTTCTTTATCAATCAACCTCTTGTTTACTCTTGAACTCTCTTACAAGCATTCTAAGCAAGATACGAAGAGTTTCCAACTAGTAGCTCAAATGATGTCAAAGTATTAACGTGATGAGGACTACTGTGATATTGAATGATCCTCTTTGACTAAGCTAAATTATAATGAGCCTCCAATACTCAACTAGTATGCCGAAAAGAACAAAACAACATCTACTTGACAACACACTATTCTCTCTTCATCAAACATGTAGGATATTAAAGACCACTTACTTCTAAAAGATTACCCACGATGAACTCTTTCCATATTTTTTATGAGAAAAACCTTGTGATTTTATCACTCAATGGAGCTATCACATTAAACAACTATGAACCACCTAGAGCTGTGAATCTAGAAAAAAAAAAATGAGAAAATTCTATGAGAGCTGATCTCGTTAATCTACAATTTATGATCAAACAATTAGGTCTAGTGGAACCCAAGAACACTATGATTCTTGAAAGGTGGGCATAGCAAGTGCACCAAACCACTATAAAATCAGTGAGTTTTAGAGCCTCTAGTTTGAAAGATAGCACAAAAAGGATAAGAGATAATAACTTACACCCATTTGAACTCATCTAATTAAAAATTAGAATCATGAATAAATTAATTCAATCTCTCCTTGATCTTGATGCAAGCTAAAACCCAACAATACTAACATTTTAAGCTTCACATGCTCCATCATTTTTGCAACATAAGTAGTCATGTGCTGACATATTAAGCTCTATATACTTAATTATTTCACAATGTGGATCATCATTTATAAACATACCAAACTTTGTATATTGTATTGTTCCACACCATAACCCTCAAAGACCACTAAATTGAGCTTATTAGACTCCACTACTTCATAATGTAATGCTTTATATATAACGTACTAGATTTGAGGGTCATTTAGTGGTCTTTGAGGGTCATCTATATTGTATTCTAACATACTATGTTTGTGTTCTTCTATAATAGAAACTTTTTGTAAATTGAAACATTGTCATTTAGTCCTTCTATTATTTCATAACATAAAATGATAAACTAAAAGTTATTACCATTGATCTACAACATCTAAAGTGATATACCAAAAAATATTATTGTGAATATATTACATTCTTCCTATCAATAATATAGGCATGTACAAAATTTAGATGGTTCTCTAATTTTTTTCACTTCTCTTTACATGATATAGATACATTTCCTCTTAGTGGATGAAATGAATGAAGTGAGTCAAGGAACCCTAGCAACCTCATAAATAAGAAGTTCCATTAAAAATAGCTTTAAGAGCCTTCTTACATTGACCTAGTAAAGAAATATAACCCAATCAAATATAGGCAAGTGAAGCACCCTAGTTTGCAAAATGCTAGGACTGTAGACCAATGAAGCCACCTAGATGACCCACCATGGCAACCTGTTTCAAGAACTCCTAGTGAACAAGGGCTAATAATTTTAGGTAGGTGAAACACTAAGCAAGCCCAACACAAGAGAGCTCAGCTTAATTATACAAGATGATGAAAGTCACCTTGTGAGCCTTATTTTGCAGGCATGAGCTCATTATTGTTAATATCTGTATGTAACAACCTGAATGGTACTTTTCTAAATCCTTATGCCCTAGTGGGTAAAACCACTTGTAGGTGAAGCATTTGAAATGGCCTAGTTGATCAAGTGTATGTCTATTAATCCTATGAATGAATCACCCTAGTGGGTGCATTTTGAAAAATATGTAAGATAAGTTGGAGAGACCACAAAGTTCAGTTCATATAAACAGTTCCAAGGTCTCTTAGATGGCATCAGCGAAGCCCATGTATGGTTTTTTATAGTAAGGGACTATATATATTACACACTAGATGATCATTTTTAAGTATAATGGGCTCTAATTTTTTTTTTGTAGTTTTCTCTAATATATCTCAATATAGGCTATAGCCCTCTATGGGGTTAATGATTATCAACATGTGAACCTACGCATATTGAAAACTAGGTCCAGCCCACATAAGATACCTAGGCAAGTTGTTCAGCCTATCAACAATGAGGTTAGACCCATCTCTAAGTGACTTTAGGTCAACATTGAAGATTAGGCTTAAATCTACTTCCAAATGAAACCAATTCAAGTAATTTGGTTGCATTCATCCGCTTAAGTTTTTAGATGTTCAACTAAATATTTTTTTTCTTTTTTTATATTTTACAAAAAAATCATTACATGGCACTAAATTACAACATTACAAAAAAAGTAAAAATTATATCAACTTTTTTAGTAACATATGTTAATTTTTAGTGGTTACCTTGAGATCAGTCCATTTGATCAATTTGGCTCCATTTCAAAAAAAATATGGATTATTTTTTAAAATTTACAAAAAATCCCAATTTATAATATTGAATTTATAAAGCAGCTTGGTTGCAAAATAAAAAATAAAAAAATGAGATTGGTGATAGAGATAGTAATTATAGAGAACATATGAGAACTTGAATGAGTTCCTTACGGGGGGTGGGGGGTGGGGGATTTTGTAACAGATGAGATTCGGGGGGCCCAAATCAACAGCACCCACGCCGTTGACATTTCCAAGTTATGAAATATTCTATTTTTGTCTTTGTTGAAAGATAGTGATTTGAGCGATTAGATGAAGAAATTGTGACAAGTCGGCGAATCCAGGTCGCCCACATGGGATAAGGCAAAGCCAGGAGATCCCCTGCTCGTCTGGCAAAGAAGGGAGTGGGAGCTTCTTCCACAGAGCCGTTGAACTACCATACAAGAACCATCGTGGAGGGGAGAAGCAGCTTGTGCGGATGATGTCCGAAAGTGGGGCCCACAAAAAACCCCTCCCTCCCCCGCCCACCACACGTTTGCAGACCACAACCCGTCCCCTTTCTCCCCTCACCTCCCCTTCCCACCAGAGGTCCCCATGACCCAGCCGTCCTCTCGCTCCTCTGCTCTTCCTCCTCCAATCATTGCCCCTTCCACGCCTCCCCTCCAGCCATGGCTAGACGCCCTCCCCCATAGACCGCCCCTGCCGCAACTTCCCCTCGGCTTCTCCCTCCCCTCCTCTACTGCCGCCGATCATCGTTGTTTCACCTGTTCTGTCACTGCCAGGGGCGATCGTCCGGAAATATGACTTCCTCCTACTCCTGCTTGTCATTTGCGCGGAGCCCGGGAAGAGGAGGAGGAGGAGGCTATGATGGTGGAAGTGGCGGAGGTAGTTTGGCCGCGTTCTTGCATGGAAGCCCTCCCTCGGGCGGGCAGCATTTGGGGGTTTACAACTATGGACGGTTTCCCCGCTACTCGAGAAGCCCTCCTCTTCCAACCCTCGTCCATCAGTCTGCATCTCTCCTCCCCGCCATTGGCCGTGGCCGAAGATTCCACCTCCTCCCATCTGCGACCCTCTCGTCGTCCTTTACCGAGTCGGAAGGTGGGGATGAGGCGCAGAGTGTCGACAACCATGTGGAGGACGGGCAGTCGGGTGAATTGCCTGCGATGGCGAAGGCTTTCCACATCTCGCTGCGGACAGCCTCCGGGATATGCATCTGCATCGCTTTCGCCGCCCTCACCTTCCCCCTGGTGATGAGTTCCCTGACGCAGGTCTCTGGCCTGAAGATGAGGGCACTCACCTATCTGACTCTGCTCCTCGGTTTCTACATGGCCTGGAACATCGGTGCTAATGATGTTGCCAATGCGATGGGCACCTCGGTGGGGTCCGGCGCTCTCACTATCCGGCAGGCGGTGCTGACCGCCGCCGTGCTTGAATTCTCCGGGGCCCTGCTGATGGGCACACATGTGACGAGCACGATGCAGAATGGGATTATCATGGCCAGTGTGTTCCAGGAAAAGAGTACTCTGCTCTTTGCCGGTCTGCTGTCTTCTCTCGCTGCTGCCGGAACCTGGTTGCAGGTTTGTGCTTGTGCCCTAAACGACTGAGTCAATTCCCATTCTTTCCTGTGCTTTGATCTAGTCTCTCGTGCGATCCTCGAGGATTCCCGTCATAAAAGTCAACCCAGAAGAGGATGCCTTGGTTGTCTTCTGATTTTGCATCGCTTTACAGAGATTTCCCTTGATCAACACATCCTATCTTCTAAAAGTGAACCCAGAAGAGGATCTTATGAAGAGCGGATAACCTTTAATCTCCCTCCTGCAAAACGTGCCAGAAGAGGATGCCTCCTTTTTTGTTATAACTTGTCATCCCTCTAGTTTTGACTTTATGAGGAGTCGATACTAAACCCTGTCCTGATCTCCTCCCTTCTAAAAGTCAACCCAGGAGTGAATGCCTTGTTCATTTTTCAAGTCTGCATCACTTTAGCATCTGTCTTTTAAATTGCAGAACTTTATCTCAATCATCTTACACATCTATTTATGTATTTATTTATTTATTTATCTATTTACTTCCGATTGATAATTTATTTTCTTCTGATCTTATTAAGCCTAGATGCTAGTTTGTCTCTAGAAAAACATAAGAAAGCCCTCCAACAGCAGAGTTATTATGTCTCAGACTGATGATCATGCGAGGATCTATTCAGCTTCATATGGGTATTTCTCTTGCCAAATCAGGGTCTCAGCAAACAGGTGTTCCATGCTGGGCTCTTCTCACATTATCTCGGGTCCGATGAAAACTCTGCTTTCAGATCTCTTTATTTCCTTCCTTCTGGTGTGATGTTGTTCTTCCCTCGGCCATGTGTGATTAATCTGAAATACTCTAAATATTCCTTCTTAATTACTTTTAAGGGAATTTATTTGTATTATTCTTCTTGGAAAATTTAGTCCACCCACGCTTTCTTACTAAGATCCAGTGTAGAAAATGTGAAATTTAGTCCATTCCTGTCCATTACCTGTAGCCTCTATTAACATTTATCACGTTCTTCTTTTCATTTTCGCGTCATTTATTCAAATATTCTTTTGTTCAATGCAAGTGTAGCTGCTTCTCTGTCTCACCACGACCCACGATTCTTCTAACCGAATTATAAATAAATAAAATTTGGTGGGTTATTTCAGAAAATTGCAGGCTTGTTCAAGTCTGTAAAGTTCTATGATCCCATTTTCTTTGAACAGCATGCGGTGATTGATAAAATAAAGAAATTTTCCATTTTTGGACTGTGAATTTGTCTCTGATATTAGCCCAAAATTTGATTTGCTTCATTCAATCAAAGAATAAAGGTTATTCCATTTCCCTCCTGGGAGAATGATCCTAGTCAGTAATGTAATCCGTTTCTTTATCCATCGATTGCTTCCTGGAAGCACCCTTTGTGATTGACTGCTGAGGGTTAAATCAAAATATTCTCATTATTATTGCCTCTTTGGGACCGACAGAGTATTCTCATGAATTTCTTATGGCTTATTCATACGACTCTTCCTCCCTCATTGTTGTCAGAATCATAAACGCTGACCTTCTTTCCATATATGGATCATGCGAGTGGATCTTGTCTCGGAGAAATTGGGTGGTTAGCTTTCATGGAGATGTACTTCATTCCGAATGCTGAATTGCTTCATACGAAGCAAGCGAAAACTTAGACCTTGATCTCTATTCTTTTTCAAAATATACGGTGAACACAGTTAGTCAACGCTACTCGACTTACAAAGTCAACGACCAAAACCTGATGCGAGAGAAACAAAGCATGAAAAACCGTTCTACTTGGGTCGGATGCAATGGGGAAAAAAAAGTGTCCTTTTTTTTAATTTATTCACATCCCTGCGAGAAGAATTTTCATTCCTCTGTTACGCCCATCTTGGTTTGATTCGATCGTGTTGGTGATCCACAATGAATGTCATGCAGGTGGCCTCATTTTACGGCTGGCCAGTCTCCACCACGCACTGCATAGTGGGGGCGATGGTCGGCTTTGGCCTGGTCTACGGGGGGGTCAACGCTGTCTTCTGGAGATCCTTGGCCAGAGTCACCTCCTCCTGGGTCATCTCCCCGTTCATGGGCGCAGCAGTCTCCTTCATCGTTTACAAATGCATCCGCAGGGTGAGCCCCTCATCTCCATCTCCTGAAAACTCCCCGCAGTTCACAGCTCGCGTTGACTTCTGGTGATTAACGGTCGTTATGTTCCCTCCCTCCTTCCTGGTTCTCCAGTTTGTGTACAGCGCGCGGAACCCGGGGCAGGCGGCGGCGGCGGCGGCGCCGATCGTCGTCTTCCTGGGCATATTCGGGATCTCCTTCGCGGCCTTCCCTCTCAGCAAGAGCCTGCCCGTTGCGGCGGCGCAGGCCCTTGCCTGCGCCGCCGCGGGGGCCGGCGCCGTGAGCCGGGTCATACACAAGCAGCTGGGCCACCTCCTCTCGTCGGAGTCAGCGAAGGAGCAGGAGAGGAAGTCGGCGGAGGAGGAGCAGCAGCAGAAGAACGTGGGATTCCTGTCGGAGATAGCGGGGCCAAGGGGAGCGCAGCTGGAGATCGTCTACGGCGTGTTCGGGTACTTGCAGGTGCTGTCGGCGTGCTTCATGTCGTTCGCGCACGGCGGCAACGACGTCTCCAACGCCATCGGGCCGCTCGCCGCCGCGCTGTCCATCCTGCGCGGCGGCGCCGCCAGCGGCGCAGAGGTGGTAATCCCCAACGACGTCCTCGCGTGGGGCGGCTTCGGCATCGTGGCGGGGCTGATGATGTGGGGCTACCGGGTGATCGCCACCATCGGGAAGAAGATCACGGAGCTGACGCCGACGAGGGGCTTCGCCGCGGAGTTTGCCGCCGCCTCGGTGGTGGTGGTGGCGTCGAAGCTCGGCCTGCCGATCTCCGCCACCCACACGCTCGTCGGCGCCGTGATGGGCGTGGGCTTCGCGAGGGGCCTCAACAGCGTCCGCTCCGAGACTGTGCGGGAGATCGTCGCCTCGTGGCTGGTCACCATCCCCGTCGGCGCCCTGCTCTCCGTCCTCTACACCTGGGTCACCACCAAGCTCCTGTCGTTCATCCTCTGAAGAATGAACCAGAAAGAAGGGAGGAGGAGGAAGATGAGTCCTTCCTTCCGTTCAGGAACACGGCTCGTGTTGTTAAGGGAGGGGGGATGATCTACGAATGCGGAAGGTTTTTGATCTCTTTCTCCGATCATGGCGGGTGGGAACTCAAGTTCTCCGTTCTGTGTCGGAATTCTTTCAGGCATCCATCCATGGCGTGGCCGCTCGAGAGCTGCACTCTGCCGATTATCTGGGTTCCCCTCCCTCTTCCTCCTCAACCAGCGAAATCCTCTGTTGGCCAGAATCTCCGTGACAAGGAAAACCATCTTCGGACAGTGACGAATTTTATCCGAACAGGGCGGTTCCGACCGAGATATTCCCTCCCTCTTCTTACAAAGTCGAATCCTCTGCCGAAAGGGTACGATCAAAGAACCTCCTTTTATTTTTTGTCTCTCTCTCTCCCTCCTTCTATCTCTAGAGTTCAATAACATTGATTTTTTGTGGGATTATAAATCATAATAAAAAACAGGATGTGTATTACTCACAAGGCGAGGAAGATCTGAAGGTCTAATTTTGCTTAGAAAAAAAATGAAGAAATTGATCTCAAGCGCATTTCTCCCATATCGACTCCGAATCTTCGTAAATCAGAACGGATCAATAGTTGGGCTCGCGAATGACGCCAGCAGAATCTAAGCATATTTGACCGGGAGAAAAGGGGCTGATGGGGAAGAAAGCCCCCCCCCGGTCGCCTTGCCGCCGTCGCCGTCGTCGTCTCTCCCGAAATCGGCGAGATCCGCCGTCTCCGTCGTCGCCTCATCGATGGATCTGATAAAGGCGAGGGGCACTCGCCGGCCCTCTCCCCCGCCGGGGCCTATAAAAGGGAAGCTCCACCGCCGCCGCCCGCCGGCACAGCGGCGAGCCGGCGAAGGGTTCCTGCCACAAATGGGCCTCCCCGCGCCGTCGAGGTTGCTGGCGCTGGCGGCGCTCGCCGCCTGGCTCTGCGTGTGGACGCTGAAGCCGACGCCGGCGTGGAAGATCTGGTGGCACGGCGCCGAGGACTGGGCTGGCCGCTGGCTCCTCCGCGATGTTGGTGATCCCCGCCGCCCGCCATGGCTCCTCAGAGTTTTCTCTCCTCCTCGCTTCTGGGTCTTCTCTGATCCTCGCCTTTTATATCGCAGGCCTCTACGTGCTGGTTTTCAGCTTTCCTCCGCTGACGGCGGCGGCGATGGCGTACCTTCACCTCCATCTCCTGTCCAGAGAAGGGAGGAGGATCCGGCAAGGCCACTCTCCTCCATGACCACCTCTTCGCTGCCTTTGAACGGCTCCATTCTCTCTCTCAAAACCTGCCATTTTTTTTGGGATCCTGTCAGCGGGCGGCGACCGGGATGGATGCCCGCCATGTCGAACCCAGTCTTCGTGCTGAACCCGCTCGGCATGGTTTCGGCGTTTGAGCTCCTCATGGCGGCGCTGTTCGCCACACTGCTGGCGTGGACCTTCTTCTGCGGCATTGCCCGCGACTTCAAGAAGTCAACGGCGGAGAAGTTCCTCCGCCTCCATCTCAGCAGGTCAATCGCCGCCGCCGTCGCTCCCTCTCCTCGCCCCGCCGCTGCCCTCTTCTGAGCCCTCCTTCCCGATGCGATTGCAGCCTGCAGGTGAAGGTGATGCAGGTGGGGACCAGGATGGGCTCGCTGGCGGAGATCTGCCTGGCCGTCCTTCTCTTCCCCATTCTGAGGAAGATGGCGGTGCTCAAACTGGTCGGCGTTCAGTTCGAGTCCGCCGTCAGATACCACGTCTGGATTGGGAATCTGCTGACCCTCCTAGCGGCGGCGCACGGCGCCGCCGTCATGTCCGTCTGGGCTTCCAAGGGCACGCTTCTCAGCGAGGTGGCGTCTCCGATCAAAGTCAAACTCTTCTCTAATCAGAAAACAAGATTCTTCCTCTCCGATTCTAGTCAAACTGCAATCTTTTCCGTATGTGTTCATCGCAGATGACAAAATGGCCGAGAACAGGCCGCGTGAACCCCGCCGGAGGAGCTGCCCTGGCCACAGGCCTGGTCATCTGGGTTACCTCCCTCCCCCCAGTGAGGAGGAAGAACTTCCACCTGTTCTACTCGGCCCACCATCTACACGCCGCCTTCCTGGTCTTCTTCCTCCTCCACGGCGGTGATCGGCACTTCTACACGGTCTCATCAGGGGCTCTTCTCTTCGCCCTAGATAAGCTCGCACGAGTGATCGGATCCAGGCCGGCTGCCTCCATGGTTTCAGCGAAGATCCTCCCCTGCAGGGCGATCGAGCTCACCCTTTCCATAAAAGGTAACAACTCTGAGCCAAAGAGCTAACTCCATTCTGACCTCGCCGGCACCGCCTTTTCCATCATAAATGCGCGACTTTGCAGGCCTGGACTACACCCCGACCAGCTTCATGTTCATCAACGTTCCCGTCATATCCAGGTTTCAGTGGCACCCTTTCAGCATAACCTCGAGCTCCGCCATGGGCGGCGACAGGGTTTCCTTCGTGATCAAGTGCAATGGCCGGTGGACTGGTTCACTCTACAGCAAGATCAAATCCATACAGAACTCAGACCCCGCCGCCCTCAGATCCTTCGCCGTGGCTGTTGAGGGCCCTTACGGTCCGCCATCCCTTCCCTACGAAAGGTGTGTACATATATAGTAATTCAGGATTTTTGTAGTGTGAGTAGTTTGATAATTCATGGTGGTCTTCTTGGAAGGTACGATGCTCTGATCCTGGTGGCCGGCGGGTCGGGTATAACCCCATTTCTGAGCGTCCTCCGGGAGATCTCCGCCGGGCGAGCCGGGTCGCCGGCGAGGGTGGGGCTGGTGTATTGCGTGAGGAGGGCGGAGGAGCTCGCCATCCTGGGCTCGGTGTCGCACCTGCTGCTGAAGAAGAAGAAGAACGGGTTCCCGGGGCTGGTGAGGGTGAAGATCTTCGTCACTAGGGAGGGGAACTCCTCCGGCGTCTCCGCCAGGGAGCTCATCGAAGCGGCGTCTCAGCAGACATCGACCATCGTCTCCGGCGAGGAGAGCGCACCGACGACAACCGCTCAAAGCCCGAGCTCGTTAGGGTTCCGGTCTACGGCGGCGGTCACCGGATTTGCCTCCGTCGTCTTCCTCGCCGCCCTCGTGGGCCTGAGCCATGGCTTCCTGCCTCCCCCAGGGTCTCCCAACGGTTCGTCGTTGGCCACTGACCTCGTCGTCCTCGCCGCCTTCGCCATCGCCGCCGGCTGCGGCGGCGCCCTGGCGATAGCCCTTGTGAGGAGAACGAGCCCGCAGAAGGACGTCCCCGCGCTCTGCCGGAGCCATGGCGATACCGACAGAGAATCGCAGTCCGAGAATGAACGGGCCCCCGACGGAGAACCTGAGATATCATTCGGAAATCGGCCAGATCTTCAGGGTAGACTACGATCATATTTCCACAGTTTATACCCATCTATCGATCGTGGTACATTTTATTAAATAATCTGGCTGATCGTCTTATTTGATCGGAGTGGGCCTTGCAGCGGCGGTGGAGGATCTACGCGGAACGCTCGGAGCATTTAACCTGGGGGTGTTCGTCTGCGGTCCGGACTCCATGCAGGAGGCGGTGGCGGAGTTCTGCAGGACCCACCGGAGCTCCGGCGAGGGCCGCGAAGCGTGGAAGCACATCCTGGACTTCCACTCCATTAAGTTCTCTCTGTAGCTGTCTCTCCGTCTCTCGAAACCGAGCAATCATCGACCCCATATGTCCGCAGAGATCTCGTCTTTCTGGATTGAATCCAGGAGAGAAATCGAGCTCATCTAGAGCGTTCACTCACTGCTACTGATCTCCCAAGGCTTAAGCTGTACAATCAACAGCACGAAAATCTCACCCAAGATCTTACTGCGTACGGACATGTACATGGAGAGAGAGAGAGAGAGAGACAGACAGACAGACAGAGACAGAGGCACAGAGAGTGAAAGAGAGATACAGAGACAGTCCTGCCTCGATTAGGCATAGTATTATTGTACATAAAGAAAACAAAAATCTTTGGGCACGCGGTGCGGTGGACGGGGAGAACAAGTTAACCAGGGCCGTCAGCGTCCGCTGCTCAGCGGCGGCTGCCCGCCGGCGGCCAGCAGCAGCGCCACCACCTCCTTCATGGAGGGGCGGTTGGCGGGGACGGGGTGGCAGCAGGCCATCCCGAGCTTGAGCACCAGCTCCATCTCCGCCGGCGGGTAGTCCCCCTCCAGCCGCGGGTCCGCCGCCTCCAGCAGCCTTCCGCCGGCGTAGAGCGAGCGCACCCACTCGAGCAGGAGGAAGTCGTCCTCCTCGGCATCCTCCGCCATCTCGATCGGCCGCCGTCCGCAGGCCACCTCCAGCGCCACCACCCCAAAGCTGTACACGTCGCTGGCGGCGGTGGGCGCCGGCTCGCGCGCCAGCTCCGGCGCGAGGTACCCGAGCGTGCCGACCACCCGCGTCCTGCTCGGTGCCTCCCCGTGCTGCTGCAGCTTCGCCAGACCGAAATCCCCCAGTCGCCCGCGCATGCCGTCGTCGAGGAGAATGTTGCTGGATTTCACGTCCCGGTGGAGCACCACCTGGTCCCAGCCGTGGTGGAGGTACTGCAGCCCCTCCGCCACGTCCGCCAACACCCTCCGCCTCCCTTCCCACCCCAGCAGTGGCGCCGCCGCCGCCTTGGCGCTGCCGGCGGCGGCGAAGGGGGAGGGGAAGATCCAACGGCTGAGGCTGCCGTTGGGCATGAAGTCGTAGACCAGGATGAGCTGCTTCCCCCGCCGGCACCACCCCTTGATGTGAACCAGGTTCTTGTGCCTGAGCCTGCCCATGCTGGAGATCTCTGCCATGAATTCCTTGAGCCCCTGCTTCGAGTCGTGGGACACGCACTTCACTGCCACCTCCGCCGTCTCTCCGCCGACGCCGGTGCCGGCGTCCCCCTTGCCGTCCTTGGGGAAGACCCCCCTGTAGACCTTCCCGAACCCGCCGGAGCCGACTAGCCGCTCCGCCGAGAACCCCCCGGTGGCCGCCACGAGCTCGGCGTACGCGAACCGGTGAGGCCAGTACTCCTTCTCCCACTCCTCCATCTCGTCCTCCTCACCGCCGCCGCGGCGCCGGCGGCGGCTCCGCCAGTGAAAGAAGAAAAACGCCCCCACCCCCAGGGCCAGCGCCGCAGCGGCGCCGGACAACCCCGCGGCCAGGTTCTTCAACGGCGAGGAAGAAGACGACGGCGGCGCCGTCGCGAAAACCGGAAGCCCGGTGGTGTTTATATCACGGGCGGGGAGGCCGTCGTCGCGGAGGCTCCACGCAAGCACCCTCTGCGCCTCCACCCACTGCGTCTTCGACGCAGAGAACCCCACGAACATCTTCTCCGACAGGTACTCGGTGAGCTCCGGATTGGCGTAGGAGATCAGCGGCCGCGGGGGCTTCTGTACCACCTCCACCGGCGCGACGGTGACCTCGATCAGGCGGCGCGGCCCGTCGAAGTCGACCCAGGCGCGGACGTTGCGCCCCGACCGCATGTCCACCGGCACGAACTCCTGCCCGCCGGCAGCGCCGGTCCGGTAATAACCGGCGGCGGCGAGGACCGACGACTCGATGAAGTTGAGGTCGATGCCGACGTGGTTGCCATCGGGCTCCCGGAACTCGGGGTTCCGGCCGGTGTCGAACTCGACGGCGAGCAGCGGCGCTCGGACCAGAGTGGTGTTGTCGGAGAAGAGCCCGAAGTACTGCCCCGTCAGGCCGGGCACGGCGGTGGTGGCAGAGAGCACGAAGGCGATGCCGAAGCCAGGGTTGCTCCTGTCCTTGGGTAGCACGGAGAAGACGAACGATGTCGAGAAGGAGGACACAGCGGCGGCGCCGCCGGAGGAGTTCCTGAGCATGATGAGCTTGGCGGGGTAGAAAGCGCGGCCGAGGGAGAACTGGTTGGAGTCGTTGGTGAGGCGGACGACGGAGCCCTCCAGGCGGGCGTCGCGGACGAGGGTGAGATCCCCGGGCTTGATGGAGTTGAGGAGGAAGTCCACGCCGGAGACGGGAGAGAAGACCCGGCAGAGGGAGAGAAGGTAGAGGAAGAATACGCCGGCCGCCGCCATCTCCATGGCCGTCGTCGGCTTTCCCCTTTCAAATCTGCCCGGCGGCGACGGCGAGGCTCATTTGGGGACGGATCGAGGGGGAGTCCATTTAGACTGTTGCTGCCGTCAACACGGGTGTATCCTTCAAGAATTTAACAGGGTACTCCGACCCAGTGCGGTTAACGTCGGTCTCCCAACTACCCCCGACCATGGCCCGCAAGGATAATAGAATCCGAAAACTCTCTCTCTCTATCTATCTATCTCTAACTCTCAAAAACCCTTTCTTTAAATGGTAATCGGCAAAAATTCTAAGGGGCGATCCTTTGTCAATGAAATCAGTCAGTCCAGATCACAATCAACCCATTTCAGGCACTACAAAAAATCAATAGATTTCATCAACAGCATTCTCAATTTCAAGGAAACACCAAGTTTCCTATCTTACCAATAAAATCAGATCAAAATATAACTTGAAGACTCTAAGTCAACCCACATTGAAGTTTAAAGTTTAAGATTTAGGGTTTGCTTGGATTAAGAGTTGGGGTAGATGCCATCAGTAGAGATACAAACGGAAATATTCTCATACCAAAATCACAAGATAAAAGAGAGGCAGAAAATGAACATACTCGTGCATATGATTCACATGATTCACCTCGAGAGAATATGATTTATTTCAGGATCAACCTGTTTCCTGCTCGAACTCATCTCCGTCAGATTCCTCGATGTTGTCGGCATCGTCTTCCTCTGCCTCGGCATCAAAGTCCTCTTTGTAGTCGTGGGCCGCTTTGCCCACCACTACCAGGTCGCTGTTCCTCTTTCTGATCTCATTCAACTGCAGGAACATAAAGCCGAAATCAAACCCTAATACCTTAACAATGATGTTATGGGAAAAAAAATTATAACAGAAAGATCTCTTAACAGTGAGAAAAGCAAGAAACTAAATGATATTCCTTAGTGAGAACTTTGATCATTCGTATTATTTATCACCCATAGAAGAGGAAAATATACTTCGATTCCCGCACATCGGGCCAGTTAAAATCTTTCCCTCTATATTCTCTTGGGCCTCTTCCACATATCCATGAGAAAAGTGTCTCCCAAACCAAAGATAGAAAGGCAATGCTGAAAAGCTGATTCTTTAGTATGTTGAGTCAGCTGCAATATTGGAATCACCTTGCGATATTAGATGGGGGATTGACTAGAAGAGGGGAAGGGGGAGAGAGAGAGAAAGAGAGGAGGCAGATGTAGCGAGGCAAGAAAGTAGGGAAGCAAATAGGAGGGGAGGAAATGGAGGAAAGAAGGGGAGTAATACAAAAGAGAATACACACTGCTGCTACAGAGGTCATAGAGCACTGCCAATTGGGACCAGTTATCACCGACCACAGTGACGGGCTGCCTCTTGAAGCTCCACACGACGCCAATGTGTTTGAAAAAGCATGGCAAGTGATCAGGGGAAGGAACCTTCGGCTAAAGTTGAGATTTACTCCAAAGCACCTGCTAAAGATTTTATTTTCATATATGTATTTTATTTTCTCTTTTCTTTCCCCCCTTTTCAAATCCAAATTCGGCTTTCACCTTAGATCAGCCAATGACCGGAATGGATACGGCCAAACTAGCAACTTCTGTCTCCACTTGGAAGAGCAGACTATCAGCATCATATCCGAACTTCCACTGCCATTACTACACCTCCTCATCCTATGAACATTGAAGAAGTCAATCCCCACACCACCCCCTCACCAAATATTTCACATACCAAGGAATGCAATGATCAACAATGCCGAAAGATCTGAAGATAGCCTCACCAGGGGCATTCTGCTATACCACCCTTTGCAAAGGGATGATCTGTTCTTATCTCTGTAATCCACTGAATATGCATCTCATGATTATTTCTGGTTTACAGAGTTATATCTTCAGAACGCCAGCACTTAGCAGCAGTTTTCTAAAAGAATGCGTCAACTTTAGTAGCAAAGTTTTTTTTAAAAATTAAATATTGTCACTACATGATGCGTTCTTCATCGTCAAGGGCTTCAGCAAAGCACCCTACTGCAAAATCTCTCTCAGGTATCCCTTCCCAATGTCTTCCATACCCTCAGTGTTCACTCATCTTGACTTGTGGCAACCCCTGCTGAAGTTGCATAAATCCTCTTTTTTTCGCCAACTCTTCTTTTGAATTGAAAATGATACCAGCTTAGTCCTTAAACAAATCCTTTTCATTGTCAGCGTGTGAATATTTTACAGAGTATCTTAAACCATTACAGCCAAGGTCTGATAGAAGATTTGATAGAGTACTCATAATTTTATAAAATATATTTCTCGAGAAAGCTTAACCCCAAGATAAGATAACAATAGTTGATATCGTCCAGAATACCTCCTCAATGTCATACAAACAACATCCCGCCTACCCATTAAACATTTGAACGATAATGATGAAATTCCCCACCACCTAAAACATAAAAAAATAATTAAGTGGACATCAACAAACTAGTCCACGCAATCTAGCACTCTCCAAAACCAAGTGGCTATCCTAAACAAAGATATTGGGTGTACAGATTCCATTCCTTATTCGGATTTCTATCACAGAGCTTGCAGGTTTTATTATTTTAATAGGTAGGTCTCATGTGATACTCATGATAAAAAAGATGTGATACTAAAAAATAGCACCTAAAGGATTTGTTTATTTCCTTTTTTCTTCATAAAAATGTATTCCTCTGCAAACAAACAAGATACGGTCATGGAAAAAAAAACAATACATTCCTGATAATAACGTGGAATTGAAGACGAAGTTCAAAAGAATATCAACAGTGAAAAGCCACAAATACGAGAGCAACGGGTTTTGAAGTAAGAGATAGGACCAAGCGCCCCCCAGGAAGAGAACAGAAGCCATGCAACCAGTTTTTAGGATCATAACGGAAAGATGTAACATTAAATCTGTGTTTCCAAGTAAAAGAAAGATATATGACAACGTCCACTCCATTCCTCAGTCGACGAACAGGATACGGTCATGGAAAGAAAAACGCATTCTTGATAATAACGAGGAATTAAAGGTGAAATTCAAAAGAATACCAACCGTGGAAAGCCACAAACATGAGGGCAATGTGTTTCGAAGCGAGAGAGAAGACAAAGCTCCCCCCATGGAGACAACAGAAGCCATGAAGTCAACTTTTAGAATCATAAAGGAAAGATGTAACATTAAATATGCATTTCCAAGTAAAATAAATCTATGTGACAAGGTTCATTTCATTTTCGCCAACGTCAGTTTGATACCATGCAAAGTAACTAGCAAAATCTCAAATAAAAGATAGCATAATTTAAAAGACACTTAATCTGTGTTCTAATGTTGAAGAAAGTCTTAATGCACAAGGTTTACTCCGTATTCACATAAATCAGTTTCATTCCAAAAGAGGCTTTGAAAAAAAAATTCACTTCCTTCTTCGGGTAGCAATATCATGAAAATTTACTCATTCACCACGATATCCTTTATCTTCCCTGAAAATCAAAGTATAGCATACTCCTCTTGTAACTCATTGAACCATAACAAAACTCAAGGCTGATTGCGTAGTGTTCCATGTAGATGACGATGGTCTTGATGATGGCAACAAGACTTTTGATATCTCCATGATCCATAATTCCAACTGGCCAGCAGGTTTATTCTTGCACTTCTAGGAAAGACTAAAAGGATCAGCCTAGTCGCTCTCTGCGGCGCTAAAAGTGCGCCTTCCAGAAAAGACGTTGAAGGAACCAAATGGACAAATATACAGAAATCAGATGTAACGTTTTATATCAACGGAAGACATGGCTGAAGGTCGGCAGAAAGGAATCCAAACATTTTATAAGATAATGAAACTGGAAGCTACTTTTCAGGAGATCGCAACATTCTCGAAGCCACAAACTCAATCACTCGCTCACAAAGACATACTGGACAAGGAAAAAAATACGAAGCAGCAGTGATAAACTGCACACAGGAGAACCAAGCAACCAACCTGAGGCTCCTCAAACATCACCAATAACAAGAACACATGAGAACGAAGAGAAACGGGGTCCCACCTTGTCTTCCAGCTCGGATTCCTCCATCGCCAGGAGGATCTCGTCATTCTGGGCGCTCGACCACAGGGGGAGGAGAACCGACGACGGAATCAAAGGCGGCGACGGGTACTGCCGCATGAACGCCGGATACTGCAACATCTCCCTCGCCGCCCTGCCCCAACTCTCTCTCTCTCTGGCGGCCGCAGACCATCGATTCCTCTCTATTCCCACTGTCAAGGGGAAAGGGGTAAGGATGATTTAGTCATTTCATATTCAAATTCGAAGGGAGTCACCGCCGACCGGCCAGAACCGGCCCGACCCGATCCAAGCCGGCTTAGCCGGTTCAGCCCCTGAACCTAAACCCTGCTACGTTAAAGTCATATAAAAAGGTTTGGGTGTAAAAACATTAAATTCAATATACCTGCTTTTGAATTCAGTATAAACATATTTTCATTTTAAGTTTAAATTTTAAATTTCTTCTTTGGGTAGCATATAATTTGTAATTTAATTAATATTTTTCAGTCATAAAGAAAAGTGGTACAGAAGTAAGCCTGATTTTGCTCGTTGAAATCTACGGGAATCCAAAAAATATAAATATATTTATTTATTTTTAAAAAATATATTTAAAAAGAATATAGACAAAAAGCTCGAAGCGTTGGATTTAGGGAAGTCCTTTTTGCGACATTTAAACAGGAATGATCAGTGAAAACTGGTTTGAGGCGCGGAGGTGAACCATCTTAATGGGCCGAGCCGAGGTGTTATTCTCGGATACGGCCCAAGTAGATCACTTTACGAAAGTCAATATAACTTTCCCCAAAAATGACGCTAAAATCATCACCCTAACAAGTCAAACTTCTAGCTATATCTTTTATTATATGACTTAAATAGTAACTTTATAATGAAGTCATCGAATAAATAAAATTATTTTTTTTTTTGTGTAGGAAGTTAGGCGCCGATTCAACGCGAGGCGGTTGAATGGTTCAGTCAGCCCCGAGCGTGTTCAAACGCCGGTCCACGACCAACGCATTTTCCAGTTCCCCGGTGAAAAGTCCAGTCCACGCAAACGCGGTTTGGAAGCCACCCTCCACCTCGCCCCTGCCGCCCACCGCCTTCCGCCGACGACTTTGCTTAATCTTCCACGTGTAGCCATTAGCTGCGGACACGCAAATGTGTCAGATGACTACTCGCGGTGCCCCACCCAACGCCCGTCCATCTGGCGAGCTCAGACCACTACTTTCCGTCGGTTCGTTATTCTGCTTTGCACCTCGACGGAGCACTACGGAATATTTTTAAGATTATTCCGTTAAATCGGTCTTCTGGATTCGCTACAGGGACCCACTCCGAAAGAGATTATTCGAGGAGGGGGAGATTAGTCAGTGATGGCGGTTACGGAGCGGCGTGGATAACTACCAGGTCAATTATTCAGTAAGATGACCGGGCCACACGTGATCCTCAGATGAGATCGTCCCGCCAGAGCAACCGCGCGCTGGCGGGATCAGATATTTCCCCCGGGGAGGGTGGATATCTTAAATTATGTTATTCCTGCGGGGATTGCAACAACCTGGGGAAAGCTGGGGCCCACTTGCGAGGAGATGTCCAGCGGTGGACGGGGACGATTATTTGTTTTCCAGGAGGTTCTAATTTTCCTTTAAAATCCCACCGAATTAAAGAATATTCGCTCCCTCATTCAAAGCGAGTAATTTTCGGTGGAAATAATAATAAATGCACGCAGAATATGTCCAAGAAGGCCCCCCCGGCCGGCACGTCTCTTCAAGGATAACCGCCGACTGTGCAAACCATCGGGCTCCGCTACAACGCTTTGGTGTCGACACCTGGCCCCCGCGCCCGGCAGTTCCTTCTAGACAGAGAAAACGAAATACCTCCCCTCTCTCTCTCTCTCTCCCCTCGTCGCCGTGGGCGGGAGAGGAGGGGGCGGTGAAGAGGATACACGAGGCGCTCATGGGGGAAGGCAAGTGGCTCATCGCCGGCCAGCCTCCCGGGGCGGAGGGGCGGAGGGGCGGCCAGGCCCCGCCGCTCTGGGCTCCACGCCGCCTCGACACCATGCCGGTACACGACGAGCCCCCCCCCCCGCCAGCTTGTGGAGCCGCTTAACGGCAACCAGTAGAGATAGAGAGAGAAAGAGAGAGATGGGACTCACCAGAATTCCTGCCCGTTGGGGGAGAGGGGATAAGGTGGAGATAAATCCGGATATACTCCGCACCTTACAAAAACAGTGCCGAAGAACCACGGAGGAACACTAAAGAGGAGGAGAGGCAGAAAGCGACGACTCACGACGGGGATGGATATACACCTGCTGCGGGCCCCACATGGCTCCCCCATCGGCCGCCATCTGGCCCACTCCCCCCCGGAGGCCCAACTTGTGGTAGGCGCTCGCCGGGGAGATTCCCCTGCGCCATGCGTGCCGCGCTGCACGGCGCCCCTGCTCGTGGGCCGAGAGGGCGCACCAAATCATCCGAGCGGTCGTACGATAAAAATTAGATAATTTTAAAATGGCTTATATTTCTCTTTTTTCGTATTTTTAATATTAAATGGACGAGGAAGGAAAGACGAGTCGTGGGCCGTCGGGTCGCCATAGAAACGAGTGATGTGGCTGGTTTATGACGTCATCATGATATCATCGATCCCGGGAACCGCGGCGCGCCACAGAACTCACCGTGCGGGATGAAAAGATTTTCACGTGGGAGGAGCTATGATGAAGGCACGCGTCGAATTCGCCTCTGCTCGAATCGGGTCTTCTGACTCGGAAGGGTCTGGAGCGCGCCGCAATTATTGGCCGCTGTCCCCTTCCGCCGTCATTCTCCGCCACTGGCTGACGTTGCCAACTGATTCGTACCGGACTCCGTTACGTTTCCGTCGGGACGCCTCCTAACGGCGTTCCGATTATCCCGGGGTGTAAGTAATTGACCGACGGTGCGGTAAAAACCACTGACGGCGGTTTGTCCGCCATTTTAACCCGGCGGGTTCGTGGTGCAGGACGCTATAAATAAGGGTGGAGAGGGGGCTGAGGGAAGGCTTGAAGGCGAACTATCTTCTCTTCCAGAATCGTCTTCTCTTCTCCTCTCTACTCTTCTCTTCTCTGTTCTTTTTTCCACCTTCGGTCTCCATCGTGGTTCAGGCGGCTCACCAGGAGATTCTTTCCTTCGATCGCTCACCGGCCAAACCCAGCGAGTTGACTGGCCTGTGTGGAGGCGCCGACGCCGGAGATAAGCTTTGAAGGTAGCATGGTGGCGGGATCGTCATCCTCGTCGTCGTCCTTGTCTTCTCTGACATCCTACGGCGGTTTGTCGGAGGATGCCGGCGGCGTGAAGGGAGGCGGCGGCAGTTCCACCGTGGTGAAGTTCCTTTGCAGCTATGGTGGCAAGATCCTCCCGCGCTATCCCGACGGGAAGCTCCGTTATGTGGGGGGAGACACCAGGGTTCTCGCCGTCGATCGCGCCCTTTCCTTCTCAGGTCCGCGCCCCCTCCCTCCTGGACTCTTTATTGTATTGCAGATCTTGTTCCAGTTTGTGAGTTTTCATTTATTGTTAACTTCGCGGGAGTAGATGTTGGTAGATGTTTGAGGGAGAGGCTTTTATTAGGGTTTTGTTAGACAGTTTATTCTCTCATTCAGTTCCTCTGTGATGTGGATGGGAACACGTCTCCGGAGAAGTGCCGTTATCAAGGGGTTTTGCATATATTTATATAATGATTTATGTATGATTCCTTGATCTCTGTATTAACGTACGTTCTCCGGTGCTGTTTATGGATGGCAGAGCTATCGGCGAAAATGGCGGAGCTCTGCGGATGGGGGGTACCAGTGAGTCTGCGGTGCCAGCATCCGACGGAGGATCTCGATGCGCTCGTTTCCGTCACCTCTGACGAAGATCTTGACAACCTCCTGGAGGAATACGACGTCGCTGGCCGGGACAGGGACTCCCAGCACAAGGTCAGGGCCTTCCTCACCCCGCTCCACCCGCCGGCGGTAGCGAAGTACCCAGCTACACCTACTTTGTCAGCCAGCAAGGGGAAGAGCCCCTTCGTTCCCTCAGCCACCGCCCGTCCCGTCCACATCCAACAGCAACTGCAGAATCTCTCCTTAATTCCTCCCTCCTCCTCCCCAAGGCTTCCCTTCGGGCCCCCAGCGGCCGTTTGCTATGGCCACCGACTTTACCACCGCCAAGATCTCCACCATCGCGCCTGCATCATCCATGGCGGATCCAGTGGCTGCCCGGGCGCTTCATCCTACAGGTATCACCACCATCAGCAGCATCCCCATCTGATTCACCTCGGGAAACACTGGCAGTAACAGAGGCAGCGGGTGTCGAGCACGCTTCCTTTTTCTGCCCGTGTTGTTTTTTTCTCCTCCCCAATCGAACTGCAGAGAATGAACATAGACGTCAGTGTTTTAATCCGGCGCTGTACATCCGACTTGAATGAAAAGCATCACAGACATGGGCAGAAAGATCTGTCGGGAGAACTCTAAAAATCCGCACGAAAAACTGCGATCAATTCTCCCAGGGCAACGAATGCCATAAAGAGACTTCATTTTTTTCCTTCTGTGTAATTCCTGTGTGTGGGTGCATCTGCCCACCGCCTTCCCCAACCCCACCAATCCTCGCCAGCGTCGTCCCGTTCCCAACGGCGAATCCACCGTCGGCCGGTCTCGTTGCCCCCGTCTCCTTCTCTGATTTCTCTGTTCCCGGTCTCCGGCGGCCAACGTCGCCGTCTCCGTGTGCTTCCTGCTCCTCTTTGCTTCGTTTCATTGTTCTTAGCCTTTCCTTCTTTACTATTATCTGTTTCGATCGTATTTCTTTCTGTTCTTCGAGTTTTTCTCTGCATCTGGTTCCTCCTTTTTTCGCTTGGGTTCGTTTTAGTTGGCGATGGTGCAGTTTTCTTCATGAGCACGTAAATCTGGCCTGTGATCTGAAACTGACGTCTTGCTTTCTCTCTCTGTGTTGGTTTCTTCCTCTGTCCAGGCAGGTGGTGCTGTCCTAGAGACCGCGCGGAGACGGCTGTCGGGGATTGCCGATGGAGAATTATTTCCGTTCTCAGGCCCCCCTCACAGGAGGCTTCCCTCCTTCCCACCCATTTCCTCTCCCCTCTCCGGCATTCGGCCTCCTCCCGCAGCCGCCGCCGCCGCCGCTTTTCTCGAAGCACACGCCTTATTTTCCTGCCTTTTACTTGAGAAAATCAAGGCCTCCACCTCCTCACTTTCCTTTCCTTCATAGACCAGAGCTCCTCGTCTGCCCTCTTCCTGAGCCAGACCCCCGTGTGGACTAGTCACCACCATGCCAGCGTTTCCAAGGTTGACGGAGCTTGCAGGGTCTGGAGATGACGGCAGCGTGGCGGAAGGTCCATGCAGGTGTCTTAGTCTGCCGATCTTCGGGGTCCTCCGCCCAACCCACCTGCCTCTTCTGTTCATCGCCATTTCTCTATTCTTTTGCTTAGAGATGGGTAGAGGGAGATACGAGTATAGTAGTCGCCAACCTCCCCTGGCTCAGTCGGATCTTCTTTTTCTTAGTCAGAACGCAGAGAATAACCAGGATTTTATTTTTCTCCTTATTTTTTGTACAGTCATAGCCCATGTTTTTGTGAATGAATAAATATACCCTCTAGAAACTGCTTCCAGAAACGAGAAACCGTGGGACTGCTGCCTTGAAAATGGCGGCCAGTTAACACCACTTTTTTTTAATTATTTTTCCACGTCAATAACTAGTTGTAGCATTATATAGAGTTTGGAGGGAATCATTTTTTAAAATAATTTTTTATATTATTATTTTAAAAAAATTGTCTTTTCAAATTGACTAGTCAAGAGAGACAGAAAAAGAGATTGTGAAAGGGACTCAAAGTGGCGGAAAAATATTGAGCATGCTTCTTTGGATGTCAACGAGCCTCGCGAAGGACCGGGCTTATTGTTTTAAAAAATAAAATTAAATCAGCCCTTTTTATTTGACCAGTTAAGGTGAGCAAAAATATTGAGCATGCTTTTTTGGCTGCCGGGCACATTATTTTTCAAAAATATTTAAAATCGGGCCTTTCAGTTTGACCAGTCAAGAGAGAGAGAGAGAGGGAGTCTCGCACGTGAGGAAAATTTTCATTCTATTTCATGGGCTGTCAACGAGTCTTAATGGGCCATGCTTAGCCCGGAGTCAATACTCTGGGCTGGACTCACTTCTGAACCCGGCCTGTACACTGGTTTGTCGATCAGTGAGTAGGATCATTGGCTTGATGACACGTGGACGAAGAACAAGCCGACTGGCCTTATCGGAGAATGGTTCCACAGTTCTCTAGAAGGATTTCAAATTGATTCGAGCATGGTGGCAGAAATAACCGCCCACACACTCGCCCCCAGAAATGGCGGCAAGCTTGGGTCCCGTGTCGGTTCTTCCTCCCTCCACGCAGCCATGCCGCCGCCGTCGACGCCTCGGCACCGGCTCTGTCTCCACTGTGGCTTCTTGCGGCGCTCCCCCGGGTGGTTTCTTGTTCGCGTTGCTGGACGGGGGTGGTGGCGGTGGGGGTGGAGGGGACAATGAAGCTCTGCGTTTACGTGCTCGAGGCGAAGGGCCTGCGGGCGCAGGCGGAGACGTACGTGAAGTTGAAGGTAGGGAAGTACAGGTCAAGGACGAGGATGGTGAGTGTGGGAGCCGATCTGGTGTGGAACGAGGAGTTCGTGTTTAGGATGGAGGATGCGTGGGAGGTTGGCGACGGGGAGGAGGAAGAAGCGGACGGAGACCAGCTCTTGACTGTGAGGGTCTTCAGCAGGGATCAGACTAGGGGCGGGATTTTTGGTGGCGGGAATAGGAGACTGCTGGGTAGGGTCGACGTTTGGCTCTCTACCGTTTTTGGAGATGAACGGCGGACCCTGCCGCCGACGTGGTTCCCTCTGAGGCGTCAGCGTGGCAGCGTATGTAAGCTGGATTGCGGTATTCTCCTTCCTAATGGGATTGGGCAAATTTCCATTCCAAGTTTCCTTGCTTCTTTTAATGATTCGTTGCCTACCTCGCTATTGTTTCTTCCATATTAGTAGGTAACATGTGGTTTGGTTGCCTGTCACGTCGATCCTTTGCATATGGGGGATCGTCATCTTTATACCTTAAAACAAAATAACGTGGCAAATTTTGTATTTATGCATTACCGTACCTCTTTTCTGAACTCCGTTCTAATTTTTTTCCCATCTATTTCGGTAGTGGACTGTAAAAACTTGTTAGGGAAGTTTGAAATATGTTAAGCCAGTCATTTGGAAAGTCTTTGATAGAAGAGGAACCAAACTAAAATATTTCCTTTTTATCATACATTCAAGGTAGAGCTTTTGCATTATATACTCTCAGACTAGGAGTAGAATGAAAACAGCAAACATGTTGTCCAGGTTACCATGTATATATGCCTTTGAAATTAACCCACCGCTGTGGCCTACAAGGATCCTACGAAAATAACTAATTGATTAGTTCCTATTCTACTGGAAACATTTTGAGTGTCTTAGAGGAACTTTCTGAAATGCGACTATTGCACAAACTTATGACGTTGTTTTCCCGTTCAAAAAAGTGATTTACACAGTTAACTTCGTGCACCCATTTTACACATAGAATTAGGAAAAAAATGCAGAAAAGTAGAAATTGTACAATATTTGCCTTATGTGACACATTGGAATTATGTAGCTTCTGTTTTCACAGAATGAACAACCGTAAATGGATTAAAAAAATCAGCAAAAAATTTAAGTACCTAAAGATCCTGCTATGACATAGTAATTATGCTATCTATACCTGAGTCGTATAGCTGCTGATTTGCGATAGCTTGGGCCTTTTATGATGCAAAGACTAATTTTGATATATTTTTAGAAAGATGGAATTATTTTATGATCTTTTTGATGATACCATGGGATGTGAGTGATTTGTAGTCATTTCTTTCTGTTTATTGCTGCCATTTCTTGAAAAAGGCATTGACGTTGAAATCATGATGATGCCACTTCACCATATAATTTTCTTAGTCATTTATTACAATATCGCTGGGATGGGAGTTCTGTTCCACCATCATGATTTCAAGATCGATGCCTTTTTCCTTCATATGAGTCCACCACATTACTTCTATTGATTATGCCAAAAATTCTTTCTGATTTGAAAGAATTGGTGGTAATGAGGGTCATGTTTTTCATTGTTGTGCTTAAACAGTATTATATAGAGAATTCAAAGTATTTAATTTCTTTCCTATTCCAGATATTGGAGATGCAAATTTTATTTTAGTTTTGTTGGGATTCCAAGGACGTACTGATAAAAATTCAATAATGGAGGCTAATGATATATAAATATACATTTGAAAATAATCCTCTTTGTTCCTTTCGAAGTAACCTATGATGTCTAAAGCTTTCACTCTATTCTCAGTAAATTCTCATGCTTTAATCCGAAATATTTTCTCATAAATGTATTACATCAGAGTTTGATCCGAAATTTATTGGACATCTTTTAAGGACTGATGTACTATTTGGGAAAAAATTAGTGCAGAATTACAGCTATCTCAGTCTCAATATCTGTAAACTGATGCGTAAACATAGCTCTCAAATAAAGCTTTTGAAAATCACCCAGGAGGTTATTTTTAAAGTAATAGAAGACAGTGAGCTCTTTTTCTTTCTCAAGCCTAATTTTTTTTGACGATTATTCAGAAGCTATACTACATGGGAAATTTCATTTAAAGTGTTTTATTGATTAAAGTCAAATAGACCGTTAAATTCGACTCTTCTTCTTAATCATAAATATTTTAGTGGATGTGTTGAAGAACGTGTCAAACAAATAAGGACGATACCTGATAAAAATACATGAAAGGATTGAAAAGAACAGATTCCAGGACAATTAATGCTCCAATCATCACTTTCACGTTCAAAATCTTCCTTTGATCTATCTTCAGAAGTTATATATATTTTAACTGGAAGGCAGCAAGTTTTAAGTTCGAGGTTACTTTTTCGTATTCTAGATAATGATGTTGTAGATTATGGGAAAAAGAAGTTTTTTTTCTTGTTAACTGAGAGAAATGAAGATTCATATAGCGATAGGTGAAGTGTGTTGAATTTATTGGTCTATCCATCCCAAAAGAAATTAGCAATGAGTGGAGTGGACCCATCTTTTTAATCTCAGATTTACTTTTGTATTAAATAATCCAAGACTGTCTTAACAAAATTCAAATGATGCTAGAATGACTTTCAGGTCTCAAGCTTAATGAAAAAGTTACAATTCACCCCTTTACAGTTTTGTCGAGACTTGTATATCATCAAGTTTTGTCGATTTTAGGCATTCGCTTTTTTTGTAAGTGTTGTCCATATGCGATTCCATCTTACTTTTCTCTGTTCCATTACTCTAGGAGATCAAGATGTGAACAAAAACTTTATGGCTTTGCATGGATTTGAGATGAGTGGTTTTGGCGTACATTTCTTGTTGAAGACTCTTGAAACATGTAAAGTGAATGCTATTATTTTTCCGGTGGTTTTTGCATGAAAACGGGTGCAATAATCATGTCGTTTGCTCCTCGTCTGCTTTTTTTTCTCTCTTCAAAATAAATGAATTTGAATGAATTTTAATGAATTCTAATGAATTTGAAAGATGTATACAATCATGCGGGAACATCACCTTCATGGCAGCCTTATTTATGATGCTGTAATATGTTTCTGTTCGAATGCAGTAATATCTTTATCTTTTCAATGGGTTTGATGGAGCTATTGGCAGGATTTTGAATACGTTGTTTCACTCCGCAGGGAAAATTCTTCTCACTATGTCTCTGCATGGAAAGAGAATTGGAAAATCTATCACCATAACACCAGAGCCAAGAGATACTCATTCTTCACCTCATGCTATCAATGCCTATAATGACAGTCCTCATAAGGCACAGATGCATGAGTTTACACATCAGGGAACTATCTCTTCAAAAAATGAACGCAAAAGACTCAACTCAGGTGATTCGGTGGTGGCACGTGATGGAAGACATCAAATACAGACTCTAGCTGGGCATTTTATAAAGAGGCTTCTCCATAGGAACGAAGAAAGCTGCACGTCAAAAACGAAATTTCATGATCAAGTGGTTATGGGTGATACAAATTCAGATGCTGAAAGTAACAGAAAGACCAATGACGGTATAGTCAATTTTGGAGAAGCGATTCAAAATCTGCAGTTGAGAGATAAAATACAAAACCCAGATAAATTACAAAGGGGAGTTCTTCTTCAGCATAGGTATGCTGTCTCATCCAAATATCTGAATATGCTCCTCTTCGAACCCAATTCACAGTTTAGACAAGATCTAGCTGAAATACAAGGGACCTCAGAGTACAAAGAAGAACCGTGGATGTGCAATTTTGGTGACAATCCTTCCTTAACACGAGTAGTTACCTACAGAAAGGCTGCGACAAAGTTGGTTAAGGCTGTTACCGTCTCAGAGGAGCAGGCCTACCTAAAAGCTGATGGAGAGGACTTCACAATTTTTTCCAGAGTGTTTACGCCTGATGCTCCATATGGAAATTGTTTCCATCTTGAGTTGATGTATAGAATCATCCCTGGTCAGGAGCTATCCTCACACGAACCATCTTCCCAGCTTATTGTATCCTGGGACTTAATTTTTTCCCAGAGCACTCTTGTTAGAAGTATCATTGAAGAAGGTATTAAGCAAGGTCTTGAAGAAAGTTTTGGACAGTTTGCAGACTTTCTATCGCAGAAGATTAGAACAGTTGAGTCCACTGGGCTTACTTTGGACAAGAACCAGATATTAGCATCATTGCAGCTAAAGCACCGGTCAGATTGGCAGTTAGCTGTAAGCTATTTATGGAATTTTACTTTTGTCTCAACGGTTTTCATGGTTCTCTATGTTTTTGTGCACATTATTTTACCTGGATATGGATCAAAAAAGAGTTTGGAATTTGGATTCTTAGACTTACCTGACACATTAGGCGAGCTGATTACATCTGGGGTACTCTTTTTCCAAGGCCGGATTGTTTTCAAGATGATTTCACGCTTTATTAGAGCCAGAGTATGTAGAGGTGAGTCTGGATTTAGTTGAGCTTTTTTAGAGATGCCATCCATATATTTAAAGGATGACAATGGGAAATTGGTACGAATATTAGCCTTCGTTGATATAACTTCTGCATACTTGTTTTGCGGGTCGCTTGGTAGTTACGTAATGATTTTCTCTCTAGGAAGTGATCATGGGTTGAAAGCTCAAGGCCATGGATGGCTTCTTACTGTAGCCTTGCTCGAAGGAACTGCTTTGCCGTCAGTTAATTCAACTCGATTCTCTGCTCCATACGTCGTTTTCTTTTGTAATGGTAAAACTAGAACGAGTTCTGTGCAACTTGAAACAGTTGATCCTCAGTGGAATGGTTAGTTATGTCAATATACAGTCTTTATGGTTGATTTCACTTTACTTGTGCCTCTTTTGTTTGGGATATCTATTCAATGTTTTCTATTTCCAATTTCCCAGAGATACTGGAGTTTGATGCGATGCAAGAACCCCCTTCCATATTGACTGCAGAGGTCTTTGGTTTCGATGGCCCATCTAGCTTTGCTTCTTCTCTAGGACACGCAGAGATTAACTTCCTAAAGCAAACATCTGAGGAACTTGCTGACATGTGGGTTTCTCTTAATGGGAAATTGGGTCACGCGTCTAACAGCTTGCATTTAAGAATTTTCTTACGCAATACCAATGGAACTACAATTATTAAAGATTACTTGTCACAACTGGAGAAAGAAGTTGGGAAGAAGGTAATGGCTTTTGAAAATGCTGATTTATGTTTTGTCCCAGGTGAGCTGACCTAATATTTGTCAAACGACAGATACACCACCAGTCGCCTCATAGGAACTCAATGTTTCAGAGGATCTTTGGACTGCCGGAAGAGGAGTTCCTCATCAACCATTTCTCGTGTCACTTGAAGAGAATGATGCCAGTTCAGGTCGTTTATGTGACTCCACAGATTGACTGCTTTAAACGATTGAGTGTGACGATCTAAAATGACATGTATCCTTGAATGCAGGGAAGGCTTTTTCTATCAATAAGGATAGTTGGGTTCTATTCCAACGTATTCGGTTATAGGACCAATTTCTTCTTTCTCTGGGAGGACATCGAAGATATACAAGAGATTCCTTCGTCCTTTGCTACAATAGGCAGTCAGTCGTTGTTGATAACCCTGCGCAAGGATCGAGGCCTTGATGCTAGGCATGGTGCAAAGACTGTCGACGAAGAAGGAAGATTACAGTTCCAGTTCCAGTCATTTGCTTCATTCAATGCGGTCAGGGGGTATGGTTTAATTTAGCTTCTGACATGTCCTAGGACTCATTTCATGTGCACATAGTTAAACTACGGTAAGATTCACCGAAAGCTTTGAGTTCCAAACGTGAAAATTCTTCTCACTTAAAGCTCCAGATATCAAAGGCATAATCCATACTTCCCAGAGTTTTGAATTCATCATGTCTGAATCACGAAGCTTATCTCACCTTCCTTCGAAAAGGTACAGCTAAAAGTTCTTAAATTAGCTTAGATCTAGACAAGTAGATCTCGGAGATCAAGTGCCATGTTCTTAGTCGAATCAAACCTTGGGAAATTTTCCTGTAAACAATCAGCGTCAGAATTGGTTTTCCTTTTTTTGTCTGGTATCTTGGTTTCTCTTGCTATTATTAGTGCGTCGGTAACTGGAGAAATATAAACAGAACTGAAATGGAGTTGACATCCTTCAAAGTACTGGGACTTCTCACACCCAGCTTGGAGCTTTATCTTCTCTGGAAAATTCCTCTTAAAATTTAGGCAGTTTGCCATGCCTTTGGTTCCAGTTCAGATTCTCACAACAGACCCAATATTTCGTACAGCCCAGTGCACATTTTATGGTTGTTATTTGCATATTTAGAAATTATTTAACCATTGTCGACAGGACGATCATGGCTTTATGGAAGGCAAGAACACTGAACCCTGATAAGTATGAGGTTGGCGGAAGCAGGTCGGATCCAGGTGGGGATTCCTCCCCATGCGATCTCTCCAAAGTTTACTCAGCGGAGGTTCATGTTAATGTGCGTGCAAGAAAAACCTCCACCCAATCCAAAGAAAGAAACTATATATAGTTTTGATTCTCAGCCTCTCTCATCACTGCAGATGAACTCACTCTTGATGCTCTTTGGAGGAGGTCCCTTGGAGAAGAAGATAATGGAGAAAGTCGGCTGCCTAAACTATACCTCCACTGCATGGGAACCCTTAAGACCCGACTCATTCCACAGAACGGTCAATTACAAGCTTAACCATCAAGTTTCAATCTTCGGAGGCGAGGTGACCAGCAAGCAGAGGAGAACGACCATCCCCAGTTCCAATGGTTGGGCGATCGATGAGACAATGGCTATCCGCGGTGTCCCATTTGGCAGCCATTTCAGGGTGAGTAAGCGAGCATTTCAGTGTCCCTAATTACCAGGTTTCTATATCCACATCACTTCCCTACATTCATGGTGCTGGCGCAGGTTCTTCTGAGGTACCAGGTCACACCTATCTCGTCTGAAGTGGCATGCCGGTGCGACATTTTAATGGGGATTATATGGACCAAGGGTGCCATATTTGAGAGGACGATCGCCAAGAACGTGCACGAAAAGCTGAGTCAGCGGTCGGAGGAGGTGCTCGACGTTGCCCAGTTAGAGATTGGGAGTATTTCATCGGGATCTTGTGGCTGAAAGGTGGCAGATTTTGTTAGAGGATCGCCAAGAGGGCCTATGAAAAAGCTGGTGAGCAGTCTGCTGAAGAGCGCCAGAGTGTCCTCCGAGGTAATCTATGGTTATTTAAACTCAATCATCATTCACATGATTAGGATTTCTGTCGACGTTGATCTTAGAAAGTAAGACATCCCTTTTATTTATTCCTATATACTTTGCTTTCGATCCTCCTCTCCATGCTTTGCTTCTCCCGGAGGAATCCCTGAATGCTTCATGACGGGCGGTCGTGATTGCCCAGAGTTTCATAAGAAAAAGTCTAAGCTTTTACTCGAGTCATACGAGAGCCCCCCTCGTCCTCCCCCCCCCATCTAACATCCATTTTGCAGCTCTGTATCCTGTTTATGTTATGAGAAATTGTTGTATAAATTAGAGGGTAATCTTCGGAATTTGATGGAGCACCATTAACTAGCTCTAAGCTAATCACAAGATCCACACACGCCCAACAGTGGACTACTTGGAATCTTCCGTCTCGGGGTGAATGTAGCAACACTCACATTGCTACTGACCCTTTGAAGAATCCAAGACTGAATTGCTGCTTAACCAGAATCAGATCATAAGAACATGAAAACTATGGATATACGTGCATTCATGATCATGTGCATATCGATGGCTCTTGGAGTTACTGTTGTGCTACGAAAGTTAGTCTCGTCATCGCCATGTTTTCCCCGAAGCAAGCAGTGACAGACCCGAGAGAGTAGAGCAGGTGGGAAAAAGAATGGCGGAATCTACCCCTGAGCTCCCTGCGACAGACAATTACCTCATGGCAAAGGCTTTTGAATCTTACAAGCAGAGGAAGCTACCCAGAAGAGAAGGAGATCGATGGAGATGTCGAATCCGCTGGAGAAATCATCAATCTGCCAGACGGAGGAGGAACACCGAGGCTGCTACAGCAGATAGATGATCAGGTATTCTGGTTTATTCAATCTTCAGGTTTCTTCTTGATTTACAGGCTACACGACATGGAGCTCTCTCCATATTCAGGAACTGGGAAGCAGCTAAGATGGATGGTCAAGCCCTATCCCTGGCCCCCAGACGCCACCCCGACAGAAGTGGAATCGAAATGGGAGTCGCGTAGTACCTCTGTAATCGAAATGGTTTACCAGCAGCACCAGCAGCAGAGGTTGGTGGAGGAGGAGGAGAAGGGCCTGCCCCTACCTCTGTAAGATCGGAGGGGGCGGTGGATTCTTCACCGGTCGTCGTGTGGAAGCACAGAGGAAGGAGGAAGAAGAGCAAGTCAGTCGTACTTCTCCCGCCAGGAGTAGACGAGGAAGAGGATCCAGGAGAGGCTGAGCACGAGATCGCCGACGAGCTGGCGGGGCCAGTCGTGGGCGAGGTCCTCGAGCCGGCGCTCGAAGAAGATCCGCCACAGCGCCATGGCGGCGTGGAGGAGCACGCAGCCCTTGGCGAAGAAGGCCTGGAAGTCGCGATCCTTCACGAAGGAGACCATGAAGAGGAGGAACCCGATCGCGAAGAGGAGCAGCCCCGCGAAGGAATCGGAGGTCTGGATCAGTAGCTGGTCGTGCGGCGTCGACCCCCTCAGCTTCCTCGCCGTCTCGCTGCCGTGCCCGAACACCGCGACCTCGTCCAGGTAGAACATCATCAGCGCCCCGCACGTCGCCGCCACCGCCGCCTGCAGGATGCACACGGCGAAGAACGCCGACGACGACGGGCTCGGCGGCGCCACCGGCACCGGCCGCTGCGCCATCATCACAATAACGCAGCAGAGAGCGGTACGATGGAAAGGAAAAACCCTAACACGGTCTGATTCCCCTCTTCTTCTTCTTCTCGGCTCCGGCGGATGGTCAGGAGAGCAGATCTCAGCTGCAGCGGTAGCGGGGGAGGAGGGTGGGTGAGTGTTGCTCGAACCACGCTGAGGTCCGGGACGGAGACAGGCGCTTCTCCGCGACAGGCGACACAGGGCGACGTGGCGGAGGACACGAGATCTGACCTCATCTGCAGGCAGGTAGGCCCCCACCCCTCCTTCTCTCTCTCTCTCTCTCTCGCTATCCCCACCTTCTGATTCCATCGCCCGCCGTCCATTACGCTAGTTGAGTTTTTTATTAGCCCCTATTAAAGTATAAAACTAATGTAAAGCAGCGTAAAAACTTTATTTGCTCAAGTACTCTCTCTCCAACTGCCCGTCCTTCTTCCTGCCGACACGACGTCAGTCAGCTGGCATCACACCCCCCTCTCTCCTAAATGACATGGGCTGCTGCTGGTGTCCACGTGGGCCAATCAATCTCCCATTTGGAGCTGAATAACGCTCGGGTCCACTGAGAATATTCATATTTAATTTATTAATGATCGCTGACACCACGCGTCTAGCGTAAAGACCGTGCACATCGGGGTTGATCCGACGTGGCGTGGACAGCCAACCTCTCCCATTCCTTGCCTTGTTATTTGCCACGCCCAATATTTTTAGTTTAAATTGGGTATATAATATTTTCTCGTCACAGAGTATCTAAGTCGGGGCCTTGTTTCATACAATCAGCCGAAACAAAAGCATTCTAAACCAGATTAGGATGGAGCAGTTTGCACTGTGGAGCCCTTTTGATTGGCCCAAAATTCATAGTGGGCTGGGCCTGATGCGATTTCAAGGTCTTGAAGTTATAAAATTGATTACGACGGAGCTGACCTCATGATACCCATGTCCACAATGAACCAACTATGAGATTAACCAAGGTTTAAAAGAATTATCTGCTTTTAATTATTAAAGATTAATAGCTCGTGTGGTGACTTTGATGTTGACAAATAATAATAAAGGGTAAAAGAAAATATAAATTATTATAACTAGTGCATTCATTAGTGTATTATATCTTTTCAGTAGGAATATAGTGAAAAGGAACATCAAGAAATATATATGTATAACAAGAGAAAGTCAGACCCATAATAGAAGAAAAAAATTGAAAAAATAAAAAATTGAGGGAGAAACTTGGCGACTAGTATGTTGACAAACTTAAAATTGAATAAAAAATGAGGATAGGTGACACAACTAAAGATACTAAATTTGATGAGAGAGAAAAGAAGATTCTTTCCAAGATATTTGGCACATCAAACGTCACAAACAAATCTAACACATGCTAGAAAATCTCTAACAAATATAAAAAAAAGAAAAATCTGATGCTGACATGTCTCCAAAGCAGATTATTCAAATGTTAGTCAAATATGACTGCATAGACTATTTTCTGAGCTGACTTGGGATTGATCAAAATAATATTTGACCATCTAATTCTCAAATATCTGAACTCTAACAATCAAGTGTTTAGGCTCAATTTAAAGTCTATCTTGAGGACATTGAAAGCATGTCTCTCAGCATACAAATTCTTGTTACTCATGTTGAAGTTCCTCATTCAAATTTATTTTAAGCGCAACATTGCAAAAGCTTTCTCAAGCATTCAAACACCCACAAAATCAAAGAAGTTTATCCTCTTAGCTTCAAGACTGCTTTGTTACTAACCTACTTACCATTACTCTCATATATGAAGGGATTCTAAGGAGTGTTGATAAAAGGGATAGAAAGACAAGCAATGCCTTGGTGTTTAACATGGAGAGGTATATCATAAAAAAAATTGTGTGAGAGGCTTTGTTAATCTTGTATATTTCAGGTGTAATACTTTCAGGGAGAATAGTGAAAACTAAGGGTAGAAACTTTTGGTAAATAGACATAGGACAGATGGTTAAACTGCTATAAATCTAGCTGTTTATTATTTTTTTCTATTCAATATGTTGACAAAGTATAGCCAATTTAATATGTGTTGACTTAGTGGGTTGACCCAACTTAGACTATGCCAATCAAAGTTTTTGTGTACCCACTTAATGAATAAAAAGAAAATTCTTGAAACTAGCTAAAATTAGACAAAGTATTTCAAAGAACCAATACACTCCCCTCTTGGCAATTTGTCTGACCCATCTTGGAACAAAAAACAAGAACTCATTTTTTCATAGTTTTCAAACCAATGATAAATGAAAATTAATTTTGAATAATACCACAATTAGGTGATACTTGGATCAGCCATGTATATACTCATGGAATGGGATTCATTTGCATATTATGATTTTTCTTAAATTTAGGTACTGATTTGGTTGATGCACTATATATGACCCATTTTCTATGTTTAATCTAATTTCAACTAGACAAAAACATAACTAATATTAATTGTATTATCATTTTCTTATCAAAGTATTGTCTTATTTAGCACTTAAGAATAGAGAAATTGGTAACAAAGAGTGAAAATAAAAGTGTGATGCATTATCTTCAACAAGTAATTTACTTAATTTTTATAAATCATTTAATATTATTAATATATTATTGTGTCGTAGACTAATCATTACGATTTTATAAATAATCACCCTTTTTTATTGTGATTCATATCATCATATTAAATAAACTTGTGCTCCTTCTCCTTGGAAGTGGGAATACAAAATTTTAATTTTTTCTTTGATTTCTCATCATGTGTTGAAGTGTCACATTAAAATACATAGTGATTTGAAGGGAAATGCAATGAATATTATGAGAAATTATTTTCTCCTATATAACTCTTATATAAAAAGAATCAAAAAATTTAGTCCAAAGGAATTACATCATTCATTCTTTTGAATCAAAGTAGGAATTAGTATACTCTATATGTGAGAAAAGGGATTGGATCAGCTTACCCTCTTCTTTAAAATTATGAAAAATAAAAATAAGGTGGTATATATTCAGAAAAATATGAAACAACTGTAAAATTAAACAACATAAAACACATTTTAGTGGTTTCTAAGTCTATATATAAAATATGGCTGGCATGATTTTGAGGCATGTCAAATAAAATCGGTGTCAGAACATAAATTATTGGAGTTTTGAAATAATTTTAACATACCTTAAATCTTCATTTTGACAAGCCATTATACACACAAGTTTACTTGTTGTATGAAATGTAAAAATATATTTTTCTAGAAGATAAATGCCAACATTCAATGTTAAGGGATTGATGTTTGAAGCAAAACAAAAAGGATGATGACTAGGTGTTCAAACCAAGAGTGAGTTTTCATACAACTAAAAATGAAGAAAGAGATCAAGTGTTGACATATGTTGTTGACTCTTGAAAGTAAAAGAAGGTGCATGATGGTAAGGTGTTACAGCTAAATAACAATGCTTACTAGCTGCATCAATCAAGAAGAAATGGCCTAATTTTCCAAGACCATACATGCATGCTACATTAAATGCACCAAAGTCAAACCCTCTTAAAAGAAACGGCCCAATAAGGCCCAGAGCCCACTAACACAAAATATCTTGTCAACTCTCAAGTACCCCGATATTTAAAGCTCGGTGGGGTGTTCAATTGGAAGTCCGCTAGTAATGGTCAACAATGACCTGCGAAGATGACAGCAGCCCAAGTTGGAAGAATTGTAGACTGGATTCGGACTATTTGGTCTATTACCATCGCTTATAAAAAAAATTTAAATCATATAAGATTTAATGATCAAATACTATTTTCTAAAAGCAAATATTTTTATTTCAATTTATGAAAGCCTCTTAAAAATAATAAATGTTTATACACATCAAGCAGCCCCAATTTTACGAAAGAACTCAAGAGACGTGAGAAAGAGGGGCGGGCAGAGAGAGAGAGAGAGAGATTTACCTATTAGCATCTATAATTATATTTATTAAAAACTGGTTAAAGCGTATCAGATAGATGATGAAGATTTACGGATTAAAAAAAACTTTAATACCCCCAAAAAATATAAAATAAATACTTTGTATTTTCTATTTATGAACGCCTCTACAAAAAGAATTAATGCATACAAAGATAAAGCATCCCTAAAATTAAAAAAAATAACTCAGTAAAGCGTGAGAGAGAGTGGCGCTGGGAGAGAGAGAGAGAGGAAGAAAGAGGAAAGTTGAAGTTCCCCTCCTTCGGAGACTAAGTAAGTCAGCTAGGGAGACCAGCTGCAAGGGGGAGCGGCCGGTGATGGCAGATCCCGTCGGGAGGCATCGTCGGCTCCCTGAGCAAGAAGAAGAAGAAGAAGAAGAAGAGGAAGAAGAAGAAGAAGAAGAGGCGAAGGGGGAGAAAAAGGAGGTGGAAGAGACAGCGGCGGTGGCGCCATACGGCTGGGCGCTGAGAGCGGCGAGCCAGCGGCGGACATGGGTGGGCCTCTTCCTCGCCGCCTACGCCGCCCTCCTCGCCGCCTGCTGGCGGCTCCTCCACTGCGTGAGCTCCTGGTACGACTCCCAATCCGCCGCCCCCTCTGGGGGGCCATGGCCGGCGCTTTACGCCTCCGCCCTCTTTGGTGGGCTCTTCGGGCTTCTCTCCATGGCGGCAGCCCTGGCGGTGGCCGTCCCCGCGATGGTCGTCACCTGGATCACCGTCCTCGTGCTGCTCGCCTGCGCAGGGAAGCCCCGGCAGGCGCTGGTGCGGGAGGGGCGCCGCGCCACCGCCGACATCGCCAGAATTGCCCTAAAGGTGCTCGTGCGGGAGGGCAAGCTCGTCGCCGCCGTCTGCGCCGTCATCAGCTTCTTCGCCCTCCTCTACCGCCGCCAGGACCTCCACATCCCTCCGAATTCCTCGTGACAGGAACAGGAAAATGCCGCAGAGGAGGAGCCGACTATCCCTCCCCCCCTTCTTTTTTCTCTTGTTTCTCTTCTCGTTCAGGATCAGGTTGTCAACTTTGACATCCTTCTCCGGTAGAAGTGTTCATTCGGATGGGATGCTTGCTGGGTTTCTTGATCGAGCATAAAAAAATTGTCTTGTAAATTCTCTGTTTAATTTCATCCAAAAAATTGTAAGCCCTCCTCGCTGAACTCATTTATCTGCTGCTTTTTAAAAAGATTATGAGCGCTATCACAGCCCAAGAAAAAATGCGTTTAGAAATCAGTCATCCTCTTGCTAATCTTTGATTTTTTATACGCTACAATTATAAAATTATGGCTAATTTTCTTCTTCTTTTTTGGAAAAAAGTTTTCACCAGCTTTGTGGTTAAATATCTAAATATTTGAAAATATGAATAAGACTCAAACAGATGTGGGGAGTTTTCTCGGATTTGCTGCCACCAATTCACTAAGAGCTCAACCTAGAGGACCAAGTCAACTCCCTCTTTACATACTCTGGTAAAGATTGATCAGTTGACCTACTCATCCCCAGAGCTCTCTCCCCATACTCCATCTTTTTGGCTTCTCTCATGGGTAGTATCCCCATGATTGGGCAATGCTCCATTCATATCAAATCATGTGAGCATGAAATCTTAGTCCCATAGATTATTGTATGCAATTCTGATATTTGTACTGTTATAACTGGGGGGGGGGAGGGGGAGGAAAACAATCCAATCCTAGACCACATTAACAAAATGGGTTCTTCCTTGTTGACTGATTCACCGAAATTTTCTATAATATTTTTAGAATATTTATAGGATATGTGGGAGGATACTGGGGGAGAAATTAACAAAAGAGCGTCATGATCTAGTGAAAAAACTCATTTTCACCTTACACTTTTCTGAATTAGTAATCAAAAATAAAAAAAATCTAAAATAAGGGTGTTGAGGATGGGCGAATCTTGTGCCTCATGGGTAATATCCCTATGATTGCGTAATGATCCATTCATATAAAGTCGTATGAGTGTAAAATCTTGGTACCATAAATCATTGCATGCAGTATTGATATTTATAATATTATTATTGTGGGGAAAAAGAGAGAGAATATTTGTTGAACCATTTCGTAGAGAAAAACCCACAATTCTTCCAATGGATATAACTAAAAGAGCGTCATGATCTAGTGAATAAACTCCTTTTCACTTGATAATTTCCTGAAGTAATCATCAAATAAAATAAATAAAAAAATAAGGGTATGAGAATAGGCGAGTCTTGTGCCTGATGGGTGGTATCCCCTAAATCAGGCAATACTGCATTCATATGAAGTCATATGAGATTATTGTATTCAATATTGATATTTATAATGTTATTAACATGGGAAAAAAATCAGTAATTGAATGAAAATGAGTCTATTCACTAGATCACGATGCTCTTTTTGTTAAATCCATTGGAAGAATTGTGGGCTTTTCTTTACGAAATAATATATAAATATTGTAGAAAAATTGGGTAGATCGACCAACAAGGAAGAACCCATTTTGTCAATGTGGTCTAGGACTTATTTTTTCTATTTTATTTATGATTTATTTTGTCGATTGCGCTTCAGTTGGATGTAAATCAGTGGACCTTAAACGTAAGAATCTGAAAACATCAGATTAACCAAACGGTCAAGAAAGTCAATGGAGGCAAGATCTAGTCGCATTTTACAGAAATATCCCTAGAATATTATCGTTCTTGTGGGACAGTCCTTGCTTGGGGACGAAGTGAACGGCGAGAGACGGGGTACACCGCCTCTGTTGGCTATTAAATGGCGGAAGCTGCGGCCTTCCCGACGGAAGCAGCGGCAGCGGCAGCGGCTTACGGTTACGCGCGTCTGCAAGGGCCCCCTCCTCACTCGCCCCCGCCGGCCTCCTCGCTCGATTGCTCGTCCTTCGCCTTCGCCTTCCCCTCGGCTGATCGAGGAAGGGGAAGATCCTGGGCTGTTCGCGTGATCCACCGGGAGGATCGTTTCTCCGGTTGTGGCTGTCTGGCTCTAGAGCTGGTCGCTCGCTTCTGCCTTTGATTACGGTTCTTTTCGCTCATTTTCTTTCGACTCGTTGGAGTCCCGTTGCGGCGGCTTACCAGGGACGCTGGCTCGTTCGGGCTCCTCGTACTCGCCATCGGAGGCGTCGTTAGAGATGGACGCTCCATGGGATTTGGCTGTCAAGGTCGGAGTTGGTCCCTTGTTCTGCTCATTTCTTCCTAGTTTTTCCGTGTTATTTTTTTGTTATTGATGTTGATGAGGTCTGTGAATGTTGGTTGCCATTTACGCTGTTGTTCTATCATCTTTTCCTTTCCTGTGTGCTTCTTGTTATTGTGGGTTTTTCTTCCCTTAAAAAAAAGAATTTTTTCCTTTCATTCAAATATCGACTGAATTCTATCCTTTCATGGTCGTTTGTTCTATTACCCTACAGTTTCAGTTCCGTATAACCCCCCTGTTAATCGTTTCGTTGTCCCTGTTGATTTAGCTAGTTGATGGTTGATTTATGAAGACTTGTTGTTACGAAACTGGTTTTATTCTGAATATAATGAACGAAAGATAAACGTTTAGTTTTTCTTTTGAGGAGAAGCCTAGATTGGAAATCTCTTTGAAATACGAAACACTTGTGATCTTGGATGTGGTTATAGCCTATGAACCGTTTGTTTCATGGGTACCGGTATCGGCTCTTCATTGACAGTTATTTTTTCTTCACTGTTTTTATAACCTTTTTACTCTGGTTTCTGAGTTGTCGAATCGCTGAGTGCTTACATCTCATCGGAAGTCATATCCATTGTGTTTTCTGTTAGTTGTGAAAGGCACAACTCGTATTGCCTTTTCCTCATATTTCTCGAAATGTTTGTAATTTTATTGCTCAACTGTACAAAAATCATGACATATCTTATTTAGTTATATTTTATTTACTTTGTGATGGCTCCATCCTTGTGCGTCGGGTCGTTTTCTTATTGGTCAGGAGGTCGCATTATAACGTTAGGCTTTAGGTATATGGTTTATTTTTATTTTTATTTTTATAACTGAACTAATATTATGCGTAATGGCACATGAAAAATCTGCTTTCAGATGCTTTATTTATCTTCGACTAACAACACTTTGTATGTTTTCCACTTGGCATATGGTATTTCTGTTTCTGATGACTTAATTCGTTTGTTTTATTCGTCATGCCTATGGATGTAGTTGAGTGTACGGATTCCCATAAAGCATTTTTCTGACTAACATTCCATGCCAAGTAACTCATTTAATAAATCTAATCCACTATGATATCACTTGCTAGAAAAAAGTGTCTGATATACGCCGGTATATTGTACCAAGTGGAAGAAAACGGGTTCTTTTCTTTTCCATGACTTAAACCGGGAAAGAGGACCCAAAAAAATACTTTGGAGACTCATGGTTGGTAAATCCCTCGTGTTAATTTTGATATTCAGCTTTTCGTATTACATGGTTCATCCATGAGTCTCTTTTTGGATGTTCAACGATAGTGTCTAAATGTTCTAACTTATGCTGCTCAATATTGACTTCACCCATGGTAGATTTAATGAAGATTATCCATAATTCAGAGGTCAATAGAAAATGTGAGAGAAGATGTGGGCTTCTTAGCTTAGTCCTTTTGATCATGGCATAGAAGGAATGGTCATGGGGCCTAGCATATTCCCCCAACTCATTTTCGGGTGGCCCTTTCTCACAACCTTCTAGTTCCTTACCATATGCTTTAATAATAGAGAGAAGGGCCCCTCCTCTATGCCTGCAACAGATAAGTGAACAGTAGTGAGATGACATTTGGCTCAAACATCCAATGATTACATTATGTGTAGAATCCTGATTTCAAGCATGTTCCACACCATTTTCTACTTAAAATGTTATATCTTCTTGAAGTTAAAGGTCATGGGAAGACCTTTCTCCTGGTTATTCCTCGTAGCAATGCGTTTCATGACTTGAATATTTCAAGTATCTTTCTGCACATAATTATTCAAGTCATTGTCAAGGTGACATCTTATCAAGAGACACCTAGTCTACCCCAGATGTGTTGGCAAGGTTTGCTGACACGAATGCCTCTTCTCATGTCATTTTCCTGAAGTTGGTTTTGATCATTCACCTGCGAATGCTTGTGGCACCCTACGAATGCATGACATGCCCAACATGCAAACAGCTAAAAAAAAAATATAGTATTATATATTTAATTAATTTAACTTAGAAAAATTATGACTTCATTAAAATAAACTAAAATAAATAATAATATGAAAATAATTGTAGTGAAGTTTGTGTATTTACATAAGAACATTACTTCTGTGTTGTTTGTTGCGCATTATGTATATGCAAGTATACATTATTTTGTCATGGTTAACTAATATTAGAAATTGTTTTTACTGCATTGAAAACGTCTTGTTGTCACTTTAGTCCGGGAGTGAATCAAGGCATGGCCTGATTCATCAAAAAAGCTATTATCATCTGATTTGTCCTTCTGTAATGGTTCAATTCTTCTGTAAATTTCTTCCAAATATTTACGTTTAGCCAAAGAAACTATTTTTTTTGTAAAGCATACTTCTCTTTCTGTTTGTTTTAATGACGTCTGGTTGTTTTTCAAGATACATAACTCTTATTCTCCTTTTTTCCTCCTTTCGTTCCTTTTGGATTCTGCAGGTAAAATATGGCAATACTCTCAGGCGTTTCGGTGTCAATGTCCATGGGCTACACATTGATCTTGATATTAATAAATTGAGGACAAAGATCCTCACTCTTTTCAAGCTCGATCCAAATGCCAATATTAGTCTTACCTACACTGATGAAGATGGTGATTTGGTGACGCTTGTTACTGATGAGGAATTGCATGATGCTGTTGTTGGGCAGCGTTTGAATCCACTCAGGATAAATGTGGAGTTGAACACTGATTCCACTGTTAGACCGCCTGCAGAGCCTTCGGGCGCTTTCACAGGAACTGCCACTGAGGGAACTCAGGCAAAACAACTGAGTTATGCTGTTAATGAAGCGCTGAAATCAGTTCCAGACCCACTCCGCAGTGTTCTTTCTAGAATTTCCCATGATTTTGCTTCCAAAGCTGCTGAAACTGCACCGGCTCTTGCCGAATTTGTGGAATATTTTTCGAAGCTGGGATCATCCCATACCACTACAATTATTGATGCTCTGAACAATCCAGACTTGGTGAGAACAAGTGCTGATAGAGCGGATAGCCAGGTAGATCCTACCAACAATGGCACGGCTAAGCCACATTTGGATGACCCAATTCCTCAGCATGTGTTTTTTGGGAGTTCTAGCCTTGATAAGAATGCTTTCACCAAGAACATTACAGAGCACTCTGGAATCAGTAAAAACACCCCCCAGCAAATTCCCAAACCAATTTCAGATCTTGATTTGGGCAGGCCTGAGCTTTTATCTCTCAAAGAATCATTTTCAACAGCTTGGATTGCTAACATGGAAGAATCTGAAAAGGCTTCTTATGATCAAACTAATGGATTGTCTGCGGCGGTGGCCGGTTCAGCACCCCCTGTTGGTCAAGCAGCCCAGGATTCTCAGAACAGGGACATAACCAAACAATCTTCTCCTGTGACTTATCCTTCCCTGACTGCTGATGACTTCCTTAATGAGGTCATAAGCGTTCCACGTGGTGCATCTCCTCAGACAGATCCGGCAGTGAATAATCATATGGGTGCACCTGCTCCTCCTGATCATATTCCCCTCAGTGGTCCTTTCCGGGCTTCATCTCCCTGTCGAAGGGCTTTTGGTCACCATGACAGCACTCTCCGAACATTTCACCGTGGTGTGGTGTGTGATGGCTGTGGAATGAATCCAATCATGGGCCCTCGGTTCAAGTCCAATGTGTAAGAACACCAGCCTTCTCTGCACACTCTCTCTCTCTCCATTAAAATGGATGGTTGACTACTGCTTAGTCTTCTGTTTGGTCGTTGATGGACCCATTCTGATTTGCAGGAAGGCAGACTACGACTTGTGCAGCATATGCTTCTCGCAAATGGGCAGCGAGGCTGATTACACCAGGATCGACCGAGCACTGTACCGACCCCCAAGATTCCCAAAGGACTTCCATAATCATGTGCTCGCTTTATCCAGCCTCATCATCTACTATGTTGCTGTGTGTGTCCTGCTTTCTAACTCTATTCATCTTTCGGATTGCAGCACTCTCGCATGCATGGGTTCCCGGGCTGCCGAGGTCCTGGTTACAGGCTGCTCAAAGCAAAACTTGACAGTCGCTTCATCCAAGATGTGACTGTTATGGATGGGACTCCAATGGCTCCGCTGACTCCTTTCACCAAGATCTGGAGGATGCGCAACAATGGAACCGTAGAGTGGCCTGCAGGAACGCAGCTCATGTGGATTGGAGGCGACCGATTTTCAGACAGAGTCTCTGTCTTGTTGGAGGTTTGTAGGTCAACGTTCACAGCTGATTTATTTTCATGATCCATGAATTTTGCCTATAAGGAAGATAAAAGATGAAATATCGATCCATGGGGACTATTGATTAATGATTCATGATTATCCACAGTTTCAGTCATAGAAAATGTCTACTCCACACGTTTATGATGACTTAAAGCTTCATGATTTATGCAGATCTCCCAGAACGGTCTTCCTGTGAGCAGTGAAATCGACATTGCCATTGACTTCAGAGCGCCTCTGAGGCCTGGGCGTTACATCTCCTACTGGAGAATGGCGTCACCATTCGGGCAGAAGTTTGGTCAACGTGTTTGGGTCCTCATTCAGGTGAACCCTGGCCCTGCAAAAGAGCCTTCATCCTCATAGGAGCTTTGTTGCGTTGACATGGGAATTTCCTCGGCGATCTCTGTTGCAGGTTGATGAGTCACGCCCAAATTCAGCCGGCGGCACTGCTCCGCAAGAACTGAACCTAAACCTGCCCCCAGAATCTGTGGAGGCGTCGGGCTTGGGAGCTATCGACATGAATGCTGAGCCGGTAGAGATGGTTCCATCTGTGGCGGTGGTTGATCCTAGCCTAGGCATGGTGGAGCTGATGAAGCCTAACGTCGATCTCCTGAACCAGGCTGCCGCACTGGCCGCCCTGCCCCGTGGCAGCCATGGTGGGTTCCCCCCCCCATGGAATTACTCTGCGCTGCCGGTGGCGGCAGCCACCACTGTGCCACCGCCTGGTGGAGCAATGCCGGGGGAGACGTCCACTGGAGACAATTCGATCGAGCAGGCCCTGCTGAAGGAGCTGGAGGAGATGGGCTTCAAGCAGATTGAAGTCAACAGGGAGGTCCTCAGGTCCAACGAGTATGATCTCGAGCAGTCGGTCAATCAGCTCTGCGGCATTTCTGAGTGGGACCCAATTCTTGAAGAGCTGCAAGAGATGGTGAGGGATCTTCTTCCTGCCGCACCCCCAAAGATTGAATACCAGTTTAACTAACCCTCGCGATTTCCATGGTTTTTAGGGTTTCCACGACAAGGAGAAGAACAAGAAGCTGCTGGTGAAGAACGGAGGGAGCATCAAGCGGGTAGTCCTCGACCTCATCGCCGGAGAGAAGGAATAACGAAGCAGATTCCCCTATAATAACTATATGGTACCCATGGAATAATACTACTAATGTCTACAGCTTCTGCTGAAGAACGTCTGCAGCTTATACTGAATAAACAGAGGCTTATAATATTAGAATCAATAAGGGACAATAAGAACATACTTGGCTTATTATCTTTTTGCTCTCTGCTCTTGATTTTTCGTTGTGGGCTCCCTTTTCTTGGATGGGTCAACGCAGTGGGACCCACATACCTACCATTAGCTGACGCGATTGGAGCTCACTGACTTGGGCCTTTCTTTCTCTCGACTTGTACATGACCCATCGATGCCATAATTTTGTGGGATTTTCTCACATCACCCCACATTTAGGCCAAGATTACCATCCTAAGTCATAGACTAGAGATAATATATAGTTCACACCCTTTTTCTAAGATGATTTATTATTGATGCTTGTCCATGAAAATTCTAGGGTAAGACTTTTTTTCCTATGATATTCATATTAAGATTTCGAGATTAAAAGGTTGTAGGGCTGTTTCCCTAGATGCCAAGTGCACCCTTGATTGCTTCCTAGTTACCAAAAATGGGCACTCTTGTGTTGAGGAAACTTTAGATGTCTTCGATCTGACAAGTTCTTCAAAAAGAAATCTCCCAAATGATTTACATCCTCAACATCTTCTATGTTGCAGAACGAGCTGTAGATTATTATTACTTAAAAAACTTTTTAAACATAGGATTTTCTGATAATTCTCTCAGAGATGTTCAGAGGTACAAGCTCATCCTTGGCAGTTATGGTGTGAACAAAATTTCCCTTCATATTTATGGCACCTTTCACCAGTGTCCTATAATTTTTTCCCACTAATTTCAGCATATATTCATTCACCCAAAGATTAAAAATGTTAATTTCCAATTTATTAAAACCTAGGGTTACTAAGGCGGAATGGATGAAATTTAAAATTAAATTGATATTTACATCACTGATCAAAGGAGCAAAGCAAAGTAGAAACTAAATGTAAGATTAAATTTGATATACATCAAAAATATGCACAAACATTTTTAGGGTCTCCAATTGGAAGCATTATCAACAGAGGTAGAAAATTGCATATTAAAATTTATAGTCCAAATATAATAAATTGTTGGCAAGATAGGGATACTCTAATCTTCCATTTAGCCCTAGAACCAACCAATAGATCATATAATCTTTCACCCTCTCTAGCAAGCATAGACAAAAAGAAAATGAAAAAAAAAATGTTTACTGAATGAGAAAGAACGGTGAGGACTCATAAAAACCAATGTATAGGTTTTTACTGTAGTATAGTTGAGTCATTAATGGTGCATAGGTAAACATATTTGAGATGATGATGGGATTAAATAAAATTAAGTAGTCAAGATGAGAGGAAATTGACCAAGTTTTACATGCGGGGTAATCTTTACAAGAAAAACTCAAATTTCCAGCTCTAATCATGATATTTTTTTATTGGAGGAATAAAAAATACTCACACATGTTTTTTATTACGTTGAATTGATTCCTCATTTTTTTTTGATTTTTCCTGTTCATTTTATTGGCAATCCAAAAATCAATTTAACACTTCAACTACACTCATTACTCTTTAATAAAAGTGCCTATGAATGCTGATGTAATAATTCTATTACATATAAATTGGAAAATAACCTTGTAGTTTTCAAATGGAATGTAATATGCTGAAATTTCTCTTCAATTATATAATGGATCTATTTTATTTCAATCATAGACAAACTCAAATATGATGAAGACTGAAGGAACGATTTTACAGAGCTTTAGAAGCTACTTAGAACATCAATCTTTGTGTGTGTTTTAACTATCACTCTCTAAGCCATTAGTACACTGACAAAAGCTACTCTTTTTGGACTCTCGTGAAGCATCAGCTTATGGACATTAAATCTACTAGCACTTGGGGAGACTTATATATATATTTTTGTTGTTTAGAAATTGTACACCCACAAAAGCATGCGTTTTTGTTTTATACTTTTTAAATCCTCAATTGTAATAGTGCCAAAGATTATTTAGTTGCAAATGATCAAATATTTTTCCTAAGTATAGTTACAAAAGAAAGAACTAAATCAAAATATGGTTTTTACTAATAAGACAACAGATTTCACAAGACAAAAAGTTGGGTAAAAACCTTGTAAATAGTTGTAATTAATGTTTTTTTATAAAATTAAACATGTTTGAATCAGACATGATTAATTTTAACAATCAACTAACTAGACAATAGGACTTGGAATTGGATTATTGTACTGAATGGCAATCATCCCTTAAGTTTGACATGAACTTTAATCATTTAAAAGAGAATTTGATCTATGGTAGCGTTTTTGTTTCATGAAGAAGACCCATAAACGCCACATATTTTCTCCAAATAGTAATTTTCTCAAAATTAATATTTTATAAATATAAAGACAAAAAATTTCAATCTTTACCTTTCACACGATTACCCCACCTCAAAAAGGATTATAAACATTACACCACACTTTTAGTTTCCTCTCACCTAATTCTAGATTTTCTACCAGGAATATATGAGGTGTGGGAGAGAAGCTCATAGAGGGCGTTTTCGCTGGTGTGGCCACAGTTTACTTTTTCAAGTCTGATAGGATGGGCATCTTCCTGGCCTGACCTAGGCTCTCCCAGAGCAAAGATAGAGAAAGGTCCATGAAACAGCCTGCTGTGGCTTCCCACAAGCGACAACCTAAGGATGGCTACACCTGGAAACTAAGATGGATAAGTCCCTTCTAGGGATCCAACATGACCAGATCAGTCACCATAGGAGAGGAGAACGGGGGAGGGGGGTGTGGTTTCAGAGAGAAGAAGACTCTGCAGAGGGGTAGAAAGGGCTCTTTTTGGCTATGGTTTGATCCAGATGAAGAAGGACTACATCTGTGTATAAGTTATTTGTAAATCTGATCGGATCGCATAGGTTGACGAGAGAATCGTGGTTTTCCTCGTCATGACCGCATCATCGGCCTTTCTTTCCACTGTGGCGGAGAAGCCGCAAAGCGGCAGTGGCGATTATTCTGTGCGCCTCCCCCAAAGGAAGGCGGCAGCTGGCGGTTTATCCGCTTAGCCCTCCCCCGCTCTCTGCCAATCCGCATCTACCTCCCCCCTCCTCCCACTCAGTCCACGGCAAGGAAGATAGATAGACAGAGAGAGAAAGATAGATGGATGGAAAGCGATAGAGAGAGAAAGATGGATGGATGGATGGATAGAGAGAGAGAGAGAGAGAGAGAGAGAGAGAGAGAGAGAGAGAGAGAGAGAGGGATCGAGTCTGGTCCTCATCGAGGTCGGCATCAGCCGCATCATCCCGTCGTATGCGGTGGCGAATGGAAACAAGAGAAACAAATAAGATCTCCGAATACTTGCCTGACGATCGGCGTGGAAAATGACGGCGATCGATGTGGACGGCGGCAGCGGCGGCGGGCCCCGGCGGCGCATGTCCCTCTGTCGTCCTCACGCCCACCCACACAACCTCCTCTTCATCCTCTCCCTCATTTCCATCGCCTTCAAGCTTTGGGTTATTCGAGGCTGTAGAAAAACGAATCTCTCAGTCCACAACACACCGCCGTCACCGTGAGCAGCATCTTCCATCGATAGAAATGTATTTATATATAAACCCTCAATAATTTATTTTAACTTAAAAATACTATACTCAATTTAATTTTTTTACTATTTCCTTTCACCAATTTTAAAAATGACCGCTTGCATCCGTTTAATATACGAAAATTTTTAATTCGGTACGGAAAATTATTATATATTTTCTCCGAAAAAAGAACATATTTATAAAATTATATACCAATAAGAAATAACTATTATCAAATAAATAAGTCCATTACTTATAGATTATGACGATATGAAAACCGATAAATATATTTATTAAATTTTCATCTTTATAAATTTTAATATGATAATAAATATTCATAATGTGAATAACAAAAATTGGATGGGAAATTTGGAATTATGGTAAGCCTGAGAATTATCTCAGCCAAGTAAATGGCTGGCTTATGGGGAGATGATTAAAAGGGTAAAATGAAATAAAATATATTTAGGGGTCATTATAAAACAATATACTCTTAGGGCGGACATAGAGAAAAAGCTGGAGTCTGTGGGTCCACGAACGGTCAAGATTGAGTGACGTGGTCGGGAGAAATGATCTGGGTCATTAAATGACGTCCGAGGAAAAATGCCTCGGGGGCGAGGCTGGTGGCCAGTGTCGTAGTCCGACCACGCGAGGGACGGCGGCGGCGACGGGGGCGGCGGCGTGGAGCTATAAATGGAGATTCTCAGAGGTGAAGTGGGACTCCTGCGCCTCATACGCGCGAATAGTGGACAACTGGCGGCGGCGATGGGGGAGGAGGGAGGAGACCCTGAACAGGTGTCGTAGGTGTTCGCCGTCAATTCCTGACCGGGTGGCGAAAGGGAAATAGGGGTCAGGAGAAGGGGCTGAGGAGGAGAAGCGGCACCGCAGTGGATCAGCAGGAAGAGGAAGAGTTGAGGGCGGCGAAGTTGGAAAGGCAAGCCGGTCTCCCGTCCTTTCCTCTCGTCTGTTCCGTGGATTTTGCAGTCAATTGGACTCAAAAGCACGCTGTCTTGGTTTTCCGTCCCTGTTTGTTTCTCTACTTTTCTGATGCGAAGTATGATTCCGAAGAGGTTGTTGGCGTGGGTCGGATGAGGAGATGAAGGTTTCCGCCCTCCTACCCATTTGTTGATTTCTCTTCTTCTTTTGTTCTCCGTTTGGGGTCGGAATTGCTGCAGAGAGGAGGCTGGGACCGATGACTTGGAGCGTCGTGAACGACGGGGACGGGCTGCCGAGGATCATACTTACGGAGCCCGGCGGGTCGTCAGCTGAGGTTCTTTCTCGCTCCTAATTCTCAGTTGTGTGCGACGCGCTGTTTTTCCTTCTTGCTCCGTAAAATCGGCCGCCCGAAGTGTTGTTTTTCTTCTTTTCTGCGCAAGCTCTAGGAGGTGGAGGCTCATCTGTGTGATTCTTTTTTCTTCCGTTTTCGATACACTGAATCTTTTTACACTCGTTATCATTTCTTTTACGCGGGCGGGGAAGGGGTTTCAGGTCGTTTAAATTCGTCGGAACACGATGGAGCGTGGGATGGATCGATTCATCCTTCCCTACTCTGCATCGATGTGAATTTGAATTCCTGCATGTTTTGGGCAGTTGGCTCTATATTATCCATATTATCATCTTTTGTCGGATGATCTCAGGCAATTCTTGTCTGCGACCTGAATTTTGTTGGCCTTCTGAATCTTTCCGTTGCTACTTCTCTCAGCAGTATGATCCACTATTTGAAATGCGTCCCAGTTTCAAAGAACTAGCTAGGGATATTATATGAATGGTCCTTGTGGAATCTCAAAGGAACCACTAGATAATTTCTTAATTTATTTTGATATCTAGGCATGAATTCTTGGATAAGATTTTATTTTCTCTTATCCATTAATTACGTGAATCATGGTAGTATCTTCAGAGGGGCTTGTGGTTCCCTGATACCTTGTCTAGAGGATTGGCGTGCCCCTTCTTGAGTGGTCATGGCATCATGGCTGTGAGAAGAGTTTTTCAGCCTTCAGGTTGAAACATGCTGAGATGAACCAAAGCCCCTGAATGTTTGGGGATCTGTGGAACTGGATCCCATGAGTGATCATCAAGCACAGAGCTTGAAAAATTCCCGTCTTTAATTAGGATTATTTCCAAAAGGCCTTACTCCACATATTACGCCAGTTTCCATGTAGAAATTTCAGTCTTATCATATTCCCCAGGAGTTTTTTGGAAGGATGTGATTTTTGAAAAAGTGCTTCTATGTTATTTCCGCCGTCTGGTTGGCAACATATTGTTTGCAGGAGGCTTATTGATATGCTATCAAATTGGTCTCTAGTTTTTCTAATCCTGCTCGTCTAATTGCAGGTTTTTATCTTGATTAATATGGGTGCTATAACCTCAATACCCACTTTTGAAATGGAATATTGAGAAGAGCTTGTTACTGTGAATAGATGTAGCTTCTAATTGTTTTTCAATATCTTCAGGTCCTCTTGTACGGTGGTCAGATAATCTCATGGAAAAATGACAGACGAGAGGAGTTACTTTTTATGAGCAGCAAGGTAGAACGTGATTATGATATTATTTTAATGAATAATTATCAGCGAATTTAGGATAATGTTTCTGAGGCTTTGTTGGTTCATTCGGTGTTATCTTATTTCCTTGGAAATAACTGGTGTTAACGTCTTACTATTTTTAAAGGCCGTAAGTACAATTGGAAATCATAGTTCTATGACTACAAGAGCAGAACACATCTAATTTTTATTGTTGCTGGTCAAGTCTTCTGGTATAGTGTGGCGGTTTCAAAGCTATACTTATTTTCTCAATATTTTTTGTTTTCATGGCTAGTTTTCTGTATCCTCATTTTTTTTGTGTTTTCCAATCACTAGACTGGGATTAAATGCGTGATTAATAATGTATTGTCATTTATTAGAAAGATAATCTTCGTTACTTGTAAGAAAATTTATGCACACTACTTCTTTACCATCCTATTAGTACAGTATCCTTTTGGATACAAGAGTACCTCCTCTCTCTCTCTCTCTCAGCCATCTTCTCACTACTGTCTATATGCAGCGTAGGTTGAGTCACGTCCAAGTGGACTTATCCAGGAATATATCAGTGCTTCTTTTACAAATCATCATAGCTTCAAATGAAAAGGCACTTTCAAGACTGAAATCAATAATCTGTGTCTTAATTTTGTGTTATTTTTTCAATATACAAAGCGTCAAAATCACCATAGCTTTTACAAATCACCATAGCTTCATATTTTTTTTAATAAATTATGAGAAATACGGTGAAAGACACTCATCTCATGCCTCCAATGTACACACCGAATCCCTCGGATATTCGGACATCTAGGATCGCATAAATTTTGGTGGGTTTGCTAATTCTGGTCATTGCTCTGTATTAATTTCTTCTTGATGATCCATCATACCAATGGGTAATGCTAGTTAGAGTTTTCTTGTCTGGTGCATATCATCTAATGGATGCCATAGTTTCAGGCTGTTCTGAAACCGCCTAATTCCATCAGAGGGGGGATCCCTATCTGCTTTCCCCAGGTTGGGTTCCCAATGCTTGCCATGACTTTCTGCATATATAATAACCGCAGTGTGTAACTTTACTATCACGTATTGTTGCAGTTTGGCAACTTTGGGTTTCTCGAGCAGCATGGATTTGCAAGGAATAGGTTGTGGGCGTTAGATAGCTGCCCTTCTCCATTGCCTCCTTCTAGAAGCAATTCCTCGGTTGACCTTATTCTAAAGTCAACCGAGGAGGACCTAAAGACTTGGCCTCGCAGGTACGCCTAAGACGACTCTGAGTCTGTTACCAAACTGAGACGTGGCGGGAGCTCCCTGTCGACGACAAGATCCACCTCACACTCGATGATCTCTGCAGCTTTGAGTTGCGGCTTCGTATTATATTAGCTCCTGGAAAGCTGACCTTAATCCCTCGTGTGAGGAACACCGACACTAGAGCCTTTTCCTTCACATTTGCGATGAGAAATTATCTATCAGTCTCAGATGTCAGGTAAAAATCTCCACACTTGTACCATGAAGTAGCCATTCTTTTCACAACTCTTCTGCCGCGGAGTTCTTGCCAAAAGGAATTTCTTGATGCGATTTCATCTGCAGCGAAGTCCGTGTGGAAGGACTGGAGACGCTGGATTACTTCGATAATCTGATGAAGAGGGAGAGATTCACCGAACAAGCCGACGCCATCACCTTCGATGGCGAGGTACGATTTCTTATTGGAATATGCATGAATGAACATGGTCGAATAATTAGAATCAGAGGGAGGAAAATTCTCACTTGGGCATAAATGTTATATTTTCTATAAGTCAACGGTTCCTGATTGGTCAACTCCTGGCTCAACAGGTTGATCGGGTGTACCTCAGCACCCCATCAAAGATCGCCATCATAGACCATGAGAAGAAGAGGACCTTGGTGCTGAGGAAAGGTGGCCTCCTCGATGCAGGTTTGAGCTAGAAAACCTCTCCCCCTTGACGCTGATTTCCATAGTTTCACACAAGAAAAGACTAGAAAAAGAAAAATCTGACACCCTTCGCCGGGCAGTGGTGTGGAACCCATGGGACAGGAAGGCCAAGGCTCTGCCAGACTTCGGGGACGATGACTACAAGTCCATGCTCTGTGTCGACTCTGCCGCCATCGAGACCCCGATCCTCCTCAAATCCTTTGAGGAGTGGAAGGGCTGGCAGGAGCTCTCCACCGTCTCCTCCAGCTACTGCAGTGGGCAGCTCGATCCTTGCAAGGTTCTGTATGGCTGATGGTGATGATGGCAATGGCGGCAGCCTGGGACTCTTCTTGTCCACCTGATCCTCACTGAGGGGGTTCACTCCCACGAGCTTCCATGTATAGTGAGTGGGTCATCTCTGTTGCCCATGATTAGTTTCCATGGGTATCTGAGGAGCCCAGCTCTAGAAGCTGTATTCTATCTTTGTCAACCACCGAAAAGCAATGTATTAGTTAATTAATTTCCTGCTAGCCTCGGCTGTCAACTTCATGGCTATTAATGTGCTTAAATAATGCATCTTTTCTCTTGGGCAGCTATCAATCCGCATCACCCGGATGGAACATGCTATCTATGGTAAGCAATGGAGGAGTGTGATTGTGGAGGTCATGGCTTCTTCCAGCTTCCATTAATGGCTAAGAATCGCTGACTTTTTTAGTCGGCTTCCTCTGTGCCCCTTCCCACCGAGAGTGGTCTTCGTCAATTGTTTGCTGCCAGGAGAGTGGGTGGCGCTGGCGTGTCTGGCCTGGTCAACTACAAATCATGGCCCCAGAGGAAGGCCTGGATAATGGGTGAAGTGAGCCTTGGCTGAGGAGTTGACCTCACTGAAGATATTAGTCTGACCCAAAATAGGCGACAAGTCAAATCAGATCGAATATTTTTTAATTAATTTTTTTAATAAAAAAGTCTACCACCATTATTATTACGACCCATATCCTTTGAGAGAAGAATAATAATTTGATGATATATTTTTCATTTAAAAAAATTACAAGAGGAGGAAAAAAAATCTTGAATCTCACATGATGTTTAATTCTGAGCTTTAAGTATAAAAATAGGAAAATAATGTCTGATCTATAGTTAATTCACACAAGTAGATATAGTTGTTAAGACATCACTCAAGAGTAAAATCATCATTTAATAAGATAATTATCCATTAAAAAAACAGAAAAAATTTGGGGCATGAAGATGGATCTTGAAAGAAGACTAGGGAATGGAGCCCGAGTTTAAATGGATGTATTTATCATTTAAAATTATTGTCATATTGTCCTTTTATTATGATTTTCATGGCCAAAATTAGAAAAAATCGACCAAGCCCAAGCGATTTTTTGGACCTATCATTTTTTTTTAATGCTATAAAAAAATAAAATTCTGCTTTATAAAAGTTTTCTTATTTATTCAGGCTGGATAAAGTTCGGCTCTTTTCTATCGGGCCTCAGAAGTAGTCCGACCCGTTACAGCCTTGGTAACAGAAGCCATCCTCCCTTACCCTGGGATTTTGATCCAACGGCTGCAGAACCGCCATGGCTCCATAAACAGCGAACAGCATAGAATGAGCCCGCTTCGCCACAGCGGTGTTCGAGCAGCAAGCCGGAGACTCCCGCGGAGGGCCCTGAAACTGTCGGAGAAGAGCAGATGGAGGGCGAGAGACGCAAACCCAAAAGGCGGGGTAAACGGCGGAGGGCCGAGCCAGTGCCTGTGAAGCAGGCTGACGCCCCTCCCGCTGCCAGTGGCCAGGTGCCGCCGCACGGGAAGAGGAAGCAGCCACAGCCACCGTTCCCCGAATCCAAGCGTAGGAAACGTGGAGGGGTTACCTCATCTCAGACTACGTCCTCCAGCTTCCTCGATAAGGTATGGGGAGGATGGGCATACCCGCGTGCGTGATTCTACGTTTCTGCTGTTAATCAGTCCTCATGTCCACATTTGTTCAATAACAGCGCCATTCTGGGAATGGTAGTCCAGTCCTTCTGCTTGTTGATCAATCCTCTGATGAAATTCAACTATATATGATTCTTTGAAATAAAATGAAGCGTGGTTGAAGGTGTGGAATTACGGCTCATTGTAGTTGAATTCTTGAGGGGGTCGTCACTTTTTAGGCCTTGGGCTACGCGCTATGAGATTAGTTCATAGTTTTGATAGTTGCGATAGAAAATTTGTTCAGCTATTGTGACGGCATGATCTTAATATATGGGAATATTGAGGTGAGTTGAGGATAGGAACTTCAGTGAAGGAACTCTACTTGGCTGAGGGCCATAGATGCCTAACAACTTCGCTGTTGATGATGTTATTACTTCAGTTAAGAATTGGTTTTTAATGTGAGTATTTACATTTCAATCCCCAAATTATAAACATAACAGCATTTGCCACGTTTCGCCTAAGCCAGACACTGTAAGGACATCATTAACGTCATCACATATCCTACATAGTTTTCAACCGTTCTCCTTGGCGATGCCGAGGCGCTGTCTGGGCAACAAGGCACAATCAGAGGTCAGGATGTCTTAGCACCTAAACTTGTCACATGACTATCACTGAAACGTTATTTGTTGCCTTGAATATTAGGTTTAGGTCCCTTATTTAATGCGAGTATGTTTGTTGAATGTACATTCTTACTTTGTATCATTGGCTATCAAAAGTTTGATATAATGCAGGGACTATCATCATCACGCTCTAATAGATTACTGAAAATAGGCGTGAACTTAGATATGGCTGTGTTTTACACTATCTTTGAATTCAGACCTACTTTGATCAACTTAAAAAACTATTTTTGCTAACATTACAGAGCTTCTCAACCTAAAAATTCTGGAGAAAAAGCATGGGCGTAATTAATGGTACCATAATATTGGTTGGAAACCAAAATCTGTTTCTGCCTTATTCAAATGATTGCTTAATATACGTTATACATTTTTTGAAAGTATTTCTAAGATTATATTTATTTAGAATTTGATGGTGGTTTCTTGTCAGATTGTTTTTTGTTTCGATTTTTGTTTGTGAATCGTTTCAATAAGTTAAATTAGTTCCTGATGAAATTGACGTGGTATGGGTTATAGTTACTAGTATAATATATTTTTCGTTAAAATATGAAATAAACTGGGCTTCAGTGAGGCGCTACACCATTTCATAAACAAAAGGGAGCTTATCATCATCTTACTTCCCGCAGTTGCTTTGGTCATTAGGAAAGTGGGTTAAATATATTTGGTAACTCTTTTTGAACCTTTATAAACTGATTCTTTTGTAATTGGTATGTATTTGATTTGTATTTTCACCATAAAGCAGTATACATCAACAAGATAAATAAATTGTCTATTTTGGTAGAGGATTGTAAACGTAGTTTTTGGAGCTTTAGCTGGTGGTATCCATTGTTTTCTTTATTTAATATCCATGGAGCTTAATCCTTTATATCTATTTTATGAGGTATCTATGCATTTCTCTTCCCTGCTTCCCGCTTTTTATGTTTTGCTCCATCCTGTAGGATGAATTTATGCATTATTTCTTCATGAGTTTATTTCGATGCAAAATAATATAAGTGAGTCGGTCACCAGTAAACTTTATTGATCACTCTTTTATAAGATGAAAAAAACATAATTTTAGAGAATTTTTGTATATCATTTTCTCCTCCACAGTTATTGGAGAATGGGTAATGACATGTCTCAATTACTCTTGCAAATATTTTTTGTACAGATGCGAGCAAGGCTATCTGGAGGTCACTTCAGAATGTTAAATGAAAAACTGTACACCTGCAGGTTGGTATTTTCCTCAAAACTCATTTTTCATCCTTGTGTCTATTTCATATCATTTTGTCTTCAAATTCAATACCAAGGAACAGTCGTTTACTACCATATATTATAGTAGTTATGTCTTCCCCTAATATTATTCTGTTTTATACCACATGCCTCAGAAGTTATTATTTCAGTAGTGCACTATTGTGTTTGAAAGTCATACATTAATTATTGAGGGTTGAATGCCTAGTTATCATACATAATCTACTGGGTTGGATTGATGGATGTTTGGTGAAATGTTTTGGCTAAAAAGGGAAGCAATAAAATTACTAGGTTTCTTTTTTCATGTACTTAGCAGCAACAGAGTGTTGCACCTAGGATTGGGCTGCTTAAATCTGTCATTGTCCATGCAGTTTTTCCTTCTATTAATTGATCTCGAAAGTTAAAAGTGGACTGTTGAGAAAGTTAAACATGTATACTCATCAAATGCTTTTATGTTCATATTATTTTTTTAGGTATAACATTTTTGTTCAATCTTTGGCTGGTAGTTGTTTTGGGGAGAATTAGATATCCTCATACTAAATTTGTATTATTATATTCCAGTTTTATTTTTTGAAAGTCTCGGTGATTCGTTTCAAATTCTGGTTGCTTGGTACCAATCCTATGAGATATACTTTTCTTGTGGGCTGGAAGCGGATAGAAAGAGTTGGGCTTTGATCTTGTCTGATCACGAGGTGAGGAGGGCATGGAATTGGCTAATCCAGGTGCAAATTCTGTACGGAAACTGGAGGGTGGACGGTTGAATTACTTGTGTTGGGGTAATGCTCTTCAGAATAAATAACTATGCATGCCTTTTGGGGCAGATTGAGGTGATTAATATACTGGAGGTTGGTTTTATTGTTGAGAATGGGGTCTGGGCTAGGAGTGAACAGCTATTAAAAAGGTGTAAGAACCAAGAGTGTAGGAAGAGAGATGTTGGAAAAGAGCTTACGTTGGTTCAGTTTAATTGGAGTTTAGAACTCTATTTATGTAATATTTAGCTCATAATCTCGTAGTTACATTATCGGAGTACAGGGCCGCCTGGGCTGCTTCGCTCCCTAGATCTTTATATACATTGGATTACATTTTGTTGGGTTACCTAAAAGACGACCTAATGCAGATTGTGCTAATATCTATAGACACTTCTTAATCCCTGCCCCTAAACAAATTGAAAACTCAGAGGAGCTTCCTTGGCTATGTCTCTCGACATCTTCAGTTAGTATCTGCCTCCCCCATTGTCAATAAATAAAGATAAAAAGAGATATATGACGGTGGCTGCCTAGATGGTTGTGGTGAAGAAAACGTTTTTGAGTTACAGCTAGACAAGATGTAGACTTTGAAACGCCAAGGAATCTGAAATGGAAGTTCAGAGTGCCATCAATGAAGTTCAATTCCAAATTGGTGAAGGTTTATATGATAAGTCAATTGTAAAAAAGGAGAACAAATCTAATGTGATAGTAAAATGATATTAATGATCATGTTGAATTATTAGATAAATTGGAAATGTGGATCGGACCCTTTGGGTAAAGATTAGGAAGCCAGTGAGTGGTCTAATAACACAGGGTGAATGTAGTGCTCTACAATGTGGCTGTTCTCCGGCCACATCCCACTTTCTCACGGTATGTAATTTAGTGTGTTCTATTCTATATCTGCTCATATTACATTATAATGATATCTGTTGCCTATTCTTTTATCATTAAAAATATACTTTACATATGTTTAATATAACGTTGATTTTTTGAGAAATAGCTAGTGGGCTTAGTTTTTTGTGTATCTTATATATTAACCCTTTGCCTTCATTTATCGTCTCGTCAGTGGGAGTGAAGCATTCGAATTTTTCAAGGAATACCCAGAACTTTTTGATGCGGTAAAGTATTTGTTCTCAGATCATTTTCCTTCTCCTGCCTCTTGAATTTTATAATTATGAAATTTCCATACGATTTAGTACTGTTAGTCAGTTTCTAGATTTCTGTTGCGTTCCTATCTCAAATAGAGATTCACAGGATCTTGAAATGTGGGAAGATACATCAAGGCTTGAAAGCTTCACTCTCTGAAGTCGGTGGAAAGGCTCGTTGGTCTTGGGCTTTCCATTTATCTTGTAAGGCCATAAGACTATAACATGTGGAAGTACACCATAAGGCTGTATCGGATGAATTTTAGATGAATCTGATAAACATCAGATGAGTTTTACAACGATCAATTCAAGGCCTCTTTTTCCTTCAGCTTTTTTTTTTTTTTTTACCCCATCAACCTCTGATGGTTTCACACCGATTTTCTTTCAAATTATTGAACCTTTTTTTTCTCTGAGGATCAACACACCAATTGAATGCTATAATATTCATGCTGTTTTTTTTGTATGAATTGCTATTTTGGGTTACCCTGATCCTTGATTTTGATGCTGTTTTCTTGGCTTTGTTATTGATATCCCACGTTTCTTCTAGTATCATGCAGGGTATGGGCAGCAAATGTCACGCTGGCCAGAGCAACCGGTGAATGTGATCATCAAATGGTTGCAATCTCATAGCCCTGCCCTGGTGGTTGCTGATTTTGGCTGTGGTGAGATCATAACAGTGTTTTTTAGTATGATATCTAGATTGTTTCTCTTCCCATTTTTCCATTTTTTTTTGAAATTTGTGCAGGTCTAAATTCACGAAAAATAAAACTCAGAATGAAGATGAGGATATGGTGCTGAAGAGCACAGATTGCTATGAAATGAGGACAATATAAAATAAATAAATAATTTTTTTTTCTAGCATATCCCTTTCTCCTTCCATGGATTGGATGCCGAATGATCACATTATGATAAACATCGTAATCCAAATCGTAACAGAAGAGACATTTGAGGGACTTCCAAGAAGCATTGTCGACTAACTCGAGTAAAGAATACTGATGCAAATTTCATAGATATTTTAAATAAAGGCGTAAAAATAAATGGCCACACAGCCCATAAACCGTCTCTCGGAAGCTTTCTTTGGAATTTTTTGTTACATTTATGATTGTTTTCTCCCAATGCACGATACCTTGCTGATCTGTCATCAATTTTCAGGGAATGCAAGCCTTGCGAGAAGTGTGAAGAACAAAGTTTTCTCCATTGATCTTGTCTCGATGGACCCATCAGTGATTGCCTGTGACATGGCTAATGTAAGACATACCTGTTCTTACAAAGCACCATATATGAAAGTTTCCATAATGAAATAAATATATTTTTCTGCTGACCATTTGCTGACTCTGCAAAGCCTCCCCGGCTCAGGCAGCTAGGATGATTTTTATCCAAAAGAAGTAAAAAAAAAAAAAAAAAACTAAATGAAGAAAATTACTTCTCAATCAGATTATTTCTGGTTTTTTTGACTGGCAGTGCTTCATGGATCTTCCTTCTTCCTACCAGCTTAACCTGCTCTTGACTCTACTCCCATATCCATATCCCCTTCTTCTCCAGACACCGCTGGACTCTCTCTCTGTGGATGTCTCAGTCTTTTGTCTCTCGCTGATGGGAGTCAACTTCCCGAATTACTTAGTAGAAGCAAACAGAGTTCTCAGACCTGGGTCAGTAAGCATCTGCAATCTAATTCAAGGGATAATTTGTTATCAAGTGATGATCACATACGTTTTGCTATGTTTTTCTTTCTTCTCCATTATCAGAGGCTGGCTCTTGATTGCGGAAGTGAGGAGCCGGTTGGATCCAGCTACTGGGGGTGCAGACCCTGATAAGTTTTGCAACGCGGTCCAGAGGCTTGGGTTTTCTATTGTCTCCAGGGTTTGAGCAATGCCTGCATTCCCACTAAGAATATTGCTACCCGATTTCTCCCCTCATTTTTCTGATTGATGGGTTCTCTTTTTCCCAGGATTTTTCGAACAAAATGTTCGTTCTTTTCTACTTCAGGAAAAAGGTGTCTGCCCTGTCGATTTCGATTGATGATTGCACTTATTGAAGATCTTATTGCCTAATCTTCCCATTTCTTGCTCCTCTTCAGAAGGAAGCACCTGCGGAGGCCAAGGGCATCAGCTGGCCAGAATTGAAACCTTGTTTATATAAACGGCGATGAAGGATGCCGGTTGAGTTCATGAGAAGATGTAGTTTGATGACCAGAGCTGGCAATTTTGGGGGAATTCTTTGAAGTTGTAAAGCACCTGCAACCCAGAGAGGTTTGGACTCTCTCTCTCTCTCTCTACAGGTCCTTTGCTGGGAATGGAGGCATATGATGAACATATGGGGATTAAATTTCCATGGAAAAGAGATTCTAAGCTGTGTGCAAACTTTATTCTCCCAACATCTCATAGTCCTCATATTTCAATGGCCGGTGAGAAGATTTGGGGAAGATTAAGACAATTGTAGTGTACTAAATAGCCAAGATAATTTCAGTCGATTGGAGTCTTTGTTCTGAATGTAAGCCGATGTATGCCCATCTATAAGAACTTGTCTTCCTACCATGATAGATCTTGATTCAAATAAATCATGAAATGGTTCAAATTTATCTTATAATCGTTGAGCTCGGATATAATTGGACAAAAATGAGCATGGAGATGTAGGATAGTGATTACTTTGTTTCTCCTGTTCATGATGTAAGTTCTTTCATATATCATTATAATGTTTTGATGACAGATGATGATGAATTTAAAATTATTACATGAATTTAAAATTAATTTATTTCATGGGAATTTCCTCACCGTTCATTTTCACAAATTATATCAGAAATAAAATTTAAATTTACCCAAATAAAGAGAATATCCAAAAATGGACGCACATCTTTTGACCATAAGCCTTATTTATGATTATGAACTTTTTTCTTCTAACAATGACTATAAAATTTATTTATGATTATGGGATTATGAACTCTTTTCTTCTAAATTATTAATTTTTTACATTTATGATAATTTTTAGGAAGGGCCACACTCATGTAGCCAGATTCGATATCATTTGCCACAAAAAGTTACATTTTTCATAAAAGTAAATCGTACTAGTAATCCTAATTTGAATAAAATTCAATTAAAATACAATAAAAAATAAATGTGATAGATTTATATGCAAGTAAAAATAAGATTAAACGTGAAACTTGAGTGCAATGCTGAAAGTTCTAAAAATTAGTGTTATTATTTTTTTATTTGTTCTCAACTCCGGGTTGAGGCAGTAGTGCCCATATTTACTATTTATATAATATTCAATATGGTTGAGTCGGGTATGCATAAAATCTGGCCGCCGGCGGTTGGCTAACGAGAAGAGGCGTCAACTCGGGGGTTTTCGGCCTTCAAGCCAATGACGACTGTGCCGAAGGTCGGTAATGAACGATTGGGTTACCAACGGTCGGCAAAATTCGACCGTTGGCCGGCAGCCGCACAAGAAAGTGGTCCTAGGAAGTAAGCGAGAGAGAGAGAGAGGGTTCCCAAGATGATGAGATCGGCGGCAAACTTCCTCTCGCCAAGCAGGTTCCTGAAGTCGGGCGGTGATTCTCTCTCTTCCTTCGCCCCTGCAACTCGCCCTCAGAGCCTTCTTTCTGACATCTTTTAGGGCGACACACAGGGGCGGGAAGGCACGGGACCAAGAAGAAGGAGACGACGCGCACCTTCGAGGACTTCTACGACGAGTGGGTCGGCGCCCTCAAGAACTCGGCCCTCCCTCTCCTCCGGCAGGCGATGGCCGCCCGCTCCGCCGCCTTCCTCGGGTCCTCGCCGGTGGCGCCGTCGGTCACGCAGGTCGCCGGCGCCATGGTTCCCTCCTCCCGCCTCCTCTCCGTGCAAGTTCAGAGCGTCCACCACCACTTTCAGGCCTACTTCCAGGCCCTCGACGGCGCCGCCACCCAAGACGTGTCCCAGATTCTCTGCCCCTCGTGGCGCAACGCCGTCGAGAGGCCCTTCCTCTGGTTCGGCGACCTCCATCCCTCCATCTTCGTCAACCTCCTGCGCTCCTTCCTCCTCCGCAGCCACGGGCAAGGCGGTGGCTCGGCCGCCCCCGGCGACATCTCGCCACCGTTCGCCGACGCCTGGAAGGACCCCTCCCCACGGCTTACGGCGGAGATCAGGGAGATAGAGTGCCGCCTGCGGCGGAGGGTCCCGCAGATCGTCCAGTTGCACCGGCGTGTCCAGGCGAGCTTCACGGAGAGGGCGGCAAGCGAGTTTAAGGAGCACGGGGAGGTCTCGGAGGAGGCGGCAGCCGCCATGACAGCTGAGCTCGCTGGCTTGTTCTTCCAGGCCAACAGGCTGAGGAAGAGCGTACTGGAGGACATCCTCGAGGTCCTGGACGTCTGCCAAGCCGCCGCCTTCTTGGAGGCGCTCTGCCAGCTCGTCCTCCGCCTCAGGGAAGAGAAGCTGCTCCTCCAATTCCACAGTTGCAGGGCGCCGCTCCCCTCCTCCGCCTGGTGAACTCGTGTCCGAGAAAGACAAACTTATGTGGGTACTTCAAGCTGGGGAGGATACTTCATCTTCCTCCCCTCCTCCCTCCAACCTCGACGATCTTCTCTCAGGATAATCCGAACAACGTGGGCTTTATGGGGTTGTCGAAGGCATGATCAGCCTTTTACCATCGTGATATACCTATGACGGCCTTTCCTCGTCAGGCTGACCTTTGATTGGGGCATTAAAATCGGCGATGACACAGAGATATATTTTCAATCGGCGATGAAGTAACTGGGGAAAGACTTAAGTAATCTCCCCACACTATACGGATCCTAAGAGCCTTTCCTAGGAGTCAACGGGTTCTCCTCCTGTCAACACACTGATTGGGGGGGGGGGGGGGCGGCGGGGGGGTTTCCCACATGCCTCTCTCTACCCGTCAATACCTATTTTTATTCAACGAGGAAAGGCTATGAGGGGTATTCCCCAAGGTTTATGGTGAGGATCAATTTTAAGACACTTTTCTCTGCCTTCTCCTAATTATTCAAGTCCTACGTATTTATGTCTTCGCTATAAACGTGTATTTAAACCATCCTAACCAATGTTACCAGGTCCGAAGAGGTTTCAAAATGATAAACAAGACGAATAAGATATGCCATATCTAGAATAGTAATAAAAAAATCAATGGATACAAAAATAATAGCAATTATGAGTAACGTGAACACAGCTGAACAAAAATCGGAGGTTGTGGAAGGGGCTGAAATAGCTTCTAGGTGAAGGAATGAAGATGTAAGTTTAATGATAAATTATGACCCAAAATAATTAATAATATCATGGCATTGTTCCATCTATATTATTGTAAAATTAATCCAACTATGGTCAAGTTCCAAAAAGTCTAATACGTATGCCTTTCCAATCAGTTACTACACTATTATTGCTTTTTTAATATTTTTGTTTCTTGTATCTTTTGTCAAGTTGCAAAAAGAGTTTCCAACCCTTTGCTATATGGAAGGATTATAAAGACATACATTTTTGGATCTTTTTCCACACATCATTATACAGCAAACCATTCGCCTCATTTTCCTTGGGAAACTCTTGATTACTCTTTCAGCAAAAAACTTAAGAATTCAAGACTTTAAATTATTTTTAAATATATATAATTTTTTTTGTTGGATTTAAATTTCACATGGCTTGAGAAGAAATTTTATAAATTGATTGAAATGAGAAACACTATTTTTTATTTTAAAAAAACTAAATGTGCTAATATTTAAGGAAACTATTAATAGATTTGTGTTGAGATTCAATCCATAAATGGCTCCACAACAATTCCTTGTACTAGGGAGAAGTTGTAGGTACAAAGTTATCTATGGTTCCCTCTCAGGAGAGAACTCTTGTGGTTGATTTTATAACAAACTAGTATTACATAAGTTAACATACCATCGGTTCCATATTCTAATTTATCAGGCTTTTATTTAAATAACATATCATTCTTGTCATAGGTTAACATAGTTTTAAGGTAAGTTCTATTAAATAAAAAATACTTAAAAATCATGTTTATTTGATAAGTGGGAAATGCTAGTAGATGAAAACACATATCAGCCTAGATGTAATGTTTAAGAATAATTTATATATGCGATAACAATGATAAACATATTTCTAATTACATTCATATGTGTACTTTTGTCAATGGACCAAAAACTTGTGATAATATATGTTCTTTATTGCTTATTTAGGTTTCACAAGTGGAATGCATCTATCAACACATTTAGAATTGGAGCATCCCCCTTGATAAATTGCACCACTTGTCTCATTTTTTTTGTGTCACTCTCAACAATAGTGGTAGAGTTCCCGCAAGCATAGAAGTGTGCTAATGCGGTATCCTACTAACATTGAAGATTTCGATGATGAACTCCCTAATCCTTTACTTTTTACATAGTAAACTGGTCACAACTTATTGAATTAGAATTAAAGATGATAGAAGAGATTTGGTTTACTCAATCATTGGATTATATTTATTGAAATATTTTCCTTATTTATTTTTATGAGGCAATAAAATGTGCTTATCTCAAGAGAGTCAAAAAAAGTTAAATGAGACTGTGAATTAGTTTTTTCTTGATTATAGTAGGACTATATCTGTTTATTGAGAACAAGATTGACACAGAGAGATTTTTATAGTGGTTTGATTCTATACATACTCCACTCTTCTAAGGGCACCTTTCATCGGTTCTACATTTCCTCATAAGTACACTAGCAAATACAAAGATATTACAACATCCTAACACTACTAAATTTATCTATCTAAGAAACAAACTTATATTCATGGATCTAGTTAATCTAGTATTGAAAACTTGATCCTAATTTATGATTATTCCTCTTTTGATGTTCAATTCATAGACATGCTCTTTGGGAGAGACATAACTCATCCAATAATGGATTCTGAGTGCACAGAAAGTTTCATGGGTTCTTGACCTTCAACACAAATAATTTATAAAATATCTTGAGAGATAGACATAATTCATCAAATAATCAATCATGAATGTAGGTAGGTGCTTGATGAATTTTCAACCTTTAACATAGATATATTCTAGGAAATTATTCATGTTGGACATCTGAAATTTTCAACCTATGATTTCATCTAAGATGCACTCACCCAAAACCCACATATTTCTTTGAACAGCCTACTCTAGATGGTGGGGTACCAAACGAGGTCTGCCATGAATAACTGTAGGTTGGTGGAGGTGATATCTATGTCATTGTTGAAGAAATGGAATAGAAACTAGCAATCTCATCTTCCTTTGAGAGCATTAGGACTAGCATATAATCACCATATGACACAATGGAATGTTAGGTATTGCAGTTCATGCCCATGTGAGCTCTTATAAGAGGAATGAGGTTTTCTCCACCTCTTCTATAACAATTTTTGCTACCTTGACATTATCTCTAACATAAAAATCCTTCATATGCAAGAAGGGATTCTAGTCTAATTTTTTAACGTACCACAAGATACGAAAAAAAAGTATTTAAAATGTTACAGCACCTGGATCTTATAGTACCTTAATTCTTTGGCAATCGTTGAACTAGTTGTGATGATAAAAAATATAAAAAATGCTTACAGATCATGTTTCATTGTAGTAATGATATACTTTCCCTTTATCTTCTAGTCATTGCAACCCTTATCATCTATTTTAGTTGGTTAGGTGACTAGATGCTGGTGGCCTAGCTTGATATCTATTTATCCTTATTATTTTTACGCGATCCTGAGGAGTGCAGTAGAGCAAGTAGACGTGGCTTGCCAGAGGAGCCTACTGACCATCGACACCGTCATCTTCTACTATATCAGGTTAGAAAGTTGACGGTGTCGACTCCTCTTATGGCATAAATATTTAGGGCTTTAAAATAGACTAGTTTCCACGGCTCTCTCTCTCTCTCTCTCTCTCTCTCTGTTGCAGACAGTGGAAAACTGGACTGAGTGTTTCCACGGGTCTGTGCCTTGCTTACCCGACTCGCCCATCCGCAATGCTCAGAATCCTTCACAAAGTTTCTGGTGCTGCTCTCAGGCCCTTCTGATGCATTTACATACTCTGCAATTTGGTGGGCTGTATCGTTTCCTTTCCTGCAGTGCGCCACCGGCGGGGAAACTGTTTTCAGGCCGCGGCCGCCGCCTCGCGTCGATCATCGAAGGAGTATTCCAGCTCGGCGCAGTCGTTGTCCGAAAACACGCCGGAATATGAGAAGAGGAACTACGCCAAAAATATCTCCGAGTACAACACCGTCCTCAGCTCCATCATTGGGCAGAGAAGGTGCAGTCCACCTGCTCGACTAATGTACTATGTCAAGAGGGATGACACCAATGGGGTCTGATCGTCTCTGTTTTGAGTAATGATTGTTCTAAAAGCTCGTTCTTATGCTGTTTGTTCTGGGTAGGCATTTCTTGCTGAGGGATGTGTATGACGACATGCTGCTAGATGGCGTTCAGCCCGTCCGGGACACCTTCCACAGTCTCATTATCGGGACCATGAAAGGAAGCCGGCTCCAGGATGCTTTCTTCTTCCGAGATGAGATGAAAGTCATGGGTTTGCTCCCCGATGTATGTTACCTCTTTTTTCTTGTTTGGGATTGCTTGGATGTGGATAATTTTAAATGGGGTGCCCGGAGTAATTTGGCTTTCGGTATCTCGTCCTATATATTAGTACTTCTTTTATATCAAAAACCTATATGATTAATGGCCCTTTTGTATTGGCTCTGTAGAAGCAATGCGCATAAAAAATTGCATTGCTTTCGCAATATAGTCTCAACTGATGCTTGCCATGCTTTCTGTAGGTTTCTCTGTACAATTTCTTGATTTCAACTTGTGGGAAATGCAAGCAATCTGATGCAGCACTTACTGTAACCTCCCAAACTCATCTATATCTCCAGCTTCATTTCCTGTTCTTCATTTTCAATTTATCTTTGAAGCTATCTTTTTTCATTCTTATCTTCCATGTTTCTCTTCGTTCACCAATTCTGCATGTTCTATCAGCTGATTAATTGATTGTTGGCTGATGAAGCTTTTAGAAGAAATGAAGGTAAATGGGGTGAAACCAAATGGTCAGACGTACATTTCTCTCCTAAATGCTTGTGCTGCATCAGGTCGTACAGATCGAGTGTATGTTCTTTTGTTCCCTTAAATCTCCTGTGGATTTTAAAATTAGTGATGCAGTTAAAGTAGTTACCGTCCATGTAAATACTGTCATTTTCAACAATCATAAATTGTGCAACAAAAATAGTATGACTATAAATATGTAAAGTTTGCTCCATAATGCAAAAGTCTGTATAATGCCCAGCAGTGATATTGAATTAAAATTTCGCCCTTTATAAGGGGCCATCCAAGAAATAGTTCTGATGCTATGTTTATGTCTTGCGTATAGATGGTACACAAGTAAGAAACCCTCGTTTGAAGATATCCTTGACAGCTGTCTGTTCCTTCATCATAATTGGTTGGGTTTTGCCTAGACTTGCAGAGTAAGTAATACTCTGGACCATAATACATGAAACGATCCTATGATGTTGGAACCTCTTTATGTGTTCTTGCCCTATTCCATATGCTTTAGTATGCATGAGATTTTATACAGAAGTTTCTCCATATCTGTGGAGTCACTGATCTTCAAGTAAGTCCACCGTTTTCTCTTCGTTTGTGTGATACCGGGATATGCTATTAATAATGGTGGTAATTTGAAGATGCATAGAATTTAATGGCCTCATGTAACAACTTGAGAAAATATCATTTACTTATCCATGTAATAAGCAATAAGCAGAGCCTAAATGGTCAGTTTTTCAGTTTGTAGTTTTTTTAGTTCACGGGCAAGGAAATGGAACTTTTGCCATTTGGCTTGCCCGTGCCAGCATATTCTCTGTAGCCTTACTCTAAATTGGTTGAAAATCTTTGAGTCAGGTTGAAAATTTATATTTGTCTTTCGTGAAAGATGACGAATTAAAAAGTTGTCAAAGATATTGATATATCATAGGGGAAAAATATATATTTATCAACGTGGACTATTTTCGACATCCTATGTCTTTGGTTGATACTTCAACGACCTCTTTCCTCACAATTATTGATCATGGATTGATCCCATGAGTTACTTGAAGAACCACAAAATATGCACCAGTTACCCTCCATCTCCCAACATATTTGAAAATTTCATTCATTCATTCCTCTGGACAGGACAATTGAAACATTTGGGAGCATATCTACAGAAAAATGTTTCATGCTTTGTGAGCATCAGAATTATTGTTCTGTCTGCAAAAGAGGTTGTTGATTACAACCTCAAACTTTAATTTTTCAACTTCATGCCAAATCTAGAAATTAACTAGTTTAGCTGAATTTAATGTTCCTTTTTCTATTTTGAGTCTCTAACTAAGGTACACGTTTTGCTTTTCCTTCTGAATTCTCCAACATAGATTGTCTGAAAGCTGTGTCAGATTTCATGATCTTATTTGAGGCTTTCAAATTTTTCTAGTGGTTGAAAAAATCTTTATCAGATAGGCAAATGATCCCTTATTTTTATGCCGGCCACCTAAATGGTGAAACAAGTGTTAAACTCTAAAGCTAGTTTTTCTTGTGAAGTCATTTTCTTTTGTAAAAAATTAATGTAATAGTGACTATATCAACAGCCTTCTAGCAGAAGCACTTAAAAATCCAATGGACGAGTGTTGACTTGTTTGGCATGTGTCTAATCTAGAGACGTGGTTGATGTTTCCTCCAAATAATATTCTAAATATAACTGTGACTACTTATCTACAAGAGAGGATAATATTCCTTGGATAGTCCGTACCTATTTCCTATTTTTCTCTCTTTGATTTTCTTTAGGTTATTGTACTACAGAAGAGGCTTTCTGTAGCTCTCCCTATTTTCTCTATCCATGGAACGTTATGAGAGCCATCATATTCCTCTCACTCTTTATCTGCTGAATTAGACTTTTTTGAGAAGTTGCATACTCATTTTTTGCTTCACATCTGTAGTTTTGCTGTTTTCTTAGTTCTTATCATACGTTTATGGCTTCTCTTCCAGCGTGGCCTTGCATTCTTGGGCTTCCTCTTGTCACATTTTCTTGTGCAAAGGATTTCAGCATCATTGCTCCTTATTGCCACCATCACCAAAACCATCGTTCTCTTTTGTTGCTGTTGTTCCTGCTGTTATTCACCAATACCAACTCCTATCGGCCATCATCTTTCTTGCTGGCCATAATTGTCCGACTCATCTACTATTGACATCTGCCTCAGTGCTGCCGTTTAGTGTCAATTACTGTGACCTCATCAGCTGCTGACCATGCAGTTGTGTAGTAAGGGTTTACTGTATGACCCGTTTTCTTTCAAGTTGGGGACATGCAATGGTTACTCTCGAATCACATTCACACATGCTATGAACTAATCTACTAAAGCCTACTTTTTTTATTGGTCTCCCCTTCTTTTGATCATGTTGTTGTCAAGATCATTGTCAAGGAGACGTGATATCATACTATCTTTCTCTTGGTCGTTTTATGCAAACACTTTCTGTTTGCCATCTTTGCAAGGCCATTAATCAGCGCAAATAGTCTCCCTCTGCTTGGTTTGAGCGGTTTCATGGTGTCATTTTTGGAGTGGGTTTCTACGAGAGTGCTGGAGTACATGGTATTCATTGAAAATGTTGCTATTGACAGTACGCCTTTAAAGTATGTCTCTGTATTAATGTTGATTAAGTTGATGATCTTACTGTTCATCACTTCAGTATAGGGTTTTGCACCTTTCCTAGCTCCTCATTTATCTGACAGAGCAAGAGGCGGGCTATTGTCTCTTTTTTTGTATTAAGGCCAAATATATTGGTACGGCTGATACTTCTATGGGATAGTCTACCTCTATCATCTTCTTTCAGTTCTAGGTGTGGTTTCGCTTTCTCCTCTTTTCTCTAGACAATTAAAGTGCACTTCATGTTCCCAGCACTGTTGTCTTCTTGGAGCACACCAAACCTATAGAGATTGATTGTCACTTCATATGCTAACAATGGTTGGTACTTGGTCCTTTAGTCATATTTCTTCTACTAAGCAGTTTTCTGACTTAGTCACAAATGACTGTGGTTCAGAGAGCTCATTAACTGACTCTTGATCCATGATCTCGTGAGCTTGAGTGGAGTGAAATGAGAGGCTCTCTCTAGTTAAAACTCTGAATTAAAAAATGGTGATACCGCCCATTTTAGCATACATATAGACTATGCTGAAATTATAAAGTTTGCCATTTAAAGTGCAAAAATATGATTGTCAAGGATATTACATAAAAAAATATCTTATGGCAATGGGTGGTAGGAATAGAAAATAACAAGCAATTAATGATTGAAGAACTAATCTTTTCACCAAAAAAAGTTATATTTTTTATAGTATTTTAAATGACCTGAAATAACTTGCATAATCTACTTGCTTGTTGCTTGTTGCTGAGATTTGCTCCTTCTGTGAAAAAGAGCTAATCTTTACTTGCATATATTCTTCAATGTTTCAGGTATGCAATTGTTCGTGACATGACGGCTGCTGGCCTTGGTCTTAACAAGTTCTGCTATGCTGGACTTATAAACGCACATAGAAACAAGACTCCACTTTCAGAAGATATAAACACAAAGGTATGTTGGAGTATTCTGATTATTTATTACTTTGTGGTTTTTCTCTCATATTTAGTTTTCTTACATGATTTTACATGCTCATTGCCATGTAAAAGATTATTGAGCTCGTTAAGCAGTCAAAGGGATGGTCTCCTGTTGAAGGTTACAGTGATGTTGCAGAGAACGTGATGATGGGTGTTTCTGAGGAAGAACTGTACAACATTCCTACTGCGGATTTTGCCCACAGACGTGGATTTCTGAATACGCAGTTAACAGTCTATCACGTAGCCTTCAATACTTGTGCTGATTTGCGGAGTATGGAGGTAATTAATTTCATTGAATCTTCGGTTGTGTTTTGTCCCGGATAAAAGGTTGAACCTTAATGGCGTTGATTTCTTTCTGCTCTCTTAGTTTGCTTCGAAAGTAAATTGCTTGTACTCAGATCTGTTTGGTTGGGATAATAATGTTTTGATAACTACAGTTAGCAGTTATGAAATTTAGTCCCCTACACAGCCAGTATTTATTGCTTGTCCTGGCCAAGAAAGAAGCTTCCTGTGTCAATCTCGAGTACCAACTTAAGAGAATACGCCAGTTTTTACATTCACACTAATCTGTCCCTCGGAGCTCCATAATGCAGCTGTCTATGATACCTTTGGCTGTCCGGCTCTTTTTTCTTTTATTCTTCTACTTGTCATATATCCACCGGACCTCTATCATGGATCCTCATTGATCTGCAAATGAATAAGTTGGTGTCGGGCATCCCCATTATTATAAAGAGGCTGGACTTGACCTTTTCTCTCGGTTTATAGTTTGAGTACAGAAACAACGGCTCATGACTTATTTGGATATCTGCTTTATGCATGTTAGCCTCATTCTCTCTTTATGAGATTCGAGTTGCTTTATTTTTGAGTTTTTGTTTCTTGTTCACATTTGTTTTCTTATTTTTGTCTCTGCTTTTACTTTTCTAGTTTGGGCTAGTTACCTTTATTTTATTTCTTTATTCTATTTTTTTGAAATTCTGTGTCATAATGATGATCACATTTCTATTTTGTATTTTCAATTTTTTATATAGATTAAGCTATGTTAGCCTCATTCTCTCTTTATGTGATTCAATTTATTTTTCTAGTTTGGTTTTTATTATTTCAGAATAGCATAGTTAATATGGGCACTTTAGCAGGATGAAGTTTTCCACTTTGTTTTTTATGGAAGGCGTGATACTCTTGGAAATCTATTTCTTTATTCTCTATTAGTTCATTAGTTGGTTGCAAATATTTCCTGTCAGAGGACTAGGGCTTTAGCCATAGCTTAATCACATCTAATAGTGTGACTAGCTGAAATGGATAAATGAATCTAGGAATGCGTCCATGGTATTCGGAATCCGTTGATTCCTGTCCAAATATTCCTATGAATATTATTTAAATTTCATCCAGATGCTATAGATGGTTATCCTAAGCTCTTTATCTCAGTCATTGGCTGATTATGGATCACGTATGAATCCTGGAGAATATGTTTTAGCTTATGTGGACATACTTTGATTCGAGATTTCCTTCGCATCTATGAAGGCAAATGCTGCTCTTTAGTCTTCTAGTGAAGTGATATTTGATTTAGAGAAATGATTGGAAACATGCTAGGCAGAGGAAGAAATTACTTGCTCGGAACTCAAAGCTCTGAGTGAGTCTTCATGATTGTCCAGAGTACGTTCTTCCGTAGGATTTCCTTGTAGAATGTGGGTCCCCTTCTGTGGACATTACCCGTTAGCTTTGTCAGATTGTAAAACATTTATGTGAGAAGCACATCAATTGATGCTCTAAATCTCTCAAATTCAATAGTAGCGTGACAGACAACTATTTTATGAACTGCATGAACTGCAGTCTTGAAGGCCATCCGAATGGTTGAAACGCATTTTCTGGAATCATATTATCGACGGTGTTAACTCATATGGGGCCTGGAAATATGAAAAATTAAATCAAACTAACAGCCATTCCAGGTAGGGCAGAGAATCAAATTGCCAATATTGTCTCCAACCTGAAACTTTTAGCTGAGGCAGTTAAATTACGAGTTTCAATATTTTCGTTGGATTTTTTTTGGCGCGAGTAAACCTTTTTACATACTATCTGGGTAAAGCGTTGTGTTTTCACATTGTGTGCCCTGGTTGAATAATCATCGGTGCATTGTCCTGCTTTCTGATTATTTGTTCATCCAATGTTTAGACATTTGACAAGCTTCTGGAGATTCTCAAGCAGGATGGTCATTCTCCTGATACATACATTGTGATACAAGCAATAAGGTAAACATTACCTCTCTTTAATTCAAAGAAACATGAACCTTGGATCTTTGGGGTGGAGTATGTATTTTCGTCAACGTTTGCATGGAGCAGGTGCTATGTCCGCTCTGGAGACATTGATCGTGGTCTTCAGATGCTGGAAGGCCACCTGAGCTCAAAGCCAGCATCTGTGGAGTTGTATGTGGTAAGCCTATGTTCAACACACCTTGCCTGTTCTCCTGGTGTAATTTTCCTGCAAAATCGTAGTTCTTAGGCTGTGTTTATATATTGTGGAGATAGAAAAGTTTTTGCTCGCCATTAGGAGAAGATATTCATCGTGAATATGAATTTTCAAGTACCATTGATTTTGGTACATGTAAAGCATAATTCATAGAGCCTTAGCTTTGACATTGTTTTCATTTTTGGATTTGAATTCTTGATTTAATTGAGAATTGGTTGATGTAGTCAGCTGTTTTATTTAGTCACCATCAATCTGTGCATATACAGGCTATTTCTATTGCCTAAACAATATGTGAACTGGGATACATTATTTGGGGGGATAGGTCTCTGACATGGTTCAGAGACGCGAGGAAGAGCTAATCTCCTTGTTTTTGGTTTCTGCAGTCGTTGGCTGAGGCAGCCATTGAGGGTTATACTGTAAGAGGCATGCAAGTTGCTCAAGAAACACTGGTAACTGCTCATAACTTCATGTTTCATGTATTTTCCCTTGTCTGTGTCGCTGATTTGCGGAGAAAAACTTTTTTCCCATTTCTGCAGGAGAAGATGAATGCCAGAGGGTTTTTCCTGAATGCTAAGATGGGCAATGATCTTCTCCTTGCTGCATCAGGAGAAAAGGTGAATGACAAAAAGATTGTAATTTTTATATGGACCATCTTTCTCATTTTTACAAAAAAGACTTGCTGGATGCTAAATGGCTTAATATTGGCGACAAAAAACATCTTGATAACTGGACATGTAGAGAAATCTTCCAGAAGTAATCGTCTGAAGTAGATGCTTCTATTTCGTGGCCAACGTGTGCATATGTACAGTACGAGGGAGGCGGGAAATCCATTGGACGGTTCTAGTTTTGTCGCTCAGCAGGAAAAAACCACCTCTCAATATTAAAGTATGAAACGAATACTTAGTATGATGTTCCACATTGATAAGTTTATGTGATTTTTTTCTTAGCTGAAAAGTTTATTTTCAATGAATGGAAGGTGCCAGTTAGAACAGGTTGACTAAACACATCCATAGTGCATAGAAAATTAGGATCTTTTGTAGTTATTATATTCCTTAAGTGTATCATGATTATGAAATAGGCGGTAATTTATATTGGAAACATGTATTTGTTTTTTTCCTTTTTATTGTTCTAGATCTTGTGATGAAATAAAGCTCATTGTTAATGCTAACTTTGCATAGCGTCCGACGTTGAGAAAACGAGAAAAACATTCTTTCATTAGTTCCTCGCATGGTTTCGTCTGGGTTTTGAATAGAAATTGTCTTCTGCGCTGATAATCTTACTGAGATTGAAGGAAAGAAAATTTCGCCGTTTTATTGGTTTATAGATCCTCAAGGGATTTATATGATATAAGCTCTTCTCTAACTGTCGTTGCTCGATACACACTGTTTCAATCACGACATAAAATTTCTCGGATTGTTTCCAAGACAATTCGAGCTGTCCAGTATGTGGCTGTGTCTCTCTGAATTCTTTAATGACTTGAATAGCCAGTCTGTTGATTTTAATGAAATTGCCATCCAACTTATCACTTTGGTCACGAAATTCATGCTTATCTGTAGACCGGTGGTTATACAACTGCGAATTACGTTTGGGATTTGATGCAAAGCCGCAAAGTTCCTGTTAACTTCGCTGCCTGCGATGCCTATTACAATGGCTTGAAGGTGAGTGATTAATGCCTATATATTCCGTAGTCTTCAATCTTCAAAGCTTTTGCTGTCATATCCGGGATTTGTCTTTATGCTAAAGCAGCTTCGTAGATGTGTCACCATGATATTTTACTTCTACAGGTTGACTTTCGGATATCAATAAATTATTATTTTCCAATTGGTCTATGATTTGTACTTATTTCCCTAATGTCATATATACTTTTAAGGTAGCTTCCATTTTTCCTCACAAACTAACTGAATTATGACTCAAGACTTTCTGTGCCTGTTTTTATTTAAAATTTCTTTTTAGGTCCCTCAAAACTCTAGTCTTAACTTTTAATCCTGTCCTATATTAATTTTAACTCCCGTCTAGCAGTCTCATCCTTCCCCTGGGTTCTGCACAGCTCCTCCTTTTCGTCATTTTATGTTTTTAGTTTTGATAGTTACTATAACCGGAGGACACAAACCCAAGAGTCAATCATTCAGATATTTTGGGCTATCGAAAGCCAAATAGTTATTCTTTTTAAAACTTGGAGAATATGTCTATTTTTTATAGACCTATTGAGTACAAGCAATATTATACAATTCTGCGAAGAATAGACTGAACCCTGTTAGACATTCTTGGTTTCAAGAACTGCATACTAACATAGACATGGAAAGAAATACATAAAATGGGGGTGATTTTCGCTCTTCCATGCCCATGATTTAGCTGTAGGGGAAACGCCAGCGTCGTTTTTTATCTCTTGTATATGTATTCATGTGGAATTGGAATACAATTTATGCAACATACTTGAATGATGGCATTTTGATTGCCTATATTTTATTATTCTGCATCTCAGGATTGTTATTAAACGAAAAAAATCATTTTAAAAAATTGCTTCATCGGTTGCACTTTATTTCTTGTATAATTCTTCATGTAGAATGGCTTTGCAGTAGATACAGCAGGCTGGGATGATTTAAGTAGTGTTTATCAATCAGAGCAAAGGTGTTCATATCGTCTCATCTGTTGCATCTCATCATTCCTATATAACTGTTAATGTGGAATTGGGTTGCAGTATATACAACCCATCTGCTGGCCCCACGCAGTTGTTTCATGTTTCAAAGGATGGTTCTTGATCTTTACCTCTTTTAAATTCCAGGAGAGGGATGTTCCTGGAGATGACCCCCGACTGTTATTGGTCAAACGCACATGGGAGAATTCGAGGGCCAGATTTGCACCGATTAGGGGGTGATTTCTTCAATGCCCCTTCAATTTTTTTCTTTTTTTCTTTTTTGGTCCCTTTGACGGACAGGCCACTTGCCCTGTTGTCGAAGTTCCTTCATTCTGGTTTCCTAGATGCTTGAAGCTTTTCCAGCACATAATGGTTTAATTCATAGGAGTTGTGAGATCTCCCAAACAATGTTTGGTGCATAGAAGCTCGTCCAATTTGCTCAAAGATCATAACCTCTTTATATGTATTCCCATCATATCCCTTCATCTGTTCATCACTTCATGTGCTGAGTGGCACTATGCTAAATGGGATTGAAGGAAATAAGTTTTTTTTTTTTTTTAAAGCAAAAGCTAAGGGGTTTGAGTAGAGCTTTTCCTTCTCATTGTCATTCCTCTTTCTTGTGGAATTCCTTATAAAGCTTAAATTAATCTACATTTTTTCAATCATTGGTTGTTGGAGTTGGAGATATTTTCTTATGGTTGAGGGTATTGGTCTTAAACCTGCAGACTCAATTCCTTTGTCCATGGAGAATGTGGAAGAAAATAGTGAATTGTTACTATCAATACGATTGTCAAATACCTTTTAGTTAAATTAAGAAAAAGTGTTATCTTGGTTTAATAGTTTAGAGCATGCATATATAATTGAATAAGATGACAGTTCACAACCTGCAATTTGCAAGGAAATGTGACAAAACTTGTTCTCTTGGTAGACATGGGGGGAAGATGTTCTACATCATAAGGTTACTTCCTAGTCAATGCCATATAAAACGACTGCTAAATATTGTTAGTCACTATTAGTTCAAATCGACATAAAGTTTAGGGGGGCTTGGAGCATTATATTCAGTAGCTAGCTTCTTGTCAATATTATGTTAATGTAGTCCAATTTACATTAAGTTCCATACCAATTGCTCTTGGAGGGCATAACTCACATAATGGAAGTTATCTCCCACAAGGTGATCATTACATTCATGTAATAAATCTTCCTTAAATTAGCAGAAAGTGTTGAATTTCATGGACCCAGAAATTGTAATAGGGTTGCAGCTTTGGTGAATGCATAAGATGGAATGAGCTTTGACTTTTGTGGCCACAAAAGGGCATTATAGTCTGTTATCTCTAGGGATTCTAGTGCTTTGACCAATGTACGTTGATGAGTTCACTTTGTTCTAATCGGTCTACATGCGTTACACTTGGAACCTATTAGATCACAAAAGCTTGAATAAATGTGTCAACACCTTTGCAAAAGCATTCACCTCAGAGAAGTATGATTATAAATTTTTAAGGCTATAACGGTGTACTCATTATGTAAGTAATAGAAAAAAATTGAATAATTTCTCCCAATATTTCAAGCTGGTAAAGCATGTACAAGAGTGACAGCTTCTGATTTACAGCCTTATTATATATATAAAGTTGTGAAAACTATGTAGAGGAATGTTTCTTACCTTTTTTCACATATAATCTACTTTTATTAAAAGTTGTCATCCTTGTATAGCTTACCAACATGAAATATTTGGGAAATTTTAGAAATATTTATAATTTTTATTCATCTAAAATATATTTTGTTCATATGATAAGGTCTCATTATAATGAATCATAACGATTATAACATTTTTCTACTATCATGACGCACCTAAAATGAACTGGCATTTCAATAATAGATCATTATTCTAGATATAAATGTTAAATTACTAACTAGTTGTGAGATAACATTTCTCTTGGAAACCCAAGTGATTTCCTTGAAATCTGAATCTTGAGAGATCGTTCAAACTCAGGATCATCCAATTATAGCACTTGCTACAGTTTCTTTATAAATAGAGCAGTATGCAACAAGTCAAGTGGGTGAGAACAAGACCTTTGGATGAACAAGCTTCAAAATTCCTACCTTAAATGGAAAAAAAATAAACACAGGAACAACAAGAAAGAGGAGGGAGGAATAACTTGCTTCCCAGCATTAACCAGGAAATCATGAGGACAGCTGTGGCACCGGGTATTCAACAGGAAGCCCACACGAATCAAAATGACATGCGCCTTGGCTTACTCTCAGCAGCATTGACCCTGATCGTCCTCCCATCCAGATTCTGCAGAAATGGAACAATCCTCCCACCATGAGCTCAAGCATATGAAGGCCTCAGACGCATAGGCATGAGAACGATGGATCTCCCATAGAATTAACTTTTCCCAAAAAAAAAAAAAGAAAGGGTACTTAGACTTTATTTTTTTCTACTCCTGGTTTTGTGACAGTTTAGAAATCTCGTCCAATAATCAGGGTGGAAGCTCGACATGTTATATGATGACGGTAGGAAAGAAGAATTCAACTCAGAGTTGAGCTGTAAACGAGCACACAAAGGTCTAGTGGAAGCGGATGTACCTGCCCATCAAGGCTAGCAATGGCATCGTCAAATTCCTCTTGGGTAGACATGGTGACAAAGCCAAAGCCGCGAGAGCGCCCGGTCTCCTGGTCACAGACGACTCTCGCATCCACTACCTTGCCATACTCACTGAACACCTGCTCCAGACGTGCATCGTCAACACTCCAGGCAAGATTACCAACATAGGCTTTGGGCCTGGACTCGAACTCCCGCACCCGTCTCTCTGGCCGGCTTCCTCTGGGAGATGCCTTGTTTACAGTCAAAGGCCTCCCCTCTGCACTCTAGTCGTGGCAAAACAGAAGAATTAACGTAAAGAGTGACAAATTAGACAGTATATTGAAGTCAACTAGATTCATAAACTATGCTGAAACTGACTATTACTACGTCATTTAAAGGTACATCATAAATGATCAAGGAGAGTATATAACGCGGCATTAAAGATTGCAGAGTAATTCCTGAAGAAACATTAATGGAAGCTAGATTATGATGAGAAGGCAAGAGGCATGTCGCAAATTCAATCCAAAAAGTAAGAGTATCATTTATCCTTGTGGCCTATAAAACGTAATAAACCACAATCATCGCATGCCACGCACAGAGTAATTCCCATAAACATATTAACAAAGTAATAACATCATCAGAAAACCAGAGACAAGCAAGGGTTATTGATCCGAATTCCAAGAAATATCACGTAGATGCATTGTTTTGGGCCTTATTCGTCAAGGAAAACAGGATTCAGCACTAAAACTGGAGAAGGAGAAAAGAATATCCACATGTAAACACTCGAAAGAGTCAATATTGAAATACTGACCACAAAGGAATCAATTTTTATCATTCATATATGATTCCTTTTGACTCAATTTTTATGATTCACAGGCAAAGCATGGAATTATTCTAAACCTTCAGGCCCAAAGAATGCTTGTGGTTAAGACTCTTACAGTTTTATGGGAAATTGGTAGCAGCTACCATGAAAAAACTTCTCCGTGTGAACAAACTATATTCAAGAAGAGAAAACACATATCGATCTTGGTTCATAGGCATACAACTGACGCTCAAGCTGCTAGTACACAAGAGACACGGAAAAATGTCATTTGATATTCAATATTTACCATTTCTCCCTTGAAAAGTATGTCAAACATTCAATAAACTCTGGCACTAAATTTAAGGCAAAATGATGCATTACATTCGAAAGAAGGGTGGGAAAAAGCTTCTTTCAAATAACACCCATGTACTAGTGTCTGGCGATGGTCTATTATTAGTTTGCCTCATAAATCAAGAGCCAAAACGAACAGAATTTTAGGATAATTCGATGCCTCATATGGGAATCTAGTATTTCAGAGATCAACAGACAAAGAAAGATTGAAAGAAAGCAATGCACAATGTTAAAAGGCATTGTGAAAATCGAAAGAAAAGAGAAAGAAGAAGAAGGGAGAGGAGAACTAACCTTAGCATCATTTTGAGGGACTCCAACAAATCAAAGTGGAGATCTCATTCATCGCACATGAAAAGGATAGCTCTCCACGGAAAACAGAGAAAAGATCAATAGCAATAAGATTTTATCTCATCCCTTTACATAGGTCCCTATGTTCAGAAAATGAAACCTGAATTAACCAATCATGTAGATGATGGGTTCCTGACCAGACAAAAAAATAGGCCGCAAAAATTACAATTGGACAAGGACTCTGGAGTTGATTTACAAAATAATGATGGAAATCAACAACAAGGAAGTCCTAAAATAGTAATGATTCTTCAGTTTCGTTCGTGTACAAAATTTTGACTAGGATCCTAAGTTCCGACTCAATTTCACCATTTTGGCTACTACTTGAACAAAATAGTGTCTAGGAAGTAATTTGGCCGACATGAAAACCACTTCCTAGATAGATGCTTAAAGAAAAGGCCCAACCTTATCCAATAAGATTTATTTCAATATCTTTCAAACTTTGAGACCAAATAAGATGCTCTCCGATATCATCAAACAGCTTATGCCACTAAACTGTCGCATTTAACGTCCAAAGAGGCATCAAAGAACTTGGTAAAGGTTTATGAATGGCTACCTGCATGATACGAACTCTCCACAAAACGCTTTACTTGAAAACACAAAACGGAAGGGGATGAAACACTAATTATTTGGTGCGTGACATGGATCATGCAACCAGGGACAACTCCCAAAATTACCTCTAGACATTGGTGGACAACTGCTCGACTTGAATGATAAGATTGATTACTCATAGTTTTGAGTCCCTCGTAATCTTGATATTTGATGGAAGGTAATGATAACCGAAGCCACCATCAGCCATTCTAAGCAGTCTTCTACATTGATGGTGACCTCCATTATTATTACATTTCTGTAATCATCAATGAAGTTTTGACCACAAAATGGCAATTCACGATCAAATTTAGAAAAAAGTTACTTCTTAGTTCTGTAGAAAAGAAGCTGACGTGAAGGAAACAAACTGTTGTACCCATTTCGGTCTGCCTTGGGAAGATATCCTACCACCCAAGCCCTCAATAGAGGCATTGACCAAGACAAACTTACCACGAGGGTAAGACTGTATCCAGGCACTTGATTCAACTATATACCTCACACCCAAAATGGGTGTCACTCAAATAATGTCTGAGCGACAGATTCCCATCTATTGATAACAGACCTTATCGGACACTTCCTAAGACACAAGCACCATTACTGATAAGACGGATTTTCATCACATGGCAATCACTTAATCAGATAATCCTGATCCGCATATGCAAGCAGGAAACAGATTAGAGACACATTCCTTCAATTTCACAGAGAAATGCAGGACTTGATGTCCAAGAATCTTCACACGTCCAGAGAGTATGCGAATTGGAAAAGCTTGCTCGGAAGCGAAGGTAGGCAAACTGAATGAGGATAGCATTATGATCAGGATACTGAAAACTAGCTCACTAGGTCGACCAAGAAACAGCTAATGAAGCCCATGGATTGATACGTAAACTTAACACCTCTGGACCCTACATAGAGTACATGACTGACCAAGCAGTTATCCTTAGATCCAAAGAAAACTCTCGCACAGTAAAATTCTTGGCGCTTGGCACCAAACAGATAACCTCTTTATGTTGAACTACAAACCCAGAACAGAAATTCCTATGGCCTAATCAAGGCACAGGACAAGAAAGATATGTTAAAAAATAAAACTCAAAGCAAGAGAATGTGCGGGAGACCAGGAAAATTAAAACCATCAACGTGGAAAGAAATCACATCAAAACAGAAAGAAAAAAGATTAGTCATCAAAGTTAGCTTTCAGAGCGCGAAGTCAAGAAGGAAGAGAAGCAATGAGTCGTCATTCATCTGGTTTATCACAGAAAAGGTTATTAGGATGTCAAATAGACAGCTCTCAATGACAAAATTAAGGGCAAACACTTACATATCCATTGAACTTCTCGATGGCTCTTTCAGACTCTTCAACTGTGCTCATGTTCACAAACCCAAAACCACGACTCCGACCGGTTTCCTTGTTATAAACAACCTACAGGACGACCACAAAGTAGATGTCATATCGTGAAGGTTTTGGGAATGAAAATGCTCTTGACAGAGGCTGCACCTGAGCATTCCAAGTAATGGTTTCCGAATAGAAGTCATTATGAGAAAATAATCCTAAAATCAAATGGACCAAAAATAAAGTACAGCTAAGGATTTTGTGCCACCTCGGCTACTTCGACGACGCCCGCCTGCTGAAAGAGCTGCGCAAGTTTCTCGCTGTCCATGTCGTAAGAAAGGTTCCCAACAAAGAGTTTTGCCTCCTCAAGCGGCTCTGCGTAAGAGCCCTCCTCCCCTCCCCATTCTGAGAGCCCAGCTTCTGTTCCATCCACAGTCCAGTTCGAAGTCTGGACTGCAAAGGGGCCCAGGCCGGAAGACTTCCTGAGCAGGCGAAGCGATGGAAAGGAGGAGAAAGAAGAAGACGAAAAAGAAGAACTGCAAGCGAGGTTAAGGACCCGGGTGGGCCTTGCAGGGAGATAAAGCTGCGACGCCACGGCTGACAGACGTGGGGGAAGCGACGAGAGGCAACCATCGTACATGGTTGAGGCCGCGGCCGCCTTGAAGGCTTGAGACACCGAAATTGCCATAGAGAATGGAGAGGAGATGAGCGCAAAGCAGAGGAGGGAAGGAAGACGAGAGCAGAAGAGGCAGACCCAAAGAAGATAAGATGGGCTGCAGTCGGAGGGGGGATATAAGGAGGCCTCGCGCTGGAGACCCACCCTCGTGACCTAGCAGGAGGATCGACGGTGCCCGAACCATGACCGAGAATCCAATATACGCTATCTGGTAGGCCCATAATGATATCAATCCAGGTACGCGGCTGCCGAATTGGCCAAGAGCTTCTGTTAGCATCAGCCTCTACTGCCTCGATCTCTACCTCTCAATCGGGCTCCAGCAACTTTCTCAGTCCATTGTTGGGCTCTCCAGCGTCATCCATTTCATTTTTTCTCCGCAGCAAACTTCGATAGCACTTGGCAGATGCGGATCAGTGGAAGAGATAAAGTAAACATAGATGATAAAGAGTGTAGAGAGGTGTATCATATTAGATTATATCTATCAATCAATCTGTTGCTTAGGGGGACAATTAAAGTCAAAGAATACCCGCTTACCAAATTAAGTGAGAAAACAGGCCAAACCATTCACAGAATGACGTTTTTAATATTCTTTTTATCAAAATCCTCAACAGTTTACTAACTTGGCCTCAAGAACCCTATACTAGAAACCATCAGTCTATTGTAGTCACCCTTTACCTAGAAGAACATGATTTAAGGTTTTTTTTTTCTTATGAAAATCAGATTTTGTTTGGCTGGAATTGATCTGCAGCTTGGCTTGCAAAAGGTGATTCTATCTGAAAATTTATTCGCTTATACCATTCTCTTCTGAATTTGATCTTGCTTTTTATGGCACCATCTATGGATTGCCAATTAAGGTTTGTCAATAGCCATAGTTGAACCATGGATTTAGTCTCCAAGGTTCACCCTTGGGTCAGACTCCTATCTAGTCCAACCCTAACCCCTTTTGGCTCGCATAAGTCAATCTGGCCAATTAGCTATGTTGACTTCTCTGGCCCGTTTGGCCTAGTTAGCCATTTCAGGTCAAATGAATCCTTCACTGTTTACATTCCATTGACAAAGCTAAAAATCTCTACTATTACTTCAAACATGCAACCCGTCACTATTAGAAGAGTAAGGAGCGAGAGAGAGAGGTAACGGTTTTATAGGCTTCCAGTGAAGTACGTGTGATCTCTAAAGAAGCTTATGTCCAGACCTCCAGAAACCTAGTGAGCCCCAGCTTTAGAGAAGTCATAAAGGAAAGATCAGGTCAATTTTAGTCCGCCCAAAAACTTTTTTGATGCGTACAAGTCATTATCTCTCTCTCTCTCTCTCTCTCTCTCTCTCTCTCTCTCTCTCTCTCTCTCTCTCTCTCTCTCTCCATCGACCTTGGGAGTGTGGAAAATCCTAGACTCCAGCCAGAGTTATTATCTGGGATTGTCTTAGAGCCCACCTCAGATTCGAACATCAGAATGATTATTGTATGTCTCTCAAGTCAGACCAAACATTTTTATGGCTCACGAGGAAGGGGGATAAAAGGTGAAGTCGCCCGTTTGAGAGACTATACACAAGCGAGAGAGAGAGACAGAGGAGGGGCATACCAACAAAGACTAAGCGGTGATGTACTAGGATTTCAACGCCAGTAGACGGAAGAGTTGCTCAACCGTGCTTGGGTTTGGGTGCAACTGGCTAGAGAATTAGTTGTGCCGCTGTCGGCTTTGGTTAGAGGGAGAACATGATTGGAAGTGTGCTTTGTATCGTAGGATGGACAAGTAGGACGGTACAAAGTCATTAAAAATGTTAGGTGTATTCAGACTCCAATAGATCTAAATTGTTAATTATGCAATAGAGTGGGTAAAAACTATGGGGTAGTTTAGGAGGACCTCTGGAGGATATCATGAAATTTTGGGAACTGATCGATAATTCAAAGATTTACTAGTGATTAAAATAGATGAAATGAGATAAAAGATTAGGTTCATATTGATTTTCAATACTACCCACATTAGTAATGGTCAAAGCATAAGACTAAACATTGACCTTTTTGAGAAAAAGAGGGTCTAGATTTTCTTCCTACACTCAAAAATGCTTCTAATAATATAAGGTAGTATTTGAACTAAAATGTGAAATAAAGCAATAAGACACTTTCCTCTGAATTATACCAGTGTTCTTGTGGAGCTTGTAAACTTATCAAAACACTAGATTTTCTGGCCATAAGTGTAGAGAGTAAGGGGAATTTTATGTACAAAACTCAGTGAATTTTATTTCTCTTAGTACTCCTTCTGCCGTATACATTTAACCCATGTATTTTACATTTAGTATAGTTTACCAATATTTTCTGCCGTGTTATGTATGCTTGAAGATATTCTTTAAACCATCATAAACTTGCAAAAAAAAAACTTGAGAATCCATCACTGAATGTGCTTCAAGAATTAGTATAAGTGACCTTTTTAATTTTCTAAAATCACACAGGCTGTATCGTTCATGCACTAGATTTTATCTTTTCATGTTAAATGCCCTTCATTTTCTGACTAAAAGCACGTAATGAAACTAAGGGGCCTGTATTTTTGTTTGGTGGTTTAGTATTCAATATACCATGTCAAGCATATCAAAGACTTGATTTGCCTAGTGAACTACACATACTTTTCACCATAATTGTCCAAATATATTAAAATTTTCACGTGAAATGAGAATGCCAGCTATACCATGTTGTGGAGTTAAGACTTCAGTCATTTGCCAACTCATCCAAGCACCAGAGAAAAGCCTGCCAACAATGAATGACTCTATACATCTGCTGATCCTCCAAATTGCACCAAACGCTACGAGAAGCGAGGTATCAGAAGTGTATACCCGGTGTCAATAGCATAGGTTGCCGCCCCAAAAACCCTACTACTACTCAGGAGAAAGAAATACCCGTGGGGGCTAGTCATGCAACCTATTCCCCTAACCATGAGGGGCCGGGTGGAAAGGGAGGTTCATTCATTTATAGAGATTTAAGGCCATTTCAATGGTTCGGCGGCTCCGCACAAGCTTTCTAGACATGGTTTTCCTACCTAGTTACTTCACTACAAGATTAATAAAAAATAAAAAAAATCTGTGTGAGAGAGTAGTGAAGGTCCCCCAGACTGGTCGGTGTTAATGTGTGAGACAACCAGTCTTTGAACCCATTGACTTCGTCAGGTTCTCTGGATATGAAATATTTTGAATGAGTTTCAATGGCCCTAGGGAACCACTGATATCTTGTCAAAACGGATGCATTAAACACGCCAAAGTCCAGAACCATTGACGTGAAGATGAGAGAGATCGCGAAGGGTGTAGTTTGACATAGAACCCGCAGAATATGAGGATATTACGTGGGTCACGAATCGTTGGGAAACAAGACATCATTGAAGATATCAGATCCAAACCATCGTGCAATGCAAGATCATATGCGTCTCTTCCTTTCTCCCTCATCCACTCCCTCCGTCCCCCTCTCGAGGGTACCCACATCTCTTTTTTTCTATGTCTCTGCTAGCGGTGGTAAAATGTGCCTCAGAAAGGGAAACAGATCGTACAATGAACAGTTAACAGTATCCATCATCCTTCCTCTTCCATAACAGAATGAACCAAATACTTGGATCGTATGTGAGCATCTCATCTAGATCAATTTAGACCGTATCCATGTAAAGCCGAAGAATCGGACCTTGAACTACAAATTTTAGAGGGACAAGGTGTTAGACGCTAAGTGGGCTTGCATAAATTGTACATTAATAATTCAATGACCGGGAAGGAAGGGTCTATTTGATGAATCACATTGCGATTGTCCTATCATTGTTCGTTAACTATGTATGTTTATATAAGCATGATATGAAATTATGCTAGTCATATTGCTCTCAATATATATATATATATATATATATATTTGCTTGATTTTGACGTTCCACAGGGTCCGAGTTACGTATGAAGCCTCGAATAGCCAGGAAAAGCTACAACAAGCAGCCTTAATTTATCCCGTGCTAATTGACATGGCCTCCCAAGGCACCCACATCTCTGTACTCCTCGAGGGAGGATAGAGTTATCCTTCATGAATAACGATTCCAAGAAACAGGAGAAAAATGATTTCTCATCACAGAAAGAATTCTAAAACTATTGAAGAGGCCTAGTTTAATCCTTGATAGAACCTTCGAGAGAGACAGAGAAAACTGATTCCCCACTAGAAAAACAGCGTCAAAACGTGTGAAGAAGCCTTGTTTAATCCTTGATAGAACTTACAAAACAAAACAGAATGAAACTGACTTCCCATTTTCAAAAGGATTATAAGCCTTCTTTCACCTTGTTTAATCATCAGTAAATCCTTCAACAGAAACTGTCTACTACAAGATTATTCTCGGATCTTGAAGGGGATGATCCCTGTGGAAGAGGGGAGGGGATTCTCGATGAGTCTAGCCTACTAAGTATGAAAACACGTGCTGCATGAAATTGAATATCCCCCGTGTCATAATTGTCGGTGCTCGTGGCCCAGTAGCTTCATTGATGACGAGAGACATCGTATTCATACATGCTTTCGCTACATCCGTCGTACACAGACCACAAGAAAGACCTGATGGGCTCAAATAAAATGGTTCTTGTTGTCGCTCATAATCAATAAACGGGATGGCTCAACCAACATCAATTATGATATGCATACATTATTTAATGGGCAATCATCGATCATTCAAGCTCCTTGGGGTGATGCCTATCTGTTTGTAAGTCGTGACATCAGAGGAAAAATCAACGGATTAGATTGAAGAACACCGTCATCTTCCCTCCTTGGAGTTTTCCAACATCTTCAGCTCTCTTCTAAAACCTAAATCTGTTTAGTCATTGGGAATATGGGATCTGGTCGCATGTGCGTACATTGAAGAGGGCATCGATCTGAATGGTGCATCACAGAGCAGTGGCCATTCAGATTACGCTTCCAACTCACACACCCATTGAACAGAAAGGGTTCCCAATTATGTTGTCAAGAGTCTTCTTCTCCGGGGTTACAACTGAAGCAGACTTATCCACAGATTCAGCCGTATAGTATATATTGATAGATATGGCTGGACATCTTCGGGTGAAGATACGATCTTTGAGGAGGATTACACAGGGTTTTCATACTACCCAAGGTTCAGAAGTTGACCAGAAAAAAAGGGGGCATACGTGAACTTCTCTTGAGGACATCAGCCTCTTCTGAAGAGAGAAACTTTGAGGTGTTTCTGGGGTTTACAGAATGAAAGAATTGCGCGTGTGAGAGTATAAAAGATGAGGGCGGTCCTGTGAGGTTCCGCTTACGCCATTTCTCCTCCAAGCAGACCTGTCGTTGAATGTCGGGGGATAACCCTCATCGTCGAGAGGGAAACAGTCCAGATCACCAGCTAAGGCCCCTAAATGATCGCTCAGTGATAAAGGAGGTACGGATGCAGAGACAGCCAGGAGGTTTGCCTAGAAGCAGCCCGGGTCGCGGCGGCGCTTCACCCCGCCCCCCGACCAGCCGGCCGTGCTCCTCCGGGATTTGCTGCCCGACACCCTTGCACGATGGAGCCATGAGATGTAGTTACGGCGTGTGTGTGTGTGTGTGTGTGTCTCTCTCTCTCTCTCTCTCTCTCTCTCTCTCTCACTCACCCTCGCTCTCTCTTTCTCTCTCAGTCTCTCAGTCAAAAGCCTCTTGCAATATTTCTCCTGACTGGGCGGGGCCTCACTGTCAACCCCTCCCATCCCATCCCCTAACGTGCTGACGTGGCACATGTCCGTGGCACATGTCGCTGACGTGGCAGAGGGCGACTCGCGAATGCCCTCTGGGCATCCGCCCTCGTGTCACCACTATCAAAAGACGACCTCCGCCACCTCAGCTCCGTTGTGCCTTCATGGCGATCCTAGGCGGGGGGACCCCGATTCTCCGCCACCTCAGCTCCGTTGTGCCTTCAAGGCGATCCTAGGCGGGGGGACCCCGATTCTTTTCTAGGTGATAAAACCTTCTAAATCGCGTTACTTGACAAAGTCACCATCTTCTGCGTGGCGGTTGACACATTTATTTGACGCGACCGCAGAGTAGAATTCCAATCGGATGGTCAACAAATGTTGAAAGGATAAATATGGGCAAGCAGCTCGACGGACCCAACCGGCGTGTAGGGAGGCTGCTAACGAAGGCACATGAAAGGGGGTTGACCGTATTAAATGCCTACCTGGCACGACCAGGCTGGGGCAAGATGGTGCTTCTCACGGCTCCTGAGAGCCTCTGCATGCTCATCCTATATGTCTCCCCTCCACTCTCGACACCCACCACCTTGCTTAATTGCATCCTCTCTCTTTAGAACCAGGTCAATGCAACCGTTGCCCCCCATAATCTCTCCCTCTCTCTCTAGTTGTTGGCACGGCAGTTCTTACGGTCTATAAACCCCTTCGGATGAGAAGTGATGTGGGTACAGTTCAATCTCCTTCCCGAGAGCTTCTAGTTCGGCCATGGCGGATTGGGCAGTGTTGTGGAAGGAGGTGGCGGGGGGCTTCAGGGCCATGGACCTTGCTGTGGCCATGAGCGGGCTCTTCCTCTTCAGCTGCGTCGCCCACAGGGCGACACATAAGGGCCCCATGCACTGGCCGGTCCTCGGCATCATCCCCACCCTCTTCCTCCACCTGAGCAACGTCCACGACTGGATCACGGCGGCTCTATCGCACGCCGGCGGCACCTTCTGGTTCCACGGCATGTGGCTCGGCGGCGCCCACGGCGTCGTCACGGCGGACCCCGCCAACGTCGAATACATCCTCCGCACGCGCTTCGCCAACTTCCCCAAGGGTAAGTATTACAGGGAACGCTTCGTGGACCTCCTCGGCGACGGCATCTTCAACGCCGACGACGGCGTGTGGCGCGAGCAGCGCCACACTGCCGCCTCGGAAATGCACTCCGTCCGCTTCGGTTCCTACTCCGCACAGTCGATCTCGTCTCTCGTACACGGTAAGCTCCTGCGGCTCCTCTCTCGCTTGGCTGCCACCGGCGAGGCCGTGGATATACAGGACGTGTTCCTCCGCTTCACCTTCGACAACATCTGCATGGCGGCGTTCGGGGTCGACCCGGGTTGCCTCGCCGTTGACCTACCGGAGGTGGGCTTCGCCAGGGCCTTCGAGCGGGCCACAGAGCTGTCCCTGTTCCGCTTTATCGTTCCGCCGTTCGTGTGGAAGCTCATGCGCCGGCTCGGCGTCGGCCCCGAGAGGGAGCTCAAGGAAGCCGTCCGAGTCGTCCACGAGTTCGCAGAGAAGACCGTGTTGGACCGTCGCGCCGAGTTCGTCTCCTCGGGGGACCTCCGAGACCGTTCAGATCTCCTGTCTAGGCTCGTCGAAACCAAGGAAGAACCCGCCGCCGTAGCCGGCGAGAAGTTCCGATTCTCCGACAAGTTAATCAAGGACTTCTGCATCAGCTTCATACTCGCCGGGAGGGACACCAGCTCGGTGGCACTGGCGTGGTTCTTCTGGCTCATTCACGACCGGCCCGACGTTGAATCCCGCATTCTCGATGAGATCCACTCGATTATCCGGCAGCGGGAAGAAAAACAAGAAAAACCTGGAGATCTGGTGTTCGCGGTAGAGGAGCTGGGGAGAATGGACTACCTTCAGGCGGCTCTGTCGGAGGCGCTGCGGCTGTACCCATCGGTGCCGATTGACTTCAAGGAGGCGGTGGAAGACGATGTCCTCCCGGACGGAAGCCCAGTCAGGAGCGGGGCGAGGGTGATCTACTCAATATACTCCATGGCGAGGGCGGAAGCGCTGTGGGGAAAGGACTGCCGCGAGTACAGGCCGGAGCGGTGGATCAGCAAAGAAACGGGGAGATTCGCGGGGGAGAACCAGTTCAAGTACCCGGTGTTCAACGCTGGACCGAGGCTCTGCGTGGGTAAGAAGTTCGCCTACCTTCAGATGAAGATGGTGGCGGCGGCGGTGCTGCTCAGGTACAAGGTGAGGGTGGTGGAGGGGCAGGTGGTCGAGCCCAAGCTGACCACTACCCTCTACATGAGGAACGGCCTCCTCGTCACCTTCAAACCAAGAGAGAGAAACCTCTCTGACGTCGGGCCTTGACAATGCAGTCTGGCTCTTCGCTTGGGTCTGCATGTCTGCGCATCAACAAAACCACTGCCCCGCTCTCGTCGTCTGACACACTACTGTGCATCTTACCATACACCCAGAACGAGGCATGATCTATCCTCCAAAGGGCGGACCCGTGTTTTACCTATGGCTTACTCTCCGCAGGTAGATTTGTCCAAGCTTTAGCTCACCTGTGTAGTCTATCTGAAGACCCATCGACTAGTCGGTGAAGGGATGATGCATTAAAACAATCCCAAGTCGAATGATTTAGCGTTAAAGCAGTTGAGATGCTTGAAATCAAATCTAGTAAGCAGATTATTCGACGGGATAAAAGAATGGTAGGGCCAAAGCTCTACTACAGGTTGTGAGAAGGCTTACCTGCGCCTTGCTATTTATTCATCTGCAAACGTTAAGCTAAACCCACGCGGGTTTGAGTCTGTGGAGGAAAGAAATAACCTTTCATCCGTGAGAAGACGAAGAAGAAGAGAACAAGAAGGTGGGGAACCCCCAAGAGGGTAGTTCAGTCCTTGATGTCACCTCCATTAAAGAGGGTCGGAATTATCTCCACAAAAGACGACAAAGGAGAACGGTGAAATGACCAAAAAAGGAGAGAGAGAGAGAGAGAGGAGAGAGAGAGGACGGGACCTGAGGTTATCCCAAAGAAGAAGGGAGGGGATAAATGGGTTTTTCTTTAACTATTTTCTCTCTTGGTTTCATACAAAATTCTTATACTGGTTTGGCCACCTAACCTACTCAACTCTTTTCGTACCATGTATGTTCCCACTTCCTTGGATTCTAATAAATCCCTGCTGAAATACATAAACTTAAGAGCTCACTCAATGATCATTTTCTAAAGTCACAACTCTAGGAGGTAAAGAATCTACTCATCTTTTCCATATTCATGCCTCTAAGGGCCAAACAAAAGAGACACTAGTAGCTTCTAGAGTCATGGCTCTAGAGGGCCAGATAGAGGTTACTCACTCCGATCTTCAATGCTCATGGCTCTAGAGGGCCAGATAGAGGTTACTCACTCCGATCTTCAATGTTCATGGATCTAGAGGGCTAGATAGAGGTCTCACTCCTATCTTCAATGTTCATGGCTCTAGGGACCGAAATAAGATTACCACCTGTTAATGTCCTCTATGTTAAAACTTTTGATTTTAGTGTTGAGTACTAAATCATTGTAAATACAAAGGTAGAGCATGTTATCACTCTTAGAGTTCACAGCTCCAAAGCTCCCTGAGGCTTGAAATGAGCCAAATCCCCATGTAAAGCCAAAGGTATGTATGAACTTTACACCAAGAACTACACTATTATAACTTTTCATTAATGTTACTCTTATGTCATGCTTCAACTTCTTTAAATTAAAAACTATCTCCATCAAAGTTCCTCAATGATACATTCCACATTATCAAAGATCATTTCTTAGTTTATCATGCCTTTCAACATAAATCCCATGCTAGTCAATGGTAAGGTATTATAACACATCACTGTCCCACATTTCCTTCCATATAAGTTTGTTTGATCTCTTTCCCAAAGTGAAAACCTTGCAACACAAACAAACGTAATGTTTGATGACCCATTTTCCCCAATGCAATCTCCTTCCAACTTGTACACTTTATATCTTATCTTGATTTTGTCATCATAAAAATGAGAATTTTTTGGAAATAGTTACACTAATCGATGTTTTTATTGATCAAAGGTTACATGTTATAATTCATGGAATTTATGAAGTTTATTTCTTCATATAATTGGTTTTAATTATCAAATTAGATTAATTGATCCATTCATCATTTTGATGAGTCCAATATAATGTGTTTTCTATTGTGTCACCCATTTAGGTCTATTCACCCCCACCCCCTCCCCTCTTCTGTTGTTTCAAACTCTTTTTTCTGAAGATCTATAATTAACTATTATCTTATCACCTTTTTTATTTAACATTTTCAACATAGAACCTTAATCATTTTTCCAAAGATCATGCACAAGTTAGCACAATATATTGGATTTTATAATCAAAAAAATAAATTGATATATTTCAATATTGTTAATGAAATCCAATTAGACTATGTTGAATTCAGGTTCTCATATTTTAGTGTTCTTGTCCTTTTGACTTGTGGGGTTGTTTGCCAAATATTATTTGCTATTAATTTTATATCTACTTTAATGAATTCCTCTCCTATTATGCCTAACCAGATTATAAGTATTTTCTTATTTAGATTAACTCAATTTTCCATCAAACACTTAACTATAACCATGTACTTTTTTATCTATCACATATGGAATATTTTAATCGCTAGGCATATACAATTGACTTGTCCCAATATGTTTTGATCATATCCATTATAGAGTTTAATTAAACTTAATTCTCCCCAAAATAAAGCTTTATTGCTCATCCACTATAATAGTTCCATGAATGATTATTAAGAGGCTTTCATATATGCCTATTTCTTTTAGCCTTGAAAATTCACAAAAATGCAAGAACCACTATACTGGTCTTATGCTTCATAGGTTACATGTAAACGTAACACTGTGCCTTCAAAGAATATTTTTATCACATATATGGAGATGTGTGTACTCATTTCAAAGCAATTTCGAAGATAAACACGGGATGATTAGCCACAACATGAAGTTTGATGTCCAAAAAGACAACACTATTTAGCTAGCAACACGTGTTCCCAAGATGATGATATCTTCAAGACTCCAATGATGGGTGATTGAAAGAGGGAGAGAGAGAGAGTTTAGGCCATGACGAAAATATGGCAAGCCTCAACCCAAAAGCCCAAAATTCATTATTTGACTAAGAATATGATGTCAATATCTACCCTCCTAAGACCGATTTACCTGAATTTTGGGAAACACAGCTTCACAAATCCGAATGCCTTGAAAAAACAACAGCCAATGAGATTGTGCTCTCCATCTAGTAACATATTAACCCAAACAGTAGGAAAGCCACATCAAAATAGAGCAAATCTCTCTCTCTCTCTCTCTCTCTCTCTCTCTCTGTGCAGTCACTGGCATCAAAGTCGCAAGCTGTTTAGACTGCCATGGTGGTGATCCACTAATCAAGAAAAAAAAACCTATAGGAAAATTTCACCGTATGAAGAGTTGGAGTGCATTCATAGAGAATCGATGACTTAATCCGAATCCAGAACCATGCAGTTACTAGAAAAGGAAACATTTGAAAGACAGGGTAAGACAGTAATAGAGTGGTGGAATGGCAGAATATCTGGGAAGCCAATCGCCACAAGAAATCACTGCTTTAGTCCAGAACTCGTCCTTCTCTCATGTAACAAAGGCCCACATAAATATACCCGACCACAAAACTCTAGAAAGCAGGACAACATGCTTCCATCCTAGACACATCGACCTTCCCCAACAGAGAACCTTATTCTGAGAAATGCCCAGATGCCACTAGTCTGATTTTGTGTAGTACCGGACACCAACAGCCAGGCCGAGGATCACTACGGGGAGGAGGAACTGGAGGATCCTGATGACAAAGTCGGTGGTCTTGTCGTGGTTGTAGTGCGGTTGCTTAGGTGGCGTGTATTTAACCTTGGTGGGGATTGTTGCGGTGTCAATGTGCCCAACAAGGTACTCATCCATCATTGATCTAGCACTGGTACTGTGCCCAACATCCTCAAAGTCTTCAGTCGCGTCCTTTCCTGAAAGGGCCATGTTGAGGGCAGCGGCATGAGCAGGTGACGGTGTCAGGGGACTGAACACCAATGCCGAGAGAAAGAGTGAATAAGGGCGTGTTACCTGTGGATGACAATAAGACGTCATCTCCACCAGGATGGTCGTCTAAGAACTTTGTAACATCATAAACCTGTTCCAGCATGTCAAGTGAGGAACTTGGGGCACGCATCTATGGGATTATTTTTCTTCGGATGGGAAATCAAATGTCTATAAGCGACAGAATATTAACAGCATTTCATCATGAGGACCAATTAGACTTGGCAAGATGTTTTCTCTAAGAGAACCACTGTGGCTCTCAATCTGACAATATGAGGATAAGATTCTACACTCGAGAGCCGAACTGGGACTATGCAAGGTAAAAAAGCTCGAGATGTTTGGTCTGGACAGAGTAGTACCGTTTCTAAGAAATATCCCCCTGAACTACAAAATTTAGACCAGGAATTCTCCGCAAACACATGCGAGTCTCAGTTTCTCTGTCATAATGCATGACTTCGAAAAAAACATCAGAAGGGAGATTCGGTGCTTTATAGTTTTGTGGGAAACAGACTATTCTGCTTCACCCGAAGGGAAAAAACTAGAATATTCCCCTCCGAAAGCGTTGCACCCAGGTTACACGTCATGTGACATTTCACAAATTTAAGGTATCTACAAAAGATGCACACTTTATTATCCATAAATCATACATATAGACAGCCACATTCTTCATTTCCTATCCTATGAAGCAAATACTGTTGGCTAAAAATGATATTGTTAATCAGAAGCATTTCATGTGCATCATCATTAAATAGAAACGGCCTTTCCTTAACTAGGGCATTCTAAGAACAGATACCGCCATTTTAAAGAGAAATTAAATTCTATGATGGTAAGACAGTCACGGCAGTTTGAGCGAAATAAAATTTTAAGGATCGATTGTTGTTTTTAATGTCAAGAATGAAACCAAATGGTAGCAGATGCCCATAACAGGCCATTTTTCATTGATGCAGAGGAAGTGGGAATGAAAACTGTGGATGGAACATCGCTTGGCACTTGAAAGTGGTTTCAAACTGTAGATTGGAAGAAGCAAAATTGAGTGTCTTCAACTGGATGCCTAGTCAAGGTGTTGGCAGAGTATCGCTTGAGATCAATTTATCATCAGAGGATAGTTTCAGCGGAAATTTCCTGGGGACCACACATGAAGCTTTCATTTTTTATCTACAGTTTACAATGTCAGTTTTTCTTTTTTGTTTAATTTTTAATGTAGCAAGTAAAATAGAAAAAAAAAGGTGGTGTGAACCAATCCCAGCTTGAATTTCTTCCATTACGCTTAAGAAACGAGGCAGCACTGAGGTGATTGTCTGAGTCCTTAATTAGTCATTTTGGTTCTAGAATATTTCTTCACCAATTTTGCACCTAGAAATCACCTTTTTTATAAAAATAAAACCTTTTTAAAGTGATGCTTTTCCAATGTCGGTGAACGAACCCCAGAGTTCAAAATTCATCTGCGTAATATTTTGTTGCACTCGATAAGATGGACACGATGAAACTCAGTATAAGTAACCTCAACCAGTCAAGAGGAGGTTTGATCATACCTGGTATACCAACTGAATCCGTTTATTGAGCGCATGCACATGACCATAAAACGTCACCAGTGAACACAGTTCACTGAGGAGTAAACTCAAGACTTATACGGAATTAACCTCCCAAGCAGGCTTATCTGTCAATGATCATGTTTATCGTTTTACCTCGACACTTTGGCAGAGTTTGAAGGTGGATATATTCAAGGATCCTTTGTCCAAATCTTCATAGACCCCACCCCCCCTCTTTCCAGGACATCAGGAAATGTACTTCCTGGATCTGAATGAACTAATTTGGTTCGAGATCGTATGCACAGCATTCTCGAATCCCATCAGTAAGAAACCAAATCAGAATTGACCAATCAAAAGAATGATAACTACACAAGAGTAAGAATTCTCCAGATATGAGCATAACCAAGCCACTCAGACAGAAAACGAGCACACTGGATCCCAGTCAAGAGGTGCCGCGACACAAGGAGCAGCAACAAGAATGGTGAAATCGACACAGGAAAAGGGAGAAGAAAGGATCTAATTACCTTGCCATCGATGACGAGCCAACAGTCCTCGTGTGTGTTGTGCTTAGAGACGTCCGCCAGAGTGTAGATCACGCCCTTGCCGCCATCAGCCCCGCCCATCCCGACCTCTCCCTCGGCACCCTGGGTACACAAATCGCAAGACGGCGAGGCGATCTGGACGACAGGCCGCGAGGAGATCCTCGGATCTCAACGACGGGGGAGAGGGGTACGAGGAAGGAGAAGTGGCGGAAAAGGAAGAACAGATGGGCGGTTAGACGAAGAACAGTCGGACTTTTTATGGACGACGTGGGGTAGGTGCTCGAAGGGTGGTAGTTGTAGAAAAGTGCAGATTTCAGTGATACCCAATATTGAAATTTTTGAAATTTACCCTGGTTAAATTAGACATTTAGTTAAATACACGCCATGGCTTAGTCTATTTTCCTCCCCATCTCTAGGGCACATAGATATATATTAGTGTCTGAGGAGGGAAACTGGTATTTTCATTTTGCTAAGTAGCCATGACATTTACTTAACCCCCACCTAATTCCCGCCACTCCCACCAAACTAGTGGAGTCCGGGTAGGTGGAGGACAGATGAAGTGACAGATATACCCCTCTGAGTCCGTCACGCTTCCACGGCCAGTTGTCAGGTTGGCCCTTCCGGTGCGGGCGCCCACGGATTCCTCTTACCCCGGGTCCAAGGCTATTTATGCGGGGTCTGGGTTCAGCGAGGGTTATTTTGCAATTATCACATAAATATGGTAATATGTCCACATCGGTCGAGACAAGTTTTTCCGTGATCAGATCTAATTAAATTATTGTCATTATTCGGGTAGTTAATGCTAATTAAGTTGATTTTCTGAGAAATAACTTCAAACGAGAAAACGAATGAGAGAGGATTTCTAAGTTTTTAGTACCAATTATTAAATAAAGGGAATACTATATATAGAATTTAGGAGTTATATGATCTCAAGATGGCCATTTAATTTTTTGTGGGAAAAGTATGTTGGCAGATGAAATTTAAATAGAAAAATAATTAAATAAAGGGAATAGTAATATGGAATTTAGGAGTTATATGATCAAGATATGGGTACTTAATTTTTTGTGGGAAAAATATCTTGGTAGATAAAATTTTCGTTTTTCCACCAATAGAAAATTATTAAATAAAGGGAATAGTAATATAGAATTTAGGGGTTATATGATCAAGATATGGCTGCTTGATTTTTTGTGGAAAAAATAGTGGTACAGAATTTGGGATTAACATATGAGGGATGGTTGACTTCCTCAAAACATTCTTACAATCTGCATTAATGGTCAAAAGTCAACGATACTTTCCTTTACACTAAAAGAGTACCAAGCTCGCCAACTATATCTCAAACACATTGATCCACATGCCACTAGATTTGGGGGTAATAATAAATTTCAATAATAATTAAAGTATCGTTGACTTCTGAATACATAAATACTGATCCCCACATTATTATACATAATAAATGCATGGTAGAGATCCGAGAACTGCATTTATTTGGGCTTTTTGTTGTCAAATTGTGATAAAATAATTTGATTTTTGAATTTTATGTAGAATAATTAGATGATAATTATATATTTTTATGCATAGTCAACGAAAATTGAAACTTTCGTTTGTTTCATGAAATTTGTCGAGATGTGGTGACACCTACGAAATATATCTCGAAGTGAATTCGGGGGAGGTATTCATTTTATTTGTGGGATTGATTCCTCTAAAGATGACCACCCGACTGTGACAAGAGGCCCAGCTTGCATTAGAGCAAAAACTAGAGAGTAGAGGTGAGAGAGAGAGAGAGAGAGAGAGAGAGAGAGAGAGAGAGAGAGAGAGAGAAGGAGATAGATAGACAGAGATAAAGAGAGATAGGTAGAGAGAGAGTGAGAGGAAGAGAGAGGAAGAGGGAGGGAGAGGAAGAGAGAGAGATAGGTAGGTAGAGAGAGAGAAAGAGAGAGATAGATAGGTAGAAGAGAGAGGAAGAGAGAGATAGAGAGCGAGTTTGAGGGAGAGAGAAAGAGAGAGAGAGAGATAGGTAGACAGAGAGAGGGAGAGAAAGATAGAGAGAGAGAGAGTGAGAGGGAGAGAGAGGGAGAGAGAAAAAGAGAGATATATAGATAGGTAGGTTGAGAGAGAGAGGGAAGGTGAAAGAAAGAGAGAGATAGATTGATAGAGAGTGAGAAAAAGAGAGAGAGATAGATAGATAGGTAGGTTGAGAGAGAGTTGGAAGGAGAGAGAAAGAGATAGATAGATTGATAGAGAGTGAGAAAAAGAGAGATAGATAGATTGGTAGGTTGAGAGAGAGAGAGAGAGATAGATAGATAGGTAGGTTGAGAGAGAGGGGGGAGGAGAGAGAAAGAGAGAGAGATAGATTGCTAGAGGGTGAGAGAAAGAGAGATAGATAAGAAAAGAGAGAGAGGGAGATAGATTGATAGAGGGTGAGAGAAAGAGAGATAGATAAGAAAAGAGAGAGAGGGGGGGGAGGAGAGAGAAAGAGAGATAGATTGATAGAGGGTGAGAGAAAGAGAGATAGATAAGAAAAGAGAGAGAGGGGGAGAGAGATAGATAGAGAATGAGAGGGAGAGAGAGAGAGATAGAGAGTGAGAGGGAGAGAGAGTGAGAGGCGAGAGAGATAGAGAGAGAGAGAGAGGGAGGGAGAGTGAGTGAGTGAGAGAGAGAGAGAGGGTGAGTGAGAGAGAGGGAGAGAGAGAGAGGATAGATATAGAGAAGGAGAGTGAGTGAGTGAGAGAGAGAGAGAGAGAGAGAGAGAGAGAGAGAGAGAGAGAGAGACACACACACACACACACACACACACACACACACACACAGAGATAGAGAGAGGCTGAATCAATCCTGGGTGTTGTCTCTCCCACAAGCGAAGACCGAATCAAGCCTGGGTACATATCGGGCTGGGCCGAACTTTTTATAATTTCAGGCCGGACTTTAAAGCCCAATGTCAGAAACACGTCGTACTTCCATTTCCGATGTTCCCTAGACCACACTCTCTCTCTCCGTCTCTCCTTGCGCGAGCAACTTCTTCCTCGACCAGATGTTCATCTCTGCGACCAGTTGTCCCAGCATTTTGAGCTTGGAACTTAATTTTCTCTTCACCTCCTTGGGATGTTGCTGCCGGGGAAGCATCGGGCGGGGCTTCTCTGACTGATGAGAGAGCGGCTGAGCTGCAGCAGCGGTGTCTCCAATGGCCGCAGTCCCAGTTTGTCTGCTACTGCTGCTGCTTCGTATTGCACATGGAGTCGCAGGATCTCTGTTGACCTACTCGGGCCTTCAAATAGCGGATCTCAACGTTTTGCTCCCCCCTCGCATGACGAATCCTGTGCACTACCGTCTGCTTGGCACCGGCGGGTGCTTCTCTTGGTATTGTGCTCTTTACTCATTTGTTTTCCGTTGTGGTTTTTTTCTATTTTCGTCTCTTATGATTATGTTTTTAATTGTAAAGTCGTGGCTAAAGCTGTCAAACCTGCGATTTAGTCCTACTAGATTTCTGAAGTGAAGTTCATTACGTCGACGGGAGTAGACACTGACTCCCCTCTTCAGGAAATTCATACTAAAATGATAATGTGATTATTCACAGTGGACGAACTGTTCTGTCGTGCTGTGATGTTTATATGTGAAACTTTTAGAATTTTGACAAAACAGTTGCCATTATTCTCTAGGACATGGGATCATCACGACATTCTACACGTTGAACCTGAATATAATGGCACAAGTCGGTGTTCCACGAGTGCTCGTCTGGTGTCCATTGCCCCTTACAGCGGACGAAAGGAGACGGCAGTTTATGCTGCTGACATCAATAGTGGAACTGTAATTCGCTGTGAAGTCTTCATCGACAACATTTCAAGGATTCAGATATTTCACCACTCTGTTAAGCTTGACTTAGATGGACTCGCTACTCTCCAAATCCGTGCATTTGATAGTGAAGGTACTTATCTGTCATCCAATTGGTTGACGGATGTCTATTTTTCTTAATTCTTGAACTAAGCGTCATTACTTTTTGCACATCCTTTCTCTTGTTTTCCTATTATAAAGTGCCCCATTTTTATCACTTGGTTTGAATAATTGATTTTAAAAAGTATTTTTTTTCATTTGCTTGATATTTGCACTTAAAATGTGGGCTGCAGTAAACTGTGGTAAGACGTTACGATTACTGATTCTCCCAGATGGCATTTTCAATTCCTTTTTTCTCTTAGATCATTTAGGAAATCTTAGCTTTATTTGCCTATCATGTCATATTGCTCTTTGAAACGAAACATTCATCCTATAATGGTTTTGGCAATTTTGCATTTCTTTAGATGACTCCTCTGAAGACTGTCTGTCCCGCAGCATAACCTTCACTGATTTATTATGTGCTTCACTGTTTGGCTCTGCACCCATCTACAGGAATATGGATTAAATCTTTCTCGTTACCTTCATTTACAATTTTGAAAAGTTAAGAGATCGTGGTGCTCCATATCCAAATGAATAGGTGGCACTACCCACGTTCCGAAGAAAAAAGTAGTTGTGCATCCGCTTGGTTATTTATCTCCGGAACATGTCCCAGTCAAACATCCGAGAGGGATATGTACTTAAGTTCTCGGTATGACTCAAACTGAAGAGTGCATAGAAGAAGTCAACACTTTGCCTATATATCTGATCTTAAAGCTAAAGGCAACAGTGTTTTCTGTCATCAGACCATATGGGATAGTCACTTTAACTCAGGGGAAGCAGGGATTCTAGAAAGTTCCTTTTCTGGACCCTTTCCTCGTGTGTGATATTTGGAGCCACCTAAGTGAAAAATTTAAGGGACATACCCGTTCATTCGTAACTACTCCTGTAATGATCTCATGGATTTATTCGGATGAGAATCAAAAAGGCTTACTTGACATCATGCATTTCTAGATCCATTGTCCATTTTTCTTGTAAATTCTCAAACGACTGAATGTTAAGGGAGTACGATGAGGACTTCATTCCACATTTTTTTGTACTGTTCTTCATTCAATTTGATCACTAGACAGTGGTTGATCATGTTTTTTCTTAGTGGTTTGTGAAAGGGATTTTTTACCTACTTTCATGTCCCTATGAAACAGTAATAATCTATGCCAAGGGTGTGTATACTAAGCTAGAGACCAAAGGCACACCAAGACATTAAACCGCCCCATCTCAATTGCATTAAACCAGCCTATTCACACTACCTTTACTAAAGATAAAGCATCATTCACGCCTGTACAATGGTTGTTTTTTATTATCTCATCTAGAATGTTTTGGAGATGCACGTTGACCTTTAATACCCTTGAGAGCCTTTCAACATTTCAATCTGAGTCATTCATTACATCCTACCAAGGCATATGGGGCTATATAACCAATTTTTGTGCTCCTTTTCCCTGACGTTTGGCAAGAGTTCGGAAAATGTGCGATTTTGGTTTGATTAGAAGTATATTTTATTCTTCTTTTGGTTGCTTGCTCCTTCAACACTATTTTTTTTACAAAATGGTAGCAAAAAGCATACGTACCTTGCTGCTGTCTGGACATTATTGAGCCATTTTTCAGCTTGATGGTAAACTCTCACCCAGCAGTATGCTTTGCCAACAGCGATTGTGCTTCTGGTACCATCTACAATCAAAAGGTCATCAAAATCCCAGTTGTTTTGGAAAGTAGGGAGTACAGTCAATAAGGAGGAGATTATGGAAAAGTTATAGTTAGCATATGGGTATTATAGTGAGCAGCCCCTATTAGTGTAATGGTGGTGGAGACTGAAGGAGAAAACCTGTGGGTGGAGACAAGAAATGGTGCTTTGATCCTGTTTGTAAACATAGTAGTTGATACCTGGGCAGTCAGAAGATATGATCTGCCTTATTGTGTTGCAAATAGAAGAAAAAGTAATTTTTTTTTTTTTGGGGGGGGGTTCATATTATTCTGCGGGTAAGCTAAGGAGAGAGGACTCCGTTTTCTTTAGTGTCGCATTTTCTTCTTCACATAGCTCAGATTTGGGCATTTTAGATATATCAGCTTGTTATTTACTTGGTTTAAGTTATATATCTCTTAATTCAACCATGTAGCTGGGGTTAACGTGGTGAATTAATTTTCCACCATGCTCTCTGATATATTCTGTTGTTGTTTTGATCAACACCCCTGGAGAAAAAAATATTTATGGCTAGATAATTTAATTTTCATATTATTGTCTTGCAGATAATGTATTTTCGTCGTTGGTGGGCTTGCAGTTCGTGTGGAAGCTGATGCCTAAATCTGTTGAAACCGATCATTTCTTTCATCATCTTGTCCATGTTCCTCTGAAGGAAACACCGTTAACTGATTGTGGGGGTTTCTGTGGTGACCTAGATACCCAAATAAAAGTGGAAGACAGTGTATGTGTGATCTTGCGGTCCTATTTCTCATGGGTGCTAACAGTTTTATTTCCTATGTTATGATGTCAATTTATATCCTTTCATTGTTGCATTGCAGGGTATGGGATCTGATTTGTATGTTGTAAAGGGTATTGAAATCGGTCATGAGATTGTCAGTGCACAATTGTTTGAGCCACAATTTGAGAATGTGACAGACAAGATTATTTTGACTGTTGCAGAGGCCATGTCACTGCATCCTCCGTCACCTGTTTTTGTCATAACTGGTTCTTTGGTTCAGTACACGCTCAGAATTGTTCGTCAAAATAATCCCAAAGGTAGTACTTCTCTGTCTTGTTCCTTTATTTGTTGTAGAGGGCGAGCCTTATCCTTAAGAGCCAAAATAAGTCTGAGTGAAGTACATGCGCCTTGAGGAATTCGTATGCATTGTATGAGATTGAGTTTCTGGTCAAAGGGAATAAACCATGACCTAAGCTGACTATCCCTCTCTATGTGGCTCTGCTATCGTTTTGTATTCATGAAACTCTTCAGTCAAATGTACAGATAGAGATACTGGATTTTATAATTTGATACCTTATAAGCTTTCCCAATCCTTATGCTTGGAGACGCTAAAATGATTTCTGGCTGTTAGGTGGATCGTCGGGGCACTAGAAACAGGTTGCAAATCTCACAACAATGATAGTAACTCTAGTTTTTGGGCTCTGTTGTTTACGTGATTCTCTTCTTCAATTAGGCATGTTTTTCGTTTGCTTCATCAATGGGGATCATGAATTGAATCTTGCCTCAAACTCGTTAAGTTTGAATTGTCTGCAGAACGAAAGGATTATTTCCCAATAGTAGAAGCCTATTGTTTGTACATATTTGCTCCATATCACCTGCACATTTTTTCAAAGGTAAGACACGGCCACAAAAGAAAGTGCATCTTCAAATTTGAGAAGCATTTTATGAAGTAGATGGTTATCACATTATCACAGAAACTGTAGTCAGTGTATCAGTCACGACTATAGTTGAGTAAAGAATTGTCCCAGTGGTGTGAAAAGATGGGAATTATGGAAGGAAGGAAATAATGATTAACTGGGCAAGTAGGCAGCAATGATGCCTTAACGTGGAGGTGCATTTTTTGAAGAAGACCGTCATTGACAACCAATATTGGGGTGATAAAAACACAAGATACTTTCTTAAGAGGGCCATGGGGAGAAGAGGAAAGATCATAAGAGATTTGATGAATGATAAGCCAGTTCTAAGAAAAGAAGAGGGCAATTCTAACATAGTTGCCTCGGGAAGCTTGTCTTGTCCAAGTGTTCTGGATATACTGAACTCTCTAGCCATGATAATAAGAGTTTGGCTTATTATCTACTGTCCCTTAGGCTGCTAGGGGAAGTGTAAAACGATTTCTTGGAGATACTAGAATTACAAATACTGATTGAAGAACGTGTTGAGAATGCCTTTCGGTACTTCCTGGTAGTCTTGCATCCATGACAGCATGAAAACGCAATATGGTTGTCCAGGAATAATCTAAAGTTGTCTGTGACCTGGAATTACGGTCCATGGTTTGATGGAGATCGTCATGTTGGCTGTGTTAGCGTCCTGTAATGAGAGCAGTTTTACTACCTGTAGAACATCCCCATGAGGCTGGTGAAGGGAGACCACCAATTGATGGAAAAGGACTCACGACCACCTAGTGTTATCCTGTGTAACAGTTTGGAGAAAAAAAATCGTTAACTCACGACGTGCTCTCACAACTGAGCTAGATGAGCTCCTATCACTAGGCTCATTTGATGAATGATAAGCAAATTCTGACTAAGAAGAGACATCATGCTTGCTCAGGAGGGCCTTAAGGAGGAGGAAAGGAAATATCATAAGACATTTGATGAATGAACGGCAAGGAAGTTGTAATTTAAGAAGAGTATGTGGAGAAGCCTTTATCAGAGGTGGAAATTTAGAAGTCATTAGTAGAATGCATACACACTACTGGGTTAGGAAATGTTAGGGTCTTTGGAAAGCTAGGTACGGTGCATGCTAACTAGCTATTAGAGTGCATCCCCAGGGAAATTCCTTTAAATCCAAAATTGAGTAATTCAGATTTCCTTCCAATTCGGAAATGTAGTAATTTCGCTTCAAAAAAATTCGACAGTGGCCCCCATACCTGGGAAATCTGAAGTAATCTGCTATGATGGATTGTTGAGCTCCTTCTCTGTTTTCCGAAAAACAACAGAATGACATTGAAATAGGATATGTACTAGGATCTTTGAGTCCTGAGGTACTTCCGCGTTCATTTCTCACCTTTGTCAATCAGGGGTGTTGTAACTTTTGTCCCAGTTTTCTTATGATATATGGACATGATGACTTGATGCTTAGTCTCAATGGGAAAATCCTTCAGTGTGTTGAGTTCGCTTCCATGGGAGATGATGCCCTGGAGCCTCACCCTTCTATATCTTAAGTAATGAATTATCTACTGAAAAGCTTATTACTGATGTTTGGAACAGGGTATGTGCTGTCCAGTTTTTGTTTTGTTTGGGCTGCAAACTGACTGTAACTGCACTCTACTGATCCTGACAGTTCCCTGGTACAAGAGAACTAGGCAAGGTGGTAAATGAATATAAGGTGCAGGGGTGGAGGAGGAGGGAGCTGATGAGGGTCCAATGCCTTTGCACTTGGAATCAACCAGTGTTGGAAAACACCAGTTGGAGCAAATGTTTATCTGCTTTTGTGGGGGCCACGCCGTCACCATTGTGATACCAGTGGCTGATATAATTGGGAAAGCACAGATGATCATAGAATGCATACACACTACCTTTATCAGAGAGATTCAGCTCAAATTTATGAACAACAATATCATCAAATAAATATTTGTTCTTTTTTCTAATTTTAATAGCTATTTGATAAGATGAATTCGATAATATTTTCTTATGATATTGTTGAATGTTACTAAAAGTTGATAATTTCTACATTGGATGAATTATCGTTGTTTTTATTCTTACGCAATTCAATATTAATATTTTAGTTCATTATGAAGGATGTTTTTCTAACGTGATATCAACTACTTTGTAGCTGTTGATTTGCCTTCACTGTTTCACCGATGGTCTGTTTCAAATTCTACTGTATCTCAAGTAGATTCTACAATGGGGTTTGCTAGAGCACTTAATTTGGGAGTTACAAACATATTTGTTGAAGATACTAGAGTCACTGGCCACTTCCAGATGTCAACAATGCACGTTATTGTTCCAGATAAGTTATGCTTATACATCAGGCCAATTACAGGCGTGATTAATGGTTTGGAAGCAACTAAATGTTTACCTGTGCCATGGTTTGTTGTTATTGGTCAAGAATATGCAATCCACATGAAAGTTTTCACACATGAACCTGAGGCAAAGGAGATATATATTACAGAGGTAATTCTTTCGATTTTTTCATAATTGCACATTTCCTTTTTCTATATAAAGAGTCTGTGCTGTTTTTTCTGGTAACTGTGCAAACTGCATCTCTCGAAGGCTAAAAAAAATGAATGCTGAACTTGAAATCAGAGAAGTACATTTTTGGAGTGAAATAAACGATGAAAATAACGATTTAATGAAGTGGGATAAATTGTAGAGATACTAAAAAATGAGAAATTTAACTATGCATTCCTTATCAAGTGTCCACGAAGAACTGGAATGGAGAGGAGCTTCAGTAGGGAATTTAAAAGTTAATTCCTTTGATCGAGTTCTCAAAAATGGAGGATGAGAGTTTGGTGAAAGGATATGGTCTTGAAGGATTACTTTTCCTCTTGCATAGGGCAATGCATATCATCTTTATCTTAGAGGTGCTTATGATGTGTTCTTGAAGTTATTTCTGAGAGCTTAGGATATTCAACCCTGCAAAAGGCCTGGACTCGTGGTGAAAGTGAACCGACTATACTATCTTCCTTCATTAAAAGATGGGTGAATACATTTTAGAGAGCGTTTCTTGGTGTATTTGATGGTGAATAAGATAATATTTTAGCATGATTTCACGAACTTATCGTCTATTAATTAGTTATTTGATCAGTTATAGATTAGGTAAGAGGAATTGAGATCAGAGGTGTTTAAGACTTTATTATAATGAATAAGATTTAGAGGAGAAAGGGTGTTTGGTTTTTAGGATCACATTTTTCTTCTTCTTTTTTATCCTGCTAGAAGGGCAGAAGACTATGTTTGGGTGATTTCTGTATGTAGTCGCTTTTCAGTGAAGTATGTCATGACAGCTAATGAGCTGATCTCTCTCTCTCTCTCTCTTTCTTCAGCATCAGACAAGGAGCTAAACTTTTTTGGTATTTTTCTGTATGTCTTTGTTAATCGTTTTCCCTCTAGGCTTCCTGTCTACTGATCCATTAAGCCGTCTTCATTAATGGTAAAAATCTATTCAAAATTTCTCAGGCTCTTCCATTTAAGGAGATCCAAAGATTCTCCGGATTTTATTACTTTGTAGTACTCATCCCTTGAGAAATTGAATGTATCCCACGTAGAATATTTTTTTATTCTTCCAGGGGAGGTAAGAAAGAGAGAAGAGAAGGTTGATATAATTAGATAGAAAGAATACGAAATAGGTGTCGAAAAAGCATATTTTGTGATTATGGCTTCTTGGTCACAGTATCTAACTTTTCTGCGTGATGATTCTATCCTTTGAAGGAAACTTCATAAAGCTTGCGTCAATGTTTTGTTTCCTAGTTAAAAGTTTTTTATCTCAATAGAGTCTATTACTGCCATCTGTCATTGTTACTTGCAAAGATGTGTTCATCTTCAAAATGTCCATTTTCCCAAAGCATATGTAGAAACATGTCATGATCACCAATGGAAAAAGCCAAAATACCATTTGTTGTAATAATTTAGAGCTGTGGGATGTGTTCAGGGCTTCAAAGTTGTCTCACTGATGTGGTTCACTAATGTCCATAGTCCTCAAACCATTCGTACAAGATGACGCTATCTTGAAACCACGGCTCTTGATGCCATATCTTTTTGAAGTTATTTTAATAAAGGTTTATTGTATGATTAATGTATTAGGAGAAAATGTCAAGGTTCAGGAGAAAGCATTTCTACTATTCTATGACAGTTTTAGTCTCTGATGTCACTCTTTGCTTCAGTCTGATTTGCACTCTAACTCTTCAATAGTGATGCATAATTTGTTGTTGTGTAAAATGGAATGGCTGCTGATCGTGCTTTTATTTTGCGTTCATTTGTTGATCATGCTGGTAGCAATGATTTGGTTGAATGAACCCCCTTTTACTGTTGACTAATCATTATACACTGTCTGAGCATCTTTTTGAAAAATCTTCAGAGTAACAGACTTACTTTGGAAAGTGATAGCTCAGAGTTTTGGGATCTATCCATAGCATCAAATGATGTGGCTGCTGGATATGGATGGCGAAATTTCAGAATCCTCAAACCACTCTCTCTGGGACAAGGATTTCTATCTGGTTCTCTATTGTATAACAGGGAGGACCCAGAAACAACTGAGGTGACGTGTCTTTCTTTTTATCTATAAGCTTTTGTTTTTTGGTTGGAACTCTGCTTTTTTTGTTGTAGCTGGTTTGTTCACTTGCCTATCTAATGTAAACTTTGTATTCTGGTGGTTCTGGTTTTCTTTGTTAGGTTCTTAAAGTTGAGCAGCGAGTCATTGTGTGCGACAAAGTTAGAATACAATTGGAGAATAAGATGAACCACTCTAAGAAAATTCGTCTTCCTTGGGCCCCTGGAGTCTATCAGGGACTCGAGTTGAAAGCTTTTGGAGGTTGGTAGATATTTGTTTTTTGGGGTTTTCTTTCACCACGAAACTGTTGAATAATCCAGGTTCTACTTAATGCTTCAGGCTGTGGAATGTCCCCCAGAGATTATGGCTGGTGTTCTACCAATGTTGCCAGTGTATCCGTTTCATCCTCAGGCTACATTCAGGCAAAATATCTCGGTCGCTCAACTATTAAAGTGACTTCTGTGTTTGATCCACTGAATTTTGATGAGGTATTCCTCCGTAGTTCTTTTATTTTTCTTGTCTTGTGTTAAGAATCTTTTTTCCTGATTGTCTTGGATAATATTACTATGTTCCTTTCCAGGTGTCTCCCATCAAAAACAATCAAGATGCCATGAATTTTTTCGTTCTTTTGACATTATTACTATTCTTTTTGATCAGAGAAGAGACTTATTTTTGTAGACTTTTGGCATATTATAAAACCGAGACAAATGTTTTTTCTACCGATATATGTCAAAATCCTCCAAATACTTTTCTCTCGATTCGTAGTTGAACATTAGGGCTTGGTTTTAGATAAGTTAAGATGAAGCCAAAATGCTGATTAATTTCTTCTTACTATAAATTAAAGACACCATGTATTGTACGAATACGAATGAATCTCTGATGTTAGACGGATTTGGTTCTTTTCTTGCTTTTTTCGAAAGGTTATTCTGAAGTCTTTCATGGATGGTGGTTTTGAATTTGCGGCAAGGCCCATATGTGACCGACATTTTAATTTTTTTATCTGGCATTAGTTATAAGAAACGATGAAGCTCGACTAAGTGATATTTATGACATGAATTTGGTACATGGGGCTGCATGATAGTTACCTTTGCGATGGCAAGTTTACTTTGGTACATCCTGGAAAGAAATTGATGGAAATTGATCAGTTTTGTGGCTGTTGTATAATTCTTGACTGGCTTTTTTGTGGCCTGTGAGAGCATTCAATCTCAACCACGATGAAAATGTGTGGTGGTTGAGGATTTCGGAAGAATGAGACATTGTCTTTGACGTGTTTTTAAAATAAAATTATATCAATTGTGTTATGATCTCCAGTTCAACATGTTGGTCGACAGTTCTTATGATTGGTGACTCTAAATGGTATCTTAAAGCTCACTGACTTCGATTTGGTTTTGTTTCCTCCTGGTTGAGACAGTTTCATGCCTCCATCTTTCCAATACGTGGTTTAAAGTTCCAACGATTCAATTCTTTCCTCTTTGATCATACTGCTTGACTAACCGTGTCCCTCTTCACTTATTGAGGAACTCAATGTAGTAGGATTTCCCAGAGTGTCCTGTCACAACTCAACGTTGTATCTTTGTTAGAAGTTATCTTAGTCATTGAAAATCTAGATCTTTCTACTTTGCGGGAATTGAATAATGAAACATACCTAGGATCCGCCTTTTGATACCTTTTTGCGATTTATAACTGATTTGGGCATGCATGCAAGAATTTGCATTCTGACTTGTACAATTCTGAGGAGATTCTCTTATATAGAAACTCTTTTTTATTTTTCCTTTTCTGGACGAACTTGAATTTCGTAAGGAATATTTGTTTCGAGTTTATCATTTAAAATTTAACTTAGAGTGTTCTACTTATGTTTTAATGGTTATTTTGACGGTGCTCCTCTATTTTGATCATTTTCATTATTTTGAATTGTATCATATGATGTGGTCATTTTTTTTAGTTGTTTTCGTCTTTTAAGGTTACATTATATCGTAAGTTATTTGGTCTGACTTAAATTTATTATTTCTTTTGTACATAAGATTGTTGTGGAAGTCTCTACTCCAGCTTCAATGGTGTTGATACACGAATTTCCCGTTGAGGCTCTTGTGGGGACACATCTTCTAGCTGCAGTCTTCTTGAAAACTACTGATGGTGATTTATATTTTATCTTTCCTTGGATTCTTAGTGGCATCATGTGCATTTTAAATACCCATCAGAAATGTTTCCTCTGCAGGGAGTTACTTTCACCGATGCAACTCTTTTAATTCCTTTGTGAAGTGGAGAGTTTTATCTGAAAGTGAGGTTTTTCTGGTTAGCAATACGACGGGGGAAGAATTGGCATTTAACGTGTTATTGCATGGGGCATCTGAAGAAGTATCTAGATCCCCTTGTTCATGGACATATTTATATGCTTCCAATCCTGGTCATGCTGTGCTGCATGCAAGCTTCTCAAGTAAAACACAGCCATCTGATCTCTTTTTAGATGGGGAGATTGCTTTACAGTCGTCTGCACAAATAGCGGCATACCATCCCCTTGCTGCTTTTCAGGCTGGAAATGGTAATCAATTTGGCGGTTACTTCTTGGAATTCCCTAGAAGAGAAACTGTAGACAAGTATTTTGATCTTGAAAATTTAAGTGAGCTGTATCTTGCCCCTGGATCGGCTATGGATGTCTTCATCATTGGAGGGCCTGATCGATGGGGCCACAGTGTTGAATACATTGATACAGTAAAAATCAGAGGGAAAAGTTCGCCTCCTGAAGGAGTTATCTTGAAGAAGGCAGTCACCGATGATGGCACTTTGTATAATATTTTATGTCAAAAAGTGGGAAACTTTGTATGTATACCTTCCTTTTGTGTTTATGTTTCATTACCTCATGTCTAGACTCAGGCTATATTCTATAATCTAAAACCCTGATGGAGCATATTTATAATATTTTTGTTCTATTTTTCTTGGCACAGAATCTCATCTTTTCACGTGGAAATTTGGTTGGAGATGATCATCCTTTTCCAGCTATCTCAGATGTGGAAATGGTTCTTGCCTGTAGTGCACCATCTTCGATCACACTAATTGGCAATGAGCAATGTATGGACAATAACTAATGTGTACACTGTAATCATATAAGTGCCTTTTCATTTAGACATGTGCTATTCTTTTAAGTTGTGATTTGTTTGGTCCTCTTAGCATAGATATGCCATTTAATTTATCTTTTTTGTATTTCAGATAATACACTTGATGTTATATCCTCTTCAACACAAGCTGATCGTGGTCCTGGGAAAGTTCGTATTTCCCCAGTCATTGTGGCTAACGGGCGTACAATTCGATTGGCTGCAGTTGGAATTCATATATCTGGAAGGCCTTTCGCAAATTCTTCTTCTCTTTCTCTAAGATGGGAACTGAATGGTTGTGAAGGCCTTGCTAACTGGGTTGAGGTCAATACCTTGGAAGAATTTGGGATGAATTGGGAAAGGTTCTTAATTCTGGAGAATTCATCAGGACTGGTAATTACTAAACATTTTTTCTTGATGCAGTTTTTCAGTTCCTCGTTTGTGATTCTTTGTATTGGCACTATTATTTTCCTTGGTTGCTAGTGACCGTAGTTTATTTTTTATGAACTTTTTTAGTTCTTTATTTTGTGTAGATAAATGTAGGGGGAAGAGAGTTCAATTTATATTAAAGAAATATAGCCTATCTTTTATAATTGGAGAAAGGGAACAATTGGAGGACCGAGCTAACATAAAATAGTACACCAAGATTGCTCTTATTTCCATCTGGACGCTTGCTTATTATGCATGATTTTTGGCTGTTGAGAATCTAACACCATCATAAGATTGCTTTCAGTGTACTGTTCGTGCAACTGTAATTGGTTTTTCTAAAAAAATCGTCAGCAGTCTTGAGGACGCATACCTGCTGCCTGAGATCTCAGAGAATTCTCTTACAGATGCTGTATACCTACAGGTATTTATTATTACTGTTGCATATTCTAGTTTTGCTTGACGTTGGATTAGTGGATCATGTTTGTTTTCTTATAATGCAGCTTGTCTCTTTGCTTCGAATTGTCCCTGAATCGGCACTGCTATATTTTCATCCTGATGCAAAGGTAATGTTTCATGTTATACGGTTACTAAAAAGAGAACATTTCAGAGTTTGATTTATTTCTTAAACTTTTCTCTTTCTATTACTACTACAAATTCTATATGGATGTATACAGGTTCGTTGATTGAATGCTTTCTCACGGTCACTATCCTTATCATACGTAAACTAAAAAACTAGGTCGTATATATTCCTGAAAGAGGCATTGTTTACCTGTGGTACACTCCACTTTCACATAATTTCCTAGTTTCGTTTGTTTTATAGATGTGAGTTTTCATGATGATTAGGTTCCTTTTGTAGAAAATTTGAAACGGCATCTATTTGATTAGCGATGCCTCAAGAATAATGGTCTTAATAATATGCATCTGAAGTCCTGGCAAGTGCGATGATGGAAGAGAGGAAAATGAATAATTCTGTCGTGAGTTTAGCTTGAACATTCCCATCATTGCCATTTTCTTGTGAGACAATGTACCGTAAATAGTAAGTCATAATTTGGTACTTACAAAGCTTGGCATTAAATGGTAAGGAACTTTAGTTCATTTTAGAGTCTTATTCAGTGGCTATATCCATTATATCTTTGAAAGTTCACTTGTAGTTTCCTACCCTATTTATATTATGTTGATGTGAATAATAGTCTTAGTGCTTGCGTGACCACTTTGGATTGGAGCATGGTGTAACCACAGTAGCTTTTGAATGGATAACTGGTTTTGTCCACCTATGGTTTTCAGTTGATTAAGTTTTCTTTTTCAAATAAAGGGGAACTAATATCAAATGAATAGGATTTAATCCTGTATTCACAATTTTGATTTATCCCTTCATGGAAGAAGGGAAATAAGGCGTCAGACACTAGATAACCTGCTGTCCCTCAGAGTTGCAAGTATGGGATTTGATTAAGGTATTTAAATAATACATCAGTTCTTGTGTGCAAGACAAATGACTGACTAAGGGACACAATACGACCTATCTGACAGCCTTTTCTTAAGCTTGAAATCCGCTCGTCTTCTTGTACATACGTTTTTTGTTCCTCTTTTCTTCCCATCCTTGATATTAACGTGACTCCTTTTCTGGTGCTACATTCTGGCTATATTGGCTATGCAGGTACATCTTAAGAGTAGTTTAATCCGTTGTATAAGTGTGCCTACCATTGGTCTCTTCGTATCTTCGTTCTTTAACCCTCTTTCCATGAATTTGTACGCTATATTTCTAATGTCTTGTAGAAGTTGAATTAGATATCCAAAAGACATCTGAATCTAATTACTGTATGCAGTGCTCGGTGGAAATCAAATTTTGTTTGCCCGAATTTATTCCATTGATATCGTATGATTATTCTAGATATCTGTCTTCAACATTACTGAGCATTAGACGGAATCTGCAATTTTATGTCGATTCATTTGAACTGTCAAAATCTCATTACAGTGAAGTTATTGTCGCTCTACTATAATAGCTGGAGTAATCATCATTTCTTAATTTTGGTTTTTTTTCTTTTGTCATTTTTTTATTGTATCTTCATTATAAAAGAAGTGATTAATTACACTGTGAAATGTTAGTTTGTACTCAATCCCTAAATCTTTTAATTGGATAGAATATATTTAACTCTCATTTTTTAGGTACTTTCAAAGTAGTGCACTTTTTTTATATGAAGTTTCTTAGTTCCAGTTGTCTTAATTTCCCAAATGAGGACATTCATTTTTTTCCTTTCTATCATGGTAAAATACTTCTAATTAATGAGGGAACCTTAGTTTTCTTGTGCAGAAATTTAGAATGAAGAATATCCTGTGTTAGGTACAACAAAAGTAAGCTTGTCATTATGACGATAGACCAACCCCATACACTGTCTATTTGGTTTGGAGCTGAGTGGGCTGATAACCTGGAAGAGATTCGTTTTCTATTCTACATGGCATGTTTGGTTTAAGCGTACGATGCTTTGCGGATGTGCTTCTAATTCGGATTTTTTAGTGAATATTATTTGAATCTGCTGGGAATGGAGATTTTGGCGTTTGATGCATATCAGGGTTCAGATCGAAGCATTTGATAAAGAAAGAGGTTTCTGAATTTGTGGCGTTGGATGGTCTTATCGTAATTGTTTTTATGCCCTTCGAGTTTGTTTTGTGTTCTTCAGGTCGAACCATTTTTTCTTGCTAGATCTTTATTTCTCATCAGGATGGTGTTACGAATATACTGCAGGCAAACTTGTCAATCATCGGAGGCACATGTTTTATCGATGCTGTTGTTAATGACACACATGTGGCAGACATAGTTCAGCCTCCACAAAATGCACATTGTTCGTGGCTGATGCTTGCAGCCAGGGGATTGGGAACTGCAGTTATTACTGTTTATGATATTGGCCTCTCTCCTCCTGTCCGCACTTCAGCCTCTGTAAGCTTGCTTTCTGTATCCAGTTTCTATCTGGGTTATCTGTGCTCATAATTTTGTACTATTTGATGGAATATTTCATCTCTTGGCAAAGGTGACCAACATGCGAATCTTCTATTTTCTGGGTACTCTTTGTTAGAAGTTGACTCCATTTATATTTGAATAGTGCATTTTCTTACTTGGGAATGTGGGCACTTGTTTTGCCTAAATTTGGACCTATTATTTGCAATCAATTTCATCGTAACTTCTATGCCATGTTAGGCATACAGAATCTGGATTACTTCATCATGTTATAAATCATCATTCTGAACTGTAAAACTCTTTTATCTGCATTGAGCTACAGATACGAATAAAGTATTGCCATAAGATGTGACCATGAAAACCATTAAACGTATAGAAGACTTCCAACGTATCCATGCCCTCACTCTTTGATTAAGATCTCCAAAAAAGGGTAGGAAATCGTAGGAGACCTCATGAATCGTTGTATTTTCATTTATTGAGTGCATAATTTTTGTAGTACATTCTGTTGCCAGTTATGGAGTTTTGAAATAAGTTTGAAGTTTTTGTTTGATTTTCTCCGAGTAAGCTGTATCTTCAACTCTTAAAGATATGAAATACTAGAAACTCATAGAAATGAGAGATCTTATGCTATTGCGTAACGGTAAGTTGCTCTTGAACAATATTAAAGACCTCATTTGCTAAATGAGAAAGGTCGAAGACCTTAGAAGTCAAACTGCTGAACATAATTTGGATTCCGTATTTGTTCAACCTCAGCCTTTATTTTATATTTAATTTTTGTCCCCCATGATTTTGGGTTATTTTTCTCTGTCAATCATCAGTTATCTCTGATCAGGCTTTCTTTTCATCTGTTATTTCGTTCTAAAACTTTTTTACATCTGAATTGCTGGAGCACTTGTTTCCTCCAATTTATTCTTTTTTTCATTCAAATGCATTATTGTAGCCATATTCAGGACTCGTATTTTTATAGGTTACAGTGGCTGATGTTGACTGGATTAAGATAATGGCGGAGGATGAGATTAGTCTTATGGTAAAGTGGCTATGTTTAGATTTTTTTTAATGGATTTAGATTATTTGCTGAATACTCTTCATTTTTTCTGCAGGAGGGAACAAGGAGTCCTTTCGAGATATTAGTGGGGACAACTGATGGAAGCATTTTTGACTCTTCTATGGTATATTTTTAGATGGAGTTTTTTTTCCCACTAAAAAAGTAATGTTTTTAGATATTGCTATTTAGTTTTCTCTTTTCCTCTGAATGAGAATTAAGTCTCACTTGGCGCCATAAAGTGGTGAGATAATTCAGGAAAGAAAGTGGAAAGAAGCCACTTTTTATTCCGGGAGAACTCTACATGTCTATGATTTTACTCAACTATCTGGAGCTTGCATCTATTTCTACAAAATGAATACCTCTACGAACATACCTGTAGGAACTCAATTGTAAAACTGAAGAGCTGGTTGACACTGCAGTTGAAAAATGCTTTCGAATTGTTGTGGAATCACTCTTTTTTAGCATTCCTCAGTTTTCTAGATTATTGAGAATCTTCTTGATTTATACGACAGAAGTTAATGGTTGAGAAAGCTAATGATATTCACTGAACTCAGTTACATTATTGTATGGTGCTTGAGATTTAACCTTGGATACAGAATGCAACAGCCGATTTTTTATCATTGACGGATCCTAGAGATTGACAAAGTCAGTGGTGGTTTAAGGACAGCCAGTGGGCGGATGTAGAAGTTTGATACGTTTCTATCTAGTCCTCATGATCTTCATATCATGCATGAAGACCTCCGACACCCAGAAAATGCATGATCATAAGGAGAGATTAATTGAAAATGTGCTTGTGGATGTACACCCAAAAGCATTGGACGTCAAAGGCTTATCCATGGAAAGATTTTTCAGTCAGTCACGATAACAAAGACTCATATTGCATTTTCGACATTTGATTGGCGTTTGCCAGGTGCTTTTCTTGTGTTATCAGGCTACACTGAACTTTTATGTGTCTAGCCGGTGAAATACTGTTATGTTTTTATGCCTTTGGGCCATTAGGCTATTGAGAAATATATTTTTCATGTTTAAACCATTTTTTCTTTTTTTCCTCTTTTGTTGGACACATTGTCTTATTTTTCTTGCCATTTTTATCTATCATTATAATGTATCCATTCTTAGATCTTTTTATGTTTTTCCTCTTTTTTGAAGTATTTCTACATGAATATTTATGCACACGTGGAGGACAGTGTTATTGAACTTGAATACGAAGATGGTTCACCTGCAGCCATCAACAAAAAACTGTATGGTTCAAAGTTCTTAATTAAGGCTCAGACGATTGGTCTTACCAGTCTTTCTGTAAGTTAATTTTATTTAATCTTTAAAATTGATGGTTAGACAATTGCATCTTTCTTATTACGAGTTCCATTTTCTGATTGAATTTGGATGCATCAGGTTAGTGTCCGTCGAAGATCTGGACGCGAGATATATAGTCAAATTATAAAAGTGGAAGTTTATGCACAGCTGCGCATACATCCTGATAATATTTTCCTTACACCCGGAGCTTCATATGTGGTATATCAGCTGAAACTCTATTATTGATACAGTTGCTGAACAAAAATCTTATTTCAAAACAAAGTTCATGTTTCTATGTAACTGAGGATGTATTGATGAATGCTTATCATATTCATAATGCCATACATTATTTTTTTGGTGTTTTTTATCACATGGCATTCATGCTAACTTGATGTTGGACATATCATTTTTTTATATAGTTTTCTGTCGAAGGTGGGCCTACCCTTGTATCTGGTTTTGACTATGCCAGTTTGGATAATGAGACTGCAACTATCGATGGATCTTCAGGAAAACTTACAGCTGTTTCTGCTGGAAATACAGTGAGTGAATATGGCTTACAAACATACATAATTACATTACCTAACTTATACTTACATCTGTCTCATATCTTTTCCACGATATATTTTTGTTTGCTTGGGCGTGTCTCTCATTGTTTATAACACTATTTTCATTTATTATATTCTTAGATTGGTTTACTTGTGGCTCTTCTGAAATGTTAGGGTTAGTTTTTTCTCTTTTTTAAGCTTCAGTTCTGTTTCCTGTGGTCAGACTATTCGTGCATCCATTTACACAAATGGAGGAACCTTGGTATGTGAGGCATTTTCAAAGGTTGAAGTAGGAATTCCATCAATGGTGACCCTGAATCTGCAGAGCGAGTACCTTTGTGTTGGGTGCCAAATGCCTGTTTTCCCCGCATTTCCTAAGGTGAGCCTTTGTGTATCCACCGAGAGTTCTATTCTTCGGTATATGCTGCTAATTAATGCTTATAATATCAGGGAGATCTGTTTTCATTCTATGAGGTATGCAAAAATTACAGTTGGAGCGTGGACAATGAGAAGGTAGGAGAAACTTTCTTGTTTCATTGCCTTTCTTTGAAGTATTACTAAATGTTATTCGATGCTAATATTCTTCAAGTGATAAAAGACACTCTTTTTCATGTGTAGGCGTTGAACTTAGGATTTCCTCAATACTCCCGCATGGGAAGTCATTTGAAGGGAGAACGTTTTTATAGTTTGGACAACAAAGACTACGGATTTATCAACTTCCTGCATGGCAGGTATTCTCAACCACTCTGTCCGTATTTTTCGTGATCACAGTCATTGGAAGAACATGTTCACATTTCAAGATTGACAGTGCCAGGCCTATTTGATTGATCTTCTATTATTTTCTTTAATTACCTATAATGTTTTTGGATTAAATAATAGAAGTTTACTTTCGTGATCCTCAAATATTGCACTAGTTTTTCAGAAGTGAGCTTGAGAAAATATACAATATATTCTGACACTGGGACTAATGTTGTGTTTGATGCCTCCAAGCTGAAAGGAACATTTGAACTAGTTTTCTTTCTGAATTGTCTAGCTACTTGTGTTTAGCCATGTTTAGCCATGTTTAGCCATGTTTAGCCAGCCATAGTTTCTACTTGTGGAGTGTAACAAGAAGTATTTTTGGAAGGCGTAGCTTCCCAAGACTGAAATATTACATAATTAAAACATCTATGTGAGATCTACGGGTAACCTTTGTCTGGTTGTTGAGCTGTCTTTATTTCTCTTCGACATTGACTGGTTTTACTAGACATTGTTGAGGGCGACCTATACTAACTAGTATGACTTAGTTTTCTTAGGTTTTCTGGTTTTATTGTAACTTGAACTTTATCCAATTTATGGAATCTTTCTGCTTGGAAAATAGCGAGGATGAATTCCTGCCAATTAGGAAAATGTTGGCCCTCTAGAGGGAGGACCAGATTGGCCCATTCATTTTCTGTCATGCGCTGCTGAGAAATTCCTCTATATCAGGGCCTCCATACTTCACCTATGCCAATCACAAAAAGATAGGCTGCTGGTAGAAGCATCTGCAGTAGAATAATAAGAAGAGGTGCGTGAAGAAGGATATCTGCTGGCCAACCTACTGTCAGCTAAACATCAGTTGGCTAGGGGGCGTGAATGGCTGGAAGACGAAATGAATCTCTTGAGAGTTCCTCTTTGCAAAACCCTTCTCCATGATCATTTGGGGGAAGGTTTTATTGAAATGACCTGATTACCCTCATTGTGCAGTAATGCTCTGAGCCATTACAATCTTCTTTTCATTAACGGTGAGGAATAATGAAGGGCAAAAATGCCCGGAACAATATGAAGTTTGAAATATTTTAGTCTTTTGGGCACCTTGAGATGTCTACAAATGTAGTCCAAAGTCTTTAAAGAAGCACTTGAAGAAGATATTGACGATGGAAAAGAGATTAGAGGGAGAACGAAAACGAGGGGGGACTTCACTCAGGGAAAAGTTGAGGATCATCCCACTCAAAACAAAACCCCTGGCCTAGCTTGATTCAAGATGTCTAGGTCATATCCACATTAATTTGTAGGCCCAGCTTACTTGAAAGAAGCTCAGATCTAAGCCTGTTTCAAAAATCCGTATGAAATAATGAAATAAACAAGACCTTATACACGTACCTTCTGTCCAATGGTCAAATATATTCCTAATGAACTTATAGAACTTATTTTTAATGATCTGACTCAATATAAACGTCTTTATACGATCTTTTGTTAGTCGTGTGTTTAATAGCCAATATGACTAAATGTCCACTTTGTGCTTTGCAATTAAACCGATTGTTAATGAGCTTGTGAATCTTATGTGGACCGTGTGGCTAGGGATATAGTGTAATAGTAATTACTTAGCTTCTATGAATTTACGTCGGTTGCTAGTGATATGACTTAGTGATAATAGGGCCATATAATTTTATATGGACTTTGTGAATTTTGTATCTTGTAGCCAAACTTATTATTGGCTTGCAAACCGTGTGTGCCTAGACATCCCAACCCAGTGGTAGTGGGGTCAATGGGCCTTATGTGGGCATTATTCTCGGTAATTGAATCTGTTGTTAACAGAAGTTATTTTGCATTCTAAAACTGGTCTTATTACATGAATTATGAAAGGTTTTTAAACCATATTGATTCATTATTTTAAAATTTGATGACATCATTTTTCGGTCGCTAATTGACGGTTTTTTTGTTGAGAGAATATAATTAACTCCAACTTCAGTGAGTGGGAAGGATCCAAATTCAGGTAAACATACGAAGTTCAATTCATTTGTCTGTCAGACATCAGTATGAGAAGAAATATTCTCAAGTCTGTTAAAATATGTGACCAAATATGTTTGAAAGTCTTGTATTGTTTAATTCATCTTCAGGAAAAGTAATTCTAATGAAACCTTTTCGTTAGAATTATGTCGTGTCAATTGTGGAAGAGTTAAGTCACGTAGTTAAAATATGTGAGCATTCACCCTTCAACCAGCTTGTTTTGGGTTTGGTAGCCTTTTTACATGATATCAAACTGTTAGATTCCATTGGGAAATGTGCCCCATCTACATTGTATGCATGACATCCAAGAGTGGTCTGCACCGGAGGTGTCATTTTATAATAATAATAAAAGTTCCAATTGCAATAATGCTTCCAGACTAGATTAATCAGATCTTTCGATCTGGATTTCTCAATAAAGTGGAAGACGTGAAATAGAAATATCAGCACTTATGCCTTTTAACATGGCTGGTTAATATTAGAACTTTTTTTCTGAATACTGCCCCAACTTCTATTGGCATTCAACAAGGAAGATGCTAAACCGATTTTAGAATGCCTCAGATGATTAGCATTCGATTTTTGTGCTATTTCTTTGATGAGTTTTCTTTGTTTTTTTTGCTTTCTTACCATCTGGTAATTGCTTTCAAATAGGTAAATGTCGAACCATACTTAGCAGCTTATTTCGTCATTGATTTTCAACTTATGGTATCAAATATCTCCACTTCACAAGCGCAACTTTAATGCTCTTAATTGTACCTATTGCGTCAGGTCAAATCTAGCTCTCAACTTATATGTGCCCGCACTGTTGATAAAGTCGAATACCATTGATCTAGTTTGTGTTCGTGAACTGCTAACCGTTAGTTTTGATCTTTCCATCTTTGAATTTATGCATCTGTTTCAGTGACTACATATCAGTTGACATTTTGAAGCATTGTATTCTTATTTAAACGATAGATTGTGTTAATAACTCTATATCTTTGCTTGCGCATTCTTTTGTACAGATCTGAAGGCATAGCAAAGGTCTCTGTCTCATTTTCCTGTCATTTTATCACTTCTGGTGGTCCAATGGCGACTTATTTTGACGCATCTCAGTCGCTAACAGTAGTGCCTGAGCTCCCTCTTGCTCTTGGCTTGCCAATAACTTGGGTTCTTCCACCATTCTATACTAGTTCGGATCTTTTGCCTGGATCATCTGAATCACGCAGGCAATCAGACTTTCACAACAAGAAAACAAGTATTATGTATTCCTTGTTATCATCATCTGGAAAGGATGGCCTTGTTCAACAGGATGCAATTGTGATTGCTGGAACCAAAATCAAAACGAAAGAGAGTAACACTCTGGGATGTATTCAGGCAAAAGACCAATCTGGTAGACGTGAAATTGCATCATGTGTCAGAGTAGCAGAGGTACGAATGTGTGCACATTGTACGACTGATGCGTGTAAATTTTCACTTGATATTTTATATTAAAAATCTTACTGTTTTTCTTGCCTTCTTCCTCATTATCTCCAATATCCAAAACCATGAGCAGGAAGAATGTTATCTTGTCTTATTTAAAGTAATACAACATTCGGATGAATTAGCGAGCAATATTCTTCACTCTTCATGTAAAAATTACCTTTAAAATATTAAATAATGAGGACTTAACCTGAAACATGAGAATTTTGAGAGAGGCCCTTAATAGATGGCTTTATTTGGAGGGATTTTGGCCTATGGTAGTGTTCCATAAATCGGATCTCGTTGGACAGCCACTTTCCTTCCTCGTTGAGCCAAGACCAGCTATCTCGTAGTGATTTGATCCGCATCTGTTCAACTGGTATCAAAGTTACAGTGACCTGATTAAGGACTGATTTATGTCTTTCTTTTTTCTTTTATATTCGACAGCATTTTCACATTTACATTAGTTGGGACCAAAATCATCGAACTGCTTGAAATGGAAAAGATAGGTGAGCATATTATGATCTGGTTTGGTGATAGAGTTTTTAGATGTCCTAGCCTATGACTCCGTGCACGTATATCTAGAGGCGGCAGCAGATCTATATAAGAACGCTGACGGTAATGAATGCCTCCATAGCTTGCTGTACGCCACCATAAAAGCCTTTAATGTAAATCATTTTAGGTTCCTGAGGATCAAGATTATCAGTGTGTGATAGATGATTCACCATTTCCAGTAAATGTTTTCTGGCTTGTGATAGCCCTTCAATTCTCTTTGGGACAGCTGAATTCAAGGGCAATCATATGCTTTTTGGACTGTCTGACTTTACCAGTGTTGTATGACATTGAATTGCACAATGGGTTCCATTGATATCTAGTACCAGTCTGTGACGAATAGAAACCCAGTTTGAACAGTTCTGAGTTGCTAATTATTGATGAACATGCCAGAAGGTGCTTTTTCTCATGTAGGAACTGAAGTTTTAAAAAAATTCAGTAACCTTGTATCTGCTGGATTTGAACGTGTAATCCATTTGAAAAATATGCTCAACTCTTTTCTTTCTTGACTAGGTGGCCCAAGTAAGAGCAACAGCAGGATCTTCTTCCTCTCATGTTGCTTACCTTTCATCAAATGATAAACTTGAGGTTATCATTGGTTACTGTGACAATTTAGGTGAATTCTAGATAGCCTAGTGATTACTCTCGAAGGTTTTAAATTTCTAATATCAGAAAAATAACTGAACCATTGTTTTCTTTCCTCTTTGGTAGGATATCCTTTCTTTGAGGCTTATGGCGTGGCTACATTAGATATTAAGACCAATTACCCTAATGTGGTTTCTATCCATGTACCGAGAGGTGAGAATAGAAGCCATGGTGGTGAAGCTGTTCATCTTCAGGTAATTTTTTATTGACCTTTAGCATGGGGCTTAAGTATGCGCCCACTAATTACATTAATATTTAAAGGATATCTTAATATTTCATTATTTTAACTTTTTTCTGCTTTTCCACTGCGGGTAAAAATTTGAAGGCCAAAAGTCGCGGTATGGCTCTTGTTAAGATTTCTATCAACCATGATCCACTGAAGGCTGTCTACGTCTTGGTATCACCTATTCTGATCGCTATGCATTACTGTCAATAATATTAGTTAGGAGCACGAGGTTGTTTAATTTTAGGACTCACTGTCTCTTTATTCGTAATTACAGTAGTAGCCATGATGATGAAATATTATTTATGATTTTCTGACATTATAATGTCCTGTATCATGGCCAGGTGTTGGTGGGTTCTCAGTTGTATCCAATGAATCCGCTTCTGTATGTTGGATGTGTTCTGAAATTCAGTACGACTGAAGTTAATGGTAAATATTTTCCTCATCTTTGAGAATCCTTCTAAGTTAAAATATTCCATGTTATCTGTAATTGTTTCATGATGTTTATTATGACATTTGAATTAATCAGTTGAATACGATGATTTATTTATTTTTATTTCATCTGACTTCCCATTGCATATTGGAGGTTGTTAACCGTTGGCTCTAATTTTTAACTCTCACTATAATTACTGCCACTACAGCTAGCAACATTTCTGAGACAGATCTAAATTCACGCATTTATTTAATATGCAGTGATGTCGGCATTGTAAAATAAAGAATTAATCCGTTAGCCTTGTGATTTCGTCATATTAAAAATTATCATTGATATTCCCAGTAAGAAATTTGTGATAATATGTAGATTTACAGTTGAACCCGAATTGAGCTTGAGAGGATCACATAGGAGCTTAATGAAAGGAATGCTTGAAATTTCATTCAGAATTATTCGAAAGGTGGATCGCAGAAGAGCTCTCTCGATTAAGTCTTTTGTTTTCCCCTTTTTAATATTTTATGTCTTTATGCTTTTGGCCATATCAATAAACGGATCAGCTTGCGTTCCAATGAGATGTAGCCCACTACTGCCACACGTTGTTTTATTGAGGACAGCTTGCATATGGTGTTTACAGGATTGAAAGACTTGGTCACTGGGCATTGGCTAAGTGCCAATGAAAGTGTCATATCTATTGACAGGCATTCTGGGAAAGCTCATGCTCTTGCTGAAGGTGCCGCTCAGGGTACTGGATCTAAATTCTCTTTCTCTTGAACTATCATCATTGAACTCTATTTTATATTGAAACTTTATATCTGACGTTGGTATGCTCTATTTGTTGACAGTGATCTATGAAGGCCCTAATTTAAAATTACAGACAACCGCTACTGTGAAGAACATGGACGTGGTTACCGTGAACCCTCCAGCAGAGATTCTAACCAATGTTCCTTTCCCAAAAAATGGGCACAAGTTCTCCCTACACTTCAGGTTTGTGGGGACCGGCCCATTGGTTGCTTCAAACGCTTCTAACTATCCATTTGTTAGAGTTTTTCATGTCTAGAAATGACATCTATTTACTTTCACTGTATCTACACAAGTTTCCAAAACTCGTCTCACTCATTTTCCGCTTTATTAGTGTTAAGCTCTTGTCTGTTGATCCTACTTTGGGCAAATGTTGTAGAATTTTCTTCGTTTATATATGTATTCTCTGTATTTAATATCTGCTACATAATTGGTAACATGGTTCAACATTTTTCACTTTCATGAAGAAATGATCCCATCTGCCTCCAGTCCGATTCCAACATGCCTGATCTTGATGTTTCATATGACTGCAATGTAAATCCGCCTTTTGTCGGGTAAGCTTTATCCTCCTTTCTGCTCTTTGTTTATCGAAACTGAGCTCTTTTTAATTTATCCTCCCTCTGATGGGTTTTTTTTTTTTTTTTTTTTTGGTTCTTCTGTGAACTTCAGCTATGTTACACCATGGAGGGATAATGCTACTGGCACATTATATTGCATCTTCTTCCCATACTCTCCAAACTATTTGGTCAATTCTCTGCCCAAGATCAAGGACAATAGCAGGGAGCTCATGACTTCCACCAGAAATGGAATGCTATTTGTTTCTGTAACTGTATCACCGAAAGGGGCACCAGATCTTTTGGGATCTGGCCAGGTTCTTTTCATAGGAGGATTTTCTGTCTCAGAAGACAAGGTAATATGATGATGGAAAATATGATTTTCTTTCATTCGATATTTTGTTATAACACTAAGAGTATGATCAGTAAATAGATATATCATGCTAACATCAATACAGTTGACTTTTACCCGAGACTTCAACAAGACACTTGTGACGGTCATGGGAAATACAGGTTCGTCTTGGTCATATTCTGTTTCTCCTTGGATGAGTACCCTTCTTTGATGATGATGATGATGATGCTTGTTTATGTCATTGTTTTCTCTATGATAGATGTGGAAATACATTGGGATGCCAAGCAGCAGCTTTCTGTGAAGCCAGTTCAGAAAGATCACTTTGGCATTGCGGGGCGCGCAGAATATGAGGTGGATGCTTGCCTTCACCATAACTCTTCTCTCATGGAATAATGTTACATATTTTCTGATATGTTCGTGATCCTTCAGGTAGAGGTTTTGAGAGGCGGTCGCTTCTCTGACAAAATCACCATCAAGCTTCCAGCTACTGGTACATCGTCGATCCCATCCATCCTTCAGCATGATGCTATGCGGTGTTTAGTTATCTCTCTCATTTTCCAATGCTCTTTAATGAAATCTCATATATTTTATAATAATTTTCCTTATTTAGTAACTTTAGCCTTGGCATTAGATATATAGGAATGGGCGAGCAGCCTGAGCATTCAGGGTTGACTTTCTTAAAATATATGGATCATATGGTCTCCGCTGTTCTTCATTCATTCTCATCCATCCCACCATTGGAACCAAATAATTACTTGCAGGTCAGACCGTCCACATCAGCGTGAGCTACGAAGACGACGGAGAGAGAACCGCCCCCGGAGAGAGAACCAATCTCTTATGGGCTGCCGTTCTGGTCTGCCTGGTTCTGCTGGCGCTGACCGTTCTGGTCTTCGTGAGATTCCTGGAGACACCATGGAGCAGCAGGCCGGCGCCATCGCCGCCGCCGTCACGTCCACCTGTACCAGCTGTCGCGGGACCCTCGACACCTGGCACCCGATCATCATCGCCACGTACGCCGCAGCCGTTTGTGGAATACGTGAGGCGCACGATCGACGAGACCCCCTACTACAGAAGAGAGGGCAGGAGGAGATTCGATCCCAATCGCACATACTAGAGTGAGCTTTCTTCGCCCCTCTGTGCGCGTGTTTTTAGCTCGTTGACTCTTGTCTAGGAACCAGTTGACTTTCCTTGGCAATTCCCATTCAGGCTGGACTGGTAGATCCGTTGATGAGTAGATAGATAGGTAGATGTGCATAAACATGGTGATAACCCACTAACAGCATGGAAATCCAAGGCTCTTAACCATGTTTTTACCATAAATGACCCCAAATCTATGTGGAAGATTTGGGTCTCATGGTACCCAATTTTAGCATCGCCGCTCTTCCGGTCAACGGTGGCTGAACTGTGGAGACTTGTGCCAGCTGGGGATAGAAGGGAGAGAGGGAAGGAGGGCAGAAGCTAGAGAGAGGGTTGCAGCAAGATTGGAATGAACGAGAGCCCGTACTAATAAGTAGAGAGAGAGGGAGGGAGAGAGAGAGAGAGAGAGAAGGCTGGGGTGGGATAAATTTTGAGTGTACATGAATAAATCTAGTAATCAGAAAAATACACGTTAAAGTAGAGAGAGGGAGAGGGAGAGAGAGAGAGAGAGAGAGAGAGAGAATTTTCCAATGTAGATAAATCAAGTTGGCCCAAATTTCAGGCCTGATGGAGGCCCTATAGAGGGCAGTAAGTATTATTCTATGGAGGGCAGGCGGTGGTAGTACATTGATCATTAGGTTTACGGTCCAACGGTCGTTTTTCTGGTTTAACATGTGATTCTAATCCTGTCCCGGTGAGCTTCCCAGTCCGCCAGTGCCTCTGGTGCGTGGACAGCCAATCAAAGTCTGATCCGGTTAGATGGAAGTTGCACCCGCGGGTAATCAGAAACGCCCCCCCCCCCGGGCGTCATCCACTCGCCTCTCTCCAACTGGATAAGAGAAGGCCCTCATCCTCATCGCCGGCCGCACTTCTTCCTCCTGCCTGCTCCTCCTCTCTACTCTCTCTCTCTCTCTTCTTCCTCCTGCCGGGAATGGCGACCGTCGGAGCCGCAGCGGCGGCGACCATCTCCGCTTCGAAGCTCTTCTCCCCGTCCTGCACCTCCTCCGGCATCCCCGGCGGCGGCGCTCCGGCGGCGACGAGCAGAACCGCCGTCGCTCTGCGCAGCTCCAGCGCCTCCTTCCTGGGCTCACCAACATCCTCCACCGCCCGGAGCTTCACGAGCCATCTCCGCCGGCACCGGAGCAGCGGCGGTGCGCTGGTGGTGCGGGCGGCTAGGGGGAAGTTCGAGCGGAAGAAGCCCCACGTCAACATCGGCACCATCGGGCACGTCGACCATGGCAAGACCACCCTCACGGCGGCGCTCACCATGGCGCTCGCCTCGGTCGGCGGCAGCGCACCCAAAAAGTACGACGAGATCGACGCCGCCCCGGAGGAGCGCGCCCGCGGTATCACCATCAACACCGCCACCGTCGAGTACGAGACGGAGACCCGGCACTACGCCCACGTAGACTGCCCCGGCCACGCCGACTACGTCAAGAACATGATCACCGGCGCCGCTCAGATGGACGGCGCCATCCTCGTCGTCTCCGGCGCCGACGGGCCCATGCCGCAGACCAAGGAGCACATCCTACTGGCGAAGCAGGTGGGCGTCCCCAACGTGGTCGTCTTCCTCAACAAGGAGGACCAGGTGGACGACGCGGAGCTCCTGGACCTGGTGGACATGGAAGTCCGCGACTTGCTCTCCTCCTACGAGTTCCCTGGCGACGACGTCCCCATCATCGCCGGCTCTGCTCTGGAAGCCCTGCAGGCCCTCATCGAGAACCCGGCAATCAAGCGAGGGGAGAACAAGTGGGTGGACAAGATCTTCGCCCTCATGGACGCCGTCGACAACTACATCCCCATCCCGCAGCGGCAGACGGAACTCCCCTTCCTGCTCGCCGTGGAAGATGTATTCTCCATCACTGGCCGCGGCACCGTCGCCACGGGGAGGGTGGAGAGGGGGAAGGTGAAGGTGGGCGAGACCGTCGACCTCGTGGGCCTGCGGGAGACCCGCAACACCACCGTCACAGGCGTGGAGATGTTTCAGAAGATCCTCGACGAGGCCCTCGCCGGAGACAACGTCGGCATCCTCCTCAGAGGAATCCAGAAGGCAGATATCCAGAGGGGGATGGTGATCGCCAAGCCGGGCACCATTACTCCGCACACCAAGTTTACTGCCATCGTGTACGTGCTGAAGAAGGAGGAAGGAGGGAGGCACTCGCCCTTCCTCGTGGGGTACCGGCCGCAGTTCTACATGAGGACCACCGACGTCACCGGCAGGGTGTCGGAGATCAGGAGCGACGCCGGCGATGAGAAGCAGATGGTGCTGCCCGGGGACCGCGTGAGCATGACCGTGGAGCTCATCATGCCTGTCGCCTGCGAGCAGGGGATGAGGTTCGCCATCAGGGAGGGCGGCAAGACCGTCGGCGCCGGGGTCATCCAGTCCATCATCGAGTGATCTTCGATCTTCTCTATTCTGTCCCAATCCTCCTCCCTCGACCAGGAGGAGGAGGAAGAAGAAGAAGAATCTGAGAAGACCCAGAAAACCAAAAAAGAACAAAAAAAAGGAAATGTGCTCATTCTCTGGATTCATCCTTTTTCCAGTCTCCGGCGCAGCCATTGTAGGACCCCCTGTTCATAGGAAGGAGGGCCGTTGACAAACCTTGAGTCGGTGAAACCACTCTCATCTTTTTTCCATCGCGGATCATCTAAAATAATTCTGTTTTTTTTTTTCTTTTTTTCCACCCTCAAATCGAGTTTTTGATTCTGGCGCCCCCCATGAATTGCGGTTTATATGCCTCTCCGTTTTTCCTCTCCGCTACTGATGGGTCGCATGCTTCTCCCTTACTCAGATCGCCATGGCTATGCTTCTCAGACAACTGTTGAACGCTATGGATGCTAACGGTACGGTAGCCTCTGCTCTGAGAGATTTGACATTGTTTTGGGAGGGGGATAGAAAGGGAGGGAGCCACCATGGTTGAAGCATCTGTATGAACCCTTTTGATGCTGTTCCAATGTTTTGATTGGGCATTGAGATGGGCTGTGGATTGAACCGTGTTGTTCATAGAATTGCTCGTTCTTCCACCTTTTTCCCCCTCCCCTTTCCTTTTCTTATCTCAGAATCATTCGATTATAACCCAAAAAATTTCTATTTTTAAAAAAAAATCTAAAATTCCTATGCATCTTCGTCTGCTGACATGTTAAAACATGTTGTTCATGTTGAAGCTGCAGTGAAGATTATTTTCTTCTCTTCCCTGAACAGACCCTTCCTTTCTCTTACTAATTAATACTTTGGAATGATTAAATCATCAAGGAATTTTAGTTTATTTCTTTTCTTTAAAATCATAATTAAATTAAAACTTTTTCTTCCTCTAATTACTACCTTTTGCTGAAGATCTCGAGCTGAATTCCATTTGCTCCCCTTCCTCATTGGGCTTCAGTTTTTGTTTAATCAGTGAAGTGCTCCCACTCTTTTGGAACAGATTCTTCGTCCTCAATCTTCTCTCCTTTTTAGAAATTAAAAAAATCTCCTCATTTTATTTTCGCCCAGCAAACAGATCTCTCATGAAAATGGACCCAGCATAAAATGTAGGTAGTCCTAGAGTTTGATTTAGGATCACCGAATATTTAAGGAATTGGCGTGAGGAATTGGCTCGTTTAGTATATCAAGAGGGTGATTTATTTATGTTAAATGTTGGATTTGGCTTAGCGCAGATAGGATTTGAGTTGCAGAGGAACTTGTTACCATGGGGTTTTGGATAGTTTAGTACCATTTTAGAACATAAATTAATGAGGCCAAAAGTTTAGTCAACAATTAAGGGCAAATGACTCCTTTTTTTGCGTAAAATGTTAAGAGTTTTCTTAAATTGCCCTCCTCATTGGGCTCTCTCTCTCTCTCTCTCTATCTCCCTCCCTCCCTCCCTCCTATCTATCGACATGTCTGAGGGGATGGCGGCAGAGAGAATGCGAGGATCCTGAGCCCTGTCCATATTTCCATGGGTCCAATTTATAAGCCTGGAGGTCATTTCGTTGTTATCCTGCTATTACCCACATGATTGTGTGTGTGTGCGAGAGAGAGAGAGAGGGGGGGAGGTGAGATGCAAATAAATTTCATTGCTATCCTGCCATCACCCACATGATTGTGTGTGTGTGTGAGAGAGAGAGAGAGAGGGAGATAGAGAGAGAGAGAGAGAGAGAGAGAGAGAGAGAGAGAGAGAGAGAGAGAGAGAGAGAGAGAGAGAGAGAGAGAGAGAGGAAGGTGAGATGCAAATAAATTTCATGAATTACCCAAGAATAATTGATAGGATCTGCTAGTTTTTTTCCACATAATTGATAATATGGAGGTCAAGACACGACAAACTTGGATGGAAGAAAGGAAAATGGCCCAAACCTGGGTTGGACAAGCCAAGTTCATAATCTCAGAAAAACACACCAAACCAAGCTGACCTGAGTCTCATATCAATGCATTCTTGACAAAATAAAAACATTCTTGGGATCAAATATTTATTTGGCAAGAAACGGACCTGTAGCAATACCAGTGGAGGCCAAGGACGAAGAATATACCACCTTGCGCACCAGTACAGTAGATAAGCCTAAATTGGAAACATAAATGTGTCAGCTTCGCCCGTCAGTGTTGACTTGAGACATGAGAGAGAGAGAGAGAGAGAGAGAGAGAGAGAGAGAGAGAGAGAGAGAGAGAGAGAGAGCGTGGTTTTCTGGATAATGTTTCATAATATGTCCAGCCCATGCAGATATAAACGTTCACCTATGGTACATGAGTAGACCCAAGTAGATGAACAGAACCACAGATTTATTTCGGTAACCAATAACCCTCAGGGTCCTGGGGAGAGAGAACTGGCACATAAACGATAGAGTAAACACAATTGATTAATTCCATTGATTTCAATAAGCATAGGCTCTCAGCTCCGCAATATTTCTCATTCAGATGAAATGTTCATTCCTGTCCTCAACCTCGACTGTTGTTCTTCCCCAGAGTTTACCTTAAATATCCTACTGAATGTGTCTGTCAGCTGTTCTTCCTTGCAACTGTGATCTTTCTGTAATCTGCAAACCTCATTGCATAATCTGTCAGAACCCTGCTCATTACAAAGACCAACCAGAAGACGCCACTTGTCATCGTCCCTGTGGTGTCGACAATCTTTGTCCAGACAAGTTCTTTCTCCCCCACCCCCAATAGTCATTATCCTTCAGCCAAAAAACATTCATAATCTTGGCTCCAAAACCTCCCTGTTGCACTCAAGATAACTTCGACTCTTCCCTCAGTGTTTTCACGAACATAAAAACTGAGAGAAAATAGATGACTGGACTGGAGAGCGCAGACTGTGATAGGATTATAATTAAGTTTGAGTTCATCGGAATTGGAATGGGTACATAGAAAGTGGTCATTCTGAAATTTAGGTTATCATATCATCACGATTAAGAACAAGAAACTGGCTGCAAGAATAATACATTAAGAAAATAAAGCATCAATGCAGGTTGCAAGCAAGTGAAAAGACACCTCCATTGACATGGAGCCCTGAAGAGCAGGAGCTGGGCCATTTATTCGTACGATCCAGGCTCAAAACAGAAGGTTAAACCTCACTTAGAAACAAAACAAATATATGTGGAATGTTTCTCAAACTTTAGAGCAACATAAGCATGGCAAAATTTACACAAGGATCAGAGAAGAATCACACAGTATGGTTTAGAGATAAAAAGGATTCAGCATTGTAGTACGATATTTAAATGAGAATAACTCGGAGTTCTAGATATGTAGATAGCACCTGGCAGAAAAAAGTGATGCACAATGTGAGAAAAAGTGATGTTGGTCAGTCATAGTCTCTTCACAAAGGAATCTTCATATATCACAGGTCTATTAATGGCATGTTTATACAATGACAGGAAATAACTGAAGAACCCCATTGATGAAACAAATGTGGAGCCAAACCTGTAAAAGTTTTCAAAACCAAAATGTGAGAACACACTGTTTATTTAGGCACCTAAGATAAAGTGGACTCAGTACGAAGCAAAAAAGGTGTGATGAGATATGAATTTCAGCAACGGAATTCTCATCAGAACAAAGTTAAGGAACCAAAATTAGAAAAAAAAGGGAGGGTGGTCAAAAAAGAATCCTCAAAGATGTCCATCCACACAGAAAATTGACTAACTCTTCTCTATCAGAACACTGAAGATCAAGCTGGCTTTCTGTGTTTTCAGATAGCGTAAGAGAGGGTGAAGCACAGCCTCAGGGAATTTTGAATGACTGACATGAATGCAATCTATTAAAAAAACTCAAGGTTAGTTGACCTTTGAATTAACATGAAATGCATTATATATAAGTATCATTATTTACAAAAAACTTGAACGACTAACACAGGTAAAAGATGAGATCTCGAAGTATTTTTCAAGTTTCCGGCGATTGCAAACCAGGGAAATATTCAAATGCTGAAAACATTTGCCCGGTAAGGAAAATTCAATATTAGATACTTCCATTAATTGGTGAGGGAAACCAAAGCATGAATGATCAATGAAAGTTCTAACTACCCTAGAGAAAATGTAGAAAAATGGATCATGTAAAAACACAATGATATTAACCGGAAAATGTTTCATATGCTCAACATTGAGACTCATCAACATATAATCATGTTCCCATATTAATTCAAACGAACAAGTTCTCCATCCCTTGAAGGTGCAGGAACAATGACAAAGTGAGTTTTCTGGCGTACATGGTTCTCCGAGCAGAGTAATGAAAAGGAGATGCAAATGTAACACTGTTTCACATGCTATTACAAAATCCATGCTAGGCATTCCTATAACCTTACAGATATAGTCAACCTGACCTCACAAACAGGAGATAATACAAGAGTTTTATGTCTTCCCTGGTTCATCAATTGCATCTTGCATTCTATCAGGGAGAAAAATAACTAAGCGGCAAAATATCATCCAGGATCTTACATAGAATGGAGCCTGCATGCCGCCCCTCATTAAACGACATCATTACCGAGGTGATAAGATCACATTACGGTTTTGCATTGGCCTACAAGACCGACAAAAGACCTAAAGGTGAAAGAAGTCGATGCAGTTGATCAGTCCACCAGCGAAGCCATGAGAGCCCGAGGGCTCTCCCAGACAGGAAGATCCAACAAAGACTCCATCATTGCCTCCTCCCTCATGTCGCACACTGAGTCTGCAATATCACAGAGGTTCGAGAGCTTCTTCAGGATCGCTTCCTGTGCCTCCACCTGCACAGTCCCCGGCTACATGAACCAGCCAGTATAATGACTAATGTATCTGTTTAAATCTACAAAACACAGAAAAATTGAGGACGAGGAAAAACCCAAAATGCATCCCAAAGAAGGCACCTGTACATTATACAAAAGTTTTTCTCGAAAGAAAGCACCGACCTGCAATATGAGCTCCTCAATCAAGGCGCGAAATGGGTTAACAGGCTCAGCGACATCCTCACCCTCCTTTTGACGGCAAGAACTAGAGATAGTTCCCGTGGCACTGCGTTCCAGGGTCGACTCCTCCCCCGTCACTCCGAAATCTCCACCTCCAGCGTCACCCTCAGCACCACAAAAACGACCGCCCTCCAGCAAGGAAACGGCCAATCCCTCCAACTTATCGATCTCCTTGCGGTACCGCTCCCTGACGGCCAAGAGAGAGATCTTCCTCCGGGCCAGTTGGTTCCTCTTAGGTTCCTCCTCCGGTTCCGCGGATGTCTCCTGGGGTACCTCCTCTGGTTGCCTCCTCTTCCGGCGCTTGTAGATGAAGCCGTCGTCATTGCAGAGCTCCCATTCCTCGCCCTCCATCTCGCCCCTCAGGCCAGGTAGAAGGACTCCGCAGGGCCCCTGCGACTGCAATCGCCAAGGACAGGACAGATCTGGGAGGAAGACGAAGGCGGCAACGAGCCGATGATTCTCTTGTTCGAAAACCAGCCCATCAAAATTATTATTTTCAATACACCATTGACATTTATACACCATTGACGAATGTTTAATATTTGAAATTTAAAGGTTGTAATTTTTTACATTCGATATGCCTGGATTCATCTATAAAAAAGACTCGTTATTTACTCTTGTACTCCTCTCTCTCTCCACCCAACCACCATTGGTTGTCATTAAGTGGGCCCAGATTAAGGCCCATCAGAAGCACGGATCCTGTTCGGCCCATTTAGAAGCCGACCCTCGACTCCATCGAACCGAGAGAGAGAGAGAGAGAGAGAGAGAGGGAGAGGGAGAGCATACCATGTGGCGAGAAAGCACTAGCCCCTTTGAGAATACTTTTTGGGCCAGAAACATGTAAAGTGGGCCGAACTGGCTGAGCTAGGGACCCGTAGATAATAATTAAGTAATTTAATTAGATGGAAGTCGGGAAAACACAAGCAATTCCTGTGCATTCCGGCATGCCCGACGAGCCAAACAGTTTTCCTTCGCAGGAAACAGTGACGAGAACAGAAACAGCGGCGGCGGCCGCACCGCCGCCGCCTTCAATTCGGATCATTCGGCCCGATCCCAGCAGCGCCGCTGGCCGGAGCTGAGCGGCGTAGGAGAGTTCCCGTCTTCCGCCGCCGGCGATGGGTAGCGAGCAGAAGAACCCAAGCGACCTGCATGGCCATGCAGAAAGAGGAAACTACAGAGAACATATACGGTGTGGCCGGAGGGAAGGAGGAGGAAGAGGAAGAATAAGAGGTTTTCCGCCATGGCCGGATCTTACCGAGCTTCAGATGACCTCCTGCTCTTCACTGGGCCTGTCGGTGACGTCGAGATCGTCGCCGGACTTCCTGGAGGGAATCCGGAGGAGATTCCTCAGGCTTCTCTTGCTCTCCTTCTTGGTCCTCCTCCCCCCCGGCGGCACTGGAGCGCCGCCTTCAACCGCGTTCTGGTCCTCCGCCGCCAGCCCCGACTCGAGCTTCTTCGAGACGGTGACGATCTCGTAGGAGTCCCACAGAGACTGGGCGAAGTCCCACCGCTGAGACTCCGCCACTTGCCGGCGAGCGGCCTCAACTCTGAACCGCGTGGGCCTGCTCTGGTTCGCGCCTTTTCTACATGCGGCAGCGGCGACGTCGAACTCGGCGGCGCTGCCTGAGTCGCCGGCGTGACCGTGCCAGGCCTGAGCCACGGCCTTGAGTAGCTCGAGCTCCGCCGCGCCGCCCTCGCGCCTACTCATCCGCCGCTGGCAGCGCCGCCGCTCGGCACGGCAGCGTTCTCCGACGATCCCACCTCCTCCGGTGAAGCGAGAACCTCACAACAGCTGCGGTGAAGAAGATAAGGTCAACCACCGCCTGCGGTCAGCGCACGGTCAGACCTCCGAAATTCATTGGGAGCGGCTATAACCTTTTGAAAGGAAATTAATAATAGAACGTGAATTAAAAATGTCCAATATAAGTCCGCCGGACGCACCTCACATTTTTCTAGAGAATAAAATTATTTTCCCAGGGATTAAACGTGCTAATTTTTATTATAAAAAGGAAATAAATAAGCCCAGAATAACATTGCAGGAGACAACTTCACATCTCTTGAAGAGAGAGAGAGAGAGAGAGAGAGAGAGAGAGAGAGAGAGAGAGAGAGAAGCTTTGGTCATTTTAATATTTTATTTAAGTTTTTTATATTTTCAATAAATAACCTTCACATATCTCACATATTCTCAAGAAATTTTAGGTATTGGTTTTTAACTGTTATTATTAAATATAAAAAATATTTTTCTATTGAGTTAAAAATATTATTTATTTTAAAGGGTTGAGTTTCTATAGTTTGTGGTATTTAAAGCTAATGTGAAGCATGAACTACTGGATTTTTGAGAAAAGTACTATGGAAAATGTCGATGTAGAATTTGATCGATTTTTAGGGAGTAAAGAAAATAGTATTTAAGGTGGGGTGCATAAGCAAGTCCCTGGATTTACGAGCGTCGATAATGAAAGCAAATATTTGGCCAGCGAAACTCTTAGGGGGGCGCCTCCCGCGAAAAACTACTGGAAGAAATTCAAAATCTCTCGCTCTCTTCTCTCTCTCCTCTCTCTCTCTCTCTCTCTCTCTCTCTCTCTCTCTCTCACTCGCTCTCTCTCTCTCACACTCGCTCTCTCTCTCACTCGCTCTCTCTCTCTCACACTCGCTCTCTCTCTCTCTCTCACTCGCTCTCTCTCTCTCGCTCTCGCTCTCGCTTTCTCGCTTTGGCGATCTCGATCGGATTCAGACCTGCTTCTGGGGTTTCCCCGAGAATTTGAGGTTTGAAGGGATCGTCGGGAGGTGATGACTTCTTCTATGGAATTTTCCATTCATAACTCCCCCAGCGGTGGAAAACCTCCCGGGTCCTATCTCTTGGTAGAGCCGGCCGTGCCCCCTGCTTTGGAGGATGAAAAGATCCTCGTCTCGGGTGAGTGGCGCTTCCATTGGTGGCATTTCCATCTTTTGCCTCTCTCCAGCGTCGCCCACCCGTTTGCATGTTCACTTATACTGTGACCCTTCCAGTTGAGGTATGCATGAAACCCTCTAGCACGACGAGGGAGGAGGATTTGAGGTCCGCTGTTGAAAGGTATCTCTCTCTCCCTCTCGCTATACATGTATATATATATATATGTATGTATATCTGCACATATCTTTAGAGCTTGATTGACATTCTGTGTCTATGCACAGCGCAAGTATTTAGGCAGATGAATATTCGGAGTTTCATTTTCGCTCTTTTTTCTGTTATTTTTCTCTCAATGGTGTTGGGAAGTTCCAAGTTGTGATGATGACGGGCATGAGGAAGAGATGCTTTCGTGCTTGAGGCAATGGAGAATAACTGTTATAACCCTGCTAGGATCAGAGTTCACAACGTTACAGGAAGAAAAGTGCTCCTTTGCTGCGGTTTGGGTTCTCCAGTGCAGAATAATGCTCTTTCGATATTCTTTTCTGAAACCTTATCCTAGTTCTCCTTCCATATTCTGTCAGCTTTCCGTTTAACTTTCGATTTGAAGACAGTGGCTTTTCAATGCACGTCCTGGAGAAAGCGAAGCAGTTGCAGTCTTTGATCCTGCCATTTTGTTTGGACATCATGGCTGAGTCCTTTTCATTACATGGTGGGTTTATAGATTATTTGACCGCATGATCTGGGAACAAACGGTAGGGAAGGCTTTGAATTATTTGCATTGGGTAGTGCCTTAGAAGAACATAAATACCAGTTGTGATTGTTTCATCTGGCGTAAGGCCTTGTCAACTTGTGTATTATGACTTGAAATGTTGTTTTGGTCATCGTGGGAATTTTTTAGTCCGTTGTTTCAATATATTACCGTTCCTACTTTGTCCATTTGGACATTGATTGCACAACCTGTGTCTATTTACTTCGACCAACATAAGTTTTGCTGAAATTTGAGTTTTGATTATCTGACTTTCATGGGTCGCCACCAGCCAGTACAGAGTTTGCTTTTTTTCTTTTTTTCTTTTTTTTGTGATACGACCTCATATACTACAGTTCTTGTGAGAAGATGAAGAAAAGTTTAGATATTGACGATGATGATGAATTGGATATCATTGTTAACTTCTAGAGGCTACGGAGGACGACTTCGGATGTTGGTGAGTCTAATTTTGTATATTGCACATCTCATAGGAAGAAATGATGAAAAAAACTTTTGGAACCACTAATTCTATATGTTTAATATAATTCGGGTGGAAAAGAGGATGCAGCTTGTGGGAAGTTGTGAATCTAAGCATCACGTAGTTCTCAGGTTAAACCGTTCTGGTGGGAACGTAAAGGACAATGAAGGTTCTGGATAATGATGAATTGAAATTGATGGACGACTTGTTGAGTTGATGGAATTTGATTTTGAATGTGTAGGGAAGCTTGTTAGAGGGCCTCATCGCTAGAATAGTGGAAGACATGCTGTGGTAGTACTTTTATTCCATATGTTTCACAGGATTCTGGTTGTTTTTTTTGTGGGGGGAGTGGTTGGGTGGGGGAGGGGAGTGAGGAGGAAGAGGAGATGGATTATGGAGTGCACGCTGTCTAACCATAGAAATTATGTTGCTCAACTGTTTCTCCATAGACATTATGCTTTTTGTCTTCTTGTTCTAAGTGTATCTTGAACGTGAGATTTGTGCTATTATTTTTCTTTGTCTAATCATTCGATATGTTCATGAAGAATGCTGGAGAACAGGAGTTTAAGTTATAGAGATGGTCCTATTCCAGTGCCTAGTGACGACCCGTTTCTTCTGGAGAATATAAAAAGAATTCAGATTTGTGACTCAGGTAATTGACAAAGCGTTGATTTTGAGAATTACTTTGTTAGTAACTGTCGTTCTCAGAACGTTTATGATTTTTTTCTACTGGTTTGCAGATGAATGGGAGCAGAACCATAAAGTTCTCTTGTTTTGGCAGGTTAAACCTGTTGTACATGTTTACCAGGTAGCGTTTATATTATCTTACCTGGTGTTGACTATTTTGGATGCTTGTTTGGATTGGGAACAGGACACGGTCCACTATGTCCTCTGCATCTTATTTTGATCTCATGCTAGTGGTGGTTCTGTTTGATGTGGATTATTTACATGATGATTTGTCTATAGAATACAGTAGATATTAATTATTGCAAAGTTCACATCTTTAAGCCAAAATTGAATAATTTGAGTTTTTTTCTTTTTTAGTCTCTTGGCTCAATTATTTATTTATAGAGGATAGTGGCCGCTTCCTCCCTCCCCCATAAGACTTAATATGAGGTAAGCCTAATGAGTCATATTCTAAGTTACACATTAAGGCACTAGATAGTGGGCCAATTATATCCTTGTTTAATAGACGCTCTTAACACTTGCACTTTGTAAACTTTCTTATTTTAAAGGACTCTTCAGCTTTTAGCCAGTTGATTGAGTTTCGTAAGAAGTCAGGCATTGGACACTTTTTTGGGTGTTTTTATACCGTTTTCTATATCTTATTTCATAATTTTATATACGATCCCCACAATTATGTTGGGTCGTCTGCTAAGACATGGTATGACATTTTATTTTGCTTTATTCACTGCTGAAATTTCTCATCAGGAGGACAATGATTGGATAGGTTTATGTAGTTGGCCTAGAGTGTCAATCATTTAGTAGGTATACTCACATTTTCTATTTATTTTAATTTAATTCTTAATGATGGTAAAGTACAGGTTTAACGATTTTCAAGAAAGATTCTTGACATTTGTATTTGGATATAAAAACCTACCATGGGGGGTGGGGGCAGTGATTTCTCTCTCTTTACAGAGCTGGTGTGAATTTAAAAGTTTTTGCAAATAAGTGAAGTAAAAAAGACGGATTTTCAGAATAGTTTTGTCTATCTAGTTCAAGATCTCCTCCATTCTCCTAGCTTTTCCTTAGTTTGTATTAAGTTGCCTTTAACCGATTATAAGCTGAGTTTCCAAGATGCCAACCATGACCTTTTTTGCATGATAACAAACCTACGTCAATGGGAAGCTCAAGGATCTTTGGCGGCAAACCTTCAATAGAGTTGAGGATATAATTTTTCAGGTTTTTATGGCCTATTTATGGTGTTCTTGAGAGATGAAGCTTCAAAAGCTTGAACTTATGAATTCGTCGAAACCCTAGTCATCTTATAACTGAGGGAACTTTCTAGCTTAAGCACCCTCTCCAATGTCTAGAAATACAATAAGCTTTTTAGCCTTTTATATTGCTATTTTGGATGATAGCTGTCTCATGTTTTATCTGTTGACTCTTTTTGTTTGACGGATACAGTTTGGTTGATCCCTTAATCTTTTGAGTGTTGATCCCTACTACCTAACGTTTCTGACATCACTTAGGTGTTGACACTCGTGACTTAGGGGTTGATCAAGTGTTGTCATGTGAGTTGTTTGGGTCAAAACCAATACAATTCGGTTTTTGGTTCTTCATGTGTCGACCCCTGAGTAGTTTGCTCTTTGTTTTGTGCAGATATCCTATCTAGGGTTTCTTTATACTGTTTCTTTTTTTTCATGAAATTTCTACATGTATGAGAATTAGTTTTCAAGGCCTAATTCTTTTAAAGGTCCTTCATTATGCCATTTCTCTATGTCTTCTATTTATTGAGGCTGTACCAGCCCTAACTTCATTATGCTTTTTAGCCTTCCTCATTTGGATTAGACGTTGAATAAAATCCTTTTCTCTTGTGCTTTAGCAAATGAGGATCCCTGTCGTTTAATCAGTGCCTTATTTTGGATCTTAAATTGGGCACATTACAGATATTATTAAGCAATAGCGAAATCAATTCTAGTTTGCTTGCTTAATAAATGTCTTTAAAGTTCAATCTCATGATTGTTTTGCTCAAGTTGATAGAAGATAATCACAGTGCATGTTGTGTAGTGCTTCACCGATACTAAAGTCAGAGGTAAAAGTACTATCATCAATGAGAAATCCAAGTTTTTTATTAAGTTCATCTATTATTTGACAAAAAAAAGGAAAAATGTGATAAATGAGATACCAAAATCACGCATCCCAAACATCTAATGGGATAATCTTTTAATGTACAATGCTTGGCAAGTTGTCAGATACAAAAACTGCATCTTAAAATTGAAGGAAGTAATGCTTTTGGGCCAGAATGTGAATAGCCATAATGATGCTTCCGACCATAGATTTTTAAGTTCTCCTGTGTACTCCATTACTGATTTCGAACCTTGAGCAATTGATTAATATTTTATCTCCATTTCATATATGTGTGACTCATTGTTTTTCATCAAATATTTCATGTGTATTGTTCCCCACAGATCCTTTGCAGTTTTCATAAAGGAAAAATCTCTACTGATCTGGGGAATCATGGTTCTCCAAATTCATGTCTTTATCAAGGCATCCTCCTCTTGCCATTTTTTCAATTGTCTTGACATTGGATCTAGTGTAGTTTCCTCTAGATGATGTAGCATCTCTCTGCCAGTAAGAACCTCCCTAATATATTCTGACCATTAGATGAGATTATATCCAGTCAACTTAAATTTCGTAGGCATGGCAGGGAGTTCAATCATCAATCTTGATGTTACAGGATTGACTTCCATAATGGTGGTAGAGACATCACCTACTGAGGTCTCTCCTCCTTCAGACATAGAAAAATAACAAATCGGAATAGGAACAACTGCTTACTGAGCAAAAAAAAATGTAATTCTCATACGTCTTATAAGGAAGATCAATAATTGCCTTGAGAAGGGGCTCAAAAAATGATGTTTATCTTCCAACTCCTCAAGAAGAGACTCGCAGAAGCAGCATAAATCTCTTATACCGAAAAAGATAATAAGAAAGGAGAATCACACCTGGATTTGCTCTTAAACATTTCACTAAGTTGTTAGTTACTTCCATGTTCAAAATCTTTGAGCTCTGAAGCATCATTGTAGCTATTCACATTCTGGCCCAGAAGCATTACTTCCTTCATTCCAAAGTCTTATGGCGAAGTTGACTTCTTATTTCCCTCTTAATCATCTCCATATTTCATTAGAGCCTCGCATATTCGGATGTGTCTCATTCATTTATAATCATAATCCAGCTGAAGGTAAATTATATCCAAGATCCCTCAAATGTATGTTTGTTGGATATTCAACTACTCAAAAAGGGTATTGCTGTTATCATCCACCAACTCAATTTTTTTTTACAACTATAGATGATACCTTTCATGAATCTATTTTTTACTTCTAGAAAACTTCTCAAGACACATCTTTGCCATTTCCACCTTTACTTGATTTTTCCCCATAAAGAGTTTCTTCTCCTCCAGGTCAAATTATTCTACCAATTCATGTATCTGACCAAAGTTCATCTCTTCCTGATCCGCCTCTTGAAAAACTCAGATTTGGTCACGTTTATTCCAGGACACGAGTACCTCAAAATGCTGGAAATTCGGTGGATAATCTGTCCAAGAGATCTGAGAATTGCAATCCCATAGTCTTGACTTTGGGCATGCTCTTAAACCCTTCACTAAGTTGTCAGTTACTTCCATGTTCAACATCTTTGAGCTTTGAAGCATCATTGAAGCTATTCACATTCTGTCCCAGATGCATTACTTCCTTAAAAAATCAAGGGGTATTGAAGTATCTAACAAATCAGGGGTCCTAGTGTAGAGAATATGAAGCTTCTAAATACAGAACGTCTAAATAGAATATCTCTTGACACTCTCTCTAAGCAGATTCTAGAAACATGTCTAGCTAATCCAATATCTGAAATTGCAGAGACCCTGTCATAGCTTGAAGCAATGTGGAGAAACCTAGAGTTACTTAGAAATCAATATTCTAGTGCCACGAGATGGAGAAATTGATATCTGCACCTCTCTAAAGGGAGCCAAAATATCTAGAACCAAGATTTTGCAGCTACAACAAACGTCCAGAACTCCTTTTCTTTTTCTGAACATAGACTGGTTTTGATACTATCACAAACGAAAATGGACATACAGTGCACGAAATGGCTAAAAATCCACCACAAACTCAGATCTCAGCTCTCTTTATATACATCTTAAGGGAGTACAATTTTCTTATGTATTACAATATCTGACAAGCTTTCTGATATAGTGATCTTTAAGCCAAGGGGTGTTCCCATTCCCAGAAATCAGGGATCTTAGTGTCGATAATGGGAAAGTCTTAACCGTAGAAAGTCTAGTTATAAATCTCTCTCGACATTATTATCCACATATATAGTTGTGTTTTGAATGAGAGAGTCAACGGTTATCCTTTTCTATCCTCCCCTTATATCTTCTATCATCTCGAGTCTCATATAATGTATTTATCTATTTTTAATGTTGGTGATAATAATAACAATAATCCGAAGGAATAGACATCTTGGAGAAGGCATCCCGATGCTGTTCCTCAGCTCGATACATGTGATAACTCAATAAAAAACATCGAATATCTAAATAATTATTGGCTATCTAAGCAATCTCATCTTATTAAACCTTTTATTTTTATTAATTTTGATCTTCCAATTGATTTCAAAATAGAGGTAAAGAAAGTGTTAAACACATTATGTTGATACACTTTGGTTATTCTACTCACTCCATCTTACTTGTTTCTTTTTGCTTTACCTTTTTCCATCCTCACCTCTTTTGTTTATGCAATGAATGAAGAAATGAAAACTTTTGTAGGTTGTGCATCCTTTAAAAGTACAGAAATAGACATAACATTAATTATGAGGAAAAAAATTTCCTCAGCTTTTATAAGTTGGTCTTCATAATTAAATGTCTAGTAGATTTTATTATTGATAAGGTTGAGGTTGGGTTCGTTGTAAAAGGATTCAAATAGACATAACATTAGTTATGAGAAACTTTTTCCATTTGTGATGAAGAGGAAATCTAGGCTCGACATCAGCTTATATTTAATAAAAGTGGTTTTCTTGACAGCTTAGTGAAGAGGGACCTGGTGAAGAATTGAGTGGAGATGGTGTACTTGCTAGCTTTAACGAATGGATGCTTCCTGCTAAGGAATTTGATGGCTTGTGGGAGAGGTATGTGAATATTAGGATTTTTTTCCTTTTTGATATCTCCAGTTTATTTTATTTATGGATAATCAATTTATTTTACAGTTTAGTTTATGAAACTGGTCTCAAACAACGATTATTACGATATGCTGCAAGTGCATTGCTGTTTACTGAGAGAGGTGTTGACCCCTGTCTTGTTTCTTGGAACCGGTGAGTGATTTCTTCTCAATTTTGTATATTTCTGTAAATGACAATATCTTTATACAATACCATCTAAAAACAATTGAATTCATTCCTTTGTGTTTCAATTTCTAGCCTCAAACTTTCGATTGGACTTGGGGTCAAATGGTGACATGAAAATGTATGTCAAACATGGCTAATATTAGAATTTAGGCAGGATATAAGAGAATGTTACAGACGCATATACGCTATCTATAAATGTTTTAAAATTTTGTATTGATAAGTTTAGCTGTTGATTTCCTGCATAAAATTTAGATCACGCGTTTAAAAAATGAGTCTGTGCCAAATTTTGTTGATGTGTAGAATAAGATTTTAATCCTTGTTTCAACAGTAAGTTTTTGACAGGTTTGTATTTTTTTTCTTGTTGGAAGTCTATCATAGGTAAATTTAAGTGATGACATCAAAAAAAGGTATCTTCATGTATCTTTTACGATCCTGTGTAAACGCAACTGATTTAAAGTATCAGAAGCTCCAAATGAAGCATGTGTCTTAACAGAATAGTTTCTATGACGTTCTGGATGTTCATGTGGGAAGTATATACAGCCAAATCTCTTAGGCTAGTCGTCTTTTTTTTTTTTCCCCTACATGACATAGTGACCTAGTAATGTAAAGTGCCGGGAAAATTTGTGCATCATGGTGGTAGGGTATATTAATGCCGATTTTGGGGGTTTAACCAAATTGGCTTTGGTAGAAAAACAAACTGCCCTAACTCTTTCTGAATTAGGCTGTTTTCATTTTGTGCGTTTCTGTATTGGCCAAAAGTTTAAAAGTGGTTTTATTCTACTTCAGAACTGGATTATTTTTTAATATTTTCACTTTGTATATCATTTTTAATATATTTTTCGACATAACTAGCAGAACTTGACCTATGCGATCTACTGTCATAAATAAGCCTGTTTAGTCCTCAATTGGATTTTTTCGGGCATTCTTTTGAATTGGAGCTAGAAGTAGAACTCGAAATGGTTGTTGAATGAACAAATAAAACATTGTGTGTTTTCTTTTTGAAAAACTTTCTTTATTCTTAGTGATTATGCCTCTACAACTTTTGCAGTATCATTCTTTTACATGGCCCCCCAGGAACTGGAAAGACATCCTTATGCAAAGCACTAGCTCAGAAACTTTCAATCCGTTTTAAATCCAGGTTCTCACTGTTATAAGTGCCATTTATCGTTTATTTGTTAGACTACCACAGCCGCATTTTTTACTTATTCTTTTGTTGGTGTAATGAACTCAGGTTTTCACAGTGTCAATTGGTGGAAGTCAATGCGCATTCTTTATTCAGCAAATGGTTTTCTGAAAGTGGGAAGTTGGTATTGCCATATGTTCCTAAAAGCTTCTGCTGTTTATTATTTTGTGCTGACATTCTTTCCTTTTTGTGACTGCTCGACCTCTCTATTTTTCATAAGGTTCTTTGTACAGGATTTTATTTTCTTATGTGATTTTTTTATTGTTTAGTTTCAGACAACTTTTTATTCTTCTTGATATGCTGTTGACCTGGTTAGGGACATTGATACATTACATAGTTTACTGACAGGTAGCAAAACTTTTCCAAAAGATTCAGGAAATGGTAGAAGAAGAAAGTAGTCTGGTTTTTGTTTTAATTGGTGAGTCCTATAGTTTGAATTATCACTTTCTTAATTCTTTATTCAAACTGTGTACTTATCTGCTATGCCTAACCAGTGCTCTTGTAGTAGAGATGATTATTTAGCCAGTCCACTGACTTGTCTGCAATCTTCAAATTTTGAAGATTTTTTTGTTCTGCTCTATGGATGATGTTTTTGAGTAAATGGCTTATATTCATCTTCGGTTGAGTCAATGTAAATCTAAACATTTTGCACTATGAAGCTTATTTGATTTGTACACTTTTCCTTGGACTATATATTTTTTAGAACATCATTGTATAAAGTTTCTCTCAAAGGTTCCATTGAAAAATTTTGTTTATCTTTGACATTATGGAGATTCTATTGGTATTTGGCTTGGATAAAAGTTAAATCCTCATGGATTTGAATTCTCTAAAAATGCAAAGATATCCTAATAGTGAAGTTTACAAGTTGGTGTAAACCTTTTTCGCACTCGGATGGCTTAGACATTTCAATAGAACAATTTTCTTGATACTTAATAGTAAACACCCACTTTTGACAAGCTTCTCCCTTCATTAGGTTCAATTTGTTTCGAAGTTCTACCTTCTTGAGTAGTTGCCATATGGTTATCACTCATTGAATGTAATTGTTTGATGGTAAAAGACCAGTTAGATATTTGGGTACAATACATGATGCTTAGTGCATGTTATGCTCCTCTCTTTCGGATGGGAATTAAAAGGTTGAGATAATTATTTAAGTTAACAAAATTAATGATTGATTACTTGGGAGCTCATCATAGACTGGTATGACCTCAATTTGGTGTTCTGGTAGATCTCAAAGCACCCCGTGAGAGGAAGAAGAATTTATTAAAGGAAAAACTAGAATCAATTTTACAAGAGGGACAAGGTCTAGTATTTATACCAGACCCTCAAGTTGTAGAACGTCTAACATCAATACAGACACATAAGGGCATATCTTCCAACGTGAAAAATACAGGGTTCATGTTATTAAGTCCTCTCGACAACACTCCCCCTCAAGTTGGTGAATGGATATCATTCATTCCTAGCTTGGGAAGAATCTCTTGTAGTGTGTGCCCCATACAACTTTAATTGATTTTTGGTTGATATGTATGATATACAAATCACATGTGGCTCAAGTTTTTGTTTGATAAAATACCAATTGATCTCCACATGTTGGGTACAATCATGACGTATTGGATTATGTACTAAATTGATTGCTGACTTATTATCACAATAAATTTTGATAGGGCCCAATAGAAGTTCATCAAGTAAATTCCTCACCTAGAGAAGTTCACATACTCCTTGGGCAAGTGCTCTGAGTTCTACTTCAGCACTTGAATGGGCTACTACATTTTGTCTTTTACTTCTCCAAGTAACAAAATTACCACTAATAAATGTGAGATGATCAAAAGTTGATTTTCGGTCAATCATTGATGTTGCATAATCAGCATTATAAATATTTCAACATTTACGTTCCCACTGCATTTAAAGAGAATTCTTTTGTCGAGTGTGCCCTTCAAGTAATGTATCACTCATGCAGTGGGTTGTATATAAATGGGTTTCTTTTGGCTGATGCATAAAATGACTCAAGATACTCACTGCATACGAAATATCAGGTTGAGTATGTGTTAGATAGAGTAGATGACCAATAAGCTGTTGATATATCTCGTGGTCAACCTAAACTTCTCCCTCTGTCATACATAATTTGTGATTTAGATAAATCAATGTGATGGCTAGTTTACATGCAGTTTTCTTTGTTTCAAGTAATACATCTATTATGTACTTTCTTTTGAGAGATGAAAATACCTCTAGAAGAGTGAGCCACTTCGATGCCTAAAAACTATCTTAGGTGTCCCAATGTTTTGATGCCAAATTCTGAAGCCTAACTGTTGCTCAAGTTCTGTGCTTCTATGTCATCACTCCTTGTGATGATAATATCATCAAACATAGACCAAGAGTACTGTGACTCCCTCTAAAAGAGAGTGTTTAAAGAATAATGTATGATTAGCATTACTTTGGCTATATTTTAATGTCTTCGTGGTGGCTGTAAACCATCAAAACCAGGCATATCGGGATTGTTTTAGTACATAGGGGGACTTTTTCAATTTGCAAACAATATTAGAACAGAGATTATCTTCATAGCCCGGTGGTAGTGTCATATACACCTCTTCCACAAGATCACCATGTAAGAATGTATTTTTAACATTATATTTTTTAATATTCCAATTGAAAATTGCAGCTAGAGACAATAAAGATGAACAATATTCATTTTTTCCAGTGGGGAAAAAGTTTTTGATAACCAATATTGTAGATTTGAGTATAACCTTTAGCCACCAAGCCTGGCTTTATTCTGCTCAATTGAACCATCAGAATTATATTTCTTGCTATACACCCACTTGCAACCAACGGTTTTCTTATTTGGTGGTGATGCCACAAAAATCTGAAGTTTAATTTTTCTCGAAATCACTCATTTTATCATCTATGGCTTGCTTCCACTTCAAATATGATAGAGCTTCAGAGATATTCTTAGGAATAGTAGTGGTATCTAAGCATATAAGGAATGACTTATAAGAGGGAGAAAAATAATGGTAAGATAGAAATTGGCTGCTGGACATAAAGGATATATAGTACATTGTCCGATGGGTTCAAGGTAGTTGGGAGTGAATCACACTGTAGGTTTGACTGATCATCTAGCAACTAAGAAGTAAATATGTGGCATTTTCTAAGGTCTCATCAGAATCTTAGTTGTTTTGTGAACTATGAATTTCACCTCTTCTAGAGTAGACTTTGTCAAATCTAAGGTTTTTAGGAAGCGGATTCGAGGTAGAAAGAGATATTTTAGGGGCTAGAATAAGGATAAATAGTTGACCTGTGGATGATGAAGAGGATTCAAGTAGAACAATATGATTAGTAGATACTATAGGTTGTTCATTGGATAATAAATTATTGAAGTAAGGTACTGATTCATGAAATGTAACATCCATAGAAGTAAAAATCTTTCTAAACGGAGGGTCATATTATTTATAATCTTTTTGATTAATAGTACACCCAAGAAAGATGTATTTAATCTTGGTGCAAAGTCTTCTTTTGTTTTGAGTATGATCATGAACAAAAGAAACACACCCAAATAATCTCGCTTCTATTCTGGTGTTAATATGGTGGTGTGGAAAAAAATGGGCTAATGAATCTATAGAATTGTGGAAGCCTAAGATTCGAGAAGGCATATGGTTGATAACGTATATGGCAGTGAGGACAGCCTCAACAATATTTTGCACATGATGAATTTAGCATTGTCTAGTTACCTCTAAAATATGCTGATTTTTCCTTTTGGCTAGATCATTTTTCTATGGAGTATATACACAAGAAGATTTGTGTATAATTCTCTCTACTTTGAAGGATGAAAACTTTGACTAAAATATTCTTTAGCATTGTCGGATCTAAATTTTTTGATATTTGTACCAAACCGATTTTTTATCATGGTACAAAAGAATTTTAGAACATCAAATACATAAGACTTTTGTTTTAGAAGAAATACCCACATACATCTTGTACAATCATCACTGAAAGTAATAAATCATTTATTACCACAAATATCATTGATGGGACACAGTCCCCAAGTGTAATTATGAATTTAGAAGAAAGGAATCTCACTCCTTTCTCCTTGAGAGTGAAATGAAACACGTGTGTTTAGAGAATTCACACATTACATTTCAGAGTGTCTAAAGACACTCTTTGAAATAAAGAGGGAAAAACAGTTTTTAAGATATTAAAGAAAGGATGATCCATCTTTTGATGAAGTAGATGGATCTTGTTGACAACTTTTAGAGGTTCTACAAGTTGGTCTACTTTTCACTATATACGTTTGGCTGTCCTTTTAGAAGATAGAGTCTATCATATTTTCTAGCAACTCTAATCCTCTGATGATGTACCTTATCAAATATTACACAAAGATATTCATCAAAGAAGGCACAATAAGTGAAATCTCTTGCAAGTTTCTCAACATAAATAAGGTTTGTAAATAGTTTGAGAACATGAAGAACATTAGGAAGAATGGCAAGAGGTTCAAGTTGAAGATCCCCTATATCATTATGACAAGGGGTTCAAGTGGAATGGTTAGAAAAGATTCTTTTGCAGTTGAAACTTTTCTATCATTATGACAAGAGTTATATTTGGTGAAATGGTGAGAAGAATTAGTCATGTGATCTGTTGCCCCTTAGTCCACTTATTGAGAGTTAGAAATATCTCTAGCAGAAACTCTAATTCCAAGAGAGTGAAGAAGCTTACCATGCTGGACTGATAAGTATTACGTCATTGTCGACTTTAATTGTTTCAATTCAGCTCGAAGTCGTTCTATATCATTTATATGAGGTGATGATTGGTGTTGATTTCGTTTGAAATATGACGGCTAATTAATAGATAAATTTGTCATAAAATGTACTTACCTGCCATATTTTTCAGTATTGAAATTTAGTGGTTTTTCATGTAATTTATAGCATCTATCTCTATTGTGACGTGGTTTTCTGCAATATGTACACCATATTGAGGTGGTTTGGCCTGATCACCAGTCTTCTTCATGGTTTCACCTTGTTTAACCATAAATGCAGAATTATCAGTTTCTGGAACTGACATCATTAATTTCTATTGACTTTCCTCATTTAAAACAATTGAAATAGCTTCATCTAAGACAGCTTTCTTCTCACATCTCAAGATTTGTTGTTTGACTTGGTCAAACATAGAATTGAGTCTAGAAAGAATTTCAACACTCCTTTTATCTATAAAATTTTGTAGCAACATCAATTTCGTCAGGTTTTTAGTGTCAAGGCTAAGGTAATAGTCAAGTTCATGTCATAAATTCTTTAACTCTCCTGCATACTCTATCACCGATTTATTGGCATTGTGGACATTGATTTTGTCTCAAGCTCATATATATGAGCTTCGTTGTTTTTCTGTGAGATTTTGGTGTGAACTGTTTCCCATAAGTCTTTGACCATGGCTAAGAAGAAAAAATCACGACTAATTGGGGGAATCATTGTTCCCCACAGCCAAGTTTTGATCAGGGTGTTCTCTTATCTCCGTCTCCGAAATTCACATGACATTAAGTTTGGTTTCCCCTCTATCAAATGATGTACCATACCTCTTCCATTCAATACTGCACGAATATATTCTGACTATGATATCAGATTATATCCAGTTAATTTGAACTCTGCAGGCATTTTAGGAAGTTCTACAAATAATCTTATGCCCTTAGGAATATATTCTACCAGTTAATTTGAACTGTTTGGTTTCGTGGAGACTGAAATCCCCCCCAGAAGATGAAGCAATATCTCATAGTTTCCATTTCAAGGAAATAATAGTCGACTGCACAAAAAACTAATTTTGTGAACAAATCTCAATAAAGATATCCAAAGAACGGTACAAAGACCGAAACACTAGAATCAATCAGTGCAGAAGTGAATTAGAGCAATCACACCTGGATTCGTTCCATAGAGACACTGCAAAAATGGCACGTCCCTTGCTGGATGGGCACGATACTAACAGCTTCAACAGAAGTAGAGCGTCCCTTGCGGATGAACTCAAACTGTCAAAAGAAAGGGATTTGAAACCCTAACCTTGTTCTGATTCCATGTTGAGTAGTACAACCCTAATTCGGTGTGTTGGTAGATCCCAAAGTCCCCTTGGAGATGAAGAAGAATTTATTGAATGAAAAACTAGAATCAGTTTTTCAAGAGGAATGAGGTCTAATATTTATACAAACCCTCGAGAGTTCTAGAACTACTAATATCAATGCAGACACATAAGGGCATATATGCCACATGAAAAATATAGGGTTGTTGTTAAGTCCTCTCAACAACACACAAGAAGTGATTATAAGAAAATTGAACAGGATAATAGAGCATAACCACGTGTCTGTCTTGGTAACTTGCATTTTTTTGTTGTGAAGAACATTTTGTGGGTAGATGGTAGGAATCTGTTTTGATTATGATAATGTCTTTCAGAATGTACTTCTCCCTTTGTTGGCCAACGCTGTACATTCTTCCTCAAGAGTAGCCAAACTGAAATGATTTCTTTACAGTTGACTTCAAATTTGGAGATTCTAGACTGATGATAATGAATAAAATACTTACATCTAAACAGTTTTGGTGGAAGATGATAAATTAGACTCTTGGGTTAAAGAAGACTGACAGGTGACTTGTTTGGGACCCTAGATGGTATGTTGTCAATAACAAAGGGGGCCACGATAATATATTCAATTTAGAGTTTCTATGGAAGATAACACTGCAATAGTTAGATTCAAGTGGTTTGTCGCAAGTGTAGATTCTTGTACTGAATTACCCCCTTATTACTTCAAGTAGGCACATAAAGTATCATCGATGTTAACTTCATATTTTGACAAATATGTAATTGTTTTTCCATATTTATTTTTTATCATTTCATGACTCTTAAATGATGTGAGAATTTCCCCCTCAACTTTCGTTATAAACCTTTAAGTATAGTAAGTATAGTCATTAATGAACCCCATAAAATATTGATAGTCATCTATTCTCATTGTCAGATAATCCCCACTTACTAGGTTACGCGAGGTTAAAGGACAATAAATCTTACTATTAGATAAGCAGATTGAGATCCAACCATGTTTAGATTCTGACATATATACATATAATCTGCAGAGATTTGACAGAAAAATGTTTAATGTGCAGCTGCCGCTGATGTGTCTTTTCAATGTTTGAGTGTATCCTTGGTGATCTCTCAAGTTAGAAAAACAGAGAATATTCTTGGTGTGAGGTTTAGGAATCCTATATTGTGAACACTCCAAATCGTTTGGCATGTCTGTAAAATGCTTTAACGATAAGATGGCTAGACTAAGTGAGCAGTGCCCTTCCCCTGTTGATTGCTTTTTCTTGCCCTAAAGTGAATGAATCTTGTTGTGAGACATCTCTTGTAGTTGATCGATTTCATTGTGGGAAAAGTCATGAGGGCTGTTTTCTGGTGGCTAATTTCACCTCCTTTGGTAGAAGAGACAAAGGTCTACTGTTGTCATCCTTTTGCACTGAAGACAAAAACATTGGGGTCATTTTGAAGTTAATTTACATCTTTCTGAGATTATCATTTAGTTGAGTTTTTGTCTATGAATCACAAAATTACTGTTCAGTGACTGTTTACTTAGTCTTATGACATTCTTCTTTGGTTAATGCTACAGATGAAGTTGAAAGCCTTGCAGCTGCAAGAAAGGCTGCCTTATCTGGTTCTGAACCCTCTGATTCAATACGGGTATTGTTTTCTGACTCAGTTTCACCTTCTCTCTCACAGGCTTGACCGAAATTCTTGTATTCGTGAATCCAGCCTTCTTAATATTTTATCCTGGAAGAGGCACTGCTGATCATGTATTGTCATTTTTTTTTCAAATATTTACAGGTTGTTAATGCATTGCTTACACAGATGGACAGATTGAAGTCTTGGCCAAATGTGATCATTTTGACCACTTCAAACATAACAACAGCAATCGGTATACAACTAATTTAAATTATGTCCATTCTTGTTTTATTTTGTGCTTTGTTATTGTCTTCGGAGTAATCTGTTTAAATGAATTGACTGCCAGAAAATTATCTTCAAAGGCAAGCGAAAAAACCTACAGTAAGGATTTGACAACTTATCAAGTTGATGTTATCAGATATTTAATTTTATTTCAGCTATCTTCTAGAGAGTGGCTTTTTGTGTATTAGGTTTTCTTGTGCATTGCAAATATACAGCTAACACTCTTTGTTCAGCTAATCATCCGGTCTAAAAACTTTTGTTTCTCTGCTCTGTGTCGATGGTGCTTGATGTGTAAAATTATGTTAATAGATGGCTTATTATTTGAGTCGATCTTTTTTTTTGGCCCTTATGAAAAGGTCTTTGGTCTATCTCACCTCATTCCTACTGTCTATTTATTAACAGTTTGTATGAGTTTGACCAAGCTGCTGGAAGGTTTTGCATCTCTTCTTTGTTATGTTGTCTGCTCTGACTAAGTTTGGTGAATCATGTTGGAAATTTATGATATGCCATGTATTATGATTGACACGATGATATATTTTTCGGCTATGCACTTGCTTCGAAAGAACAATTTTTAGTAGAAAAAATTTCCCCTCATTTATTTTCCCACTGTAGTCAAGATAACACACGATCTGGAGCTCTGATAGGCGGCCAGCACTCTTGGAAGAACTCAAACTTTATTAATCAAGAAAATTCATTACAAGGAGAGTGGGATCCAGTATTTATACCAGATCCCTAGAAGGTTTTAGACATACTGATGTAACACGAAATGAAAGGTACATGAGGACATATATGTAAACATGTAAGGTATATAGGTTCTTAAGTAAATCTCGACAACACCCCCCCTCAAGCTGGTGAGTAAATGTTGTCCATTCCCAGCTTGGGAATAATGTTCTACAGTTGTGTACCCGATATGCCTTTAGTAAGCATGTCTGCCAATTGATTATTTGTTGAAATGCATGATATACAAATCACAATGGCCTCAAGTTTTTCTCTGATGAAATGATGATCAATCTCCGCATGTTTGGTATGGTCATGTTGTACTAGGTTGTGCACTAGATTGATTGCCGACTTATTGTCATAATAAATTTTCGTAGGACTGGATAAGGAATTTGTAACTCATCAAGTAAGTTCTTGACCCAAAGTAACTCACATATTCCTTCGGCAAGTGCCTTGAGTTCAGCCTCAGCACTTGATCGAGCAACTACATTTTTTTTTTAACTTCTCTAGGTGATATGGTTGCCACCAACAAGAGTAAGATGAATAATGTGTGATCAGCATGACTTTGGTTGTAATTTAATTTTTTCATGGCTACTGTAAACCTTCCAAACTATGCATGTGGAGATTGTTTGAGGTTATAAAGATATTTCTTTAACTTACAAACAAGATTAGATGAAAGATTATGCTCATATCCTGGTGGGAGAGTCATGTAGACCTCTACAACCAAACCACCATACGAGAATGTATTTTTAACATCGAATTGTTGAATATTCTAACTGAAAATTACTACCAAGGACAATAAAAAAAGAACTGTATTCATTTTGACCACTGGTGTAAAAATCTCTTGATAATCTATTCCATATATTTGTGTATAACCCTTAGCCACCAGCTAGGCTTTATACCTCTCGATTGAACCATCCGATTTATATTTCACTGTGTACACTCATCTGCAGTCAATAGTCTTCTTAGCTCGTGGTAATTCCACTAGATCTTATGTCTGATTTTTTGCAAGAGCTCTCATCTCATCATCCATGGCTTGTTTCCACTCAGGATTGGAGAGAGCCTCGGGGAGATTTTTTAGAATGGTAGTGGTGTCTAAGGATGCAAGCAATGATTGATAGGGTAAAGAAAGTTTGTGATAAGAAAGGAAACTAGCAGTTGGGTGGGTACAAGGGTGTTTTTGTACACTCCTTTATAGGTTTGCATAGGGCAATGGGAAGTGAATCATGAGGTAGGACTACAGAATCATCAGATGAGAGAGATGTTAATGGTTGTATATTTTCTAAGGTCAGATCAGAGCCTCGGATTTTTGGTTAATGGATCTTCTTCTCTCCATCTACGAAATTCTCGAGACAACATATATCAAAAATTATTTGTGAAAAATTTAAATCAGGAAAAAAAAGAAAGTGCTAAAAATAGAAAAACTCATATGAGAAAAGTTCATTTATCTTATAATTACCTTTGTGTGCTTCTTTTTTCTCTGTTCGCATTCCTCTTCTTAATTCGTTCTTCCTCTTCCTCTTCTTTAATGTTTCCTTATTTTTATTTTATTCCCTTTGTATTGTTGCCTTTATTTCCTCCTTTTACTTCTTCTTTATTGTCTTTCCTAGTTTTTCCTTCTTTCTCGTTTACTTTTTTATTATTATTCACTTTTCAATGTTCTCTTTGAAAGATTGAAATAAATTGGAGGTAACTTTCAACTTGATATGTCAACTCGAACGTTAGTAATCATTCAGGATACTTCATCAGCTTGAAGGTGACACAAAATATGCAATGGAAAGATAAGGTGCTCTCTAAAGAACGGTATTTAGAACTAACTACCCCTTTTGAAAGTAAGAACTTAAGCTCTAAGTGAGTGAACAATACAAAATAAAATGCCAATATAGTTATGATAGCATACAAGGCAAGGGCCTGTGACTTGAAGGTTTACATCAATATTTGATTGACTATTGAGAGACATTTGCACCAGTGGCCAACCTCAAGTTTGTTAAGATAATTTTTTTCCCGTACAGATCATTTCTCAAACTTTGTATCAACTTGATTTATTTGTGATGTTTTCTTAGATGGATACTAGGGAGAGTTTTTCATGGATCCTACTCAAAGGTTTGTTATAGGGAGAAGCTCTATTGATTGAACCTTATATGGGCCTAACTTGATAGATTTATATTTTGAAGGGCAACCAAAACAATGCGAAATGGAAAGTTAGTCTTTCAGTGATTCTTCCTGTACGTAAGAAAATTGTTGGAAATTTTAGGTCACAAGAAAATTATGTAACAGATTGAGTGTATGTTACAAAATCGTGTAAGGTTCCTCCTTCTATAATGGGGGTTAGAAGTGAATGAATCTTGAGGCGGTTTCCGCCGTTCTCCCCTCTGTCCTTCGTGATGAGGTCTTATTTCTCCATTTCAACATGGTATCGGAGCGGGTTCGTTCCACTAGAGTTTCATCAGCTCTGTTCGACGTCTGTTGTATGGGGGAACACCATCACCACCACCACTAGAGTTCGGCGGTATCCGATGTCTTCTATCTGCTGCTGCTGCCTCTGTTTGACATAGGTTCTGCTTGGCATTTCTTGTCTAGGGGAGCATTGATGCCACCATCACTGGCATCTGGCAACAGACAGGTTATATGTTAAGGTTTCAAACCCCTCTGCTTGAAGGTAGATATAGTAGATATCTATACACAGCTTGAAGTAGAGTGTTTTAAGAATATGCAGGCAAATGCTGTGGCCACTAGCTGTAGCATCTTTCATTTCCATTTTTGTGGCTTCTGTTCATTACAAAAGTATGTGAGAGTTCTGCCTCAGTGCATAAGAACTTGAGAATGAATGCTCCCATTGTCTGTAAAATGGACTAAAACTTGAGAATGTGGGACTATCCTTGAGCTCGTGAAAGCTCACACGATGTTGATGGCTAGTTATTATAACATATATAACCTTTGATATGATATGATTTATCATTTGGGAGAAATGGCAAACGACTGTTTGAGGGTGATGAGGAGTCTATTAATGAGGATAATGACACAAGAACACAAGTTAAAGTCAAATTAGATTTTGGGGTTTACTTGCTCGATAGTCTTTTCTAGTTTTGATGTTGAAGATGTACCAAACAAGAACTTTACAGTGTACGAAATGGTATGTATCATTTATGTCAAAAAAAAAAAAACTGTGAAACTTGTGTGACTCCTGGACGAATTTAGAATTTTTATATCAAATTGACCTTCCAAAACAAATTATTTTCATTAATTCCCATTCAACTCCATCATCATAGTCAAATAACAAGGCTTCTCTCGGTTGCAAAACTATTGGCGGTTGCCCCTTCATCATCCCTGGTTGACTCTCTTCCCGGAATCGGATTGAACTCACCGTTCTTTGGCTTTCAGATATCGCTTTTGTCGACCGCGCAGACATAAAGGCATACGTCGGGCCGCCAGCAGTTCAAGCCCGATATGAGATCCTCAGATCATGCGTCCAAGAACTTGTGCGTACTAGAGTTGTAACGCCTCCTCAGGTAGCCCAGCTTCTGGGGTTCTGTGAAATCTTCTAGCTTTCTATATATCCACTACGGCCCCATGCAAATGGATTTTTCCATTTCAGGAAAACGAAAATATCGTCCTTCCCAGCTACGGATTATTAAGAGAAACAATGGGCGCAAGCGTTTCACCGGAGGTTGGAGGCTCAGCTGACCCCATATCCAAGTTACTGCTCCAAGTTGCAGAGGAGTGCAAGGTTAGGGGAGACCACCATCCTCCATATCCTCCTCATCTTCTTCTAGATGACGACCCCATGAAAATGACCAGCCCTTAGTACCATCACAGCCGCCATTACCTACCTCTGCCTTCGCAGATTCTTCAGCCCAACAGTTCAATTAATGTCTCTGGCTGGGTATTTTTTCAGGGCTTGAGCGGGCGTTCTCTGAGAAAGCTGCCTTTTCTAGCTCATGCGGCTCTCACCAGCCCCTACTGTGATATCATCAAGTTCCTGCATGCCCTGGAGGAGACTGCAAGGAGAGAGATTGCCGAGGTCCTGCCTTCTTGAACCTGGTCCTCTTGCTAGTTACTTATACCCATCAACCAGCTCCTCTCTCTCTCTCTCTTTCTCGCTCTGTTCTGATTATTTTCCTTCCAGGGAATTTATGTGGGATTGGATGTGGCTTTTCTATGTACATACATACATACATATATAGACCCTTGGGGGAAACATGAATGCTCAGGTTGATCGACTTGGGCTTTCACCGAAATCCATGAAGGTCTTACCGCCTCAAGATCACCTCATCTTCTCCGGTGTTTGGGTACCGAATTTAGGTGATCGCTAGATTGGGCGATTGTTTGGACTGGGATTTATGGGTTCTCTGTTCTACGTAGTGATAACGCGAATTTCACTAGAGAAGGGCCATTTACGTGGCTCCCCCCGGTTTATCGAAAGAGGGAGCGCCTCGTGAAGGGTCACTAACACCGGCTTCTGGGCTTTCGTGCTCGAGTGAGAGAGAGAGAGAAAGGCATCCGTTTGGGGTTGCACTATTCGCTGGATTCTCTCTCTATCTCTTTCTGACTACATCGTTGCAAATCTCTTTGAGAGCCAAAACCCTTCATAATCGGTCAGCTGTTGAGCTCTCGGGGAAGAAAGACTGGCCGAGTAAGAGGGATAAAGGTGTCTCTTTGGGGTGTACCATTCGCTAGATTATCTCTAGCGAAGGGTTTGAGGGGCTCTAAACGAGTTTTGCAATGATGTAAGTAGAGAGAGAGAGAGAGACTGTGAGGTACTGTTTGAGTACATGCACCGAGCCGAGAGAGAGAGAGAGAGGAGGCTACGAATTCTGCATGTGGTCGCTCATGAATGCACACGTGCATGCCGCAGGTAGGCTCAGAATACACGTGGGAGCACCCGTGCGCCGAAGGAGCCAGGGCCAGACATAGCACCGCGGGCGGGTCCTGAAGGCGAGCAAACTGTGATAGGCCGGCCGCACGAGCGATTCCCACATCGGTCGGCGTACCCTCAGTAAGCCAGCTTCCCGGAGACTCTTCACTACACAATCGGAGATAGAGATAGAGATGGAGATAGAGAGAGAGAGAGAGAGAGGATGATTAGGGCAGACAGACACGGAGAGAGAGAAGGGAAGAGCAGGGGAGCCGGGACCGGTGGGGGCAGCCTTTTTCCGGCTAGGGGAGGGACAAGAGTAGCATTGGGGTGGGTGCACGGGGCGCCGTGATGAGAGGAGGGAGGTGGGGGAAGCTGCTGCGGCTGCGCACCGCTGGTAGAGACACGAGGAACAGAGGCTAGGTGCTAGGGCAGAAGCAGCCATGCCCACGCTGTCTCTTCGGTAGGCTGCTAGAGGATCCACGCCCATGTTGCCTTTGTCCTCTTCTCCACTACCCCTTTTCTACCCGCGTAGGTGAATCTGTGACAGATACTGCATGGCTCTGTGTTTAGGAGATCCAGTCCATGCGCGCGCCGGCGTTCTCCACTCCTCCCCCACCTATCTCTCTTTTCTCTCTCATCATTCTGCCCAATGCTCTCTACGGGGCTCTTAAGCCGGCAAGGACTGGTACCCGACTTTTGCTTTTCTAAAGGGTTCTGCAGCACGTCAGGAGTAGGAGAAACGATACTCGGATTACTTCCACATCTCTCTGCGTATACAGTGAGTGAAAGAGAGAGAGAGTCCGGGGTGCAATTCGTCAACGGGCATGGACGTACAGATGCATGCTGAGTAGAACATATTAGAAGCAAAATGAAGTCATAGTGAGCAAAATATTCTCTCTAGGAAGATAAAAACCTGTGACCTACCACTTCTAAACCCTTAAACGAATGAATAATAGACAGAGAAAAAGAAGGTCATCTACAGATTATAACAATGAATCTGTCTCTGCATATGGAATGAACCAAAGGAACAGTAGCATGCGATGAGGCTATGGAGAGCTGGAGGAAATCTCAACAACAGGAATTCCAAACCCCAAACGCTAAAGCCTAAATCCTAAATATGATAAGTTAAATTGTTCAGATTACTCCATTAGTTGTTAACTTATCTGGACTTAGAGGTAATGAATTTTTCATAATTAGAATGTGGGGAAAAGGGAAATCTCTTAATAAATGCAAGACTGAAGAGATAATTTAAATATCTCACGATCTTGAAGCTTAACTTTAGAGTGTTGAACATCACTGATAGTTACTTGGGCGAGTATAGGAACGTGAGGAGGGTGAATACAAAAAAATAGAAAAATCTTGCCCTGAACTCAAAAAATCAAGAAAATCCTGTCGATATCAATCTCATTGCTTTGACTGAGTTTCTTCATGAAAAGTTTAATTACATGAATGTTAGCCATGAAAATAACTTTAGTAAGTTTTCATTTAAATCTATCAGGGCACGTAGTTTACCAATATCAAGAAAAATGCACCATCTCCACGTTAGAATTTATTGTGACAACGTTTGCAGTTGGAGACACTTGAAAGATGTTACGCTGTGAATGTTCTCTTGTAAATTGCAGTGAAGCTCAATGGACTCTTGAAAGCGGATGATTCAGAATCCATTGAAGATTACTGGATTCGATATCTCTGTCGGTTATCACTCGTGCGGTGAGAAATGTAAGGAGAAAAAATTAAAGAGGAAAATATCTTCATGGGACGAGATTTCCTACTATGGTGGCAAACTCTGAAGGAATTTAAAGGGATTCCTATAGATTGGTCCGGAGTAAGAGTTTGACGAGATATATTATCAACATGCATTAATAAATGTATTCTTCACTATAGCTTTAATATACAATTATTTTGGACAAAGGTAATGCTGACACTCAGGTAAAAGTTGCCAATCATAAATGAAACGCTAGCAATGAACAAGAAGAATCACGGAGGGGAGAGAGATCTTCATGAAAGTAAACTGATGCTAGTGAAGCCATGACTAATCATGGAAAATTAAAGTCCCCATATGTTTTTATTTATGGCAAGTTTTAGAGATATAATCTAAGCAATGACTTCAAAGATTATGACACTTGGTCTTGAAATTTTCCGACGAAATATCATCATCACCGGACAAGAAATATGTTATAAACTTAAAAATAAATATTTTTGTTACGTGATGTAGACGTATGTATTGTGGCACCCAAACATAATAAATGTCCTCCAAATTTAAAAAGAAATTCTTAGATGAGACAGAAATAAACAATAAATTTCGGAAGAATAATTTTCATTGACTCGAAGAATAGGCCTTGATTTTTCTTTTTCTTTTTCTTTTTGAATCAGTGATCGTTGAGATGGGAACAGAACTCAAAACCCAAGATCAGCATCCTCCGAGTGAGAGGTCGAATAATGGAGCGCAGTCTAATAACTTATCTGCATTGTCATCAAGCTGAGGACTAAATTACTCTAAGTCAACCCACACGCTGAAAGGTGGGATAAATGAGAATCTGGAACTGAGGCGAGGTTAACTGAGTCGATATTAACTGGTTATTAAAGCGGCCGGAAGGGTTTGGGTGGGTTGCATCAGGTTTCTCCGAGGTTCCTGAGGAAACGAGTGATGAGTCCTCCAAAGGTGTTCAGAACATTCAATGGCTTCACTGCTGCAAATGGCCGGACAGCTGGTCGCAGTAACGAGGCCCCGCGGGGGGGCCTTCATCTAGCTGGCTTGCTCCCGCGGCTTGAGCACAAAGCGGGAGACCAACTCCGATGATCCCTCTGACGTTGTCGGCTACCTTGGTAGAAGATGATGGGCGCTGAGAACCCACTTCTTCCCACACACTCTCTCTATCTGTCTCTATGTGTTTGAGAGAGAGAGTCCCGATTAGACTGTCATCTGATCAGGAGATCGGCGTCCTTAAGAACAGCCTGGGAAGCTTATTGATGGCGATGAAGCGGCTTCTGTGTCGTCATAGGAGATATCCCAGTGTGTGTCGTATAGTCAGTCTTAAGCCCGTGGCGGGGAAGAACGACGGCGCAGGGAGACTGCATGAAATGCCACCCCGATCCTCGCGGGTTCCCGACGATCACTTTTCCCGACGGGCAGAGGGTAAGTACGGTCGCCGACCCGGCGGAGGCCAAGGAATGGACCAGCTTTCATCAGGCTGTTCCCTACGGAGGATTTACTGCCCATCCCTCCCTCTCCTACCTCTACATCTCATCGTACCTTCACTGCCCCTCTCTCTCTCTCCCCACCCCCTATCTATCTAGTGTTCCGGTGCAGTGGCGGTTCTCACGTCGTACGCTGGTTGTTCGCCTGTTTGCGGGGGAAGGGGAGACACGCGTGGGAGAAGAGCAGCTGCCCAAACCGGGGACGAAGGGACATCTACTTCGGGACGGTCCGCTGGCTTTCTCTCTGCCGTCTCCGGCAATGGCTGGTGGTGGTTATGATCCTTCTCCGGCCAGTAATCGCAACCTCGCTCGCGTCCTTTTGTTTCTCTCTCCTCAGATCTCTAAAAGTTTATATTCTCTTTTCCCTCGGTCAGACTACAGATCTTCCTTTCTTGTCGTATATTCTCCCACACTCCCTCTGAACGCGTCTATCCTCTTTGTCTTGGACAGCTGCGATATCTTGTCGCATTATGGAATGTAGAGAGAGAGAGAGAGAGAGGAATGTTGTCAACTCAGCGTCGTTCTTGACAAGAGGGGAAGATGGGAAGAGCCGAGGAGTGGAGGTTGAGAGATACTTGGAAGGAAGAAAAATGCTGGCTTTACTTTTACTCAGTTCTAAAAATGAGTGGAGGTTGGGAGATATTTGGGAGATCTCTAAAAATGCTGGAAGTAATTTTCCATTCAGTTCTTGAAAGAGTTAGTCATTCCTTTTAACTAGACTATTCAAATATCTTATATAAGATGATCGTTGTTTGGTACCACATTATTCAGAATTCTCCTTACATTTTATTCTTGATATATCACCATATGTTATATATTACTCACTTATGGATAAAAAATCTGGATAATCTTGATTACGATCCAGGTTAGGAATGATTCGGAACTCAGTACATAAACCAACTAGATTATTTTCCATTTTGAAAGAGTTCAATACGACTCATAAACTTACGATCCGGATAATTTTCCATTCAGTTCTTGAAAGCACCCATAACGGTCAGAACTCATCACATAAACCAACAAGATTATTCAAATATCTTACATCAGACGATCTTCGACTTGTACAACATCATTCAGAATTCCCCTTACATTTTATTCTTGATATATCACCATATGTTATATTATTAATCACTTATGGATCAAAAATCTGGATAATCTTGACTACGATTTGGATTATTATTATCCAAACTCATTTCAAATGTTCCATCATTTGTCAATATCCTTCTTCACCATCATTGCTCTAGTTAGCGTCTAAAGGATCTGTTAGACAAATCGATCCAATTTGATCGTCATTATTCAACATATGACACTTTCCAAATAAAAGTTCAAATTTTTCAAAGCGAATATCATCAAAGATCTGGCATGGTAAAAAGAAATGGAGCACTTTTAAAGTGTAAGGTATTAATGAAAATATAAATCAGTAAAACTACTTTAAATCTATGATTTATATATATATATTTATTATTATTTTGCATCTATGAGATCTAAAGTGTTGAGATTGAAAATTTGATAACTTAAAAGTTATACATTCTACGGACGGCTACGCATGGTGTTGGTAATTATAATGCATCTTAATTCCGTCAGAAGTGTATAATATGCACTAGTTGTCTTTATTTATAATAAAATGTCTACAATCTTTTACCTTTTGTAACTTGTATAATAGTATCCTTATTTTCTATTTTTCACGAAGATATACAAATTACTTCGTGGTTGATTGAAGCATAAAGACCAGATCTTTGACTTACTTGGAAATACCTAACTCATAGTCACAGATCTTAGACTTGGCAAACGAATAGTTGGTTAACTATGCTGCGGTTTAGTTTTGGGTTAGTTCCAACTTCATCTTAGTATCTCACATAACCAATATGGTATCTACCAACCAACATTTGATAATGTATTTATTATTATTATATTCTCTTTTTGTCTTGTCAAATGTTATGTGGATTATTTCATTTATCTGTAAAAACCTCAAACACATTCTATGATTTATAATGGTTTTTTCATAGGAAAAATGACTATACTGAAGAATATCATAAATTCAAATGTGAAAATGGAACTTTGCTGAACCATGGAAAAATGTAAGTCTAATTATAGGGAGGTGATTACAAGAACTTAATGCAAAATCGAAATCAAGAAAGTTGATCATCCTAAAATTCATGAGGATTATATTACTATAATGGACTGTAATTACTTCTACACAGTAGCATATTATAATGAAAGAAGGTCCTTTCCCTTGGACATTTGAATGGCACATTTCATATTCTAAAATGTGTTTCAACATTTTGCTTTACAAGTTTTTAAAAGATATATGAAAAGCAGTCGGCAAAATTAAATCTCATGCTGTAAAAGCTATTAGCTTAGGTCACACTTGTCCAAAAAGGAGTTAGATCTCTATGAGATAGGATGCGGTTTCTTTACTGAATTCTCCATGTGCTGATTATTTACATGATTTACTATGCTCAACAGAACCATATATAAACATTATCGTTGGAAGTCATTAAATCTTTTATTGTATCGAAATAAAGGGTCTTCCCCGTTCAATTTTTTGAGGGAATTAGTTTCCTTAATTTACTACAATCATCAAGGTTGATGCTACCACCTCCACCATTTCATGCGCTTGCTCGAGGCGAGAAAATAAGAAGAAATGAGGATTTCATTGAAAATTCTTCTAAAACTTTTCCTCTTGACCTTGCATATTAAGTTTTACGAATTCAATCCTGCCTATACATTATTTATTTATTTACTAAACCCGATTCAGGAATTCTCATGGATAATTCGTTTTTAACTCTAAGTTGTTTATGTGCTTCCACGAGTCATTTGTTCACGAAGTGAGAGGCCGTCTTATATTAGCTTACCTCTCTGTCTCTCTCTCTCTCTCCGCGTCCTTCTCTCTCTCTATCTATATCTGTGAGTAGGGAGTGTGTGAGGAAAGAACCACGTAGGCTGAGTCTAGAAGCCCCGGGTACAGATGAAACCCTAGACGGGACAAGTCCACGTGACAAATCCTTGGTTTCCAAACCCTAACACCCTGCATGCTCCCTCCGAATTAAATGCCATATAACAAGCTGCACAGACAAGTGCAGACCCGGAGAAAGCTCGACGCAGGGGAGACAGAGAGGGAGAGAGCGAGAAGAGGAAAGAGATTGGAGACTTCCCCGGTTCTTCTCCTTCCCCTTCCAGTAAGAGAGAGAGAGAGAGAGGAGCGGAGAGAGATCGTAGACTTCCCTCCATCAGGGAGAGAGAGAGAATAAACAAGCAAAAACATCAGGGAACAAGTTCTGATCGCGGGACAGTGTAATCATTCAGAATGATATACAATACAGGGCTGAGATGAACTCTCTGGTTTTCCTGCGTAAGAGACAAACGCTAGACTTTCCCCCTCTCTCTAACCTCTCTCTCTCTCCTCCCACCCCCTCTCCACATCTCGTTCTCCTCCAGCATCGACTGCGCAGGCGCGACCGCGTTGGAAGCGAATAGCCTCTCAGCCTCCCATTCAGTCAAGAACAATAATCCTGTGCGTTTCATTTAATCTCGGAAAACGCCCGGCGGCTGCCATCCACGTTGGCGTAAACCCGCTCTCCGATTCCTTACGGAAGCCCTAACCGTTCTCCTTATCTCTCTCTCTCTCTATCCAGTCCAAGAAACGAAAGTCAACTCCTTTCCAGACATGTAATCATACTATTAAAATCTAACTCTGGGCAGGGACGAAGATATAACTGCCCATCATTGATGGTGGTTAATACTAACAGCACGGCCGACCCTCCAGCTTCTAACCCCCATCTCTCTCTCTCTCTCTCTCTCTAACGGGGATCATCATCCCTCATAACTCACCGTGCTGCTGGCAACCATACCAAAACGTTCGAAAAATTATACATATATCAGAAAGGACCCATGGTTTCCCCTATCACACGTTGTTCTTCCCGAAGGCTAGGGGGGCCTCTTCGTATCTCCATTTAATGATGAAAATCAATGATGAGATGGGTGAATCAGTGGAGAACCGAAGGGGACGCTCACGTCTCTCTCTCTAAGTCTCCATCTCCGTCTCTCTCTCTCTCTATCTCTAAATGTGGTAGTGGCCTTGTACAGGGAACAGGGGGCAATAAATATGAAATGATAGGAAAGATCGTAATGAATATCGGGAGATAATTATAGAGAGGGTAGGTCGATATCTCGGTATTTACGGCCTGGGAAGGGCGGGCGGTGGTGGTGATTGGACTCGCACGGCCGTTAGGAATTCCCCTCGCCGCTCACCTGCTTGCGGGAATGTCTCGATCGATGGCACTTCACTCCCCAACCTCAACTACCCCACCAACACACCCAGGTGGAAGCTTGCTCGAAGCTCCCCCCGCCGCCCAGATTGCACCAGTTGCACCGTCTTCCTCCCTCCTATAAATACTCCTCTGCAGGTAGTTCGATTCTCAAAGCCTTCGCCACTCTCTCTCCCTCTCTCTCTCTCTCTCTCTCTCTCTCTCCAAGGCGGCGGTGGAGGAGCTGTGATGGAGGAAGGTGGCGGGAGAGATGGGGGGAGGAGGGGGAAGAGGGGGACGGCGATGGGGCCAGCGGGGGGGACGATGAGGTACAGAGGGGTGAGGCGGCGGCCGTGGGGGAGGTACGCGGCGGAGATAAGGGACCCCCTGTCGAAGGAGCGCCGCTGGTTGGGGACATTCGACACCGCCGAGCAGGCCGCCTGCGCCTATGACATCGCCGCCCGTGCCATGCGCGGCATGCGTGCGCGCACCAACTTCCTCTACCCTTCTTCTCCGCCCCCCTCGCCGGTGCCCCCGTCTCAGCGCCCCTCCTCCGCCCTCTGGCCCCTCCCGTGGGGCTCCGATGCCCCAACAATGGCGCCGTCCACCTTCAACACTCTCCTCCTCCGCAACCTCATCACCTCCTGCGCAGCAGCACCATCGGCGGCTGCTCCCTCTTCCTTCTCCCACCGCGCCCGCTCGGCGGCCTCCTTTCGTGAGCAAATCCATCACGCAGCAGCTTCTGGCGGCAGTCGTTGCAGCGATGCGGCGGCTCACTCTGGTGCAAGTCCGCCGCAATTCTCACCGCTCGCGCAGGAGCCGTCAGCAGAAACGGGGGGACTCGCGGAGCTCTTCCCGGCGGCGCCGGATTATTCGGGGCTCCTGCAGGAGATCATACAGGGTTTCTTTCCGCAGTGGAACTCTCCTTCCTCGTGTTCTACTTCCTCCATGAGCGCGACCTGCTTCGGGAACCGCATGGATGAGGATTGGGAGACGGCGATGAACATAGACGAGGAGGATCCTATGAATCAGTATCAGCATTCTCTGCCGCCGCTGCCGTTGTCGGAGCCGCAGGAGATGTATCCCCACGAACGCTTCTACGCCGGCGGGGGGAGCCCAGTGCAGTGCGAGGAAGAGGTCAGCGAGGACCTCCCCAAGCCGTCGGACGGCATGTTGGAGGATGTCGTACCCCGCCCCGAGTTCGTCGAGATCTTCTCCCCCAAGCTCCGGCAGAAAGCTTAATCCCCTCTCCCCCTCCGTCCTTGACGGGAGTTTCTTATAGCGGTCGAATACCCATTTCTGTAAGAAACTCCACAGAACTCCCAGTTGCGTTCTGACCAACTCCATGGCCTCTCTCTTTCTCTCTCTCTCCTATCTCGCTCCTTGGAATCGAGCTCGTCCGTGCGGGAGGTGTTGAAGATGATCTTCTGCGCCGTCGGTGGGATGCCTGCCGTTATTGCTTGAGCTGCGAGAAAGCGCCCTTCCCCAGGATTTCTCTCTGGTTGCCAAAGATGGCCAAGCACCCGCATCCCGGGCGATCTTCCTCTCCGATGGCGGCGCTAGGTCAGGAGCAGCGACGATCGGAAGTCCCGCGTCCACACCGCCATGAGTACACAATGGTCTTATGTTCTTTTTCTATCTCCTGCATTCTGAAGAGAACCGCCATTAGGTTTCCGTCGATATGATATATAAAGACGAGATGAGCGAGCAGTCAGTCGTCTTCCCATGTAGGCGACCCACGTCAGATCGTCTGCTCCGCCATTAAGAGAGAGAAACTATGATTTTACGTTCGTCCTGGGGTCCCCCGGCATTCTCTCTCTTTCTTCCGCACTTCGATCTCATGGGTGCTTCTAGCCACTCGATCCCCCATCTGTTCTCCCTCTGTCTCGCTGTTGACAACGGACGGGCACGCAGGCAAAGCTATCGAGAAGGAGATGGCGACGGTCAGGACGATGATCTCTGCACACAGACCCGCCTACTCTTGTTCTAATGACCCCTGCTGAATCTAAAACGGCTATTTAAGAGGGGAGGGCTGCTTTTGTCGGGCCCCCTACTCTCGGAAGCTACGATAGATTATAATATTTCAGAGAACGACGGAAAGGGCTCCTCTTCCCTCCCCACCTCTCGTCAATCTCTTCTTCGCATGGGGTTCCGCGCGCGGTCGATCCAGTAGTGTACGTGAGTATGTCGGGAGGGAACAGAGACAGCATCGAAAAGCCAAGAGATGTAGAGATAGAGAGGGAGTGGAAAAGGTAGGTCCTTTGTGGAGATCTTCCGACGAGGGGGATACTGGAGTAGAGAGATCTTGACACTTGACGTGGTGGGGCCGACTTATTCATTTGATAATGCATTTTGCCCTACGCACGTCTTGGATCAGGTGGCCACTACCGGCGGCAGGGAAGACGCATGGATCTCAATCATTCTGGTGCTATATTTTTCACACTAGGAAACATAGATTATGCATGGAAGATTTCCATCTCATTAAACGGAATCACGTCATAAGATGTAACCATTTCTATTGTAGGGCCACCCTCGAGGCTAATCTCTTGGGTCTTTAAAGAGCACGATAATCGGTAATTTGTTAGTGTTTAAATATGTTGTTTTGGTGTAATCTCCTTTGACCTTGAGAGCCATCACTAATACTGGGAAAGAGTTCATAAGTCAACGTCCTTATTTTCTAGTTTAGAGCGATAATCTTGTATGTTGCGCTTAACGCTTGTTTTAACGATGAAAGTGGGAGGTGTCTTCTCTTTTGACGTTGAGAACGATCACTAATACCGGGAAAGAGTTGATAAGTCAACATGTCCTTATTTCTAGTTTAGTCCGATAATCTCCTTTAACGATGAAAGTGGGAGGTGTCTTCTCCTTGGTGTCTTTCTCTTTGGTGACCATTTCTTTCCTTGTAACAAAAGATCAACGGCCCATTTAATATCAGATATAAGTTATAGACGGGAAAACGTAAAATAATTTGCGTTAAATAAAATCTAAAAGTAGAATTTCATGGTCCAAAGAGATTTTATGGTGAACTTTTGGTTTATTTTTATTTGTAGATATCAGATTTGTCATCATCTATTGAAACTTGACATTGGTACGATTCATGGGAGTTCAGCTAGTGGATTTTCTTGTTAAAGCATATGATGACTACAAAATATTGAATCTATGAGGCATATGATGAGCAAAACAATCCCCTTTTGCCTCTTTTCAACCTGCTTTGATTGTCATTTTAAGTTTCTACATTTGCAAACATCATAATAGGTGCATCATCTACATTTGCAAAAACTGTTGGAGGGAGGCCTATATACTTAAAGTCGTTGACCTTGAATATGGATGTTGTAACAATATTTCTATTTCTATTTCTCTTTTACTACACGCTGAATTTGGACGCAACATCATTGAAGAAGAGGTGATTTGGTATGCTTTTGAAGATTCTAATATCTCTGAATGATTGAGGCGACAAAAGCAACAGAGCCACACAATTTATGGTAGTTAGTCCTTAATTTAATGTACTCTTTCAAGGTTACTTACTTAGGTTTTATTATCTATGGATGGTACAATAGATGTATATTACTTTGTATCTTCATTTCATTAGATCCATAACTCTAACAACCTCAATATCTTAGTACTTTTGAATCATGACTCATAGTAGCAAAACTCTGTCTAATGCCAGCTATCATTTCTAAATTCATTGCTCCATAATCCCTTAGTGACTAATAACAAATATTGACATGTGATATCTTGTTATCTTTAAAAATTAAATGGAACTTAATACTACCACTACTGCACAGCCATGGCATTAATCTCAAAAGATAGGGGTCATCCCCAATGTTTACTTATCCATGTGGTAGTCAAGTCTCTTACGTCATGAGAATGATGGGGATGTGAGTATCTTATAAGTACTCCCCTCTAAAGTTTCACCTAGAGCAAAGTAAAAGTCTAAAAATGCTTCAAGCGAATTTGTAATTGGCTTCTAACTATGGGAGGTTGATCCAATTAATTAAGACATCAATATCATGGCTTCTAACTAGAACTTTGAAAGTGTCATAACCCAATTGAGGTCATTATCGAGGATCTGAGGTCTTGGAGGCCTTAGATGTAGTCAACTATGACCAAAATAACACTAAAATCATCATATTTGAGAAGCCTTCAACAAAGTTCATGCATAAATCTTCATAAATTTAATTAATTGGTGAGAGATAAGAGGTTAGAACAACCTGGCTGGTGAGAGATATTTCACTTTATTTTACCAAAAGATGAAGTATTCTTTGACATATTTTTTTATGTAGTTTTTGATTTCTATTTATCAAAGATTTTGGCTAACTCTTTTATATGTTCACAAGAACTTCAAGTGACCATTGATAGCTAAATCGTGAAATTCATTCAAAAAATTAAGAAGTAAGGAAAAGGTACTTGAGATTATTAGTTGCTCACAATGGAGTAAGAGCCGATGTTAGTTAAAGTAAGTTGGCCATTATTCAAGTTACTATGGTAGCTACATAATGATTTGAACAAGAGCTAGGGATCTTCTATATTCTCATGTTAAATTAGGACAAGGTCTATGAACTCAACCTATGATTACTCTATGGGTTCTAGGTTAGGTTCTTCAGCTTATTAGAATGTGTTTATCTCTTTATTTTAAACCTTACCTAGTTTGAATCTTGAAATGAAACCATATGATTTGAATAGCCACTTTTTTTAGTCATGAAGAACCTAGTATTATTGCAAAAGAGATTTGAAGAATCATTAGTTTTAAAAGATTATAAACTTGTTTTCAAAAAGATAATATTTTCATTTCAATTCAACAATAATAATTTATATTAATTATTGCTAATATATGGCTTTGAACTCACAAACGTACAAGAGAACTTAAGTAAAAAATACAATAAAGCATTATTATTGCATAAAGACAACTCCACTCAACACATCTAATTTCAACTAGAAGGCCAAGAAATTTGGGAGGGCTAAGATTGAAGCTATTATAAAACTTTCTTGAGATATCAAAAAGATTTATTTGATTTTGGTCTACAGTTGAATGAATTCATTTCATATTTCTAAGTTTAGGACTCTATAAGAATGCTATAACTTTTAATGAATCTCAAGTAATAGTCCATCAAGACCATAAACCTATGAAGTTATAGTGTCATATGAGATAGGCAATATAAGACTACCTAATCTTCTCATAATCTATTGTCATATTAGTTGCTCATACAACATCATCTTAGTAAGACATGTGTCTCTATCAAATGAGTATTTTTTTAGTTGATATGAAGGTTGTGGTTATGTAACATGCTGAAAACTTGTGTAAATTTTATACATGATTCTCTGAAGGTTAAGTTGTAGATTAATATGCCATCAAAAATATCATAATAAACTTCTTAAAGTAGGCACAAAATATTTGATTCAAAAGATGATAAATGATGGTTACAACATTTGTTAGGCCAAATGACATTATAAAAACTTGTAATGATTGTAGTTTAGCTTTAAGAAGATAGTTGTTCTTTGAACTTTTACCATTAGAATAATGAAGTAATCTAAAATGACCACCTTATTTAATGTCTAATAGTCCACATAAAATTGACATTTGATACTCTTCTTTTTGGCTAATAAGGTTGGATTGGAGAATGGCCTAATGGAGTGTTGTATAATTACAGCTATCAGCATCCCTCAAATCAATTGTTTGATTTCTATCTTTTGGATATGAGAGTAGTAAAATGACACAATATTTATCAATTTTGTGTTCTGGTTTCATTGTGACTATGTGATTCACTTCACAAATTAGAAATAACTTGATTTATTCATCAAGTACTTTTGAATATTGAGCTTATATTTAGTCATTGAGACCTATTGCATTCTCATGTGTCTTGTAGTTGAGTTCAACCATCTTGGTCAATTAATAAGGCTCAAAATGACCTATTCCTTTTGTATGGCCATTCAAAGAGTTTAGAGAAAGATGTCAGCCCACTAAAAATGGCATATGTTTAAATCATGACTATTATTTCTATTAGGAGGGACATTGTAAATTTTTCAAAATCTAGTTTGATATTTTTCATGGCACACATATTTCAAGCCTATCACCTTATCCATTGTGACGAAAGAAAGAGTGAAGAAGTCTTATGTGATTTTGAATGCTTGAGTTTTCAGTGTCATGCTCTAACATATGCCCATGTTTGGAACCTTTTCCCTAATTCACTTGGTGACCAAGAAATTTAGAGTAATAATGATTTGAAATTATAGTGTATGGGTTA